AGTAGGAGGTTGGTAAATAAAGTTTATAAAAGAACTCCAAAGCTTGATTTGATTATTTATCTGTTGCATATGATGATGGCCAATGATAAGCACCCAATTTCTGTGTGAACTATGTACCATAAATGTAAATTAATCTTGTAGTATTCTAAGAGACTTGTTGAAATGTTTACGTGATATAACTTTAATATTATTACAACATATTTCAGTACAACTACTTTATGATTTAATTAAATACAAATTCAATACTTACTATTTACTCACATAAGGAAATTACAATTAATTATGTTCCTAAAAGAAATTCTACCCTTTAGAACACAATATGATAGATGAAGGTTTGAAAACTAAAAAACTCATGTAATTCTATTGAATTTACAATTCTCTATAAACAAAAATAATATATATAAAATTGATGCCACACAATTAACCATTTAAAATTATGAGAGGTATTTGAAGTATATTAAATATCCAAATATAATTAACAATGAATAGTTAATAATTCTTCTATCTATGCACATAAATTAGTCCATTTAAAAAATGATTAATAAATAGTATTAGGGTTGTATATAGTTTGTTGATCATCCTATCAATCCAATGATGGTCATCGTTTCTTTTCATCAATTATTTGATAATCGCATAAATTACAATTCCAACTCAATAGTGAAATATTTCATTAATTTAAATTATGGATTAAGATTAATCAATCAAATTGGAGGATATTCAATATACAAATTTCACAGATTACAGTTAAATACCTAAAATAATGCCTATGATTGATGCTGAATTATCAGAGCCATATTCCATTTACACTTACAGATATTTCCTTTATGGATGGCCCGATTTGTCCATTTTTGCCTATTATAACAATGAAATAATTGGGGTGATTACTTTTATCGAATTTCTAGGTTGTAATAGGAAAACTCGATAAGCATAATAAATCAGGCAGAAATAGGGGTTACATAGCTATGATCGTGGTAGAGAAGAAATATAGGCGTCTAAAAATAGGGAGAATTTTGGCATAAAAATTTATTGACAGAATAAAAGAAAAAGGTTTGAATATTTATAATTTATATAAATTAGGTGGTGAAGAAATTGTGTTGGAAACTGAATAGACAAATCATGCTGCATTGAGATTGTATGAATCCTTGGGTTTTGCCAAGATGAAAAGAATGTAAAACTATTACATGTCTGGGAATGATGCATTTAGATTAAAATTATTCCTTGTGGACCCTGTAGATCCTCATTAAAAAAGTGAATGAAAAATAATATATTTTTTAAAGTTTTATTAAACAAACATATACTCAGATAAATACTCAATATGAATTACAAGATGTGTGAAGTAAAATCAATATTAATAAACTGAATTATCAATACAGATGAACCTTAGTAATTTTAGTTTTTTAACTATTATTGAATCAAGATCAGTATTTCTATTTCATCAATGACCTTAAGAGTTAATATGCTAGATATATGTTAGAATTTTCACAGATTCTTCATAATACCTAAGATGCTTAAAAAGCATCAAACATGGTTTTCATTAATAAAGTAATAAAGCTTCTATTACGAAAGAACAAGTACCAGAAACCTATTTAGCCAAATATACTTTTAAAACAACTACCTAATTGGCCCATTCGAGTTCTATTCAATATATTTATATATATATAAATAAATAAAGTGTATTTTATTTTTTAGTTTAATATAAAAATTTAAAATGGTTAAAAAATAGCCACAAATGTAGTACCTACCTAAAGATCCTAGTATAAATATTTATATATTGAATAAAAACTAAGCAAATATTTTTATGGCATGGCCATTCAAAATTGAATATTTCTAGTTAAAATCAGATAATGACCAGTAAACTTAGAGAATCAAAATTGTAATTTAGAAATCCTGAGAACAAAATTTTTTGTATTGTAACATACACGTTCTCAGTTGAAATCATCCAAAATGATAGGTGCAAGTGTTCCTCTATTGGAAATTTTTTGAATTCATATAAAAAATAATATGATAATAAATTTCTTCATTAAATAGCAACTGTTTCCTATTTGAGTTTTAGACTGATTCTTTTCTACTTGGTAAACTTTCTTTTTCTTTGGATCGGTTCTTTAGTATAATCAACCTTCTATTGACTTTTTAAATATGGATGATCAAGACATTCACGAGCACTGGGTCTAATGTTGGCATCTTTGGAAAGCATTTAGGTTAGCAAATCATATGCGAGAGGATTATTGGCCTTTGTTTTTTCTAGATGGGCCTCATTATATTCGCCATTAATATTAAGTTTAATTAGCTCAGAAACATTCTCGAAGTTTCCAAATGGGTTTTTGAAAGTTAAACTAAGCCTTAGGTAATAACTTACATATTGTAAAAGACTATTCCAGCACTATAAATATCAACTTTTTCATCATAACTACATGATTAACTAAAAACTTCGGGAGCAGTGTATCCAGGAGTTCCACATCTAACATGATTAAAGTCATAAATACCTTGGGTTTATTTATTATATATCGTATATTTTACAAGCAAAGCCGAAATCAGAGACCTTCAAAGTGTCCATATGCTGAGAATCTTTGAATAAGATGTTCTATAATTTAATATCTCGATGAACTATTTCTAAATCATGGAGATGCTTTAAAGCTGAATTCAAATAGTTATTAAATTTTACCAGAAAGTAGATTAAACATGAGAAGAGGTACATCAATTTAAATATTTCTCTATCCGATAATTTTTAATAGGTCTCCTCCTTTACAATACTCCAAAATAACAGAAATAGACTTATAATCTGTCACTATCTCTTCTAGCTAAATTATATTTTTATGAGAGTTATTTTTTAACAGTCGTAAAATATCTGCCTCTTATTTCAATTATCCCTAACATTATATATATTAAATACCAATCTGCTCTTTGCCAACTGATCNTTTTATTTTTTAGTTTAATATAAAAATTTAAAATGGTTAAAAAATAGCCACAAATGTAGTACCTACCTAAAGATCCTAGTATAAATATTTATATATTGAATAAAAACTAAGCAAATATTTTTATGGCATGGCCATTCAAAATTGAATATTTCTAGTTAAAATCAGATAATGACCAGTAAACTTAGAGAATCAAAATTGTAATTTAGAAATCCTGAGAACAAAATTTTTTGTATTGTAACATACACGTTCTCAGTTGAAATCATCCAAAATGATAGGTGCAAGTGTTCCTCTATTGGAAATTTTTTGAATTCATATAAAAAATAATATGATAATAAATTTCTTCATTAAATAGCAACTGTTTCCTATTTGAGTTTTAGACTGATTCTTTTCTACTTGGTAAACTTTCTTTTTCTTTGGATCGGTTCTTTAGTATAATCAACCTTCTATTGACTTTTTAAATATGGATGATCAAGACATTCACGAGCACTGGGTCTAATGTTGGCATCTTTGGAAAGCATTTAGGTTAGCAAATCATATGCGAGAGGATTATTGGCCTTTGTTTTTTCTAGATGGGCCTCATTATATTCGCCATTAATATTAAGTTTAATTAGCTCAGAAACATTCTCGAAGTTTCCAAATGGGTTTTTGAAAGTTAAACTAAGCCTTAGGTAATAACTTACATATTGTAAAAGACTATTCCAGCACTATAAATATCAACTTTTTCATCATAACTACATGATTAACTAAAAACTTCGGGAGCAGTGTATCCAGGAGTTCCACATCTAACATGATTAAAGTCATAAATACCTTGGGTTTATTTATTATATATCGTATATTTTACAAGCAAAGCCGAAATCAGAGACCTTCAAAGTGTCCATATGCTGAGAATCTTTGAATAAGATGTTCTATAATTTAATATCTCGATGAACTATTTCTAAATCATGGAGATGCTTTAAAGCTGAATTCAAATAGTTATTAAATTTTACCAGAAAGTAGATTAAACATGAGAAGAGGTACATCAATTTAAATATTTCTCTATCCGATAATTTTTAATAGGTCTCCTCCTTTACAATACTCCAAAATAACAGAAATAGACTTATAATCTGTCACTATCTCTTCTAGCTAAATTATATTTTTATGAGAGTTATTTTTTAACAGTCGTAAAATATCTGCCTCTTATTTCAATTATCCCTAACATTATATATATTAAATACCAATCTGCTCTTTGCCAACTGATCCTTTGATAGAAATGTAGCCTTCTTTTCAACTGATATTTTGTAAGGAGTTTAAATAAGTTCTAATTTAAATATCTTTTCTTACTTACTCCAGGGGCCAATTTTTCTAAGACAATAGATAGAGAATTGGATTAGAAAATTTATCTTCCTCTCAATCTAAGAGATAATTCTTCAATATCCTTTAAACAAAGGAGGAAAGTGACCTTAATTTATGTTTCTGGGTTATGAAGATCGAGAGTACCAATCTACTGAACTATATATTTATAAAATTTATAGTACGTTCATCAATCTCTCTAGCAAAGCAGAGAATTGTATCCATTGAATTTGAGGGCAAATAAACCAATTATTCATTTCCATTTTTCGCCTAACAGTATATAAATAAATGTACAGCTATTAAAAGAGACCCAGATCGAGTTGTTACTTCTACTTCTATGCATTAACCATCATTGGCTAAATAAAGAGCTGAACACTAAAATAAGGACATTTAGATTTTTGACGAGTAAATTATTAGAATAACCTCTTACAATATAAATATTCCAATGTGTTCTTAAAGGGGGGTGCAAGTAGATTATGAAACCCCCTAAGAATTTAAATATATATTTTATATTTATATGAGATTTTTTGGAAGCTTTTTTATAAACTTAATATATTCCAAGATTTTAATTACTTCTTAATAAAGATCTTATTTAACTCGATATTACTAATTACTTTGCTATTTCAAGATTTAAAATAAATAATAAAGAAATTATTAAATAACATCTTTAAATTTAAGGAAAAATTTATATCAATAGTTATGATAGAAGTTTAGTATATCCTATTAATATTTATTTTTAAAAAATTGAATTTATGTGATCTTGTCAAAATTTTTCGATATTAAAATCTATGAGATTGAATTCTATAGAGTTTTTCTATTACACAAGCATAATTTCACTTCTTACTTTCTGAATTGTAGTTTTCCCCTCTGAAGACAAACTTTTTAAAAATTTCTCTTTTATGTTCAAGGCATCATTCCAAACTTAAGATTTTTAAGAAGGCCAATTTAGTAGAATTCCAAAGCTATTTATTGATCATCTGATTAACTCCAAAAGCATTCTCATTACTGATGTTTTTACATGCGGTTTCATTCACTCCGACTAACTTCTCTAAATTTTTACCTCATAGATCACAACTGCTAGTCAATCATCATTTTTTCATTAATGAAACAAATGGTCCAGGCCTGCAGTAAATCTATCTCATTTTTCTAATCCAAAACCATTTTAAATGAGTATAAAAATACACATCTGTAAAATTCAATTCCTCATATGAATTCCAGATGTACTTGCATAAATTAAGATTGATCATCAACTATTTCTTTGGGAATATCAAGAGTTGCCATGATTGTTAATCGAATTGATTGTATTGTTTATGTTATTAAAAATAATCAAAATAAACATAATAATTAAATGTATAATTTTCATTTTGTTGTCAATCCAAAAGAGAAACTGAATTTTTCAAATCAGAAAGCTTAAATTCAAATCCAAAACATTACCAGATATCATTTGGCATTTAAAGTACTCTTTTTTGTAATGATAGTTACTTAGATCAGAACAACTAACAATGTAGATTTTAAAGTGATTGGAAATAAAGGCATCCTCAATCCAATGACTACAAATATAATCCAAATCATAAGCAATAAAGAAGTTGTATATAATAATATTCTAGAATATCGCAAAGGCAAAGTTTTAGATTATGACAGTGATTATCAATCCTAACGATAACATTGACACTGCCTTTTAGAGAGCCAATTCAGAACAGATCCAAACGGAGACGTTGAAAACGAAGCCAACCTTTGGAGAAGACACTTAGTCATTAATTTCGGATACTTCCTTTTTCAAATCAACAGTGGCTCCCAAACAAATTGTTCCTCTTCCTCCTATTGATCAAATTTAGATTTCCACAAGTGAAAAGAAGGAAGAATACTAGCCAACTGTTTTCCATTTGTTGTTTGTTGGAGCAGCATGTCTTTTAATTGGCTACTTTACGCATATGTTCAAGAGTGGTGGTAGGAATTGTTGATAAATATGTTTTTAAACTATATCCATAATAATAGTGAAATATTTAATGTTGACATTCTGCAATTATTATATTTAGAAATTAAATGCAATAACGAAATGATTAATTAATAGGCTTATAAGTTTAACAAAATTTGAAACTCAATCCCACAATCGCATCTATCAGCATACCAGATGATAAGCCTCTGAGTCCGATTAGCCTTGTGAAACCCTAGCAAAACATCCACATCTACAATAAAGATTATGAGTAAGGATATAATTTCTAAAAGTAAATAGAGATATGATTGAAATGCTGAAGAGAATGGCTAATTATTAGGAATAAGATTACCCAAATGGAACATTTTATGGTCAAATGTTGAACGGCAAAAAGCATGGATAGGGTTAGATAAAATATTTACTTACTAAGGTTTAATGTTGTTACATGGTAGAGTTTGCGAAGGGGTATGGTAGAATGACAGGAAACATGGACATTGCAAGGAGATATTTGACACAGGGGAAACATTTGAGGGAGAATATTAGAATGGAAAACCGTAAGGGAAAGGAGTTTACATCCGCAACAATGAAAGTTATGATGGACAATGGGTGAATGGATTCAAGCATGGACATGGAATTTGGAAAATGGGAAATGACTTTTATGAAGGAGAGTGGAAATTTGGAAAAATTGATGGATATGGAGTTTACATTTAGAATAATAATAAATATACTGGAAGTTTTAGGAACAATTTGAAGCATGGACATGGGATAGAGAACTTTGCGAATGGGGATCTCTACAATGGTCAATTTTGTAATGGAAAACCCGAAGGTTAAGGTACTTATATATGGAATAATGGAGCTGAGTTTAGAGGTTGAAATTATAGTGTAATTTGATAGGGCTCTTTAAGAATGGAGTTAGACATGGCAAAGGTGCTTGGAGTAAGTGGGATCCATTGAAGGAAGGTCATTTTCGTTATGAGGGAATGTTTGAGAATGATAAGAAACATGGAGAAGGAGTATTTACATGGCCATCAGGAAATTATTATGTTGGATCTTTTGTGAATGATTACAGACATGGATATGGAGAGATGTTTTGGAAGGATCAATATTATAAGGGGTATTGGGAGAGAGGTATGTAACATGGAGATGGAGAACTGTGTAAGAATGGAGTAATTAAGAAGGGTAGATTCGAAAATAATGTATTAACAAATCAAAGAAGTAACAGTATGTGGGAATCAGGCGAAAGTAATTTTAAATTGGCTAATAATTTAAATCAGACCTTCTCTCATTGTTCGTCTTAGCGTAGTAAGTATATGCCTGCAATTGGACGCAAACCCAAATTAATAATGAGGAAGGGGGATAAAACTATTATTTTAGATAGTCTCAGCATCAATGATATTCCCATAGAGAATGATCCTGATTTCTTAACTATTTGTCCAGAGCCAGCCAGACAGAAAAAGTTCAAGCCTAAAATGAATTGTAGTTAGCTCTTGAAATAACACTTTAGTACTTTGAGAAAATGATTTTTTTTGAATGCAATTTTTGATAATAAATCATAAAGATTCTTAATTTCTCATCCAGAATTGTTACTTTTGTTTGTGATTAGTAGAAGCAGAGAAACCAAATATATGCCCAAAACCAAATAAGTCACTATTAAATAGACTAAAACAAATGTTCTCAATCCTTAGCAATCTTCAAATTGGAAAAAAGCATACTATATTAATCAATTCCAAATTACACTCAGTCCTATTAAAACAATTATGCTCAAAACAAATTCTACTTTTTCTGCAATCTCAAATAGTTTATTCTTCCATCTCCCTAAGGCTCTATAATACACTGGTAATTCTATCGCTCTATCTAGAAATTTCATTTTACAATTTGTAGATGGCTACTGTAAATAAAAATATCTCTGCTACAAGTGTCCAAAAGTTCATCACTTTGCATTCCTCTTCATCTCTTGATTAAAATTCAATTGTCTTACAATAACGATGTCTGAAAAAACAAAACAACATTCCCCAAATACAATTGTAAACTATAGCAAAACCAATAGAAAATAATTAATTGTTAGCATCTTCAGATTGTTATGGGGATTTTCTCTCCAACTGAATTTCCTATTCTTAATATTCTGTATTCATTTTATTATTATTTATATGATATAAAAATTTATTCAAAATAAGCAATTATCATTTATGGATACTTAATTATTATTATTTTCGAAATTCTTGAATTGCCAGTATTTTGATGATTAACTTTGGTTGAAGGGTTCACTTATGGCCTCTAATACTATGTTATAGTAAATATATAATTATATCATAGCTAATTATGTTACTTTAAGTAGCAATTTCAATTAATTAAACTAATAAATTAAATGTTGATAAAGAACAATTAATAAGGGAAAAGGTTCACATTATCTTTCATAAATCTACTATTAAAATAATTATTTTTAACAGCATTAATAAAAAATGTTTGGATCAAATTTATCGAAAGACTATATATATAATTAATAGCAAAACAACACTTCAGGATGCTAAATAAATATCTCCTAACTAAGTCATTCATATGTGAGATTCCCATTGCAAAGTTCCATAATGAGTGTTGAGGAATAGAGTCCACAATTTGTTTAATTTGCTCAAAGCTAAATCTACATTCAGGAGAATTAGGTTTTTTAAGAGGAAGAGAATCATAGACACTAAAATAAAATGCCTTAATAACCATAAAGATAGTTAGAATAATAAGCAGGACACAAGAGAATGACCTCATGGCAATAATAAAAATCCCCTCAATAATAGTCCCAAAGCAAATCTCTATGTGCATCACCATTGAGATAGCAATATCGATAAGAGGAACCTCAAATGCACTATCATTAACCATATCAACCTTGTCCTTGTGAGTTAGAATAATTATGGTAAGAATTCTTACAAATGAGAATGATGTAGCGGCAATTTAGTAGACCTCCTCAGTAATTTTGCCATCACTAAAGATGCCACTTTATGCCTTATTGATTGCATAATTACTTTGATATATATATATTTCTTATTATATTTCACTCAATAATTTAGGCTTGTTGTTGTTTGTATTCGTTAATCCATTGTTAAAATATGGCTAGAATTTCTTGTCTAGCTTGAGTTAATTCAGGTGGATCTTCAACCTTAGTAGCCTTAAGATCAACACAATGTGAACAATCCTTGCATTTAATGTACTTGACATCATACTCTTTTCCTTATGTCCATTTAGTGATTGAGGCATGTTACCATGGGTCATCTGATCCATTTGAAAAGATAAGGTGATCCACATTGATATCAAGTCCACCAAAATAAGCATTAGTTCTCTCTTCATCAGGGAAGATGGAAATTCCATAAGAATATTCGCATAAGTTTCTAAAGAAATCGAGTTTCAATTGTTATGATCTTGTTGATTGTTCAGCAGTTGGCTTTAAATTAAAAATGATTAATTACATTAGCAGTTTAAAAGTATCCAACTTCAATGCAAGTCTAATATGTCCACTGTCTGGAATTCTTTGAGAAATCAATGGTGATATCCTTTAAAAATTCGGATCCGTAGCTTTCTTGATCAACTGTTTCCTTGGCCATCTCTTTTACTTGTTTAAACCAATCGTCTAAAGTAGCTCCAGCTTCTAATCTCTCGCACATCTTAGATCTTTTTCTGCCTTAAACCATGCCAGCATAGATATCAGCAATCATTGACAAGAATTCAACATCTGTTAATTCTGAAGCACCAAAATCGGCCTTAATAGTAGCAGGACTTTCTAACAAGTCGGCTTCAATCTTTTCATTTACTTATTGGATTCTATCTACACATCTAATTAAATTTAAAGTTATAGTACTCTTAAGAACTCTCCAAGGCAGAAAGATAAACTTGCATATCGTATTCATGATAACAAGCGACTGCTCTGACAACTGCTGAAGAAGCCAAACCTCCAATTGTCAAATGGGGATATTTGTATCTAAACCAAGCGCTTAGTGCTCCTGGGTATGAACCTCCAAGATGAATCCATGGGGTATTTGGCTTTATATTAAAGTTACCTTGAGTTTTGATGTCCTAGATAAAGTAAGCAATGTCATCCAAAGCTTAATGAATGTTGAGATATTTTAAGTTTGGAGTACTCCAATCTCTGAATGGCTGAGACTAACCAAAATATCTGTGTTCCAAAACAAGGATTATGGCTTTCAATTATTGTGCAGCATCAAATGTTAACCCATTTCCAATTCCGTCACCTATAATATTTGTATTTCCAGCTTACATGTCCATTCACCACAAATGTACAAAATAACTGCTTCAGGCTAGTTTCCAACTACATAATCATCATAAATGTGATATCTTTGTTTAAACACTTCCTTCGATGTGGGATCATTGTGATCCAATTTCTGCATAAACCACAACGTATTACTGGCCTGGATGATCTCTTCTCTTCCAAATACGCTATTCCTATAAGTAAGCCTTGCCAATGATGACATCACTAGGACTAAAAGGATGACGATTTTCATTTATTATTTTAATTTATAATATATAATGTAGAAATTGTATATAGACAATTTAATATATTGACAATGGTTTATATACATATGAAATTATATCCATGTTTTATGTAAGTTCTTTATGTATCTTAATAAATTCTAAGGTGCAAACTTGTAATTCAAATGAGTAATTATAATATTCTATAAAATGGTTTATAGACTCAGTTACTTTAAATCAATTTGATTTATAGGTCATTTCTTTATAGTAAGAATATTTGATGTCGAATTGTATTCAGTTATTTTAATAATTCTGTTTTTTCGTTTAGATTATTATAATAGCTTAGATAAATTTTATTACTTTTATGAACTCGAATTAAACGAATAATCAGAAGAAGCCCAAACCTAAATTGTAGTTAAATGTGAATGTAGTTGATGTACAACCCGAAAGCACTCACTCCTCGGATGGGTGGAAATAGCAAACTGATATATTTTTCAATGAACCTATGTATAGTTATATTTGTTAAAGTAAGTGATTAGTCCCTATAATTTTAACATAATGGCAAAACAGTTGCAGATGTAGCCCAATTGAAATGTGGAAGGAGATATTAAGAAGATAGAGTACTTTGATCTATTAATATTAGTTTGTTGGAATACCTAATCTAAATATAAATTAGGAGATGTAATTCTTTTACGCCATATACGATGGACATGCAGGTCATTCAGTTTCAGCGATTCTTGAAAATAAGCTTCATGAATATTTGTAGAAGGACTGCAATTTTGAGGACAATCTCGAGAAGGCCATCATAAATAGTTTTGAGAGAATGAATCAATACATCTTGGATTGTCAGGAGGAGAATCATCATTTGGGTGGATCGACAGCTCTTTGTGTGATCAACAAACACAAAGACCTCTATGTGGTGAATCTCGGAGATTCAGCATGCGTTTTGATCACTGAAGAACTCTAGATACAGAAGTTGAATTCGGAACACAAGTTGAATAGGGAAGATGAATTCAAGCGAGTGGAATAAATAGCTACGATTTTGGACAGACAGTGAGATTTATTAAATAACGTAGTTCTATTCCACGAATAAATGGAGAACTGGCAGTAACCAGGGCTTTTGGAGACAAGAAACATCGACAATCAGGTCTAATTGCAATTCCTGAGATTAAAGTGCACAAAATCCAGGCTAATGACAAATACTTGATTTTAGCATCGGATGGATTTTGGGATGTATGACAGAGCACTATATCATTTTAGCTCATTAAGAACGAGGAACTGCAGAACTTGATTGAAAATTGGAATAGGAAAGAGATTGATTAATTGGCCTAATATCTTCTTGACAAGGCATCGTCTAAAAATACAAATTATAAAAAGGATAACATGACTCTAATTGTAATAGATATTCAATCTTATTGGAAATGATTATAATGATTAACTCTAATTTAATTTTTATTGAATAAAATTAACGTGATTTGCAATGAGCAATCTTATACTTGTACTTTCTCATAGGATTAGACAGAAAGTGGATGATTAATTTTGTGATTGTTCTCATAATTATTATTAAATTCACTGGTTAAATTTTTATGTATATTTCTAATGCATTATTTTTTTATAAAATTTGATCATGAACCAAGATTAATTGGATAATGAGGGAGATCCACAACAATAATTCCTGGAAGTACGTTATTCACATTAGATTAAAATAGGCATTTAAGGAGCTCTTGGAAGTTCAAAATTAGAGGATGTATAATGGCAATGACATCCTCAATCAATATTGTCCTCAATTACAATACCCAGTTATATTGCCTACTCAAATTCCAAACACATTCATCGTATATATAAGCATTCAATAAGATTAGATTAATATGGGTCCGTACTTGCCTCACATTCAGTAACCTCAAATTCATCCACAACATACTCAATAAGCGAGGATGGCACCCCAAACCCAACAGAATTAATTCCTCAATCATTAGAGCATCAAAGAAGAAGAGCACGATGAAAAGAAATAAGCGAAGAATTGGCTATAATAAAGGAAATGATGAACTATTATAAAATATTATTTTTTATATTAAATGGGCTAAACTTAAACTCAATAATAAGAAGATATACCCAATGAGTATGTGCATTATTTGTCAAAGGGTAAATTTATTAATCCTATACATTTAGCTGCCACTACTGCAGCTCATCACATATATGGTAATTAAGAAGAAGTTCAATTCTTGGTTCGATGTCCCAAATGTAAAAGCCACTAGTTCGACGATCAATTGGGGAGGGTAACCAATTGTTTTTAGTGCAAACTGATCTTTTCTGTCAATGATGGCCAGATCCAAATCAGACAGGATTCCACATTGCTCGAAGACAAGAGAACCTTTCAGATAACTGAAGTACAGCTTCCTCAACTTGAAAGCGTCACCCTCTATGTCAATAGGTTTCCCAATTTATCTACTCTAGAACTATACTTGATCCAGCACTAATTAAAGATAACGTGATAGACTTTTAAAGATTGATCAAAAACGTACTTTTACCTTTCTTTTCAGTACGTCAACGAGTATTGGAATCAGGAATCAAATTCTCAATAGGATCTTTTGAATTTCGAGTAGTAGGTGGGTTTCCAAGTAAAGGAATAATTACTAAACAAACATAAATATACTGTTATGGGTATTACACTCAAGACACCACAAGGAGAGTCAAGATTTTATCAAGGAAGCCTTCGTCCCAATTAGATTTTGAGATCAAGTCTTACTTGAGTGCTAATCCCAAGGAAAATCAATTGATATAGGATTCAACCATCAAAGTCAACTCACAAAAATTCCTGATTTTGCAATGTGACAATGCCTCAGGGAAAATCGATAGAAACTCTGTAAATATTGACTTTATTCATTTTCAGATCATTGAGAGCATCCCAAATGTGTAGAATCTGAGAGATGTTAAATTATGCTGCATAAAATGTCCAGTATAGTATTCACACTCCCGCAGAGATCGCGTCAAGGAAGCAGTTAGGAGGGTTGTCATTCATTCTTACTTCTGTGGTTTTACTCGATTCATAGAGAAGGGCCAGATCCTGAGAATTTCAGAATTCGAATTTTAGGTACATATGTTCGAAGATCATGGACTGGTCGTTCCTAATTACACTCAAATCGATATTGATTTGATCTCACCCATGCAGCAACAATAGAATAGATAGTTTCAATAGTTATTACCACCTAGTTTGGTACCCAGTAGGAGAAATGACATCCATAGACAACATACTCAATAGATTGAAGCACTCCATCGATTGTTAAACACATTCATTCTTTTGAATGAGAATTAACAATTACTACTTTAACTCAGAAACACTAGAGCTTCTGAAGAATTGATTAATTTATTGCCAGTGCGTTAAATTACTATAGACTTCATAAATTAACATTAAAATGATGACAATCTCATTAAATGTATGATTTGTTTGGAAGATTACTAAGAGAATCAATTTGTTCGTACTATGCCATGCTGTAAAAATATACATTCATTATTCTCTAGGGCATTTCTTCCACCAAGAATGCATTGACAAATGGTTACACAAAAGTACCCTCTGTCCTATTTGTAAAACTGAAGTGGATACAGAATCATAGATGGATGAAATTTCGATATGAGGAAATATAAAATAAATTATTTAAACTATTTACATCTTATCTATCATTATTGGAATTATGATTTATTCTGTATATTTAATTCAATCCATCTGCAATGGGAGTAAAGAATCTAAAAAATCATTATTGTATATATTTTTTTTTTTGATATCTAAAATTTTGTTTAATGTCGATAATTAGTTAAATTTGATATTAATACCTTAGTCATAATATCGATTATTGATTAAAATCATTAAGTAGTTATACAGAATCTAAGATCTAAAAATGAAGGAAAATCTTGTCTTGTCCCAATAGTACTCTTAATGAACAAATAGAATAAAAGGGGAAGGATTTCTATAATTCAATACTGATTTACATAGTCATAATAGAGAAAGCCGTTTCCTTTATATTTTAAAAAAAGAGGGAATAAATTTAGATTATAGATAAATATGGTCTAAGAGATATTGGATGATCTCAGTATATTTAAATAGATTGTATATTATTTAAATATTAAATTAATAATAATGTATAAATATTTGTTTATTTGCGTCATATTGATTACGCTAAATGCATTAGATAATGGATTAGGCAGAAAACCTCCTATGGGGTGGAATCCATGGAATAAATATGGCTGCAACATCAACGAAGAAATTATCAGACAAACCGCTGATGCTTTGGTTTCAACTGGATTGGCAGCTGCAGGATACATTTACTTAAATTTAGATGATTGCTGGTAATCAGCCAGAGATCCTGCTACCAAAAAGATAATTGCAGATCCAGTCAAATTCCCCTCAGGAATTCCATCATTGGTCTAATATGTACATTCAAAAGGATTGAAGTTTGGATTATATTCAGATGCTGTAAGATTTTATTAATATCAAACAGGGTATGTAAACCTGCGAGGGCAAACCAGGTTCATTAGGATATGAGGAGATTGATGCATAAACCTATGCTGAATGGGACATTGATTACTTGAAATACGATAATTGTCATACTGATGGTACTTCTCCAAAGGTAAGGTATCCTCCAATGTCTGCTGCTTTAATGAAATAGACCAAGAAGATCTATTTTTCAATGTGTGAATGGGGTTTGGAGAAACCCTGGTTATGGGCTCCACCAATTGCAAATTCATGGAGAACCACAGGAGATATTTCAGATCATTGGTATTCCTTCATTGGTAAGTATCATTCTCTATGGCTTAGCTATTTTGGAAGAATAAGCCAATTTGGCATAATATGCTGGACCAGGATAATGGAATGACCCAGATATGTTAGAAGTAGGTAATGGGGGGATGAAAACTCACGAATATCAAGCTCATTTTGCTTTGTGGGCAATTTTGAAGGCTCCACTCCTTATTGGTTGTGACATTACAAACATGAGTCAAGATACAAAGAAGATATTGATGAATCCAGAGGTTATTGCTGTTAATTAAGTAATACTAATAAATAATTTTTAAGGATAGTTTGGGTATCTAAGCTACTAGAGTGAAGAAGGTGTTGACAAGTGAAGTCTGGGCTGCTGAAGTTGCTGACAATGGTGCTGGAGTAGTTGCAGTTCTCTTTAATCAAGCATCATTATAAGAATCAATAACTATTGAATTTGATAAGTTGGGAATAAGTGGAAACTAGAATGTCAGAGATCTCATTAATTAAGTTGAATTAGGAGTAGCAACTGCCAGTTATACTGCTCAAGTTCCAGCTCGTTCAGTCGTTATGGTCAAGTTTAGAAATGCCCGTTCTGAATAATGATAAATACAAAAATTAAATTGTAAATCATTAAAATTCTGGTTTAAGTGATGTTTGATACTTCTGAATAATCTTCTTGATCTTTGGTGATATTACAGCTCTACAATAGCCTTCATTTGGGTTACTATCATAATAACCCTGGTGGTAATCTTCAGCCTTATAAAATTCTTTAAACTCAACCACCTGAGTCACTATAGGATTCTTGTATTCTTTTTGCACTTCCTTTATAACTTCATTGACCATTGCCTTTTGTTACTCATTATGATAAAAAATAATTGAACGATATTGCTCTCCTTCATCATTACCTTATCTGTTTAAAGTAGTTGGATCATGTGATGCAAAGAAAATGTAGAGTAAATCCTTATAATCCACCTTGTTTTGATCGAAAAGCACTTACACTACTTCAGCATGACCTGTATTTCCTTTGCATACATCTTTATAATTGGCAGTGCTTTTTAATGCACCTCCACTATATCCAGAATAAACTTCAGTAACTCCCTATATTCTCCTGTAAACAGCTTCAATGCACCAAAAGCATCCACCTCCTAATGTTGCTTTGTTGATTATGTTCATATTGTGTTATTGGATATTAAAAATAATTCAAGTATACTGTAGAAATATGAGATTAAAGAATGTCCAAATTCTTAGAAATTAATTAAATATAATATCATTCTGCGAGACAATGAGATCACATGCTCAACCTTTTACTCACTTTCTTATTAGTTTACCTAGAAGTCTCTTATTTGGGAATTCCACTATTCACGATTGCTCGTAATCTCAAGTTCCTTTTTGTTGAGGGAATAACTTTATCATTGTATTGTTTGTCATAAAATTGTTATACGAAGCATTTAACTGCTTCATCATTCTAATCAATTTGACTTGCTTATCTTGTATGAGCACTAGTTGGAGTGAATAAATATTAAGATGAATTGAATTCTTCAGCCAATTCTAGTTTATGATGATTAAATCGTATAAGCTACGAAGTTACCTCATTATTATTCTGATTGGTTGACTTTGTGTCTAATTCTTCATTAATTGGAGTTTGATTCTAAAAGGCCATAATTAGATTGGCTCCCTTTTCAATAGCACTGATTGTTGTTTGTCTTTTGAAACTTTTGGTGGGACTTAAATATTGGGAATTCTCAGTTTTTAATTTTACCTAAGTATTTACAATAGGATCAAAATTGATTCTCAAATCAGTTAATTAACCTGAGCGATGAGTGGAAATATAGTCAGCGAGTTCATAAAATTTCATGTCTCCTTTTTCAAAGTACTTTTTAGGTTTTTATTGATTTTCGTGTAACTCCTAAGAAATCTTCCTTATCCTATCCAGACTGTCTTTACTAAACACATCTATTTTGGGAGGCCTTAATGAATCAGCATAGTTTTTGACAGCTAACATTTTTTATAACAGCACAGCATTCTTCTTTTTTTCGTACTTTTCGTATTGTTTCAAGATTGCTTCCTCAGCTGGAGTTTATTCCTCTACCAAATCTAATATTTATATTTGATATAATACCTTTGGAGTCTCTGTAACCGCTGCCTAGATCATATTTCATCATAAATCCAGGTTGCCATCCCTTCTCTCCTTATAAACGATTTGGATGCAATTTCAAAACCTTGTGACCTGGTGGTCCAATTTATTTTTGAGTTTAATCGATCTATATAATATTATAAAATTGTGTTATACCTTGCAAAAATTCTTACGGCAAAATTATCGTGCTTAAACTTTGTCACAACCACTTTCTCTCAATTTCAAATAAAGCATCACATTTGAATTAGAATTAGCAATATTTAGTTTAGTGCACATTAAATAATAATAAAATTATAAAAGTCAGAAGAAATTAAGTTACACACACATAACTAGAAAATTTGAAATATTTACAAATTAAGAGTAAATAAGTATGTGAGGAACTGATATAACTTTAATTTAAAATCCAAAGATGGTTGCATTGGAATATTTTTGAATCTAGAAAAGCATATTGTGATTTTATCAGGAGAAGAAAGAATAAAATGAGATGTTGCAAGAAATACATTTTAACAATAATAGCCAACTTTATATTGTAGAAGTTACCCAAAATTAAAAATCATATTATAGTTCTTAAAAGTCCAAATTTGGGAGAAAATTCATAAATATCACAAGATAAAATTAGAATGATTTTTATTATGAATTGAAACTCGAATGCAAGCATCCCAAGAAATTCTAAAAATAATAGGCATGTTATATTAATAAAATATTCTACACTTTAATGATGACAAAAAATTTATCCTAAGTACATTGCTATACTTGAAACTTGCTAATCTCAATTACAATTTTCAACCCTGAATCCCGAAGAGTTCATAAATTCTACAATAACAAAATTTAAAATATTATTAAACATATCTTCCAATTTAAAAGATGATATCTAATGAAAATTCTTTAATTATCAGAATTGATCGATTAACAAATGACCCTAAAATACAATTAGCAAGGAGAGTATAATATAAAACTCAAGGATTATCATAAATTAGATTGTCATATTTGAATGACTAAACTTTAACTAACTTGTAATATTATTATGCAAAGCAATCATATTATGGAAGAAGACATTCTAATTAAGTATTTTTTATTCAATAAATGTATTTGCATTTAAATCTTTGGCGATTTAAAATACATGATATCTTTTAACTTACAAAATAGTTTATGTGAATTTACATTATTTTTGCTAAAGTATCAATATTCCTAACAAAATAGAGTTGTATGTTTTTTATTCGTAATTATTATCACATGAAAATTTTGTAAGTTAACTTCACCTAATACTTTGATTTGTTAAAGTAATAAGAAGTATTTAAATTAATGAAAATTTAGAATAATAATTTTAAAGAATTAGTCATAAACATTAGCTGCACTAAATTAATTCAGAATATTTTAATGGATAGAAAGACTAAATTTAGATTTATAATCAACAGTACTGTTTACATTCTCTATGAATTACTTAGTACAAAACTTGATGTTATAATAATAATTTTAATATAAAATTTGATGTTTTTATAAGCCATAAAAGTTAAGGATTGCAGGTATTGTGCACAATAATGAAGATTGGAGCCTATTCAATTAAAATTCGGTCCATAGGTACCTCGCCAACATACTCCTGATGGATTGAGCAAGATTGGGATGTTCAACAGCACTTTATTTTAAGGAAAGAAATCAGTTGAGAAGAAAAAAGAAAGTAATCAGAGGAGACCCCAATCTTCATTTTAGAGGATTACCAAACCTGCCTTTTATAAAAATGTGTTTACAGTTTAATATATTGTAATGATTAACATAAAAAAGAATAGTTTTTTTGCGAGAATGGCAATAATGGAAATTTGGTTAGGAGAATTCTATAAGGGAGAGCATGGTTTTGCGAATAGCAAACGAGTTACAAGTAAAGTAGATGATAGATAATTTAAGTGTGAACTTTATTTGGAGGCAATCAAATAAAGGTTTCAATTATTCAACGTTAACATCGAAAAGTGTTTGCATAAATCATTTGGAACATCACAATGAAATATCAAACAAAAATAAATTGCATGCAAATTTGAAATCATATTGTTNACTTTAATGATGACAAAAATTTATCCTAAGTACATTGCTATACTTGAAACTTGCTAATCTCAATTACAATTTTCAACCCTGAATCCCGAAGAGTTCATAAATTCTACAATAACAAAATTTAAAATATTATTAAACATATCTTCCAATTTAAAAGATGATATCTAATGAAAATTCTTTAATTATCAGAATTGATCGATTAACAAATGACCCTAAAATACAATTAGCAAGGAGAGTATAATATAAAACTCAAGGATTATCATAAATTAGATTGTCATATTTGAATGACTAAACTTTAACTAACTTGTAATATTATTATGCAAAGCAATCATATTATGGAAGAAGACATTCTAATTAAGTATTTTTTATTCAATAAATGTATTTGCATTTAAATCTTTGGCGATTTAAAATACATGATATCTTTTAACTTACAAAATAGTTTATGTGAATTTACATTATTTTTGCTAAAGTATCAATATTCCTAACAAAATAGAGTTGTATGTTTTTTATTCGTAATTATTATCACATGAAAATTTTGTAAGTTAACTTCACCTAATACTTTGATTTGTTAAAGTAATAAGAAGTATTTAAATTAATGAAAATTTAGAATAATAATTTTAAAGAATTAGTCATAAACATTAGCTGCACTAAATTAATTCAGAATATTTTAATGGATAGAAAGACTAAATTTAGATTTATAATCAACAGTACTGTTTACATTCTCTATGAATTACTTAGTACAAAACTTGATGTTATAATAATAATTTTAATATAAAATTTGATGTTTTTATAAGCCATAAAAGTTAAGGATTGCAGGTATTGTGCACAATAATGAAGATTGGAGCCTATTCAATTAAAATTCGGTCCATAGGTACCTCGCCAACATACTCCTGATGGATTGAGCAAGATTGGGATGTTCAACAGCACTTTATTTTAAGGAAAGAAATCAGTTGAGAAGAAAAAAGAAAGTAATCAGAGGAGACCCCAATCTTCATTTTAGAGGATTACCAAACCTGCCTTTTATAAAAATGTGTTTACAGTTTAATATATTGTAATGATTAACATAAAAAAGAATAGTTTTTTTGCGAGAATGGCAATAATGGAAATTTGGTTAGGAGAATTCTATAAGGGAGAGCATGGTTTTGCGAATAGCAAACGAGTTACAAGTAAAGTAGATGATAGATAATTTAAGTGTGAACTTTATTTGGAGGCAATCAAATAAAGGTTTCAATTATTCAACGTTAACATCGAAAAGTGTTTGCATAAATCATTTGGAACATCACAATGAAATATCAAACAAAAATAAATTGCATGCAAATTTGAAATCATATTGTTTGAGAACAAATAGGAATATGGATGATTTTGTTCCTGTAACTTTCATAATCAACTTGGATTCAACAACTTTGCAAAATGATTTTAAAAAGTTCGTAGATTATTTCGTTGAAATCAAAAAAGACAAACAGCTTAAAAACGTTTGGTTACTGAAACCTCCTGATTTGAATAGGGGAAGAGGAATACAATTGTTTTCTGATTTAAAAGTATTGATAAATCAAATTGATGAATTTTGTAAAACAAGGAGTGTCAACAAATAAATAATGCCCTCATCCAGAGCGACCAAAACTTTACTCATATAATACCCAGAGTCTAATGAAAGTACTTTAAATGTTCAACTTAGAAACTGGGTAGGCTCAGATTGAGTTTACATTAGATTAAACTCCAAATTAAGATAGAATACTGGTTCTATAAAAGTATCTTGAAACCCCTCTTCTATATAATGGAAGGAAATTTGATTTTAGAATCTGGGTATTAATTGATCACTCCTGCAAGTATTATATCTTTAAGGAAGGGTAGCGATATTAAAATTAATTAAGGTATTTGCGATTAGCGAGTGAGCATTTCGATATCAATAATCTTAAGTCGTTGTATATACATTTGACTAACAATGCTATCCAGAAGAATCATCATAATTATTGTAAATATGAATTGGGAAATTAATTGAGTTTCCAAGACTTATAATAGTATTTAACATCGTAAAAGAATACTAAAGTAAGTTCAGTTGGAATTGTGTAAAAGATGAAAGAGCTCATTCATTAGACCATATTCTGTGCTTGTACTAAATTGCGAAATAGTTGATATTGTGTTGTTATTATTTTAGATCATAGAGATTTTCAATTTGAAATCTTTGGATATGATTTCATGATTGATAATAATGGCAACATCTGGTTGATTGAAATAAACACTAACCCTTGCATTGAAGAGAGTAGTCCACTATTATAAAAATTGATTCCTCGAATGTTAAGTAGTATTTATTTGCAATTTAGATGACGCGTTTAGATTAACCATTGATAAAATATTTTCTCCCTTCAAAACAACTCAAGACAACTTTCTGAACAATCTTCATGAATTTAGCATACCAGGATATGGGGATAGAGATAATCTTTGGGATTACTTGGGCTAAATTTGATTTAAATTATTAATAATAACAATACTTTATTATATGGGTCTTTAGTGTGCCAAACAAAAAGAGAAATAACCGATCAAAGCAAGCGAAATCAAAAAATCGGATAGCACTCCTTAAACTCTCAGCACTACCAAGGAAGCTATTGATTTTGTGGAAAGCCAATCTTTAGCTAATGTAATGAGAACGAAGCCAATCAAAGAATATTTAACGGAGTAGATAGCCAAAAATTAAATCTATGTTGATTCATGTGATATTTTGGCAGAAAGAATTGAAGCCAAATCTCAATTGATACTGAGATCTTACAATAACTACACCGAGAAGGCTTTAAAAATTAAATCAAAAGTGTTAGAATATTACAGAAACGAGTACACAAACTATATTAATTCCAAAAATGATACGCTAGAAAATAGAGAGTTTATCATCAAGGAAACTATTTAAGTATGCTTTTATCTAATCATCTATTATAGTTGCTCGTGGAAACAGCTATCATTCTAAATTGTTTAATGGATAAAAACTTTGACGATGAGAATGAATTGTGGTGGGCAAATGACTACTATAGTGATCGAATTAAAGCTTTATCTCTTTCTCCAGATACTTCAGAAAATACAGATCCTATCACAGCTCCAATCTTACAATATTTAAATGCTTTAAAATCCAAAATACTCAAGGTGATTCCCCTTCTACCAATCTAACCTAAGTCAATTGCAAACAGTGTAGCAATTGCAAATGTTCATTTGACTTAGTTTTACAAAGATCTAAAACTGGAATTTGCAAAGGATGTAGAAGAAGAAGTAAGCTGCTGAATGTTACATATTATTTATTTTAAAGCTTTTACACAATATCAATTAAATCCAACATACACACATCTTTTTTTATATTATGTTGGAATCGTTTTTTCAATGGATTATTTTATAAAATTATATATAAATCAACATAAATCACTTCTTACCAAAGAATTCTTGTAACCTAATTTACAAAACCTTGGTGAGAATATTCTGCTCATTTGAATTCTCCAATTTTTCTGTTTTGTTATAAATCAATTATTGAATCACCATTTTCGATGAATGAAAAATTATATAAATTAAACTTATAATAATATATTTAAAATTAATCAATATTAATATTTATTTAATAATCATTTTTAAAAACTTTTCTTTCTTTTTATTTTTTGATCTTATAGGATCAAATTGATATCATTAAAAATATATGGTTTTTAGTATAAGTCTAACTGATTGGCTCATAAATATCTTGATTATTTTAGGTTGTTAAAATTTAAAAATTTTAGTTTATTGAATTATATATAAATAAGGAATTCATAAGATGTGTCCTCATCCTTACTTTTATCCCCCTTAATAGATACCTACTACTTCGACCAAACTTTCCCTATTTTCAACTCCTTATACAAGTAATGTATGTGTTACAGGTTTACGACATAACATACAATAATTACTCTTTGATAATAATTGTTACGAGCATTCTTAACAAAATCCTCCATGACCACAAGGCTAATTAATCATATTACTTTCTTTCTCATAACAAACAAGACATAACACATTCTATTTATACTATCCTCTGCTTGACAACTCTGGGGCCATACTTTCGCTAACTTCTAATTTTATTCTTGGAGATGATAACAATTAATCAAATTTTTTGGTTAAATCTTCCTCCAAATCCTAAGATGGACTTTTTTTAATCTCCTTCTATTTTTTTACATCTGAATAACTAATTGATCGAAACTTTTTATCTTGTGATGAACCTAACTCATTCTGATTTTTTTGATTCTCATTTATTTCTTACTTTCTAAAGTAAGTGGCTGACAATTTCACCATAAATTAGGGAACCTTACTTATGCTGATTCTGTGAATTTCTTTGATTCTCTCTTTTAATGTAATTTATTCATTAGGCTATTCGGATGGTCTTACTTACTATTATGCTTCCGATAAATTGAAAAATTAGCTACAAATCATATTAGATACTACATTAATTCTTCCTAGTTTTTGAAATAAAACAAAATCTGAAAAAAATAGTAAACTATCGTTGTTATGAAACCAAATAAATTTATCTATCCAATATTATAGTCCAAGAGTAATCCTAATCCTAAAAAAGTTAACCCTATATCTATAATAAATCCAACTAGAACAATATTCACCCAAGCTCCTCCAAAAACTAAAAATTGCACATTTATCTTTACTTAATAGTTTCTTATTTTAAAGTTCGTTGTTGCAACACTTTAAAATCAAATCGAATATCAAACATACTTCAATCAATGTCATTGTACCAAGAATAAACCAAACAATTACTAAAGTTTGCATCCAACCCCAATTAATTTATTGACTCCATTTCAAACTCAAAAATACGATTTGTAATGAGCCCACGCTTTTTATTGCAGCCACCAACTTTTAATAGATCGTAATAAATACAATTTCTTATATTTGTTTTGACTAATCTTAAGCATCACTCTCAACACTTTACCTACTTATTAAAACTGTTATTGCTAATATTACAAATTACAATATGAGTAGAGCATAGCTAATAAAATTAATATTTATTGCTGAGATTTCATTATTGTAGACTATTCCTAATAAATATGTAATTAGCAGGGCACTCTCCAATATGGCAAAACAACAATAAGAATTAATTCTAATTTGAAATTCAAAAGAAAATACCCTTTATATGAAAGCAATTTCGATATCATAAAAGCAAATTGTGTGGTGCAAGTATATACAATAATTATTTTGTAATCCCATCCAAATGTTACATTAGTATTAAATAGAAAACAAAACCCCATAATAATTGACACTAATAAGAATATCTTTTTCACTACATATATTTTACAGATTTTAAATCTTATTTGGCCTTCGATCTCTGTACATCTTCCTCAGTTGTTTATTACATTTGCTCAAATTAATTATAATTTTAATAATAGACTTGAGAGATGGATATCCAAAAGAAACAACAATACTACTATTGAATAAGTCATATATAAAAATGATATTATTAAATTTCTTTTAAAGTCTTAATCATGTTTTGAAATCATGATATTATTTTCAAATTAATAAAAATATGATTTTCATTCACAATTGTATATGGATCACATTAAGGTGAATTGCATTTATTCGACTAACACTGAATTGCCTAATTCTAAAGCAATATTTAGCATATCGGCTATTTTTTGCTTTAGTTTAGTAATCTCAACATCTTTCTACTAAATCAAATTGAAGATATTTTATTCCAATTAAGAATTCATCTATTTTGATATGTCATATTGTTTGTTACTCTATTCAGCCACATTTTCTATAGGAAAATTTAAAAGAAATGCATTTAATTAATCTGCTCTAAGAGAATTTGATGTTAATTTATCATTTTGACACTTGATCCTATGCTGATATAGTAATTACTCTAATTGCGTAACTTATAAATGATAATCTTCAATGTATTGTTCAATTTTGTTGTGATATTCATTTGCTGAATTGGAATCTTGATTTAAATTCTCATTTGAGGCAAGAAACTTTAATGAGTTGTTCAATTACTTAAGGATGTCTCCTAATAATTGTTTTTCAGTGGGCTCTTTTTCAATTGATTTTATTATAGACATACTCCATTGTTTATATAAGAATATGATTTGCTCGATATCAGAGTTCATCCTATAATTTTGTTACTCTAATTCAAGACAGCGCTTATTTAATTAGAGAATGATTTAAGTCTTAGAAATGACATCCTTATGCAACTATTAAATTTATAATTCCTATTAAGTTTAAAATTTAAGTGAATCTTCAACTTATTTCTTTGATTTTGCTAAAGTTTATCTTAACAGTAACTGTTATTGATTCAAAATCTTAACATTTTCTTATTATGATTTCTATGATTATTTTTCTATTTCTAAAGATTTGATTAATTAAAATTATTCTGTTTGTTTTCTAAATTAAAGTGTATATTTACTTGTCTAAAACAGAGGTTAAGTTTTGAATTTTTGCAGATAGACTTTAGAAACTGTGTTTAAAATAGGGTTCTGAGCACTACATAATCAAATAGTTGATACTTTCAAGCATAATTTAGATCTGTAATAATTTAATTCTTTTTTTAATAAATATATTTAATCCACTTAATTATCATATATTTATAAGAAATACTGTAATTTTGATTTTATAATCTTTCGAAATATATTGATATCTGGAGATAAGTATGAATAGTTATCTCCTTTTTCTTTAATCTGCAGAGACAATAGCTCATCTCCTAATGAATTTAATTCTTTAGCAATATTAGTATATTTGGATTTCCATTGTTCTAGTTCTTCTCTCAATGAAAATGAACTGAGATCTTGTTCACATTACGACTCAGAAGTTGCAACATTAATATTTGCTCTCTATGAATGTTTTTCAGTTTGATGAAAGACTTTAAGTGTTAATTTCACTCTTGAATTCGAAACCTAATTGCTATGCAGCATCACTTTCTCCTCTGTCTCAACTTAAAAATCACAATGATTCTAGAGTTCAAGATTAGAATTGAGCAATTCGGTTAAATTACAATCCACTCTTCCTGCAACCTCATTATTGAGCAAAAGCAGAAGCTCCAATTTATTTTGGTTAGAGCCTATAGATCGATTTTCTAAAGAAATAAGATGGGTTTCATTAATAGGTATCAAACCTTTACATATCTCATACTAATTAGTTGTAATTGTTGTATGTTCTGAAGAAAATAAGATTTTAACTACTTGTTTTGATTTAAATTGCTATTAGATTGGACATTATGGAGTCTGATTAAAATTCTTGTATGGTAACCTAGAGATGGAGATGATCTTTCATTTAATATATTATGAAAATTCAATAATTTAAAGGATTCATTTATAAATAAATGAAGTTGGAATATTATATGTTATAAAGGAAGTATTTGGTAAGAAATGAGAAGATAAGCTAATATTTGGGATGAAGACCCAAAAATAATAAGTTTAATCAAGTTGCTAATAAAAAATACAAAAGGAGTCGTAAAGTTGAGAATATATTGTATTGAGTTAAATTTTATTTATTATTTAACAGTTAATATAGATTAATGGAACACTACAGGAAGATAGAATTAAAGGGAAAAGGTAGTTATGGTCAAGCGATATTGGTTTAAAATAAATAGGATAGAAAGTTCTACATTATGAAGGTAATTAAATGACTATAATAGATAATAGATGCATCCAAGTTTGATATCAAAGAAAAAGAAAATGCACTCAATGAAATAGATGTACTGAAAAATTTACATCATCCATGCATAATTGAATACAGGGAATCTTTTGTTGATAAAAAGTATGTTCATTTACCTAAGTTAGTAAATATTTATGTATTGTGATGGATTATGCAGAAGAAGGAACACTGCATCAAAGACTTGAATAACAAAAATAAAAGCAGGAGTATTTGAAAGAGACTTAAATTATAGAATGGTTCACATAAATTTGCTTGGCTGTCAAATATATTCATGATAGACGAATCATTCATCGAGATATCAAAACACAAAATATTTTTATTTCAAAAGGAGAAATAAAACTAGGTGACTTTGGAATTGCTAAATCGCTTATTAATTCGGAGGATCTCTGCTAAACTGCCATTGGAACTCCATATTATATCAGTCCAGAAGTGTGTTAAAGAATCCCGTATGATTATAAATCAGATATCTGGAGTCTAGGTTGCATGTTATATGAGATGATGGCATTAAAACATGCATTTGATTCTAAAAGTATTATGTTTCCATAAATAAAGCAATGGAGGGATTATTCTTGAAAATTATCAGTGGAAAATATTAGCCTATGCCCATCAATTATTCCTAAGAGCTCATCCAATTGCTAAAAGATATTCTAAATACGGATCCTTAGAAGAGACTCAATATCAATTAGATATTAGACTATAGAATAATTAGAAAATCTAAAAACGAATTTGTGCAAAGAAAAACTTAAAATCTACAAAAGATACAATTTATTTCTGGATAAGTTAAGAAAATTGAAATTCTTTCTGGTAGAATTAAGCAATATGAGAGTGAGTAAAAAGATTATGGAGAATCACTTGCAGATTAAATTGAGAAAATGAGAATGGAGCTTGAAGAATAATTAGGAGTTGAAAAATTTATCTTAATTTACAACTCTTTAGTATTTTATTTTATGATAATTAGATTAGAAAAATGAGGAAGATCCTTCCAATTTTAGTAATTAGATTATAATAGATAAAATCACCTAGCTTCTCTAGTTAGAACAATTAATATTTTGATATTTTTCTATATATATTAATTATACTTATTTTCTTTTTCTTATTAATCAATTCCTAGTCCTATTTCACTATATTTTGATCAAATTTTATGCTTTAATCTTATTGAATATATTAATTTGTGTTTTCATTTTGAAATAAACTTTTTAGGTTTAAGTAAAGTCTATTGATTCCATAGCTTATGGAACTACTAATATAATTGATTTCTATTATTGCATATTTACTTGTAAAGAAAGTATTTCTCAATTCAGATTGGATAATACTTTAATTATTACAAAGATTCTTTTAAGTAGGATAATTGTATTCACCTATTAAATTTCTATTGTAATTACACCAAAATAACAAATAATGACTCAATTCATGATTGTTAATTATGATTAAAATGAATAAAAGTTGTTAAAGTTAAGAAATGATATTAAAATATGGTCAAATAACTTTGAGAATTAATATATTAAATAAATTATTTAATCCTTTATCATTTTTTATAAATTTATAAATATATATTTAACGAATACATGTCTCTAACCTACCTTCCATTTCACAATCTAGCTCATTGTCCGAAGTAAGTCATAGAATTTGTATAAAATCCTAATCTGAATCTCAATGAATTAAACAACATGATAGAATAATTGAAAATGCCTAAAAATCACCATAAAGCTATTCAAAGTATGTAGATTTTAGTCTCTAAGTAAGAACATTATTTATAGGATGAGAATACCCTTCAAAATTAAGATGAAGATATTCATTCCCCTAAAATGCTTTTCAGAAAGTTCCATGCTGATCAACTATATTTATATAATGATATATGAATTGTAAATTAAACTTAATAAACTCTAACTTCTTCTTATTTCATATAGTTATTCTATTGTCTATTTAAGAGATATTGACTCGCATTTATCTAAATTGCTACATTATTATTTAGTTTGCTATTATTAAATGCAATAGCAAAATTTATTTATATAAAATAAATTGTTTATAAGAGTAATAACATCAATAGATACTTTAAATTTGAGTAAGAAGATTTATTCATAATATTAAATATAATCATAAATTTTATTAATCAATTTTGTCAAAGAAATTAATATCAAAGTTAGGCAAAGAGTATCTAACACCACTAAACGATTTCTAATGACCCTTAATTATTTTATCAAATCTTCTCTCATTTGATTTAGAAGCAGTTTTTCTTTACCCTTCTTCTTGAGATTTTATATCCTAAAAAATTAACGCTCAAATACATTTATTAATCTTGAATTTTATTACTTGCTATCATTGCTATCAGAAGGTTTCAATTTTTTTAGAATCCATTTTGGCTATTTTCTTTGTGTTATTTAAGATAATTAAACTCCAAATTGTTTCTCTAAAACTTTATTTGCCCATCCTGATCCATATGGACTTTATTTAATTTCTCTTTTTACTATAAGCTAGATTGTTACTATTAATGTCTACTTTAGTGAGAATTTTCTTTTTAGCAGCTTTTATTTGATATTTTCAAATTTTCCAGTTTTAAAGGATGACCCAAATTTTGATTCACTTAATCATCTAGGAATTCCAAAATATTTAGGGGTTCACATATGTCTTTAACATATACTTGACTTTAAGAAAATAGACCAACCTTTTATTATCTCATAAATTATATAAATTAATTATAGATAATCATTTATCTGTTTAAATATTAATAAATGTAATTTATATACATTAACAAGTTACTCATCTGAAATCTGAATTAATTTATTTAATTAAATTTAGAGTAATTTATAGATTATTTATAATATATCTATTGCAATCAATTCACTTTTGAATACAAATTTGTAGAAGTCTTAATATTCCAGAAATAAAATTGATTATGTATTTTTTATGAATTTATTTTGATTGATTATCTCTATGATTTTCGATAATTGTCTCTGATATTGTTTATAATTTTGCAATTATTTCATTATTTGTAATAAAATATAACAAAAATCAATAGAATGGTTTATTGATTCTAAACTTTCTGTTTAAATGAGTAAATTTATAATTAATAGAGATAAAAATTATAGGTGATTGAATTTATACTCAGATGATGATTAACAATTGAATATAGTATTTGAATGGATAAACTTTATGGCAGAATGAAAATTAAATGGAATTTGAATAAAATTTAATTAATTTATAATTATTAATTAATTTATTTTTGAAGTAGATGAGTTTGAGATTAGGACTTTTAAGATGGGTAAATGAAAAATGCCCAAAAATGAAGGCTAGTAACATTGAAAGTATGTCAGATGGGAGACATTTCTTATGTTTACTTAGAAGATACTTTCCAGAAATCGAGGTTCCATAATTTAAAAAAAATACATCAATAGTTTCTCGTATAGAAACACTTAAATAAGTAGCTCACTATTGTTCAAAGCTAGACAATTCAATTAAGATTGATGTTTTGAAAATAGCAAACAAGGAGTCTCATATGATTCTAAATTTACTTAAGTTTATAAAATCAATTCTAGATAAAACTCCAATTAAAAAATAAAATATCAAGGAAGAAATTCCAACTATAATTAAAGAGTACAAAAAAGATTGCCAAAAGATAAATGAGGAGATTGTAGTAATTCCAATTCCAAAAAAATAAACGATGGATTAGGAGATATAAACTATGCCTATTTAAGAAGTGAAACCTTTACAAATTTTATAAGAAAAAATAAAAAAGATTTTATAATCTAAATTGCAGAGTCCTCATTTAGAATTAGAAATACTCTAATTATTAGAGAAAGATAAGGAGGTTGCTATTCTCTAACTAAATTATTAAATGAAAGCATCTAGAGCAAGTATGAAGCCATCAAAACTAACAGAGTTTATGTCCATTCATAGTAGTTAGTTCTATAATGGAGGGGAATAGAATTTACTTGAACCTGAATAAGGTTGTTTTTATTAGAATTAACCAAGCAAAAAGAGTACATACGAAGATAATTTATTTCAAGTTAGCGATGAAAAATAACATTATTGATTAATTTATGTATGTAATACTAAATTTCTAATTTTTTATTTCATAAAGCCCTTAGATTAAGTAGAAGTTCATTAATATATATAAACCTTCTTTTATCTAATAAAATTAATCAAATATTATAGTATTTTTACTAAATTAACATCACTTAGGCTAAAGTTTGCTTTTACATTATAAATAACTAATCTTATAGTCCATATTGATCTGAATACAGATGAGAAATCAAAAGAAGATAGATCTAATCTTAATATCTATATGAGAGGAAAGTTAAATTTAAATTAAGTTTTAATTTACTTCAGATTGTTTATGCTTATTACTTCATTTTTAAAATAGAGTCATTTATATAAATAATACTTAATTATTACTAATTAACATATCATAAAAGTTGATAAAACAATTCAATACCTTGCCCTCCTTCCCAAACAAAGTAACCTCTTCTGAAATCTTTGATTAATTCTAGTCTTTATACAAGAAAATCAGGACAAGGATATGATATAGAAACGAGTTCATTTTTGTATCTACATTCAGAAGACGATCTATCCCATTCTGTAAGGTGATTGGATGCATTCAATTTAAGAAGTTCATTACCTATAAAATGAGTCTTATTATGCTCAGTTTTTTTGAATCCGTAAAAAGGAATTCCCTATGAATATTAGTATTATATAATTACAAACAACAATTTCTCTTTGTAAGTCATAAAATGTTCTAAATTTTCTTGAATCCATGAATAAGGTGATAATATTTAATCTTCTTGATCTTAGATCTGATAATCGTATGTTTATATTAATGTATAATCTGCTAGTTTGAATAATTTTTTTAAAGTAGAATGTTTGTATTGTGAAGGATCGTAGATGCCATACAATGTTAAGACTAACATTTTATTATTCAGCCTCGCTTTTAATTTTTGAAGGAATATAACTATGTCATATGCATCTAAAGCATCAATATAAGATAAATAGGGTGTGTCTATCATAATTCCATGAAATTTATCTTAATATTATTACACCAAATTTATGATTGATTCCAATAATTATGGGCTATTGATTTGCTAAATAATTGAGCTTTGCTATAATTCTATTTAGACTCTAGGAATTATAGCAATTTAAGGATTGGCCTAAACTATTTCTTGCATCCATTATTCATTTACAACTTGCCTTCCGTCAATAACATTATTATATCTAACATTAAACCAAGCAGGACTAACCATATCAATTTTCTATGCATATTTTACAGTAAGTTTATATCCATCTTTATTCCTAATGTTACTTTAATAAATTACCAAGGAGTGATAAAAAAGAAATTCGGAATTTAATAGTTTTTCTTTCCACTCTCTTTGTTTCTAGCCTCCTATTCCTTTTCTTGTATTTCACCTAATTAAAAAGGAACCGAATTCGTGTACTAGATTAAGTATATGTAATATAAAAGACTAGCTCCAATTATTCCAAAAAGTGCTATATTAAAAGTATTCATATTTAAAAAATATTTATTTTGATCAATAATTTTATCAAATCATTTCAAGTTTCTGTTAATAAAATGAAATAAATCTCAATGCTTCATTGAATTGTTAATTGGAAATATCAAGATTATTGAATCTATCCTTGGTATTCTTTTGATTTTGAATTTCCTTTTGGTTAACAGGGTTAGGAACTATTTCATTTAAACTAATGCTTAAATATTCAGGATCTTTAATTGATCTAGTAGAATGATCCCCTTAGCTTTTAAATAATTCATTTGATTGAAAAATTAGTTATTCTTTAAATACTAAAGCAATTAGAAATAGCATCAAAGATTTATTTATGCAATTCTAATTATCTAACTAGTTCTAATATTAACGAATGTTTCTAAAGACTTATTTTGAAATGCAAATTGAAATACTAACTAAATTTTGATTTTATTAATGTAGATCAAAACAAAATAATTAATTTGCCAAAATTCACTTTCTTTTTGAAATTCAATAAGATATATCCTCTATCCAAATATTAAAAATGGTTGTGATTTATTCTTTGAGTGGGTTATAAGTCTTTTTTAAGAGATTAATTTTATAATTATCTTAAAACTATTTCTATTACAACAATTCTAATGAAGACTGCCTTATTATTAGGAAATATTTAATAGTTTTTAGAGCAATTTGAAAATTTTTGTTTGATTAGAATATATTTACTTAGGAATAATTAGGAAGTCAAATGTTCTTGTATATTTTTTTAGCAATTAGTTTATAACTATTATAAACTCTAAGATTGAAACTGTAGTGACATTTCAAATAGTATTCTGAGTTAAATTATTTAGTACAATTTAGAAATTCTTATTTTATTTTTGATTTGCCCTTTCATTCCTTGAGCTGTTAGTAAATCCTCTTTAATTCATTATAGCTGTATAGCCTCAATTAATTCATTTCTCGATTTCTGCATTTGCCTGTTATGTATTTTATGTATAATAATCCCTCCATTGAATAATTAATATATATATATATGTATTTGATGTTATACTGTAAGAATCATTTTTTACCTTTGTTGGCTTTAGCAGCACCTTTTTATGCTTTTTGTTAAGCTTTGACTTCAGCTTTTTGTGCTACTTTTTATGCTGCAGCGGGTTTCTTCTTTTGAGCTTCAATTTACTTTTGTTTTCTGTCTTTAATTTCTCTTGCAGCTTATTCAGCTTATGCTTTTCTAGTTTCTAGTGATCATTAGATAAATGTATTACTGTCATCTTCCTTTCTTCTTCTTCTGATTTCTTCCAATGAAATACCAACAATAGCTCTTTAGACTTTAAGATTTCTGATTCTTCTTTTCTTAGCTCCTTCATCAGTCTTAATCTTTTTGTTTAATCTTCTCCAAGCAACAGTCCATTGGATTTCTTGAGATTTAATCTGTATATTATGAGATTGAATACTTTTCTTGCACTAAAAGCTCTACTCTTTTAATTCAAGTAATAGAAGAGTCTGCCGTCCTTGGCAACGAATCTTCTTCCATGTCCAGGGTAGATTCTCCATTCACTAAAGGAGCACAAATCTGTCTTGATAACCATTATTTAAAAAATATTTAAATCTTAATTTTCATTCCATCACAGATATCCATCACTCCTCTTATGTTTGTTTTTTGGTTTTCAATTTTCCTTACAATTCATTAACCTCATCCTCATCCATAACCTATTTTGTACTTAACTTATCTAGTTCCTCTAATTTCTCCTCAATTTCTTACAATTTGTTGAGTTCAACCATTTCTTAGATTGATTTCTTTTCGTTGCCATCCTTAGAATTATTTTCAATCTATTCATTTAGTTATTCAATCAGTTCATTCTATTTTAATAAGGCATTGAGATCCTCGATAAGATCTGGCTCTTCAATTTCGTTATCCTATAATCCCATGTAAGTCAAATATAACTCTTCTTTTTCCAACACATTAATAAATTCAAATATTGCTTTGTCTGTAAGATGGTTATTCCATAAATGCAAGGTCCTCAAATACTTAAGATTCGGCCACAGAATCTAAGCTGCTGCATCTGAAAACCCAGTATTCCCTAAATTTAATTCCTCCAATATCTTGTTCTTTTTCAAGCATATCGCCATTTGTCTGATAGTTTGTAAATCCATTCCAATATCATTCAAATATAAGATTTTAATTGTTTTGTTCTTTTTAAAAGCCTAAAAGAATGGTATTAATGATTTAGAAGTCAAAGGATTGCTTCCAAAATGTAAAACAGTCAGATTAGTTAGACAATTAGCTGCTAAAAGAGTGGAAAAACATATCAATCCTATTTGTTAAATCAGATACAAATACCGAAATCAGAAATATTATTACCTGGCACTTATAATTATTGTAAATTCTTCAATTCTGGAAGTGCATAACAAAGAGAAATAAATGTACTATCATCAATTGAACAGGCACTCATGCTTAATATTTTCAATTATTTGAAACTACTTGAAATTTCAATGAATCCTTGAACTCCTATCTTTTATGACAAATATTGCTTTACTTCACTAATTTAGTTATTGCCAATATAAATTTCCTTTAATTTATCATGCCATTATAAACCGGTTAACATATCAATAAATCCACGATCTGAAATCGAATTGGTTGCTATATGAAATAATGTTAATTCTATTTGGCATTCATGTAAATAGAGGGCGATCTAATTCAAATTATGAACAATACAGTCAAAGCATCGAGATCATCTAGTTTCTTTGCACTTACATCTAAAAATTTACCACAGTTTTTTAATTCTTCCAATAACCACATTTTTCTTTTTTCTACTTTCTCTTCAAATTCTTTTTTAAATTGTTCTTCATCTATTTCTTTTTCATTTTGATCCATTTTTCAAATTAAATAATTATAAAATTTCTATAACTATATTGAATTATAAAAAATAGTTCCAATTTGTAGTTTCTAAATAGTATACACTTAAATAGAATTAAATACACATAATATAGCCATTAACTAATATTTCAAAAGTATATTAATATTATAAAGATATTCGTGATATATAATTGATATTTGTATTTGGAAGGAATCAAAATATTGAAGTTGAATTACACGTGAAGGTATGATGAATTCATAATATTTAGAGAATTTGAATAGAAAATGAGAGTTATTTTATAATCATACAAATTTATAATTGATAAAATAATTGATTAATTATAAGAAACTAAATATTAATAAAAAGAACTTGGATTTCAAAATTGGAAATTGATTTCACAAAATAGCCATATAGATGTTTTATGATGCACATAAATAGTTTTCTTGCTAATAATTACAAATTATATTGCGATATTGTCAATATTAATCATATAATTTCTATGCATTTATTGTATCCCCCTAAAAACAAATTATCAAACAAAGATATTATTATAACTACACATGCAATGTAGCAGCTTGCTTAAGATATTGAATTAAACTGAAAGGAAATACGTAAAATTGTCATCTAAAAATATAAGATAAAATCAGAAAAACCGCTTTGTTAAATTAAATAATTAAAATAAAAAAATAAGTAAAATTTATTAATTAATTAATAAATCAAGCAGATTGATTAAACTTTTGTCATCTCCTGTCAAATAAGAACTGAAACAAGAGAATGATGAATGATTTAAGCTAAGATTTTAATTTAAAATTTGTATAGTATTTAAAAATATTATGATATATAAAACTTAGAGATTGATTTATATTAAATTAATATTTATGAATTTAGAATTAATAAAATCATACTTTCTTTACCTCGACAAGTTTGCCTGTCCGGTCTAATTGTTTATTTAAAAAAAGAGAGGATACTAGACATATTTAGGTGCTTTCACAACTCTTGGATGCGTTCTATCAATTCTATTCTACCTGACGAATAAACTCAGTCAAATTGATGATAGAACTGAATTTTAAACTCTATATTCCGACATCTTTCATTTAGAGCCTCCATATTATAAGTTAACAGAAGATAACTTCACATTGTAGTTTGCTTTTCAATATTAGAACAAAACAAATTACATTAACGAAAGCATATACATACCTGAGGCTTATCTTGTATATAAATAAATAACAGAGTAATCTATATAGCATAATTTTAAGGGTTAATGGCAAGAAGAAAGAACAAAGCAATAAGACTCTGATCCCAATCTCAAAATGTTCTAAGAACGGAATAATCCAGGATGAGTTGGCAGAATAGTTTGATGATCAAGACCTCTCTAATACTTATTGTCTCGATTGGAGTAAGGTTGATAGTCTGGCATTATTTGGCACCGACGATGCTCCAGAATATCAATATATCAATGTGAGTTTTACTGTTTGCTAGAATGGCTCAAGTAATTATTATTCATATCTCAAAGAGCCTGGTATTGTTTGTGCAGATAGCGACACAATTCAAAGTGTATTGAATAGAAATTATATCCACTTTTAATTGACATCATACATAATTAATTTGAGGGATTTCACTCAACCATAAATTCCAAAAGTAGAAGATATTTACACAACCATCTCTGCCAAAGTGACCAAAGATGTTGAAATATTTATGTAACCTATCACTACAATAACAGACTTTGGTTATTTTTAAAAGGAGCTTCGTAAGGATACTACACTCAGGTATTTTTCTGATAAAGAAATTATTGATTTTAATACGGATACATCCTTGGCAAATGTTGTAATTCGTCTCTCTGACACTGAATAAGTAAGCTATAGAATCTATCCGAAAGTGTAAGATGTCTTAGCTGCAGCAGGAGGATTATGGCAAATCATTATTGCAGTAGCATTGTTTCTCTAAAAACCTTTTAGTGAATTAGCTTATAGCATTGAGATAATCAACAAACTTTTTAATTTTGAATAAGATGAATCTGGAAAGCAAAGAAAGAATCCAACAACTTGTGATGATATCAATGATCAAAAACCTTCTAAAACTCTCTTACCAACCTAAACCGAAATAAAAACTTCTTAACCAACAGCACCTGATTAAAAACCATAATCTAAAATCAAATAAGTTGTTTCTAAACGATTCCCCTAAGGTCGATAATAAACCATTATTGGTAACAAATCTGGAGGTTTCATAGAACGATTAACTTAAAATGAAAAAATTAATGAAGCACGGTCTCTGTTCACTCTAGTGTCATCTAACATAAAAATGAAATTAAAGGAATACGTTCAGTATCTTACTTATAGACCAAAAAAGAAAAAAATGGATTAGTTGGATTATTCTATTAAGAAATACGAATCATTTCTTGACATACTCTTCATAATAGACAAATTGCAAGAGATTGATAAACTCAAACTTATTTTGTTCAACAAAGCCTAAATGAATCTCTTTGAATATTTACCAAAACCAACAATTTATTTAGATCCCTATAGTCCAGAATAAGAGGAATTATAATTTCATTCCTCAATACTTACTCCGCAAAAATCATTTGAGGAGAAAGCAAAGCAAGCCTCGGTTGCCTTTGAAGAACTTCTGGTAGATTTTGAAAATAATCCTCTCACCTAAAAATTAATAGCGTGTCTGGACAAAGAAGTTGTGAATGTGCTAATATCTGAATATGAAGAAAGAAATAGAACTAGTAGAGCTAAATAACAATTTCTCTCTATTAGTAATGCAGTTGTAGCCAGAATTAAATAGGATTAATAGTAAAGACAGTATTAATATGAACAATTGACGAAGTAGACTGAATAAAAGAAGTATTTTGATGGGACTGTTTAGAATAGTGTTATTAAAGATAAATTAGATAATCGGGAAGGGTCTCAAGATTCGATCCACTTTAAATCTCAGAAGGAATAATGAATATCATCAAAATAATATTTATTTTAATTCATGATTCAATAGCATCTGGAGTGATGTATTTAGTTACTGATCTCTTTTTTAGATCCAATTAAATTTATAGAAGCTTAAAGATATTCGGATCCATCAAAGAAATAAGTTTTATAGTAATAGGATCATCCAAATTTTCAAGCAATTCGTCTAAGACCTATTATGCCTCATGAGCCTTTTCTTTCTAAGATTTGTAGGGTTTCAACAAAGAGGAGTACATAACCGTTTCATTCTATTACAAATTACTAGGATCTAAAGAAATCATTGGTTTAGGTAAAAAGTCAAAGAGTTGTACCTATTACTTTGTCAACAATATGGTTTTGAGTTTATCAATTTCTTGTAATTTATCAATAATGAAGAGAATATCTAAGCACTTCTCCAATTTATTTATCGAATACTACATTTACTTAAATTTTCCTTCCTTTTTTCTATGAAATCAAAAATATACTATTACCCACACTTCAAATATTTGATGTAATCAAATGGACTCAGTCGTAATTTTAGAGTGGCGATATTAAATAATTTCCTTAAAGCAAACCTAATGCCCTTCTAAATTAATTTGTCATTTTCAGGTGAATTTGTAACCATTTAAGAAGACTTCTCAGTTTAAACAGAATTGACTTGCTCCGTTTTTTAGTTTTTATTTTTGGTTCTGCCTTTAGGGAATCGTATGGAACTCTTGATCTTTGATTAATTTAATATAATAGATGTATCATTTTCATGAGTCTAAATATTCTCTTATACCATAGTCAACTTCTTTAAGATTTATTTGCCTCCATCCTCAATATCATTTCGCTATTTTTATCCTTCAAAATTAAAAAGATTATTGATAACATCCAATTTATAAGACAGGGATTAGAAGGGTTTCACCATAATAGTAAAAACAAGCATTAAAATTTCCCATAAACCACCTGCTTAAGCTAAAATGTCCTGAAGCTTAGGATAAATTCTATAACTAATATTCTCAGTGTTTGCCAATCGAATCAAAACAGAAGCAAGAGCTTCATCGCTATTAAAATCTATCACCTCTTAAGTTTTCAAATATCTAATTGTAGAATCCTTTCTCACCAATCCATCCAACAACCCTTCCTCAGTCAAAGTTGTTATTGGCTGCATGAATAAAGTAATATCCTTCATAACTTGACTTGAAATTGTGGTTTAAATTTCTTCGACTTTTGGAACATTTGGCTTTAAGTAGTTTCTTAAATCAATATTATATGAAGACAATTGGAATAAAATATAATTGCGATGTAGTTTTTCTTAAATTTCTTCTTTCGACTTACAAATTTGGCTATTGACTAAATAGTAATTAAATATTACTATTGCTGGTGTCATTCACACATGTTTCAAAGCTTATATATATGTATGTGTAATTTTCTTATTCTGGTGTTCCAATCAAACTAAGATCTTTGATATTGTTCCAATCTAGACAATATGTATTTTCTATATCGACATTATCAAGTTAGTCTTCTATTTCTTCATAAGGTATTCCAATTTTAGCACATTTTGACAATGGAATTTCAGTTTTGGTAAATTTCAAATTGGTTTTATTGTCAACCCTTTATAAATAAAAGAACTTACATAACTTATGCCCTATTAACCATTACTGCTTTCACTTGGTAGATAGACTCGTCAATGTAATTTGTTTAATTTTCAGTTTAAAATGCAAATTATAAAGTAAAATTCTTGGATAATAATGGGAATACCGGGATTTCCTCATAGTATACCTCTGAATATAGTGTTTGAAATTCTTTTCTTTGTCCTAATTACACAAATTTGTTGATAATGTAAGTTAAAACGCAAGAAAACATTAATAAAGTCATGAAAGCTCCAAAAAGGGATTGATGAGATCTCTTTTTATGAATCATCAACTCTACTGGAGAGGAGAAAAAATCTAACTTTTTACCTAAGTTTCCCAGTTTTTTCATGTTAGTGGAATTCATATCAGCAATTTTAAATAAATTAATTTATCTAGTACATAAATTGATTATTTTTTTCATTTTATAAATTTAGATACGTTTCTTCATAATTATGATTATAATAATAATTCAAAATCATTTTTACTGTTAAAATCATCAAGATTTGTTTTTTTAGCAGGAAAGAGTGGATCAATAATGAACCTCAAAAAATATCAATTCTTTACCTAAACAAATTGTCTAATAAGCCTGAAATTATTTTAGCTAATACTGGACATCCTGTTTCGATACAGGGATTTGTATTAAATTCTATAAGGATTGGTTTAAATTCATTGGTAATCATGAAATCTAAACCGTATAATTCAAACCCAATCACTTGATCAGTATTATTTATTTAATTAATACTCGAAGCACATGCTATTTTGGTCAATTACTAATAATGCGATTTCATAATAATTTACTTTCATGTTTTTATAAAGCTCTTCGAAACTATAATTAGTATTGTTTTACTTATTCTATTCGAGTAAATAGTTCTAGAATTATTCATACGAGACCTTATTGCCTATGATATTTAGGGAAAATACCTTTTTCAAATTTGCCATATCCATTCATTTTATTTTGAATTGCATCATTTGTAAGATGAATTTTCTGATTATCCAGCGAATCTAAACTAAATAAACTACTCGACGTACGGAGGTACCCCTTCTTATACCAAAATACTATCTACTTATTAAAATGATTACTACCTTTTTTAGCACCATTTATTATTGTTATGAGACAATACCCTCTGATATCAAATTTCCTCTTTTAATATAGAAACGGATTCTCAATATATTTTTATAGAATGAATGTATGATTTTATTAGGAAATGTGTTGATAGATTTCATTAAGATTATTACAGACTATGAAAATAACAATAAAAATACCTTTAATGCCTTAGCCTCGATTGCTATCTTCTCCAGGTTTGATAATCCATATATTTTTAAATGCGGAATCAATAGAAACCTCTTCAAATTTTTTCTTGAAAACGTGAAAAGATTCATCATTCGGACCTTATATATGATATGTCAAAGGAATTAGGGTCCACAAATCTATTAGGTTTTCTTTACAATGTTTGCTTAAATTTAGAAACAAAAATTTCTTGTCTCCTAATTAATTTCCTTCCTTAAGGTGATTATGAATTCGAATAGATTAATTTTAATGATTAATCGTTAGTAGTTCTTTTACATTACCTAACTAAAAAAATAAAGTAAATTCCTTACATTATTTAGTATGGCTTGGCTTTCAAGATTGTAATCTGCTAGTTTCTTCTTAGACTTTCCTTCCACGCGATCCCAAGCCTATCTAATTAAGGTTTAATCATTAGAATCAATCCATCCTTCAAGAGTTTCATTAGAAATTGATCTTTAAATTGGCCTTATCTCAGATTAGGGAAAGTCAACAAATTTTTGAGTCCAAATAAAATTAAAATCATCTTCTTCCAAATTACCACCTACAGTCCATTATGCTCTCATACTGAATATACTTTTGACCATCATATGATTATTGCCTCTACCAACATAAAGTTTATAATATTTTTAATGCTATGCTGGTAGAACTTAAAGTGCATTTGTAAAATTTATAATTTAATTAATTTCCAATACGCTGGGGCATTGTATAAATTTTAGATAGCCTATATCCCAATATCTAGTATCATCTATTAACACTTTTTTTTTTGTCTAAGATTATGGAGCCAATGCCTTTTTAATAGGGGAAGTAGTCCGTTCTAATTTGATTATTGGTATTAATCTCTTCAACGGTTTTGGAGTAGTCTCCTTTGGCAGTGGTTAGACTTAAACTTATTTTACTTGGATTAATTGTCCCTTTATACTGTCCAATTCATTATCTTTTTAGGCAACTGATTGACAACGTTACGATCTTTTTTATACATTCTTTCTATGTATAGTTTTAGGAAACACAATAATTTCATTGTTAGTTTTTCCAATAAGCTGTTCAATTAAGGACTGATTTCTTGCCTTTCTATTGTGCAACTCATATATTTAAGATAGAAATTCATAACTTGTGATATCCTTGCTTTTTCTTATGAAAGGAGGAAATTGAGGGTCAAGAGATTTTACAATACTATGATTTGGAGTCTCCAATTATTATTCCTATTCAGTAATTACAGGTTTTTATTTTTTATCTATTTATTAGAAGCTCCCATTCCTTCTCATCTATGATAAAAATTGTCTGACTCCTGCCTCTGTGCTATTCAGAGCAATTGACATATACCCTTGCCAAATTTGTACATTATTGTCTTGTTTTCTTTTTTATGGTGAGAAATATTCCTTAACATTATCGTCATCCTTACTTAAAATACGATTGCGCATAAAATTAATAATTTATTATAAGTATATAGTTAATCAAAATAGGCATTAACTTAGTTAGCTAAGATTCTTTAAATCAATTATAGACAAACCCTAAATATGCTGCTCTTGATGCCTCAAATCATTAATTCGCCTCTTTGTTTTTATTAACTTTATTTTTCTATATCTTTGTGGTTCAGACACACATCTAGATATATACTTTTTGTTGCTTTTAGAATAAATTTTACATGTAATTCCAATAAATAACTCTTAAACCCCTTCACTTCGCTAGGTTCTTGATGTTGAATTTATTTGCAACTTTTGCTTTTCTATTATATAAATAATTAGATTCTTCTAAATTTACTAATTAATATTTAATAATGTAATTAATTGTATTCTTTAATGAGGTTTGACAAAATTATTCAAGATAAATTTATATATAACTTTAGTTTTTCAATTTTTTGTTGAAATCTTAAGAATTAACACATAATCGCTCATTTTTTACTAATAGTTATTAATTTTATTTTATATTCTCTTAAAGAATATGATTTTTTGTAACTTATGAATCAGATAAATTTTTATATGTTTTTCAGTTGTAGATTACCCATTATTAGTAAATAAAATATTTCTGTATCGCTAAAATCCAGCTCATACTCATTGATAAAACCTTCTTTAACGTTTCTGAACGTAACCTAATTCCTTAAAGCCTTCCGAAATTTCATCAATTCAACTTTAAACTGAATTTTTCAGCATTTAGGGAAATATTTAGCTTCACAGTCCTTGATATCTCAATAATGTTTTAGAGGTTGGTTTTTTAAATGTTCGATTCCGTTATGCAATATTTTAGAGATATGATTCAATTATAAGAAATCCTTACACTTTATAGCCACTCCATCATTCAGAAATACTTTGTTCTTTTCTAATTGTTAAATAGTATTTTCTTTATCATGAATGATGCGACGTTGCTCTAAGATTTTCTCCTCTTGCTCATAACCAAATCTTAATTGAATATACCTGTTAGCTCATTTAGAGATTATGAAAGGCTCAGGTCTAAAAATAATTGAATTGTTATTTTAATTCTATAACTTGCAAATTTAATTATTGAATTTCGAAGAAAGTAATTCGCTCAGCTAATAGCCTCTGTGCTTTTGAAGTGCCAATAACAGAAGCTAATTCTCTTATTTGAATGATTGGGTTTCAGTTAATAAGAAATCAATTTGCCATCTTTATATTAGTTCATTAGAACCAGGCTCTAAGAAATCGATTTAATATTAATTTATAAATATATATATTAAATATACATATCATAATTTAATTTTCTTAACAGATTCAGATTCTTCTTAAACTTCTTCTTCATCATTTTTTTATTTTTTTTTCTAAGTTTCTTATATCATTTTTGGTTTTTCAGCCTATGTATTTTTCACAAGAGATCTTCCCATGGAATTGTTCTCCTTTTCCTTATCTAGTACTTTGACAAGTGAAATCACTCTATTTTTGAGATCATTTTCACTTTTGCACTTAAAGGCATGATCAAATCTAAATGTAATATCCTTTCTGATGGATTATTTCAGTTAGCTCCAATTACCATATCCAACTTCATTGGTCATGTAAATCAAAAACTTGTCGTTTTCTAAACTGAAATATTTGCTTTTAAATTTATTATAGAGTTGAGGAGTGAATACTAATTCATATTTTGGTTGATGAAAATGTTTGCATTTTTCCTCGATTAATTTTTGACCATTTGTTTTTTGTTCAATTAGTTTTTGTCCTCTTTCAATTTGTTTAACAATTTTATCTTTTTCACTTAATCCGTCAATTCTTTCCCAAAAGGCTTGAGCATAAATTTTGACTTCTTCTAGAGATTTGGTTTTGATGGAATCTTAGATTTTATCATATGCATCTTTTCCATATTTTTCATTAGCAACAATGAAGTCTTAAAACTCCTATTTATTCCAACTCTTGAAACCGGTTTCTAGCAATCTTTTTTATTCTTAACGCTCATCTTAAGTAAGACCACCAAAGTCAACGTTTTCATCATTTTCATTAGCCTTCTTCTGCGATTTCTATTAAGCCAAAAAGTCTTCCTCTTTCTATAGTAAAAACTAAAGTCTATCCTTATTTTCATAGAGATGATGTTCAGAGAGCTTAATTTATTTTCCTTAGATCTTTTTAGAATTAGCTCCCATCATCATGGCCTTCTTATCACGATTCCTAGTCTTATTATCTTGCATTAGATGATTAACTAGGGCATCTTCCAGAGCTTCTTCATCCTCTTTATTTCTTTTTGCTTCATCGAAATAATCAAAGATATTGATTTATCCTAATCCTAAGTCGAGAGAAGAAACTTTATCTTTAAAAGTTTCAAACTTCTTCTCAATTCTCTCATTCATTTCTTTAGTCAATTACTCACCCCTTTTGAGCAAGATGTCTATGTCTTCATCTTTAATGTCATCTCCATCCAATTTGAAAATCTGAGAAGCCCCGTAAGTTGTCAACTCTTTTAAGTCTTCCTTTGACAATAATTTGCCAGTTTGTTTCTACTGAAGTCTACCTTATTAGATCATAAGGGAATCCCAACGTAATTTAATTTGTTACCTTTCAATAATCTTTTCTTCGACAGTATGTTCACAAGCCATCCTATAGACCATGACTCTGTTCTTTTATCCAATTCTATGAGCTCTGTCCATAGCCTACATATCCATTTAGGGATTGAAATCGGAATCATAAATAATAACAGTATCTGCAGTTGCCAGATTGATACCTAGACCCCCAGCTCTAGTTGATAATAAGAATATGAATTTCTTGCTGTTTGGAGATGTAAATTCAGCAATCTGATCATCTCTTTGTTAGATTTCTGTTTCCCCATCAATTCTACAATATAGGAATCCTCTAAAATTACAGTAATCTTCAAGAATATTCAACATCGAAGTAAACTATGAGAAGATGAGTATTTAATGTTAGCCTTCGCTTAATTTCTTTAGAAACTTATCTAGAACTCTCATTTTACCACTCACATCCACTAAGTGTTCTCCCAAGGCTGGCAATGACTTGTCTTCTACATCAGGAAATAGATAAGGATGTAAGCAAATCTTACGCAATTACATAAGTTTATTCATGTAAAAGCCTTTGTCTTCTCCTTCATGTGGATTGTTGTGAATGAGGATATTTTAATACATTTATTTTTATATGTTAGACATTTTGATAAACAAATGGATTTCTTATTTTGGTGGAAGCATCCTCTCAACTTCAGCCTTAGTTCTTCTAAGCATAAATGGTCTTAAGATCTTTTAGAATTTCTAGACCATTTCCAAGTTTCTTTATTCTAACTCATCTTAATGGATGGTTTCATTTCCTTCTTTCAATTTTGCTTCAGTATTTACTTCAAACCATTTGTCAAATACTTCTGAGGAATCAAAAAGATCAGGTAGTAAGTAATTCAATAGACTCCATAATTCATGTGGAGTGTTCTATAAAGGAGTTCCAGTCAGTAACAATTTATAGTTAGTTCTAATCTTACGTAAATTTTGACTGATCATTGCATCTTCATTCTTGATTTTGTGTGCTTCATCTATTATAATATATTTATATTAAAATCTTCGTATGTGTTTCAAACAAATATTGACACCTTCGTAACTTGTCAAACAAACATCAAATTTTCCTGGTTAAAAATATCTGTTCAATATTTCATCTCTCTCTTCTTTTATTGCTATCAACTTAACTACTCTCATGCATGGTAACCATATTTTGAACTCTCTCATCCAATTACCTAAAGTTGACTTTGGAGCCACAATCAAAAATGGTCCATTAATTTTTTGATACTCTTTCAAGAAAGCTAGAAAACTTATAGTCTGTATTGTTTTGCCCAAACCCATTTCATCAGCCAAAATTCCATTGATACCCTCTTCAAATAAAGATATCATCCAATTCAATCCAGTCAATTGATATTATTTCAATTGGCCTCCTTTCAAAATAGTTGGCTGTTACTCTAATACTGTGGGAGTATCATCAAACTCTTCCTCTTCACTGCCATCTTCAACTATCTGTCTATGTTTTCCTCTCTGTTAATTCTGAGCCCTCTATTTATTCTCTTAAGTTCTCTTGTGTCGATGTAAGAGAAACATCGCATACTTCTCAGCATTCTCTAGTAATGTATTTATCTTAGACTCAATATTATCGAATTTTAGCTATCTTATTAAATTTTCTGATTACATTCGTGTTCAATCGACCACTCTACTTTATCGAACTCATGAAGCTCTTTTTATCTTATTCTAACTTTTTTATACGTTCATCTTCTTCGTCAGCTCTTTGTTCTTCATCACTTGGCAATTCGACTTGCAATACTTCATTCTCATCCTCACTTTAAATACTCATTAAATTTAATTATGTTTTTCACCTTACCAATTTCCCTAATAATCATCAAATTATTTGAATCAACTTTTTATCATCATATAATAATATATATTAAATTTCCATACATAATACTAGTACTAACTTATAATAAATCAAATTTATTCATGTTTTCTAATCTCCTTCGCTAAAAACACCAATGGATTGAATACTCTGAAAGATCCATGACGTTTTCTATCGATTGGATTCTGCAAATAGAAATCGAATTCACTCATGTCATCTTCTGTCTATTCACTTTGATAATTTTTTCCATCCTCCACCAACTACTTGAATTTGTTCCTAAACTCATTTTGCTAATTGTAATTTTAACATATTTGCTTATTCTAATGCAAGTATTCCAATAACTTATCCATTGCCTCATCGACCACACCATATACATTATCCAAGCTCATTAAGCTCCTTATTATTTAATTTAATAAAATCTCATCAACTAATTCAGAAAGCAACTGTCTTTCCTTATTCAATAATAACCATTACTCTCCTATTCAACTAACTACTTCCAATTAAACAGAATCCAACTACCTTATTTACTTAAAAATAATTAATTGCTATTTTGGGCAATCTAAGGAATTGACCAATCTAATCAAAACTTTATGTGCAACTGTTTTTAATTAAATCGGAAAATGCTGTAATAATTAGGATAACCTCTACTACAATCTAAATTACCAAAACTCAGGTACTGGGTTAGATGTTATACTATATGAATTTAATATATTTTATTTCAATTCTTATATGGAATAGGATGGATATTAATACATTAATTATGTGTATTAATAGTTTATGACACCAAAACTATTTAATTAATTAATTATAAATATAGATTAACTTTATGAACAGGGTCATTAACTCTTTATTGATTTATCGTTCATTGAATTACGATATGCATAAACTTATACTAGAAAATGTCGTTCCTAAGAATCATTATGGAATTATAAAAGTTGCATCAAATATCGCAACCCTTTTTGGGTCATTTTATATATATAATTAAAAAAAATATTATTTGATAAACAACTTAATTAAAATATTATTAGAAAAAAATTAAATGGAAGTTGGCGTTAAGAAGAATGAAAACTCAAATTACGTTTAAAATTATTCTATATATATCAAATTGTTTCTTCTTTAACATCATTATGGAGTTTTTGAAAGTAGTTGTAAGAGTTAATTATTTCATGATTGACTTTTATTTCTACAAAAAGACTGAGATGACGTTCATTTTTTTCCTCTATTGAACAAAATGAGGCTTATTTTTTCTTAACAATCAAACTTTTCACCTAATCTGGTATCGGTCTCTTTTCAGTTTTATAGTAATGGATTAATGACTTAGCACTTGAATAATTCATTCTCAATTCCTTTGCAGCCTTACATTCAAAAAATATAAATACCTATTTTATCTTTTTCCCATTTTTAAACACCTATTCAAAAAGCATTTACTAAGTTCTTAAAGGTATTTTATGGTATCGTTTTACACTAATTGTTTAAGTGTAAATAGGTCTGTTTTTTCTAGTTGAAACCTTCCTATTCGAAACCTCAGAAGAGAATTCTTGAAACTCATCGACAATCAGGCCTGTTCTGCTCATTTTAATTTTTCTAAATCAAAAGAATCCTAAAATATATTGTATATTAGAAATCTTTATTACGTATTTGAATCATAAATTGAGATAATATAATCAAATTAAATTTATAAGACCAAGCAAACATTATGATGGGTATTTTATTTCAACCTTTGAAAGAAATCAATATGATCAATACCCAGCATCTTTAAATTTAAATATATATAAATTCTTCGCTAACTCAACATTTTATTTCTTTTTTGCAACTGATTTAAAACTATCTAATCAATTAGTATATTACATTTATAAACAATTCGATTTTTTATAGCAATTTGTTCTTTTGAGCGTTAAAAAATTAGACCGCTAAAAAATGATAACTGATAAGTTTAAAAATAAATTATTTAGAATATAATCCCCATCTCTTACTCCAACTTCCATTTTTATCATCTATTCTTATCTTTTGTTCTGAATTTGTCTAAAATACTATTTTATAATAATAGAAATCATATTAAAATTTCTTCATGTAATTGTTGTTTCTTGATTTCTTTATTGAATTCATCACAAATAGACGTAGCTCAACGTTGTTTACTATATTTTAGGGAAGTTGAAATTTTAGATAATTTTAATAAAATTATGTTTGATAACATTAATATTTGTAAATTTACAATTAATGCCAATAATTCAAAGAATAGACAAATGTGTCACTAATAAGATATATATACGTTTATATATTTGACATATGATTACATATTTATGAGTTAAAATAACATAATCCATCTTTCTTGCGGTTATTATGTAATCTATGATAGAATCATTAATATAATAAATATAAATATATTTAAAACTGTTTTATAATATAATTCATCCCATTAACGCTTTAAAGCCAGCTAAATCAATATCTTTTTCGATTATATTTTTAACATTAACTTGATGATCGTGTGTATTTTGATGATTACTTTTTGTTTCTGAAATAGACACCCATTTCTAGTCCAAATTAGCATTTTAATCAAAAATTGATTTTATAGTTTTTTGTGTGATATTTTTCTCTTGTTAACTTAAGAAATCAAAAATTAATTGCAAATGATTATTATAATCTTGTGGAGTCAATGTTATTGCAATGAATTCAAAGTAATCTAAATAACCGTTATTGTTGCAATCTAAAGAAGGCCATACTTTTTGTATATCTTATTTGTTCACCTTCAAATAATTTGCTAATTCTGTTTAAGTAATTAGTCCAGATTGAGATGTGTTTATTAAGAAAAAGGCCATCTTCTGTTATTTAAGATCTGATGAATTGATTTGGGTTGCTAAATAATATAAACCCAATCTTTTCAAAGGGTGAAACTTAACCCATTGAGTTATCGTCAACATCGAAATCAACTTTTAATCAACTTAAAATTTCTGATTGAATTTTTCTACCAATTTATTTGATAACAAATCTTTTGGGGCAGATCTTTAAGCTGCGGGACAAATCTAAAGTTTAATGAAATCTTTAATTTCTTGTGGTATTTAAAGCCATTCATCACCTATATTATAATTAAGAATAACAACCTTCAAATTATAATTAAGCATTCTTGATTTCAGTTAATATTTCCTTCTCATTTTCTCCATAAAAAGGAGGATATCCACATAAAATAACATACAAAATGACTCCAGAAGACCAGATGTCGCATTTTGAATCGTATGATCCTTCCAATACTTCAGGAGCTACATAATAGGCCTATATATTAAATTAGATGTATACTGTGCCACTTTTGGTTTTTAATTTATCGACGCCTCTCTTGGCAATTCCAAAATCAATGACAATTAAAGAGTTCAAATCATCCTTTTTTTAAAACAAAAAGTTTTCCGGTTTCAAATCCCTACTATCTCTAATACATGTACCTATGAACTATTTTGAAGCCTTAATAGTAATTGACTGCTCTCATGTATTGAATATAAACTTTGAATGCTTCATCAATTGATAGATTTCCTTTTTCCAATACCTTATCAAACACATCACCACCTTAACAGATTCTAGCTCAAATTCATATATTACTCTAGAATCATATATAAATTCTCATCATCTTCAAATGTTTCAAATACTCTCAATATATTTGGATGATCCTTAAATTGCTAATTTTATTTTCATACTAATAGCTCCATTATTGTTATCTCGCTTAGTAATCTTTCTTTGTATTTAATGTTGAGTTTGTTGATCACTTTTACAGCTCTCACTTATTTCGAAGCATTATGAATTGCTTTGAAAACACTTCCATATGCTCCTTGTCCAATTTTCTAAATTTATACATTGCTAAAACATTTACATCTTTAACATCGTAAGTATAAACTGAAGAAATGGGCACAACATTGCGTCTGATAAGAGTTTATTTGTATATATGAAAAGCAGATTTTTAATCCATTATTTAAATTTAGCAAAAAAATTTAGATTCGTTTAATACTATATTTATGTTAGATAATGAATGATCTCACTTCTTTATAAATAACATTTTGAACTTTTGAAATAATACATGGAACCCTCAAAATGAAAACAAATCCATGGAATCGAACAATAATTCATAATCTATGATATCAGTAAGCAATATTTATTTTATATTGTGCTAAATGTACAAACATATATAAAAATAATTATAAATTTCTCCATTTCAAACCAGAAAAATAGACCACCTACTCCAGAAACAATCTAATTATAAAGATTTAAGAATTCTATCAAACAGGATAAAACTAAATTAAATTTTCTTAAGGATAGATCTATATTGATATCTACAAGTTATGAATTAATGATATTAATATTTTCTATATTAAATAAGTTGTTTAAGATTAGTTAATTAAGATCTAATGTTATATCTTTGTGTTTTAATTGTGTTGAGGATATAAATATGATTTTAATATGAGGAATTTGGATTTTAAAATATTTATTTTGATTATATTTTAAGGTATTTCAATTTTATAGAAGAGCTGAGACGGTGATACATAGAATAAATGCAGATAGCATAAAAATTTAAGTCTCCAATCTATTTTGTTATAATAATAAAATATATACTTCAACTGAATTGTTAATATTATTATAAGAATGCTTGTAATAAAAATAAACATAAAGCAAATTTAATGAAATTACAGGAAAGTGAATGTGAAATACTATAAAGTAAGTATAAACAATTTTTTTTGTATGAATAATAAATATTTATTATAATTTTAGTTCATAAGTTTTGATAGGGATTTCAAATTTAATCTATCACAGAAGATTCCTCTGGTAATTTTAGTTCCTTATCTTCTTTATGAAGTCATCTTTTGTAAACTTTTAACAAAAAGATGTCATCAATTTTAGATCATTGAATTAGCATCAATATATTAGTATTCAAATTAACGTTTTGATTAGACAATCATTACTATAAATAATGAATTATCCAACAAAATTTTCAAAGAAAATGATTTTCATTAGAATCAAAATTGTTCCATTTTTCGGATCGATATATATATATGAAATAGTGATATAATATTAAGTTTTATATAATACTGCATTAAAAAACAATAGTATAAAACTATGTATATTATGAGGATGTATTGAAACAATAAATATTAATACGAATGTCTTTTCTATTCAGAAATTAAATGCTCTTTAGGTTATGATGTTTTCTTTATTTCTTATTTTAAATAAATCACTTTTTCCTTTTCAAGAATAAATTCCTATACTTTTATGTCCATAAAGCTGAAAATATTGGTTCTAATTTATTTTAACTGTTTTCAAATTTAGATAATCGATCTTCAAACTCTTTGAATTCATTCCTTACATTAATAGTATTCTGTGTCGGAATTTTATCCTTTTGTTTTTGATTAGTTTAAGTATTTTTTTGTAGTGATTTCAAATGATTGCATTCTCTAATCTGTTGAGGTTTTTTTGATAAACATTAATCTCCCAAAATCTTTACTAATGTGACTTTTTACTTCATGCGTTCTTTCGTATATTATTGATGCACCTTCCTTGAATCTTGTAAATTAGGCCTCTATTTCTTAGCAATATCAAAATGGATCTGGAAAAAGTCTTAAGAATTAATAAGTGTTGTACCATAAGAACATGGTGTTTTAATTTTAAATAAACGGTAATACATCTCATACAATCTTTCTGTTTTGAGACTAGTTGCTTATAGACGATAATGAATTTCCCACAGATGTTCTACTTACTTGAAATTCTCTTGAGAGAACTCTTAAAGCAATTCCTATTAAATAATGCATTGTCAGAATACTGAAGCATAATCTCTCAAGCATATTTTAAATATTTCAATAATATCAGATTCTTAATCTTATGCAATTTTATTTTCAAACATTTTCATCATCCTTGGTTGAATACTATATAAATGCTTCTAATTAAAGGGTGCCAAGTAAAACTCCATAATTAATTAATTTAAGGTCTAAATATTGCAATCGATTGAACCATCATTTGCTATAAGTGACATAATTATAAAAATAATTTATTAATATGCAATAATTTTGAATTTTTATATATTCATATAAATCATACTACTTATTCTAAAAGGATATTCTCTTTTTAAGAATTATTAATGATCATTGAATCAATAATATGAAATTCCCAAAATTACTTTGAACAAAAAGAAATAATCTTATTAAATTAATATTTGTAATGAAAATTAGATAATTCCAATTCTGATGAAGGAATTTATTAGGGAGAAATTCAGATAGGAAATTAATAGTAAAAGTAGATTATGTGAGTGCGTAGCATTTTATTATTTTTTTTTATAAAGACATCCATGAAATCTTTTATTTCTAAGATTTTGGATCTGCTCTTAAATACACATGCCTAATCAAATAATTCAAAGTTTCAAAGGAAATTGATTCCACATATGGGTTTAGGATAGTTGTAGTATCAAAAATATAAATTGAATAGATTATTTGCTATCGCAATTTTGAAGTGATTAAGGAAAATATAATCTTGATTTTGAATTAAACTAAGATTAGATCAATGATAAAGTTACTATTCACAAATAAATCTAAATAGCATTTAATAGTTAATCTGTCTAATTCAATTACATAAACGAACAGTTATTTATTGAAGTTTTGCATAATAGCCATGGAAAATGGCTCTGATTGAGTCCGTCTCTGAGAACCTGGTGTCTGAAGCCTAGAGCAGAAAGCCTGGAAACTTGATTAATAGAAGAATAATAAGATTAGCTTTTAAATGGTTTTTGAAATTTTATAATAAATGAATTTTCATTCATAATTTATACTATAAAAAGAATAGGGCTATAAGGGTATTTGATAATAATTTCTTTTATCAAAATAATTCTTTAAAAATAATGATTTAAAATGAGATAGCGGAATGCATGAAAAAAATGACAACTTACCTTGATTAGAACGGTTATAAGAAATTCAAACTGTTCTAAGCTTAACCAAATTATTTTGATTTGAACTATGAGGAGAGAAAGGAATTATTATAAGCTCCTTCTGTAGATCATTTATGCAAATCTATTATAATGGAAAATACAAAATACGATGATTCCTATCCTGATAATGAAGTCAACCCAAAATATATATGTGTAGTAGTACAATACATCACAAAACTATAAGGAGAAAAGGTATTGGATTTAAGAACAATATTAGATTAATAAATATTTTAAATAGTTATAGAATCAGAAGTATCCTGATAAATAAATTTCTAGAAATAAATTACATTTCAGATTAACCTCAGATGAAGTAACAATTGTTGATTATATAAGATGTCATATCAATTAAGTGGATATTAATTTAATGCAATTACACCATTTAATATGGTGCAAAACATGCCTCTGTTGATTTCTGATAGAATATTGAATTTGGAGTATATATGGTTCGGAGGTGGACATACCGATGTTAAATTGAGGATGGATATAAAAGAAATGTGTACTCTTTATCCCAATAAAGTGTATTATTCCGATATTATTATGCCATAACAAGAATGAAAATAATCTATTAATATATATATATATTAATATTTGATAATTAATCAACCAATAACTAATCTATTAGCTCCTGCTTTCATTTATTACTTTTGTCCTTGCTCGTTTGATAATTGTTAGAACTTAACATTTAGTATCTTTTTTAAATCGCTAAAATAGTTCATCTATGATATTGTTATTAACAATTACTTGTCTTAATGATGGTTCGTAATTTTCTTTTACAAGTTCTCTTTGCTATTTAAGATTTTTAATGTTCTCTTCTAATTTCAAAATTCTCTATTGCAACATTTCTGAATTAGATTTAAATTAAGATGATAATTATTTCCCTCCTTTGCTGTACTCAACCTAAAATGAATATCAATATTTCTACTTCATCATTCAATCTTTAAATTTTAATTTCTAAAATTTCAGAATTAAATTTATTGAGTTTCATTTTTCTATCCAAAGCATAAACTTCATCTCTTAGCTTTTTAACTTCAATAACCAGGGAGCTTTAATCACTTTCGACTCCCAACATAATTCTATCAAACTCTTATTTCTTTTTTTTATGTTCTTATTCTAAATCCTACAAATATGACCACATTATTTACAGAGTATTATTATCTAACAGTCTTAATTTCTGCTAATTGCTCTTAGATCAAAGGTCTTTTCAATTAAATTTAGGCTTGGATTTCATTTACAATTTTAGAAATCTCCTCTAAAGTTTAACCTTTTTATAAATTAATTTATTGATTTTCTTCTGACAATTTTTCTAAACCTTCCTTCTTCTTGCTATAACCAACAATTCCATGAGTCTTCTCTAATTCTTATTATTACTTAAGTAATTCGTTTTTCTATTTTCTTAAGATCTATTCTGTTCTTTCCAATGTAGCTCTTTCTGCTTAAAAAGCCTTTAATTCATCCTTTAATTTTTGATATTGAAATTTCTTGTCCTTTAATTAATTAGCATATTCCTTGAATTCTCCTTTGGTTTTATAATTAGGTCCTCTCTCCTTTGCAATTTAATCTTCCTTTTTGAACACTTCCTTCTCTATTAATTGCTATTCTTCTTCAGCCTTTTTTATATCTTCAACTGCTCTTTCCTTCTTCTTAGCAACCAATTAGGCCTATTATTTATAGATAGTTAATTTGTCATCTTCAGGCTTTGCTTCTCTCTTTAATTTATCCTCCATTTGATTGACTGCTCTTCTTAAGGCCATCAAAGTATTTTCCAAGTTATTCAATTCATTCAATGTGATAGGCGGTTCAGCAAGCAATCTTTCAATTTGTTCTAACTTCTTTCTTCGCTCTTTTAAATCAAATCCCAATCTATCTTTACTGATCTCCCTATTTCTTTTTACTTCATTTCTCAAGGCCATCAACATTTATTCTGGTGAATTGTCTGGAGACAGTGACTTCTAAGCATCGATCAATCTTTATTAAGCCTATAACAGCTATTAATCTGTTTGATCTAATGTCATTCTTTATTACCTAAGTTTATCTTATAATCTGGCTTCCTCTTCTTATTCCTTTCTCAACATATTAGTAACATCCAACAATTCATTGAAATTTGGTTTAGTTAATACTTTACTCTTAAAATTGCTAATTTTATTTAATAATTATTCTCTCTCTTATTCAAATTAGGCGATATCCTTCTTCAATTCTTCAGGATTCATTGATTATGATTACACTTGCTCAAGTGATTGATGATGCACTTAGAATTAGGCTTACAAGTCTTTGATTTGATCGACACAGGTCTTTATATCATTGTCCATTTAAAATTCATCTGGCACAAATACTGGTACCAAATACTTGGCGAGATAGGCTCTTTTTTCTAATTCTGGATATCTAGTTAATAAATAATGAAAAATGGGATAAATCACTTTCTTATCCGCAATTAAGACGGATTGGGACCATTTATCATCAAATTAGCCTGGGTAATTTAGAATTCTTAAATACTCAGTAATTTTATAGATAATAGTATCTTGATTATCTACTTTAACATCTATAGTCCATCTTGAGTCCAAATGTGTAAATATTTTATTTAACAGTTCCAAGAATTCAAATCTAAAATATTTTTTCAATAATAATTACTAATTCTGTTCATCGAAGGACACTAAGCTATAATTCTCATTAAATTTATTATTTAGAATTCCTACAATCTCTTTAATATCGTCGGTATTGATAACAGTTTTGACTTATTGTTCTCCTGAATAAGATGCCATTTTTAATTATATTAATATAATATATATATTTAAATTCTCATATATTGCATTATTTCTACTCAATAATAGAGTTTGTCTAATAGTATAGATTCTAAACAATAGTTTGCCTCTTGATAACATCTAATTCTGCTGTGTATTTTTCAATGACCTTATTTTTAAGATCAGGATTGATTTGTATTTCTCTGAAATCTTATTTTGCTCTCCTGATAACATATTCTCTGAAATTGTAATCCTTGAATTGATTTCCAACTCTAAGAATCTATTTATATAATTTCAAAACCGATTTATCCATTTATGTTAGTTCACAAATAATAATAATAATGAAATTCGTTTTAATAGTGTTTTTAGCAATTGCGTATGCTAAGGTTGGATGTGATATTGATAACAAGGAGAAAGTAAAAGAACGGGGGATGTCTAAAAAGAAAGAGGATGAATTATTAGAATTGCATAATGAACATAGAAATGATGTTGCAACAGGGAAGTTAAAAAACTGGTAAGGTAAATTTTAGACAGCTTCTAATATGAATTATGTGAAATGGGATAATCAATTGGCTAGATTTGCATAGGATTGCGCTGATAAATGTCCAGCCAATTTTAAAATTGATTGTTCATTCCCACCCCATTATGGTTTTGTGACATATTTAGGGGATGTTGAAAATGGTGGTGCTGATTGGACTGCTAAAAGAGTGTTCAAAAAATGGGCTTAACATGAAGATCATGCAAGATAAATTGAATTGGCTTAAGCTTAATTTTTTGGATGTGGTAGATCATAAGTTAGTAGAAAGAATGGTTCAAGTGATGAAATTGTAGTATGTGTTTACAATAGAGTAATATATATAATAATATCATAGAAACCAAATTTACATGGAGATGTCTATAAGGCTGGAGTTGCAGGACAGGAATGTTTACATGGTCGTAAAAAAGGATATCTAGGGTTATGCAAACATAGTGCAACTGATATGAGTGTGATAAATTTCAAACATCAAAAGAAGCATGATGAATATAAGTATCATAAATAAGAAGAGAAGCATCACAAGAATCAAAAACATCACAAACGTAATGAGGCTCATTAAAAAGTTTATTGATAAAAATAAATATAATTTTAACTAATTTTATAAATGCATTTATTTTTTAATTAGTACTTATAAGTTCCTTATTATATATTTTAATTATTCAATTACATTCTTTTAATTTTAATAATATCAATTTCAATTATTCTCCATGTACCTTTTAGAAGTTTCAAAAATGTATGTCTTTAAATGCAATTTTAGGACTCTATAGAAATTGGAATGAGATTTCTCATAGTTATTCCCCCATCTTAGGCATTTTTTTTTCTCAGCTCGATCACTGATTATAATTAACGATTCAAAATTTGTTATTGGCTTGTGCTTGCTTATTGAATGCACTTCTTCTTGAAGAAATGTAATTGATTGATCCAATAAAATTAAGTTAAATTGAAGGGAGGTAATTACTTCCTATTAGGATTAATTGATATCGTCATATTAAAATTAAAATTTTTTTTGTTTCCATTCTAAATTTAAGGTCTCTAGTAATATTTGAATCGCTTTCACCTTTCCTGTGCAAACAAAGTCCCATAATCGCCAGATACTTAAGTAAATTAGCTTAAAATTGTATATAGAAAAGTCATCAATAAAAAAATAGATTGATTAAGTCTCAACAAAGAATTCATCTATGTGAAATATATATATAATAATTTATCTTAAGATTTTATAGTCTTCAAAAGTCATAATTTATTAAATAATTGAAAGTAAATACAATAATGAATATTAAAGAATGTGATACGAAAACTAACTAGAAAGCTATTAAAAGTTCTTTAAAAAAGGAACTCTCTAAAGAAGATTAAAGTAATTTATTTACTGAACAATAAAGTGTTTCGTCGATACGATAGAAAAGGGAGAGAAATTACTTTTGGCTCTAAATATGAAGTTACCATTGATGAACATGTTCAATTCTTATTAGCGATCCCTCCAGTCTCTACTCCAAGAAACAGGACAAAATCACCCCTTGGTGTACCATTTAGTGCAAGATCACCTAGGAGTAAGTCTCCAAAAACAGAATAAGGTGGAAATTCCACTCCTATCGCGATTTCTTAAAAAAAATTAGAATTCACATAAAAAGAAGAAGAATCTTTAAGAATATTGGAGAAGAAATATTAAAAATAAAAAATGCTTGGTAAACAATAAAAATAGTGTTGTGTTATCTGGTGAAACAATGCTAATTGAGTATATTTATATTTATACGAAACTAAAAATATGTTGATAAACAAACATTTCAATTTATTTCCATATTTATTGTAAGACAAAAGGTTCAGATTTCTAAGTAATTCATAATATATTCATCTTGATATCAATCAATTAAGATATTTAAGTTGGTAAATGGAGGAACAAACAAAAAATAAGAATTCAACAATAATATCGTAAAGTAAGAAAAAGGAGTTCAACCATTTTGATAGTTGAAAATAAATATGGAGTTATATAAAAGAGAATTATGAATCATTATGATTGCAGACATTAATACCACGTCTTGAATACGTTATACAGTAAATAAATAATGCTAATTAAAAGTAGAAACATATAATTGATTCAGAAGTTAATTAGTAAAGAAAACAAATAATGACCTATCATTCAATAAGAAAAACTTGATACTTAAAGATGAAAAAAATTACTCAAATTAATATCAGTTAAAAATGAATATTTTATCCACATCTAATTTATATTATATGAATTTTGCGAAACTTTCCAATACTATGAAATATCGATAAGGCATTCAATCCTATCACATATTTTTCTGATTATTTCTAAGAATCTTTCGAAAATTAGAAGCTGAAAATCTATGTTCTTGGAATATTGCACTAAACTATATAATTAATTAACATAAATAAATATGCCTCCAAAAGCTCCACCACCAAAAAAATTGACCAAAAAGGAATTGAAAGAAAAGGCTGAATAAGAAAAGAAGGAAAGAGAAGAATAAGAGAGAATTCGAAAAGAAGCTGAAGAAAAATAAAGATAAGAGGAAGAACGGTTACGCAAATTAGAAGAAGAGAGATTGGCTGCAGAAGAAAAAGCAAGACTTCAAGAAGAGGAGATAGAGAATGAAGTATAAAGGAGTGTTTTCAAAGAAAATCTGGATAATGCAAAGAAAGTAATTAATATAGTATATTCCAACATTTTAGGTAGCTAGAGCAAATGATGACTGGGATAAGTTTTTGTTATGTTCAATTAAACCTGATATAACATAAGAAGCTTAATTAACTACCTTTATAACTTTGCAAAAGGAATAAAAGATAATTACTGAGTTAAAGGTGGCTGAAGAACTCCAAAAATTATAATAAGCAGAAAATATTGAAAGAGATATTCATAGATTTTTGACTCATTTAAAGGCTGAAAGAAAACTATAATAAAACTAACAATAATTACAATAGTAACAATAGCAATAAGTCTTTTAAAATGATACTGTGGCCAGAAATAAAATGTACATAGCTTAGATTAGAGAAATAATGGTCAAAAAACTAGAAGAGATAAATACTCAGATGGTACTTAATGCTGAACTATTTATTGATGTATATCATTATATTAATAATAGGAAAAATTTGCTGAATTGACGAAAAAGGCAAACGAAGGAGCAAAGGGCACATTCAAGTTAGATGATAAAACTAAACAAGAGGTTATCAAGACCTTTCCTCCAACTGAAGACTTTAAATATGGTATATTCATCTATCCATCAAACAAACCATCCGGCTATAGACATAAACCAAATGAATATCCAGAATTATAATTAGCAGTTGATGTCCCAAGATCAATCTCTGTGTTCCTTCAAAAAATATTATGGACATCATTTGATAATTACTCACCTGATGTTTATAGTAAGTTTAGGATTGTTGGAGGTGTTTTGGATATAGAATATTTGCAGATGCTTCCTCCACCAAAGAAAGTCAACACTTGGACATTGAAATAAAACTATGAATTGAAAGAGACAGTCAAAAGATTAGCATTTGAATTAAATGCAGTATTTAAGGTAAACAATCATATAATTTTGAGGTTTCATATTAACTTCCATCATATATTTGGATTCCAAACAAGGAAACCTAAAAAGTATGGAGAGTTGCATTTTTTGATCGTGTTAGTGAATAATGGATTACGGATGGAGTTGAAGATGCTAAGTTGGATAAAGGAATTAATATTGTTGCTAGTATTCCAAAATTAGGTCCAATTGGATTGTTATAAGAAAGATGTTTGGATTACCCATATAAGAATTTTAAATTGAGATGTGTTGGAAACGAAAAAGCAATTTTAGACATATAAGGAGCTAGGGATTTATTTAAGTTTGAGATTGGTCCAGGATATATTCAATTATTGAAGAAAGACCAAGTATTTATAAATATATATCATAGGAATTCTAACACTTTGCCTACAAAAAACTATTGGTTGGAGCATTATTTTATGAATTATACAGAAGTGGTGTGAATTTTATTCCTGTTATTGAGGATGCTTAATCAGCCAATATTATTTAAAAGGATGAGGGTGCAGAAGAATTGGCCTTAAATGATTTATCAGAAGCAGTAAGAGGATTTTATATTGAATCAAGCAGATGGAACAATAGTGATACTGGTCCATAAATTGTAGTAAAGCTTAAGGAAAATCCAGAGTTTGATGAGGTACTAGTGATTTTAATTTATTCGAGGAATTTGCAGAAAATTAAGAAAAAGATTGGAAGACCATCAAGTGGTGGAATAATAAATGCGCTATAATTCAAGCCAAAGATTCACATTTAAAATGTAATCAAGCTTTTTTGCCAGACACTGAAACTCACTGTAACTTAGAAGTGCTATTAAAAATGCATTCATTAACTACTCCGGAGACTTTAGCAAAAATGAAAGTAATACTATTAAAAGATATCTTAGGACTTGCATTATGTCATTTTTATAGAAACAATTTAATAGGTACTGAGAATAACTAAATTATTATCATTCACAGTAAGAGATTGAATTCTTATATCTATATTATAATTAATATTTGATTTATCCGTTATTATATTATTAATTCTCAGATGATTTAAACAATGTAAAATGAAAATTCATTAAAATTCATTTTTTAATTTTTGTAAGTAATTTTTACAGTTTTTAACTCAGTTCTATTTCATCCTTGATTAATTTTATAGGGACATTAGGATATCTAACAAATTTATAATCTTGACGAAAGTCCTATATTAATTATTTTTCCAGCTTTTATTTATGTTTTACAAATTTGACTTGTATTTTAACCTCATACACTTTGTTGTTTTCTTGAATACCATTTTATCCATTCTCTTATTGAATGCTTCTTTTTGATGTTTAATAATTAATGTTTCTATGAAGGAATGTTAGATTATTTATTTTTTAATTTGAAACCATTCTAACAGAATGTTTTTATTTTTAATAAAAATCAACACTCTAAAATAGTTTTGGTAGTATGTAATTCTAGTCTTAAAATGTTGAGATTCTACGCGATCGAGGAGTTAAATTTTTTTTATTCATAATATTTGTTATAAAAACTATCAAAATATTAAATAAATATTCTCATCCTTATAAATTAGTCTAATTTATTTATCGAAAATGTTTTACTTGTTGAAGAGAGAAGATAAATTATTAAATTAAATCTTTCTTTCCCATTAGTTTAAGAATAATTGAAATATGCATCTATTATTAGATTACAATTATTATACTGTTTGCATAGAAGATATTATCTCTCCTCATAAATTTAGAAAAATAATACAGATCTGCTCGCCTTTCCTTTCAGAGAAAATATGATCGAAAAATCAGAAGCGTGTTTATTTGAATATATATATTGTTTTCAGTTCCTTTACAAAATATAATGTATTGTATTTTAATTTGAATTTAATTATTATTAAAGTATTAAAAGAATAACAATTATTATGAAAATTATACAATTAAAATGAATATTATATATATCATAACAATTATTATTTTAAAGGGAAACAATTTTTAAGTACTTGTTTTTTTTCTCTATAGATATCATACTTACAAGAGTAAAGCTTTTACTTTTCCTATGAGTTATTTATCCTCAGTCGCAGACTTTTTATCATTTTCTTAGTTTGATTTGCTTTTCCATCATAGTTTTCTCTCAATACTTGAAAACCTTTAAGAATTTCTTAATGTTGTACTAACTTTGGTTGCAATGTATTTAGCATTTTGGGGGATTCCTCGATTTATGAGGAGATTTGTCTTTAGATGTTTCTTATTTTAGAATGTTTTCTAAATAGAGATTACCAAAGATCGAGAAAATCTCAGCATTGGTAGTGAAGAGGAGTTGCTCATAAATTACTTCAGTTTATATAAACCTTATGCTTCACGATTGACCATACTATAACTAGTTGTTAATGATTAATTTATTTAAAATATGAAAAAACATTTTGACTACACAATAAATAAAATGATACTGTTTAATTTTATCATAAAATCTAAAATTTATTTCTTTGTTTGATTTTCCGTATCTTTCAAAATAAAGTTATATTATTGGCTTAATCTTCTTAGTGATAAGAAAATTAGAATTTATTTGTTAATACGGTTAAAAACTATCTTATATTTTCTAAATCTTAAAGATTACAAGGTAAGATAGATCTTTAATTGCAAATATTATGAAGTTGGATTTAGAGAAATTATAAAAAAGAAAATAATGAAACTGATAATCTAGAAATTCATTATATTGCTAGTCTGTAATTAAAAAATGACTATACAAAATATATGTTTAAAATTCTAGGAAAACATATGGGAAAATCTAGAGTTGTATTATATCATTTAAAATTTATAATTAATAGCGAGAATAATATTATTAAAATAAGCCTTTCGATATTATAAAAAATATTTTTGTTTATTATTAGCTCTGAACTNTAAAATGAATATTATATATATCATAACAATTATTATTTTAAAGGGAAACAATTTTTAAGTACTTGTTTTTTTTCTCTATAGATATCATACTTACAAGAGTAAAGCTTTTACTTTTCCTATGAGTTATTTATCCTCAGTCGCAGACTTTTTATCATTTTCTTAGTTTGATTTGCTTTTCCATCATAGTTTTCTCTCAATACTTGAAAACCTTTAAGAATTTCTTAATGTTGTACTAACTTTGGTTGCAATGTATTTAGCATTTTGGGGGATTCCTCGATTTATGAGGAGATTTGTCTTTAGATGTTTCTTATTTTAGAATGTTTTCTAAATAGAGATTACCAAAGATCGAGAAAATCTCAGCATTGGTAGTGAAGAGGAGTTGCTCATAAATTACTTCAGTTTATATAAACCTTATGCTTCACGATTGACCATACTATAACTAGTTGTTAATGATTAATTTATTTAAAATATGAAAAAACATTTTGACTACACAATAAATAAAATGATACTGTTTAATTTTATCATAAAATCTAAAATTTATTTCTTTGTTTGATTTTCCGTATCTTTCAAAATAAAGTTATATTATTGGCTTAATCTTCTTAGTGATAAGAAAATTAGAATTTATTTGTTAATACGGTTAAAAACTATCTTATATTTTCTAAATCTTAAAGATTACAAGGTAAGATAGATCTTTAATTGCAAATATTATGAAGTTGGATTTAGAGAAATTATAAAAAAGAAAATAATGAAACTGATAATCTAGAAATTCATTATATTGCTAGTCTGTAATTAAAAAATGACTATACAAAATATATGTTTAAAATTCTAGGAAAACATATGGGAAAATCTAGAGTTGTATTATATCATTTAAAATTTATAATTAATAGCGAGAATAATATTATTAAAATAAGCCTTTCGATATTATAAAAAATATTTTTGTTTATTATTAGCTCTGAACTGATATTAGAAACAGTATTTACTTTCTAGAATTTTTTTATTTATAATTTATCAATAATTCTCATCCGTTATTTTTTTAATATTCTTCTATTTCTGAATTATCTATTAAATTCCTCATGTATTTTCAATTACCAAGTTTTTCTAATAGTTTACAATTAGCCTCTTTCTACTAATTTTAGTAAATATTATTTTTACGATAAAAGTATCAATTAAAAACTACTTTTTGAACTAGGTTTAATAGAATTGTAATTTTTTCTATATGTTCGTATGCTTAATTAATTTCGATGACTTATTTACATTTAATGTTGAATTTAAATCAAGTTCTCTTAAAATGGTGAATTATGATAGATAAATTGTTTCATTAATTAAAATAATTATAAAAGACATATAATAAAATTCAAAGATTAAATTTTGCATTTTCAATATCTATTTATGCTTCTATGTTTTTGATTATTTTTGAAAAGAGTTAATTCATTTAAAATTTGTATTTAGGTTTTTCGTTAAATATGCTATAGACAAATTATTTTTTAAAATTTCCTGATATCATCAATTCTTCATCGCTTTCTAATTTTGAGGAAGTAATTAATTAGGTTTTTAAAGGGATTTCTTTATCTTCTAGAACATTTAGTACAAGTTAAACAGGTTTAACATTTGGGTTTTAAATTTTTGGTAAATTTTTGAAATGATTTATGAAAAAATCAGTTAATAATATGGGGAGAGCAATAAAACTAAAGGAAAAATTCATTTAACGATTTGATTAAGAGAAAACCTATTTATTTGCAATCTCTAAAATAATAGGTAATATTATTGTAAAAATAAGATATTCTGAAGCAATTAATCCTTGTTATTCCGGATTAAGAGAAAAAACTGTTTATGAGTAAAATTAAGTTCTATTTGATACAAATTAACTAGTTTAAGTCTGTTTTCCACGAAAAAGACTTAAGTTTAAAGAATGAATAATAAAAGGTGGAAGTACATTTTTTCTTGTTATTAATTCTAAATCTTAAAGAAGTAATTTTATGAAGTAACATAACTATTACTACTAAAAGTCAAGAATCATTTCTTCATTTTACTTTAAAATTTCAATAAGACCTTTATTATAGTTATCACTAATTAATAAACTACTTATTTTAGAAAATAGGTTTTCTGTAAAATTTTAAAATTATTGTTTAATCTGTCTTTGTCCAAAAAACTATAGATAATTTAAATGAGGCAACTTTAACTTCTTAAAATGTTGTATTGCTTAATTTCTTTTTAACAAAACAAGCCTATTTTTAAAATTTAAATTTACCTATATTTTTTGCTTAACTTGCAAACAGCAATTACTAATAGGGCAATACTCTTAAGTCTCAACCTTTTAATTTATATCCTTCTTATTTTTAAATTCTCAATAATTTCTTATTTATTGTAAATTTAATTTGAGATACTTTAATTTTTTTCATTTCTTACTATTACAGTATTATGAGAAAGTTTTATTCTGGGTATATTGATGTGATCACTGTTTTTATCAACAAACGATGATGAAATTCTTCTGTTCTCATATTCATAATTTTCTTTAATTTACAGGTCTTATTAATAACTCTAATCATAAGGTATATAAGACATTCTGTCCTTAAAGACCTTCTTGATTTTTGATGCTGATCCTTCTGATGATTTTCTTTCTACATAGTTTTATTAAGATGATCCACGTTTTGTTTACATATCTTTATCTCTCCATATTTATTCTTTATTGTCCAATTACTCATTAACATGCAAAGAAGTTTAGATTTTAAATCTTTGAGTGTGCTGGTACCTTCCCAGCATTCTAGAGTTTTCGTTTACATCTGTATACAATTTGAAATTAGCTCTTTAGTTTTTGTCAACCTATTATTTTTGAGAAAGTAAGGGAATGTTGAGTTTTTCACAAATAAAGTTACTCTTAGCTCCTAACCCTAAGAATAACTTCTTCGAATGGGGAAAATTCACTATGTTAAATGAAATGGTTTCTTATTTCTGGCTTATCATTTATTTAAATGTATAATTAAATTGTCATATATTTAGATATTTCAATAGAAATAATTCAACCTAACGATTCATTTCCTTAAAAGTATCAGTTTGCTATTTTGATGTTAAGACTATATTATTTAGAAATGGTACTAACCAAAGCAGTGAGTTGTTAGATTTAATTTGATAAATTGTATAAAAAGTACAAGGTTTAATAAAATTTAAAAAATTAATATCTACGTAATATATAATTTCAACTATCCGTTAAAGTTAAAAATATATATGAATGATATAAGTATAAAATATTTAAACATTTTCTCAATGATAACATAATAAAAAAGTAAAATATATTTCATTAGAAATCTTGATTTAGCTTAATTTCAAATGTGAAAAGTTAATTTACTCAGAAATCATTTTCAATTATATTGATAACAAGCTTAAATTCTTTCACAAATTTCATTTTCTCTTCATCCATAATCATATTCATATTCTTTCATGGTAGTATTTACTCCATTCATAATTTCTATTCGAATATTGAATTTTATAAATCTTGAATACATTATTTAGATTCTGATACTNTCATTTCTTCATTTTACTTTAAAATTTCAATAAGACCTTTATTATAGTTATCACTAATTAATAAACTACTTATTTTAGAAAATAGGTTTTCTGTAAAATTTTAAAATTATTGTTTAATCTGTCTTTGTCCAAAAAACTATAGATAATTTAAATGAGGCAACTTTAACTTCTTAAAATGTTGTATTGCTTAATTTCTTTTTAACAAAACAAGCCTATTTTTAAAATTTAAATTTACCTATATTTTTTGCTTAACTTGCAAACAGCAATTACTAATAGGGCAATACTCTTAAGTCTCAACCTTTTAATTTATATCCTTCTTATTTTTAAATTCTCAATAATTTCTTATTTATTGTAAATTTAATTTGAGATACTTTAATTTTTTTCATTTCTTACTATTACAGTATTATGAGAAAGTTTTATTCTGGGTATATTGATGTGATCACTGTTTTTATCAACAAACGATGATGAAATTCTTCTGTTCTCATATTCATAATTTTCTTTAATTTACAGGTCTTATTAATAACTCTAATCATAAGGTATATAAGACATTCTGTCCTTAAAGACCTTCTTGATTTTTGATGCTGATCCTTCTGATGATTTTCTTTCTACATAGTTTTATTAAGATGATCCACGTTTTGTTTACATATCTTTATCTCTCCATATTTATTCTTTATTGTCCAATTACTCATTAACATGCAAAGAAGTTTAGATTTTAAATCTTTGAGTGTGCTGGTACCTTCCCAGCATTCTAGAGTTTTCGTTTACATCTGTATACAATTTGAAATTAGCTCTTTAGTTTTTGTCAACCTATTATTTTTGAGAAAGTAAGGGAATGTTGAGTTTTTCACAAATAAAGTTACTCTTAGCTCCTAACCCTAAGAATAACTTCTTCGAATGGGGAAAATTCACTATGTTAAATGAAATGGTTTCTTATTTCTGGCTTATCATTTATTTAAATGTATAATTAAATTGTCATATATTTAGATATTTCAATAGAAATAATTCAACCTAACGATTCATTTCCTTAAAAGTATCAGTTTGCTATTTTGATGTTAAGACTATATTATTTAGAAATGGTACTAACCAAAGCAGTGAGTTGTTAGATTTAATTTGATAAATTGTATAAAAAGTACAAGGTTTAATAAAATTTAAAAAATTAATATCTACGTAATATATAATTTCAACTATCCGTTAAAGTTAAAAATATATATGAATGATATAAGTATAAAATATTTAAACATTTTCTCAATGATAACATAATAAAAAAGTAAAATATATTTCATTAGAAATCTTGATTTAGCTTAATTTCAAATGTGAAAAGTTAATTTACTCAGAAATCATTTTCAATTATATTGATAACAAGCTTAAATTCTTTCACAAATTTCATTTTCTCTTCATCCATAATCATATTCATATTCTTTCATGGTAGTATTTACTCCATTCATAATTTCTATTCGAATATTGAATTTTATAAATCTTGAATACATTATTTAGATTCTGATACTTATTAAGTTCAAAATTTTTACCTTCAAAGCCTATTTTTTTCAAAATTTGTTTTTACTAGAACATAATATTTACTCTAAATAATAAGTTAATAAAGCAGGAGGAACTAACTATCATTTTAGTTGAATGGATTTTAGTTGATTATATTTTAGAAAATATTTTTGACTCGAATGAAGAGTATGTATGTTTTCTCAAAATTATACTCCAATATTTTTTGTCAAAAATCAAAAACCTATAATAAGAAAGGAATACTATTTAGAACTCATTAAATTCTCTCATTAGACAAAATAAAATTTAATTTAGTAACAAATCCTATAAACAATGATCTCCTTATAATTGGACTTTGTAGAGATGAAGAGACAAAAAGTCTTTTGAATTTTAAGAATACTGTATATAAATAAATGGATTAGAATTTTGAGAGATTTTTTTGTCATCTTTATGCGACTACCAATTCGTACTTTAAATCAAGGCTATTGGTTAGGATCGAACCAGACATCTAAATATATCTACAACTGAAAGGTTCATACTAAAGTTGTATAACAATTTGAGTTTAATACGTAGATTGGATTAATATTACTAAAATTTCAAAATAATTATTGTTATCTTTATTATTATAACCCTAATTAATACAATAATAGTATTAATGTATTAAGAATCAAAATAATTACGACTCAAATGTGTTTTTACTAAACTTTTATATATTTTATTAAGAATATGAGAATAGAAATTATATATTTATATATTGAATATCTAAAATCAATTTATTATAAGGACATAATTATACATCAGTTGAGTAAAAATATACCACCTTAATTGAAAATAACATTGATAACCCAAATTTTTTGATTCTTGTGTTTTTAAAACCAATAGATATTACAATCTAATAGCATTCTGATTATTAAAATTCATTAATTAAAAATCAATTAGACTTTATAGATGGATCTTTTATAATTTTTTAGTATAAATTGTTAATAATCAAATAAGAGCAAATATAACATAAAAATACGGTAGTTTTGCATAACCAAGACGTTCAAATAACATACTCAAATAGTTTCCTTATTTTGGTATTTAGCCTGTGTGTATATAATTTTCGCAATTATTAATTAACAATAATATATATGTCAACAAATTTAACAAATAATGAGAATCATCACTAGGAATTGGTATCGGATCAATAATAAGAAAATATACATTAGGCTAGATAAATATAATTTTAAAAGGCTTTAGAACAAAGTTTGAGAAGCTATGTGCAATATACTGAATAGCAAAATCAACTTCGATTTGTTTATTTCTTAATAATAGTGCTAGCTATATATTAAATAGTAGAAGTCATTCTATGTATAATCTCTCTTTGTTTAATCTAGAGAAGCCAAGAATTATTCTACATTAGCATAATCTAATTATCAATTAATGGAATTTCTTTAATACCTTCTTTATATTATTTAAAACTATTTCATTAAAATGAAATTGAATATTTAGAAGGATTGCTATGGTTTTAATACGATATAGAATAAAGGCCTGATTATGAGATTAAGTAGATATTGCAAAAGTCTCATTGCTTTTGCTTTTATTTAAAGATTCTAACTATTTTCTTATAACTTTGTATATTAGTATTGATTATATTGGGGTAAACAAAATACAAAAGTTCGATTTAAGAATAACGTATTAAAATTATATATGACAGCTTTAATAATTGGTTTTTCTTTGCAATTTATGAGCATAGCAAGAATCTTGGTTATATTTTTTGGAATAATATTGGCCATCGTTACAATTATTTCGAAAAGATTATACAATCAGATCTATATGTAAATAGCTAATCTTCAAGAATTAGAGTATGAATAATTTTCACCATTAAACAAATATGAAATTTAAATAGTAGAAGAGATTGAACTTTCTCAACTATCTTAAATCTAATGTAACATATGTCTTCACAATTTCGAAATCCATGAGGAGTACTACAAGTTGAAATGTCACCAATTGCACATGTTTCATAAGCAGTGTTTATTGGAGTGGGTATTAGTAAATTAATCCTGTCCAACTTGTAGGTCTGCCATTTGATATTATAACATTATAATTTTAAAAATTTATACAATATAAAACTTTACATCAATAATTTTAGGTGTAAAATACAGAATTGGATAAATAATAATGCAAAAAATCACAATAAATTCATATTTAAGAATATGAAATAATGTCTAACATATGTTTTGCTATGCATAGATGTTTTGAGTCTTGATTTTTAGAAAGAAACTCTTTTATAGATCCTCCTTATCTTAGAAAATCCAATATTTGTTCAGTTTCTTTTTCTCCAATTGTTTCAATACACTATTCCATCTTCATCTTAATAAGATTATTAATAATATCTTATGGTTTATGTTCTGTATCTAAATTACTCGCTTTAAACATTTAATCACTTTAGAATCCTTTATGAATAGGAGATTTTACTTTCCTATTCCTATAAACAGCTAAATTGTCCTTAACAAAAAAATTGTTTATTTTTAATGCAGGATTTGATTAAGACAACTTGGTTTATGAGGACAAAGGTCTTAGACTCATTATTTCATCTTATTATCTTTGAAGATTCGATTTGTATGTTGATTTTTTATCATAAACCTTTTTTTCTAAAATTATTGATTGATGGACTTATTTTATCTCTTATGTGTGTGCAGTATAATTGGATTATCGTTCTTTATTTTCAGTCTCATTTTTTGGAGTATCAATACTAATTAATTATTAATTTGATGATTAAATATTACACCATAGGTCAAAGGTACTTTATTATTCAAATGTAAATGTCATGTATTTTTGGCTGATTAGAAATTTAAAATTATCATTATGAACCAATTGACGGATATCAAGTCGATCGGATTCTTGAAGTTCAAGACAGTTTTTAATAATAAATCGAAGTTATTTTGAATAAAACTACGGTAATTTTACAATTCTTATATGATAATTACAATTACGCTCCTCCATTATGGATCACAGCCTTTATTTATTCAATTAGTTCAAATTTAAATAGCGGTCTCTATGTAGTCAACTCATATAAGATCAGCCCCAATTAATACATAATTGATTTGTATGAAAACTTATTGTGAAACAATAATTCTGGAGGCCTATAACTTGGTTTTTAATGTTAAATCAAATTGTCTATTCCAAAATCCGCAAGTCTAACTTAGTCTTAATGAATCAAAATATTTTCAGGATTTAATCCCTTGTAACATATTTGATTTTCTCTGAGGTATATTAAAACCAAGGTCAGTTGAATTAGAATTTTACAAATTACTCTCTCTTGAATCTTAACACCTTAATGATGTTCTATGAATTGTTTTAGATTTCCTTGATCTGCATATTCCATAATTAAGATTACATTTTCATCTAAAAGAAAAGCCTCCTTTATTTTAATAATAAAAGGAATTTAACATTGTTTGATTAATTAGATTTCACTTAAACCTAAGGAAAACGACTTAAGTACCTTAATTACGCAAACCCATAAATTCTTTCATTGCATAAATATTATAATCCTTGATATCTCTAACCTTATGAATTACAGTCGTCTTAGATTCATACAACTTCTCTAATATTTAATAATTTTGCATCTATATATTAAATAAATATATAAAATAACAATTCTTAAATAAAAATAGAATTATAATTTTCATCATTCTAACACTTAAGAGACCAAAGGACAGAAAGTTAACTTAGCACTTTTCGATCCAGAAAGAGGATCATAATCAATAGATGAACTAGAATCAAAAACTGTTTTTTAGGAATTTTATTGAAAAAATGTAATATTCCATATCGATTAGCATTTTCTAGTAATTTTAGGCATTTAAATATANTGGCCATCGTTACAATTATTTCGAAAAGATTATACAATCAGATCTATATGTAAATAGCTAATCTTCAAGAATTAGAGTATGAATAATTTTCACCATTAAACAAATATGAAATTTAAATAGTAGAAGAGATTGAACTTTCTCAACTATCTTAAATCTAATGTAACATATGTCTTCACAATTTCGAAATCCATGAGGAGTACTACAAGTTGAAATGTCACCAATTGCACATGTTTCATAAGCAGTGTTTATTGGAGTGGGTATTAGTAAATTAATCCTGTCCAACTTGTAGGTCTGCCATTTGATATTATAACATTATAATTTTAAAAATTTATACAATATAAAACTTTACATCAATAATTTTAGGTGTAAAATACAGAATTGGATAAATAATAATGCAAAAAATCACAATAAATTCATATTTAAGAATATGAAATAATGTCTAACATATGTTTTGCTATGCATAGATGTTTTGAGTCTTGATTTTTAGAAAGAAACTCTTTTATAGATCCTCCTTATCTTAGAAAATCCAATATTTGTTCAGTTTCTTTTTCTCCAATTGTTTCAATACACTATTCCATCTTCATCTTAATAAGATTATTAATAATATCTTATGGTTTATGTTCTGTATCTAAATTACTCGCTTTAAACATTTAATCACTTTAGAATCCTTTATGAATAGGAGATTTTACTTTCCTATTCCTATAAACAGCTAAATTGTCCTTAACAAAAAAATTGTTTATTTTTAATGCAGGATTTGATTAAGACAACTTGGTTTATGAGGACAAAGGTCTTAGACTCATTATTTCATCTTATTATCTTTGAAGATTCGATTTGTATGTTGATTTTTTATCATAAACCTTTTTTTCTAAAATTATTGATTGATGGACTTATTTTATCTCTTATGTGTGTGCAGTATAATTGGATTATCGTTCTTTATTTTCAGTCTCATTTTTTGGAGTATCAATACTAATTAATTATTAATTTGATGATTAAATATTACACCATAGGTCAAAGGTACTTTATTATTCAAATGTAAATGTCATGTATTTTTGGCTGATTAGAAATTTAAAATTATCATTATGAACCAATTGACGGATATCAAGTCGATCGGATTCTTGAAGTTCAAGACAGTTTTTAATAATAAATCGAAGTTATTTTGAATAAAACTACGGTAATTTTACAATTCTTATATGATAATTACAATTACGCTCCTCCATTATGGATCACAGCCTTTATTTATTCAATTAGTTCAAATTTAAATAGCGGTCTCTATGTAGTCAACTCATATAAGATCAGCCCCAATTAATACATAATTGATTTGTATGAAAACTTATTGTGAAACAATAATTCTGGAGGCCTATAACTTGGTTTTTAATGTTAAATCAAATTGTCTATTCCAAAATCCGCAAGTCTAACTTAGTCTTAATGAATCAAAATATTTTCAGGATTTAATCCCTTGTAACATATTTGATTTTCTCTGAGGTATATTAAAACCAAGGTCAGTTGAATTAGAATTTTACAAATTACTCTCTCTTGAATCTTAACACCTTAATGATGTTCTATGAATTGTTTTAGATTTCCTTGATCTGCATATTCCATAATTAAGATTACATTTTCATCTAAAAGAAAAGCCTCCTTTATTTTAATAATAAAAGGAATTTAACATTGTTTGATTAATTAGATTTCACTTAAACCTAAGGAAAACGACTTAAGTACCTTAATTACGCAAACCCATAAATTCTTTCATTGCATAAATATTATAATCCTTGATATCTCTAACCTTATGAATTACAGTCGTCTTAGATTCATACAACTTCTCTAATATTTAATAATTTTGCATCTATATATTAAATAAATATATAAAATAACAATTCTTAAATAAAAATAGAATTATAATTTTCATCATTCTAACACTTAAGAGACCAAAGGACAGAAAGTTAACTTAGCACTTTTCGATCCAGAAAGAGGATCATAATCAATAGATGAACTAGAATCAAAAACTGTTTTTTAGGAATTTTATTGAAAAAATGTAATATTCCATATCGATTAGCATTTTCTAGTAATTTTAGGCATTTAAATATANGAAAATCCAATATTTGTTCAGTTTCTTTTTCTCCAATTGTTTCAATACACTATTCCATCTTCATCTTAATAAGATTATTAATAATATCTTATGGTTTATGTTCTGTATCTAAATTACTCGCTTTAAACATTTAATCACTTTAGAATCCTTTATGAATAGGAGATTTTACTTTCCTATTCCTATAAACAGCTAAATTGTCCTTAACAAAAAAATTGTTTATTTTTAATGCAGGATTTGATTAAGACAACTTGGTTTATGAGGACAAAGGTCTTAGACTCATTATTTCATCTTATTATCTTTGAAGATTCGATTTGTATGTTGATTTTTTATCATAAACCTTTTTTTCTAAAATTATTGATTGATGGACTTATTTTATCTCTTATGTGTGTGCAGTATAATTGGATTATCGTTCTTTATTTTCAGTCTCATTTTTTGGAGTATCAATACTAATTAATTATTAATTTGATGATTAAATATTACACCATAGGTCAAAGGTACTTTATTATTCAAATGTAAATGTCATGTATTTTTGGCTGATTAGAAATTTAAAATTATCATTATGAACCAATTGACGGATATCAAGTCGATCGGATTCTTGAAGTTCAAGACAGTTTTTAATAATAAATCGAAGTTATTTTGAATAAAACTACGGTAATTTTACAATTCTTATATGATAATTACAATTACGCTCCTCCATTATGGATCACAGCCTTTATTTATTCAATTAGTTCAAATTTAAATAGCGGTCTCTATGTAGTCAACTCATATAAGATCAGCCCCAATTAATACATAATTGATTTGTATGAAAACTTATTGTGAAACAATAATTCTGGAGGCCTATAACTTGGTTTTTAATGTTAAATCAAATTGTCTATTCCAAAATCCGCAAGTCTAACTTAGTCTTAATGAATCAAAATATTTTCAGGATTTAATCCCTTGTAACATATTTGATTTTCTCTGAGGTATATTAAAACCAAGGTCAGTTGAATTAGAATTTTACAAATTACTCTCTCTTGAATCTTAACACCTTAATGATGTTCTATGAATTGTTTTAGATTTCCTTGATCTGCATATTCCATAATTAAGATTACATTTTCATCTAAAAGAAAAGCCTCCTTTATTTTAATAATAAAAGGAATTTAACATTGTTTGATTAATTAGATTTCACTTAAACCTAAGGAAAACGACTTAAGTACCTTAATTACGCAAACCCATAAATTCTTTCATTGCATAAATATTATAATCCTTGATATCTCTAACCTTATGAATTACAGTCGTCTTAGATTCATACAACTTCTCTAATATTTAATAATTTTGCATCTATATATTAAATAAATATATAAAATAACAATTCTTAAATAAAAATAGAATTATAATTTTCATCATTCTAACACTTAAGAGACCAAAGGACAGAAAGTTAACTTAGCACTTTTCGATCCAGAAAGAGGATCATAATCAATAGATGAACTAGAATCAAAAACTGTTTTTTAGGAATTTTATTGAAAAAATGTAATATTCCATATCGATTAGCATTTTCTAGTAATTTTAGGCATTTAAATATAATTTTTATCTTCTTCTTCTTGTCTTTTTTCATTATTAACTTCATCATCTTCACGCATTTCTTCATTAAATTATAAAGATCTTAATGATGGATGAATAGTATTATCTTCATCTCTAAAATAAGGATGATTTAAGGCATCCAAAGCACTTATTCTATTTATTGGATTCTTCAATAACATTTTTTATAAAAGATTCTAAATAATAGCTGAAAGATACAAGTGAATATACTGTGATATAATCCTAATCTATATGAAGATTGAAATCAATTTATCCTTATTTGTTTTTTTTAAGTACTTCATCAAAAGTATCCCCTTCGAAAACGTTCTTACCAGTCAACAGTTTATAAAATATACATCCACAACTAAATATATCCACTTTAGTTGAATATTAGTTAGCAGTCTTTACATTAAATATCTCAGGTGCCACATAACCAGGTGTTCCACTCTTTGGATAAAACAACCTTAAGGCTATTATCAAATGTACATTTCAAACGATTCATATGTTGCCAATCCAAAGTCAACTAGAATCAAAGAGGAACTATCTCCTTTTATTTTAAACATCAAATTTTCTGGTTTTAAATCTCTATGTATGATCTAATATTGGAAATGAAACTAATACTCTATGTGAATGAAGAGTTGCGAGATTGACTAGTAATTTCTTCAAAATAATCTTAACATCTAAGCTTGAAAATCTTTTTTAATTTGTTATCTTTTATGTATGTAAATATTTTTGATACTTTCAATCTTTCATATTCTCCAATAAGAGTAGGACCTTCCAAAAAGGATGTGACTAAATATTTCATATCTTCTTCTTCATAGATTTCTTTTAAGGTTATAAAATTATCTGAATATTTGGCCAATAATTTTAAAATAGAAACCTACATATTAAAAGCTGCCTTGAATAATAGAATATCTAACTTAAACTTAATTTTAGTCTAACTGTGATTTCATTTATTATTTTTTAATTGATTTTATTGCATAAGTCTTTTATTCAATTGCATGTACTGCACTAAAAACTTTCCCAGTACTTCCCTGCCCTATTAATTAAAATTATTAGTATATTGAATTCATATTTTCAAAGGTTACTTTAAGATTTGTAAATTCTTTTAATCTAGATGATGATATGAATTATATAATACCTTTACAGATCATCATTACTCCCAAATAATGGTTTTGCACTTTTTTTGTAAGGAAAATAAAAACTTTCTATTATCCAACCTTGCTTAGTTTTTTTCAATGTCCATCTAAATTTCACGTTGATTACTAATCTGATTTTGTATTTAGGGTTTTATGAGTTTGGAATCTAGCAACATATATTTTATATTTACAATCCCCATTAATAAGGAATCATCAAAAACATAAACATAATACTTCTTATCTTTAAAAAGATGTTTTCTTGTTCCAATAAAAGAAAATCGAACTTGTGAATAATCGATTTTATCCATATTTAAATGAAATAATTGATTTAAGAATAAATAATATATAAATAAAGTTTTGGCATTATTATAATGTAAATGAATAGGTATGCATAATGAAAATTAAAAGATCATGATATTTAAAATTTTGATTTCTTTATGAAACATAAAAAATATAATTTGTGAACCTATAGCATTAGGTCAAATTGATAAACATATGTATCTTAATAACATCGCATAGATTTAAGCTAATAAGTATTGCTGAATACAGTCATATTCATTCAATATTGAATATTATAATGAAATATCAAATAAATAAAAAAGAGTAATAGAATATTAAATAGTATTCCAATATAATTGAAAAATTATTACATTCATAGATTTTAGGAACGATTTTGATGTAATTTATATAAAACCTTTTCTTATTAGCTAAGTTGCCTTTCAGATGATTAGATAATATAAATGATTAACCAATTCTTATAATAATTCATTGAACACTTAGAGTTTAAAATGCCGAATTAATTGAATCAGTAAATTATGTAAAATAATCATCTATTTCTTATTTTGATGAATTTGGATCCTTAAATATGCTTAAAATATTACCAAGAATTTCATTCTGGATAATTAGTTAAATTCGCACCAGGTTTAATTTAATAATTTATCCCATTTAAGTGAATTATTCTCTGAAATAACCTTGTTGGCCGATTCATAAAATAAAACTATGCATCTCATCATACCTATTGTTTTTAAAAAAGGACAATTGAAATCATATTCACAATAGAAATTTTAGAATAAGAAATCTTCCCTGATGATTTTTGCAATCTAAAAACATATTATTATATATTACTTCCAAAGTAAGTATTTAATCTATTGAAAGCTATTCTCTTTTCACATCTGCTGTCACTTCCAAAAGGATTGACTATTATTTTAGGATATGTTTGAGCTTGTTTCTTAATTACAAAATGTCTGGATCAATTTCATTGAAATAAGGTTCTGAATTCTAATCAGAATATGAAATTTCCCAATTGACAGCAGGAAAATGCTTTTTTATTTTCAATTAGTTATCCAATCTCCAAAATACTTTTGTGTTCATCAAAGTGGCTTTTGTAATAGGATCTTTAATATCCTAAAATCAATAATGATAAGATACTTCTGTTGAGACAACACCAAAAAGAGAAATAGATCCTTCTCTATTAGGTGAACCTATACATTTGACCTTCCCAGCTCTTTGATAAATTGAAGATAATTTTGATCCTAAAAAAGTAGGATACTCTTATTCTGAAAATAGTCGGCCTATACTTTTTGAAATTTCATTTTAAGTTTCAATCCATTTCGAAGTCTAGTCAGCTATCAAGCCAACATTGAAACCCATATCTCTAAAATATTCAGCAAAAGTTGTTCCAGCATAAAGAGAAGCATTCCTTTTACCTAACGAGGTATTAGATGGATTAGCAACCAAACAGGTACGTTAATTTACGGATTCCTTTTTATCTTTAAATTCAATTGTCAATTCTGGATATTCACTAAGTACAGAAGCCATTTCATTTCCACTTTCAGCACACCCTATGTATATCATACATTAAGTATTTGATTATTTGGTTAAAGCTAAAGAGATCTCAAGATATCCACATTCAGCTGGTCCAGAAATACAACAAGTTTCTCCCAAGAAGGCTGAAAATAAACCATCTAGTATTCTAACTCCTGTAATGATCGGTGTATTACTATGCAATTTCTCAAGAATAGGTCTGGGTTGTCTTACAGGCCAGAGATGACTCATTCCATATTGATATTTTTTGTCATTCAATTCTACTTCTAACACTTTATCTTGTAATGTATAATTGCCTGCAGATGCAATATAAGTTACCCTTCCTTAAACATTAGGTGATGCCAAAATGTTATGCTCTTCAATAAGATTATTTTCAAACACTGATCCATAAATATCACCTCCAGAAATTATTGAATCTAATTTAATTGAAGGAGATGGTTTGAATTCCCAAACTCGATCTTAATCTAGTCCTAGAATATTAACATTCTTAGGTATATAAGATAAGGATAGTCCTTCTGTAATCTCTTATAATGGTCTTTGAATCCCATCAAAAATTTGTGTAAAAATACCTAAATCAATAAAAATATCCTACCTGGTCCTAATTCAACAGACAGTGGACTCTTAGTTAATATTGTTGGATCACCCACAGACAAACTAGCTGTTTAAATAAATTAATTTTAGTACAAGTAACTTCNTCCAAAAGGATTGACTATTATTTTAGGATATGTTTGAGCTTGTTTCTTAATTACAAAATGTCTGGATCAATTTCATTGAAATAAGGTTCTGAATTCTAATCAGAATATGAAATTTCCCAATTGACAGCAGGAAAATGCTTTTTTATTTTCAATTAGTTATCCAATCTCCAAAATACTTTTGTGTTCATCAAAGTGGCTTTTGTAATAGGATCTTTAATATCCTAAAATCAATAATGATAAGATACTTCTGTTGAGACAACACCAAAAAGAGAAATAGATCCTTCTCTATTAGGTGAACCTATACATTTGACCTTCCCAGCTCTTTGATAAATTGAAGATAATTTTGATCCTAAAAAAGTAGGATACTCTTATTCTGAAAATAGTCGGCCTATACTTTTTGAAATTTCATTTTAAGTTTCAATCCATTTCGAAGTCTAGTCAGCTATCAAGCCAACATTGAAACCCATATCTCTAAAATATTCAGCAAAAGTTGTTCCAGCATAAAGAGAAGCATTCCTTTTACCTAACGAGGTATTAGATGGATTAGCAACCAAACAGGTACGTTAATTTACGGATTCCTTTTTATCTTTAAATTCAATTGTCAATTCTGGATATTCACTAAGTACAGAAGCCATTTCATTTCCACTTTCAGCACACCCTATGTATATCATACATTAAGTATTTGATTATTTGGTTAAAGCTAAAGAGATCTCAAGATATCCACATTCAGCTGGTCCAGAAATACAACAAGTTTCTCCCAAGAAGGCTGAAAATAAACCATCTAGTATTCTAACTCCTGTAATGATCGGTGTATTACTATGCAATTTCTCAAGAATAGGTCTGGGTTGTCTTACAGGCCAGAGATGACTCATTCCATATTGATATTTTTTGTCATTCAATTCTACTTCTAACACTTTATCTTGTAATGTATAATTGCCTGCAGATGCAATATAAGTTACCCTTCCTTAAACATTAGGTGATGCCAAAATGTTATGCTCTTCAATAAGATTATTTTCAAACACTGATCCATAAATATCACCTCCAGAAATTATTGAATCTAATTTAATTGAAGGAGATGGTTTGAATTCCCAAACTCGATCTTAATCTAGTCCTAGAATATTAACATTCTTAGGTATATAAGATAAGGATAGTCCTTCTGTAATCTCTTATAATGGTCTTTGAATCCCATCAAAAATTTGTGTAAAAATACCTAAATCAATAAAAATATCCTACCTGGTCCTAATTCAACAGACAGTGGACTCTTAGTTAATATTGTTGGATCACCCACAGACAAACTAGCTGTTTAAATAAATTAATTTTAGTACAAGTATCTTCATAACATTGAACATAAGCTTTATCACCTTCCAATTTAATGATTTCGCCAAGAAGTTTGTCTTATCCAATCTTGACTAATTCAAATAGTTCTGCATCTTTTATGTCTTCTATAACAACAACTATCCCATTATTATATATTAAAACATGATCCATCTATTTTAAATACTCTTCCTAAACTAATCTCCTTCTCTTAGAGCTCTTCCATTTGTTAAATACGTTATGTATTCATAGAAATAATAAAATTAATATTAGGTTATGATCATGATTCTAAAAATAAAATGTAAATTGTTTTTCTTTAGTCATATATAAATATAATTATAAATTTACAATATTTATTATTATTAGTTTTCATCATAAATTTATACAAATGCGCCTTTAACAGTATTGTTTGAATTCAATATTTTTAAGCTAAATTAACCAGAAAGGTTATCGTCGATAGAAAACACTTATAATGTCTAAGAATTTGATTAGAAATTAATGAATAATGAATAATTGGGCAAAAATAAATAAATAATAAAAACTGATATATTTTAATTCGACCTCGTTACTTATATTATATTAAGTCTAGAAAGTGGGTGTGAATCTATTTAATGGGTTAGGTTATTCTTACTTAATTGGGTGTGTATAAATTTGATTTATTAGTCAGGATATAATGAAAATTGAATATGATTTTTTTTTTATAAAATATTAATGAATAACTCTTTATACTTTGTATCATCTGAAAGACAATCTTTTTGGAACAAAAATTTGAAGTCTTTGGTAAATTATGATTTTCATAAATTGTCCGAAGATTAATAAACAATAGTCTTATTTAAACAAGGATAGTTACTTAAGAGAACGACTCCAAGACGATATAAGATCTATCATCAACACCTTTTTTATTTTCAGGTGGTAAGTGTTTTATATTTTATTAGTGATTTATTAAAGAATGGTGAGATAGGAGGCTTTCTAATTCTCAAAAATGTATATTGTTCATTTCGAAACAAAGAAAACTTATTAATAATCACATTGTCTCATGATTAGTCCCAACTACAACTATTTACCAGTAATAGAACAGAGGAGGTTGACAACTTTATGAATGAATTGAAGTTAAATTGCATTTAAGAATAGACATTGACAAATTTTTACAAAATCAATGAAAAAATAGGTGAAGGAATAACCAGTGAGGTATGTTAAATTATCTATCTTATAAGGTGTTCCTAGGAAGTAATTAAGATAATTAAAAATTTGCAATAAAAAAAGTAGCAAAAGCACAACTTGGACATAAAATGAGAGATAAATAAGCCAAGAGTCTGGCAGAAGAAATATTCATTATGCGAACGCTTGATTTTTCTAACATCCCAAAATTATATGAAGTGTTTGAAAATGATGGTATCTTTTTAATTATAAATAAATAAGATTACATTGGGTTAGTAATGACCCTTTATGAAGGTGGTCAATTGTCGGAAAAGCTATCAAATCTCAATCTATCTCAGAAATAACAACTGGTTAAAAATCTATTAGAAACTATGAATTATGTTCATTCTTAATCAATTATGCATAGAGATTTGAAACCCCAAAATATTATGTATAAAAACAAGGATCCAACAAGTGTAGACATAGCTATCATTGATTTTGGATTCGCTACAAATCAAAAATACTAGGAGCATGTACTTTATAATTGTGGTACTCTTGGTTATGCAGCACCTGAAGTATAAGAATATAAAGAAAAATAAAAAATGTACACAACCTAATGTGATGTTTACAGTTTGGGAATCATAATTTATGAAATGTATTCAAATTTATAATCTAGCTTCTTTGGTGTTCACCCCTTTAGAAACTCTATTTCTGGAAGTCTTACTTTTAATGACAAGGTAAAGGTTCCATAATCTCTTAAGAATCTCTTAATTTAAATGACAAGAATCTAACCTAAATAAAGATTTACTTTGAAAGAATGCTTAGATTAAGATTTTTTTCGTGAGAATTTTGATTCTTTAGGTCTGGACGGTCTGTCTAAATACAGTTTGGTTGATTCAATCTATTAAAAATCTCTCATTATTTCAAGAAAGAATTCAATTGAGCATTCTATAAAATAAGAGAAAATGAGTAAATTGGAATCTGCCAAAAATAAAACGATTAATTCTACTGCAGCAGAATCTAAGAATATATTAATAAAGAGTTAAAATCAATATGATCAATAATTCCAAGATGATCTCTAATTTAATGAATATCATAATTATCCAAATGACTTTAATAATCTTCTCTAGAAAAGAATATGAATGAATTGTATATGATTATCTTATTATTATTATTGTTATTTTACTAATATATAATTTACATTCAGAATTTTTGTAAATCCAATCTGAATTCTGAAATATTGATTGAATTTATAATCACGATTTATATAGGCAATCTATCCCAAAATGATCAGACATATAAGTTTAATAATAGTGTTCTCTATGTGTCAATAATACTTGTATAACCAAATATATGAAGATAATTCCTCAAGTAAAATAATATTTTATCTCGATTATTATTGGATTTAGAATTTCGACTCTTTCAGTATGAGATAGGTCATTTATAGAGGTAGTTTATTCTAATTACATTAAAATATAAAATAAAAAATATGTATTTATTAGAAACAAAATGTTAAATCATTATGAAATAAAAACTTTATTTGGTTTGAGGTTGTGAAATATGGATTCCATTTATTCTAAATTATTATCAGAGTCATCCAAATTAAAATACTTAAGGGGAGGTTTTTGATATTTGATTGACGGTTTCTTTTCTTTTTATTATTTTGCTAGAATATCTCGATTTCGGGATTCACTTATAATTTTAATAGAAATTTGATACTATTTGTTGCTTTCTTGGTATGGATACTTATTAATTTTAGCAAACTTTTCCAAGTAATAGGTTTCATTCTTAATTTCATCCACACTTCGTCTTTCCATATACTTCATATATTGTACTCTAACAGGATTTGTATGTTTCAATCTGAAACTCGGATTCATGCGTATGGGCAATCGATGTTGACTGTGATATTCAATGAAAGGTAGCTTAAAGTCTGATTGTGATTGGGATTCTTACATTTAATAATAAATATTAAAATTAGATAAAATGAAGGAATCATAAAGATTTCATTTCAGAGGGACTATTCTGTTAATTAATTTCTCTTGAAATCGTCTTCCATAAATACTAGGTTCTTGTGCTGAAGTATCAAGTTGCATATTCATTTTGATAATTTTTTTGGTTTATCTCTCAAGTGATTTATTAACATTCCATCGTTGTAAGTAGTCAATAATAGCAATATGATAATATATCTAAATAACAATAAATTTTACTCCTTTTTCTTTGATAGATGGTATCACATTTATTTATTATCCATCTAAATATTTTTATAATTCTTCTTCTTTTTGATTCCAGTCAATGATCATGACAAGAAGAGAATAGTCAATTAATTATTGTCTTTCTAAGAAATTGGAATCTGTTTTAAGAGATTGATTAAGTTCTAAAATTAAGGATAAATTTAACTTTTTGAGATTGAATCTTCAACCCAAATTTCCTGTTCAATTTTAAAGAAATCTAGATCTTTGAGGGTTATCTTTGAAAGATCACTGGAAGGTTTCTTAGCAAGTACTTCTCTATCATATTCAGAACCTTTCATATCGTAAGTTCTTAGAATTGAGGTTCTTGGTATACCCAATGAGATATTTTTCATGATTAAGAAATGCACTCTCGAATGAGCTTGTTCTTGTCTTTCAAAAGTATACATCCCATATATTTTATTGAGTAAAGATTAATGATTATTAAATTGATAAGTAGCAAAATTATACAATCTCTTTTTATATGTGTTTACTTCACTTTATCTCATAGTTTTGATGATCAATTAATTATTATAAGAGAAAAAGAAGAATTCTCCACTTTTTCCTCCATCTGGTCCTGTGAATTGATCAATACAAGCAGAATTCTTGATTAAATCAAAGCAATCTTCAATATCAATGTTATCTAAAGTAATGAAATAATTGAAAATCTTAGGGGCATAAAGAATACATCTCATAGAGAACACTTGGATTTCTTGATTGATCTTCAATTTCTCCTATAGAATTTCATTATTTAAGTTGGTGACTAAACATTCTTCAATCTCATCCAGTGTAAATGGTTAAGAGAAGGCATCCATTAATTCACTTAAATCTCCTTGACTAGAATTACTGCCACTGCCATCTTATTCATCCTATATAACCAAATCTTTGTATTGGACAACATCTTCTAATTTAATTCTTCTAAGTATTTGAACTCCTGCCAACATTGAAGTTACTTGGGTTTTCTTCATCTCTTTATGCAACTATTCCAGAACATTGAATTCTATAACAATCATATATCCTAATACATTATAATGAGATTTCTTTCATGTCATTTTCATTATTGTCATCTGCAGTCGAAGAATGATTAAATATTAGTTTGAGTGATGAATCATTGAAGATTATAATAGTCTATCCAAGAATACAGAGTGCCTGAGTTATATTTTATAGTGTGGCAGATACTTCTAACCAAGTCTTTTAAAATTTGTAGCAATTCAGCAAATTTATAGCACTAAATATTCCAAGAAGAAATTTCATTATCAGACTGAAACCTATGAATCTTTGATAATGTCTAAGATATTGGCCTCTCACTCTTCTAATTGTTGAATATTTTGGAATCAATTTTTTCAATGTTAAAACATAAATTACAGACATTGTGCCAAACAAAAGAAAAATTAGCAAATAACTTAATGATATTACGAAATCCATTGTTTCACTATCAGTTGCTGATATTGCACATATTCTACAATCATATGATATCATACCCATTTAAAGTAAGAGATACAATGTTATGACCAAAAATAACTACAAGAATAATAATGCAAACTATGGAATAGTTGAAGATTCTTAATAATCTAGCTGCAGATTTAAGTGTATTGTAAATTAAAGCCAACGGATAGGCTGCATAAACAAATATATTTAGATTCGATATCACAAACACTATTGAAATTGCTAATCCTGTTATCTATTTTATTTCTTTCTTTACTTCACAAAATGCATTCTTTAATGGAGCCTCATTATACTTCAAAACATATATGGCTGTCGAAAATTAAACCATGCTTTCTATTCCGTTCATAATCATAATGACAAACACACTGTCTCCTGGAACTCCAAATAGTTTTGTGTCTTTTAAAAATTAGTACACTATCTTCATGGTTCCAAAAAATGTAATTGGAGCTTTATCTTACATTCATTTGATACATAATATTATGAAAACCCATATATCAATTGGGAATAACTTAAGTATTAACTTTCTATCCTCATTGGAATATTGATTGTATTTGCAATTGTAAAGTTCACTATCCGAATACATTTTTCCATATGAAGGAATAATGGCCAGAAGTAGAATGAGAAATATCTATTATATTTTCATAATAATTATAATAAAATTATATAATGAGTTTCTAAAGTGTGTAATGATTTCAGGAATGGTTAATCATAAATTGCATTCAATCATGATAATACTATTTATTAATTAATAAATTATTTAATTCCCTAATAGTAGTATACACTTAATAAATATATTTGATTCTTCTCATAAATCATTATCATTTTAGGAGTTTTATAATGGAGAATTAAAAATATTAACTATTAAGTCAATACACTGAGGACCTATTAAAAACGAACATATAGTTTAAAAATTAAATAGGTGTAAATAACTTCTATCCTTATTTAGTGCATCAATATTAAACAGTATAGGTAGGATTATAAATTTAAATGAATTAAATTAAATAATAATAATAACACTTTTTGAACATCTTAAGGTAGTATTAGGAAAGGTTAGTAGAATTGACTAATAAGAATGAAAGTAAAACTCACTTGATCATTGAATTACTGAATAAGGAAGAGTTATTGCAATAGCAAATTAAATAGATGCAAACAACAATAGATAGACTAACAGAAGAAAATAATACACTGAAGACAGACATGTTGCCTTATGGGTCAATTAGTGAAGTTAAATAATTAGTTGAATAATTTAAATAAATACATGCTGAATTATCTCAGTGAATATTAACCCATTTATATTAAATTGTAATGTTGATTATTTTCATTTTTCGTAAACTTAATGCTTGCTTAGAGGAACAAATTTAAAGTTTTGTAAATCTTATATCTAGAAAGTTCCATTGATAATCACATTGTCATTACCCCATTGGAAATTCTCCCATTTTAATTTCTCAAAAATCACACCTTTTTATTCCTTAGGCAGTGGTACCTAATATAAATAGAATAGCATACACCAAATTTTTGAAGCATCTCTACATCTGATTACTGAGGATATAATATCTCCTAAATTGTAAATACATTAGAATCTAGAAATACTTCTTCATCAATTTTTGAAGAATCCATATATATTTCATATCTACCTAAAATAATTAATTTACTTTTTAGTGTGAGTTTCAATATATAAACAATGTGTTTTTAATTTATAAGAAGTTCTGCTGGACAATCCTTACGCTGTTTCTTTATCCATAAACGTGAGTTAATTATATTTTTAACTTGGCTCATTGCACATATCCCAAACAATCCAACCTTCATTCAAGGGAGGTAAATTATTCACTAATAGATTTTCAGGTTATGAGATTTGAGGAGGTTCATGTAAAAATACATTTGAATGACTCCTTTTTGTTAATCTTCTATTTTAAGGCAGTGACATCTTTTTAGCCCAACTAATCAATTACTCTGGAGAACCAAGTTAAGGCAACCAAGTTACTTTCTCTGGTTTCAAACAATGAGCACAAGGAGTCTTCAATGTTCTAGACAACAAAGGAATTTTCATTTATCCATTTAATGACTTTTTTCCTTTGATCACTTTACAAGATAAACTCACTCCTTAATAAAATGCACTAGTTAATTTCAAGTCACCCAATGCCAATAATCCAGCATGTATTCCAATACAAACAGCATCACTATGACTAGCATAAGCTCCATTAGAACCCCATATTTGTCTTAAAATAATGCCAGGATTATTTTTATTTATGTATTCACAGGCTATTTTAATGTCAATGATTGAATTAATGTAATTCGATAAATTTGGTAATTCAGCGCCAGGTTTGTATAAAAATGTTGCAGTAGCCGGGATCTAATTTGAGTTTGGTTTCTTAAGTTTAGTTTCTCTTTTATGAAATCTATTAGGTCCCAAAATTGGTTGTTGTTTATTTTTTATCCTTATCCCTGAAATTCATATATATGTTACCATCATATTATGATAAATCATCATCATCTATCTGACTATCGTAGTCTTCTGAATTATTTTTCTTTCTCTTCTCTCTTTATGGTCTTTTGTTATTTCTCCTTTAAGAAGAGCTTCTAGATGACTGGCTGCTATGGGATAAGTTTGACATTTCTTTTGATAATATAATTTATCACTCTTTATCAAATTTAATAATCTGTTTAAATCCGTGTACTTTTTTATCTAATTTTATTCCATTTCTTTAATAACTAATTTCGATCTTATAAAATGAGTCTTAAATTTAAATTCAGGAGTTTGTATTGATTAAATGTAAATTATCTATAGTAATATTTAATGTGGTGGTTCTAATATTTCTTATTCTTAAATAACATTTTAATACTTAAAAATAAAAAAAAGAAAAATAAACGCTCCCCTACTTTCGTTCTTTCCATTTATAGTATTGGAATGGAAATATGTAAAAATAATAAAGAATATGAAACTCTCCATATTTAAATCAAAAATTATATCTATTTACATAATTTCATTGGTATTACTATTCTAGTTAACATTGTGAATAGATTATCTTAGGGATTCCAATCTATGCTCTTTCTTGTTTACATGAAATAGTTAAAATAACTCCCCTACTGCTATTGAGAGCTTTTAAAAAATAATTTCCAGAATATTTTTTAAATAGTTCAAAATTTCAGATAATTCTCATCTAAATGGAGGGTTTATCATAAAAGTAGATTTTGAATTCTACTTATTATTATTTTACATAATAAAATAATAAAAAATGTTGATATTTTTAGAATGGCTATTTTAATTTAACAAAATCATTTTTAATTCCAATATTGTTATAGAAAGTACTTAATTCTGAAAATAAAACTACAAATAATGTTGTTTAAATTAAGTATTATTCAAAGATATAAGAATATAACTAGTTAAGCATATCGTCATTTTGAGTAGTAATGACATTATTCAAATTAAAATGATAATTGTGGTCTAAGAAACTTGAATCTGATAAATTTTTTATCATAAATTTTATTTGTGATGTAAGAAGGGAAAAAATAGAAAAAATTCTTTGGGAAAGACATCATGAATCTTCTAAAATTAATGGTTCCTGAGAAGAGGTATTGCATCTTAGGTATGACAGTGGTTGGTTTGAACAGTGCTTTGCTTCTGTATCTACCCTAAGTGACAACTGATATAGCAAAATTACAAGAATTAAAATATGATCAGGAAAATAAAGAAAAGAGTCAAAAGACTAATATGTATTATCATCTAAAATGGGGAGGTGTATGTTTACTTGGAATGTTCTTAGGAGGGGCTCGTAGATTTCTAAATACATAAATCAGTAATCGAGTAGGAATGAGAATGAGATATGCTATGTTTTAGAAATTAATGAGTACTAGAGATACTCAATCGTTGCATTCACAATAATTAGTTCATAAATTATCAAATGATGTTAGTTTAGTGTCTACGGGATTATCATAGGATATATTTATAATGATTAGAGGATTTATAACTACAATAGGAGGAGCAGCCTATTTGTCATATTATGCATTTCCTTTGTTGGCATCTGCTAGTGCAGCAGCAGCTGTAATGGGAGGATCAGCTATTTTATTAGGAAAATATATGTCCTAATTTAAAGTCAAGGAAACACAAGAATTAGGGTCTTTAAGTGAAGTATCATAAGAAATGCTACAAGCACACAGATTAATCAAATTGTCTGACATGGAAAAGAAAGAAAATCAAAGATATTCAGCATAATTATTTAGATGGTATGAATAAGCAACTTAATTTTCTAAAATGTAAGCTTTAAATATGGGATTGATGGAAGGAGGAGGCTTGTATGCTCTAATTTTGATCTTATTCTAAGGTTGTTACTTAGTTGCCACTGGACATTTAGATCCAGAGTTAGCAAAATACTTTATCTAAGCAGTCTATATGGCCTCAGGAACTAGAGTAATGATAGCTATTTATAATGAATTGGTTAAGACTGCTGCTATTTATAATACTATACTTGATATTCATCCAAATCTTCATGAATCTGAATTATATAATCAGCCAGATCTAACTAAGAATTATAGAGAGTATATAAGACAAGATGATATTTTGAAGGCTCAATTGCTAAATCCACCTTAAAGTGCTGAACATACTAAAGAATGGTAAGAATTGTATGAAAATTCTACAATTCCACCCCCAAGTATCTCATTTGAGAATGTTCAATATTCCTATCCAAATCATGAGAATTCTACACTAACATTCAATCTATAAATAAATTCAGGTGAAATAGTTTTATTATAAGGACCAAGTGGATCAGGTAAAACCACTGCTTTAAATTTATTAACAAAATTATTAACTCCATCATCAGGAGAGATCTTAATTGATGGTGAACCTTTATCTAAAAAGGATTTTAAATGGATTCAACAACATGTCTCTTATGTTTAATAAGATGGAATTATATTTAATGCAACTGTATACGAGAACATCATTTATGGCAATCATGGGTATGATTAGAGTATGGAAAGAGTTGTTTGGGCAGCTAAAATGTCAAGTGCTCATGATTTTATAGAGAATATGTAAAATAAATATTAGACTAAATTAAAATCAGATGGAACCACCTCGTTATCTGGAGGTTAGAAATAAAGAATTGTATTGGCAAGAGCTATTCTAAAGAATCCAAGAATTCTCATTCTAGATGAAGCAACATCTAATATAGACAGTCAATCTGAAACAGATATCATATAAGCTTTAATGGAGATTTGTAAAGAAAAAACAGTCATTATTGTTTCCCATAAAATAGAAAATTATAAACCCTTATTAACAAGATTCATTAATTTAGACAAATGATATTATATTTCATTATTAAACATTTTATAACAACAAATATATCAGAAACTTTTATTTTTTCAACCAATTGATCTAAGGTGTTTTATGTTAAAATGAATAATATTCAAATTAATTTGCCATTTTGAAATGTAATAAGTATTTTTCTGTTGAGATATAAAAAAAATCAATATCTAGTTGAGATATCATTTTATATTAATTGGATTATGTATATTAATTATGAAAGTAGCCTTATAAATACAATAATCATTCTAAAACTAATTCATGTTTACAATCAAGTTTTTTGGTTTATTTGTCTAAAGTAATTAAGATCAACCTTAGTCTCTAATTATATTTTGCAATTGTTCAAATGTCAATAAATATGACAACATATCATTATATATATATAGTCAGTTTTAATTAAAATTCAACATCATAAAGCTTTTCTAAAATTTTGAGTTTCCTATCATATATAAGCAAACCCTTTTTTTTCTATCGAACTATGATATTTTGATAAAAATATACAGAATGAAGTAATTGGTGATGTAATTTTCGATTTGAAGTAATACTTTTTATAAAAATTGCGCAATGAAATTTCTTTCAAGAGATGTATTGAAAAATGGTGAAAATTGATAATTTATTATACATACTTATCTCAGATGGCAGAGATAGATCTAACACAGCCCTTCTATTCTTATCCAATAGAAAAAGTTGTTTCTTCTGTAAAAACAGATCTAACAAAGTAAAATTTGGATCAAATTTTAGGGGATTATCTAAGGGTGAAGCCGAGGCAAGACTAGCTAAATATGGAACAAATGAGTTAGAAAAGGAAGAGAAAGAGAGTATTTGGGAGAAAATCAAGGAATAATTCGAAGATAATTTAGTAAGAATATTGCTTCTTGCTGCAGTGATATCATTCGTGATTTCTCAATTTGAGGATCATGAAGAAGTGCATGCAGTGCCTCCTTGGGTCGAGCCATGTGTCATCTTCACAATTTTGATTTTGAATGCAGCTGTAGGAATATGGCAGGATCTAGATGCAGAGAGAGCAATAGAAGTATAGAATATACAATATATTTTTAGGCATTGAAAGACTTATAATCTCCACATGCTATGGTTCTTAGAGATTCATAATGGGGATAGATTGAAGCTAAAGATTTAGTGATAGGAGATATTGTTGAAATAAAATAAGGAGATAGAATTCCTGCTGATTTAAGAATGGTAGAGTTGAAAACAATAACATTGAAAACAGATTAGGTATTTCTTTGATTATTATTGTTAAGTCAATTCTAACAGGAGAGGTTAACCCAGTTAATAAGACAACTGAAGCTGTTGTAAAAGACAAAGCAGCTGTTCAAGATAAAATTAACTTTTTGTTTTCTGGAACTCTAGTATCTAATGGAACTGCCATAGGAATAGTTTGTTGTACAGGGATGAAGACAGAAATTGGAAAGATCTAGAAGGAAGTTTAAGATGCAGCAAAAGAGAAATAAGAAGATGATGATCCATTATCAAAAAGATTGGATGAATTTGGGGATAAATTGGCTAAAGTGGTGACTTATATTTGCATAGGCTGTTGGCTTATGAATATAAGTAATTTTTCAGATCCTGCCCATGGTGGAACTGTTATGGGAGCATTATATTATTTTAAAGTTGCTGTTGCATTAGCTGTGGCTGCTATTCCAGAGGGTTTACCAGCAGTTATCACTACTTGTTTGGCTCTTGGAGCTCGAAGGATGGCTAAATAAAGAGCCATTGTTAGAAAATTACCAAAAGTCTAAACTTTGGGATGCACAACAATTATTTGCTCAGACAAAACTGGTACATTAACAACCAATGAAATGTGTGTTAAAGAAATTGTGTTGTTGACAGGAAAAGAAGCATCAACTATTGAAGTATTTCCAGTTGAAGGTACTTCCTATCATCCTGAAGGTAAAATTGAAAAATTAGAATCTACTTTGGTTAAAGGAAATGGATTAGCTGCAAATCTTAAAAGATTAGCATAATCTATGGCCTTATGCAATGAATCAAAATTATACTCAGATAAAGGAAGAGTATAAAGAAGTGGATTACCAACTGAAGCTGCTTTAAGAGTTTTAGTTGAAAAAATTGGAAAATATGATAAAAATTTCAAGTCAAAACCTATTTTGGATGCCCCAGAATAATATAACGAAGCAATTTCTGCTGAATTTACCAAAAGAGCTACTCTAGAGTTCACTAGAGACAGAAAGAGTATGTCTGTTTTGGTTAATTCTTAGAATGAGAAAGGAAATATCTTATTCATTAAAGGAGCTCCTGATTATTTACTTGAAAAGTCAAATTAAATTATGAATGCTGATGGAGAAGTTGTTTAATTTAAAGCATAAGACAAAGCATAATTCTTAAACATTGTAAAGAACCTGGCAGAGAAGGGATTGAGAACATTAGCAATTTGTGTATAAGAAGAATGCGGATAATTGAGCTCTTATGATGGACCTAAGCATCCTGCACATCCATTACTAATAGATACTAATACATATAAAGATATTGAAAATAAGCCTATAATTATTGGTGTTGTTGCTCTGTAGGATCCCCCAAGACCAGAAGTAAAAAGATCTATTGAAAAATGCAGAGAGGCTGGCATCTCAGTTATCATGATTACTGGAGATATTAAAGAGACAGCCTAATCCATCGCTATGTAAATTGGTATCTTACATAATTAATCTCAATTTGCTACACATTCATTTACTGGACTTGAATTTAGTTAGATGGGAGAAGAAAAATAAAAGAAAGTTTTATCTTAAGTCATTGGAAAACCAAGTGGATTGGTATTCTCAAGAACTGATCCATCTCACAAAAGAGAATTAGTAAAATTATTGACTGGTCAACTAAATCAAATCGCTGCAATGACAGGAGATGGTGTTAATGATGCCCCAGCCTTAAAGTAAGCTAGTATTGGTATTGCTATGGGTATTGCTGGTACTGAAGTTGCAAAAGAAGCCTCAGATATGATTTTAGCCGATGATAATTTCGCTACAATTGTAAGAGCTGTGGAAGAGGGAAGAGCTATTTACTAAAACATGAAGGGATTCATTAGATATATGATTTCTTCAAACATTGGAGAAGTTGTCTCAATTTTCACATCATCATTATTGGGAATACCTGATGGCTTTAATTCAATTCAATTATTATGGGTCAATTTAGTTACTGATGGATTGCCTGCCACAGCCTTATCCTTCAATCCACCCGATCCTGATGTGATGTAGAAACCACCAAGAAAACATGATGAACCTATTATCACCGAATTTGTATTTATTAGATACTGTGTCATTGGAACTTATGTTGGCTTAGCTACAGTCTTTGTATTTGTCTATTACTATTTGGGATATGAATGGGCTGGAGATGGTCACCCAGTGGTTACTTTCACTTAACTGAGAAATTGGGGAGAATGCCATTATTGGGAAGGATTCAAAGTAGCCAATTTTGATAAGTATGACTTTTCAAAGGATCCATGTCTTTATTTCTCATGGGGAAAATAAAAGGCATCTACCTTAAGTTTATCAGTCTTGGTTGTTATTGAAATGTTTAATGCTTTAAATGCCTTATCTGAAGTATAATAATAATTTATAAATTATAATAGGATAGTTCATTATTAAAAGTTGGAGTATTTGCAAACCCATACTTGATATTGGCCATATTTGGATCCATGACATTACATTGCATGATTTGTTATGTTCCACTCTTTGAAAACATCTTTAACACAGTTCCTTTGACTGCGCAAGACTGGTACTTTTGTTTAATTATCTTAGGATCCTTGTATTGTCTGTTTCTGCTCCAGTTGTATTGGTTGATGAAATATTAAAAGTATTTTCAAGAATAAGAAATGCTAAATTATTAGAGCAAAGAAAGAAACTTGATTGATTTATTGAGTGTTTATTAATACAATAGAATATCAAATATTATAAATACGATCATTTCTAATAATCAATGTAATCAAGATTATGTCACTCTCCTTTTCAAAAATCCATCCTTCCTCATTGAGATAACAGTAACTTTATCATCCAGAAAAGGATTTCGAATATTATTATTATATACGTCTCTTTGAATAGTAGCTTCATCTGTTTCACCAAGAAATGCTCCATATTCTTCAGATTCGTCATTAAGACTCTTCTTTCTTTCCTTAATCTTATCCAAGAATATTCTATCATTCTTCCCAGAATTATATACTTTCAAATATCCATTATACACCTTCTTGTTTTGAGTGCTAGTATTTTCACTTAGACATAATTAAGCGAATGATTTATAATTTTTGAACATTGAATCCAGTTCATAATTAATTTCCTTTTACTTTTTAGGTATACTTTTTCTTAGTTCTTCCTTCATTACTTCCTGAATTACTTTGGATTTGCTATTTATAATATCTCTATTTAATTTATCAACCAAAGTAGGCACAGTTGACAAATCAGAGGACACTTTATAGGACTTCTTTAAAGAGTATTTCTGCATAGCTATTTCAAGTGCTTTCTGACTCTTGCAATATTGTTAGAGTTAATTGATACCTCTTAAGGTATCTTATTTGTGATCAAATTTATTTATATTCAAGTGTGGTTCCTAAGAGGGATTAGATATTCGATTATGCTTTGATTCCTACTTGATTTGGAAGTAAGATTGGTTTTTCGGAATCTGACTTTTAAATCAAAGTAATACTTATGTTTTGCATATCGAACTGATTCCCATAATTGAAATTCTATTTTCTTATTTAAGTCTAGAAATGGCTTTTCGAAGACTTGCAGACCTTATTTATATGTTTGATGTAGACAGGCTGGTTTAACGATTGCTCATTCCTGATTAAATAGATGTACTTAAGTCTGCAAATGTTAGCACTTTTTTCATTGTTTTTAGATAACAAATTTAATAATTTCTTTAATAGTATTTACCAAGTTTACGACATACTTTTGGAATCTGACTGTATCTTTAATCTTTAAACATTTTGCTCATTAAATATCAGAGAGCATTACCTAAGAATAGAAGAGATTCTTTCATTAAAATTTAATTGTTTGGATTCCATAACATAAATCCTAATAAGATGTCATACAAGGCTAAAATTCTTTAATTATCAGACTTGTATTAAGGAGTACATTATGGAAGTATTTCTTTTTGCTTTATTGATTTAAATTGAAAGTAATAAATTATAATTATAACTTCAACAGTTTCGAAAGCATTCTTTTTTAATAAAAGCAGCCTATTCTACAGTTAAGGTTAATAATTATTTACCTAAGAGTTTTTTGGTTCAATAACTTAAGAACCTTATTTTAAATTTGCTAATTAGATTATACTTATCTCACATAATTTATTCCATAGAATATCAATATTCAGTCTTAAGCTAATTTATCTTTAAGAGAACAAACAATTTACATTTTTTGAAACTTAAAATTTTAATAAAATACTTATATTAATGGGAAGACGAGCCAAGTTTAAAATAAGAAAAACATATATTAAAATAAAACAAAATTAGCGGACATCTAAATTCAGTAGAGAAATAAAAAAAAGTATCAATATAAAGATATGGGTATAGAATAGGATTGTAGTACAAAATATTTGATGTTTACTTTAAAAAATGATACTCCAAATGTTTCTAACGCTAAAAGGTTTCAAAATCATAATATGTTTATATGTGAATAAATCAATTTAATGAATTAATCAAGCAATTAATGATACTTTATTCCCTGGAACCTAATAAAGTATTGAATAAAGTAACAAAAAGAAAACAATATTCATTTCATAAAAATGAATTATTATATTGTGATTATTTATATTAAAATAAATGAACGTTTGCAGTTCGCGATATTGCTAATATAACTTAAATATAGGTTAGATGGTTCCCATTCCAAAGAACAGGATTTATTGTCCATTTTGTAAAACGACATATTATTGTTCTCAGAGATGTAGAGATATCGACTGGTATAAAAAAATTAAATAATAAGGACTTCTGGACATAAATCTTCATGCTTACCTGAGAAAATGATAAATTCTTAAGAGATCTCAAACAGTGACAAGGTTTCGACCTTAAGGTAAATGAAGAGAACGGCAGAAGAATTTGAGTTAATATATGATTATCCATAATTAGGAAAGGGCAGCTTTGGAGCAGTTAAATTGGTTAAGGACAAAACCAATGAATAATTGTATGCTATGAAGATTGTACATATAAAATTAAAATATAAGATAAACAAGAAAGATATATTTGAGTATTGTTCTATTGAAAACTTAAAAAGAGAGATAAGAATTCAACGTAAATTATATCATCCTAACATCACTTAACTTTATCATTATTTTGAAGATAAGGATCGTGTTTATTTGATATTAGAATATGCAGAACATGGATCTTTATTTTAATATTTGAGAAGAAGGGGAAAACTGAACGAAGTTGAGGCTGTGAAATTTTTTAAGTAAACTTGTTTAGGAATTCAATATTTACATTAACAAGATATAATACATAGAGATTTAAAAGTATTGGTATCATTCATTATTATTAGCCTGAAAATATATTGTTGGATATTCAAGACAATGTGAAAATATGTGATTTTGGTTGGTCAGCTGAAAATTTAGGATCTGTTAAAAGAAATACTTTTTGTGGAACAATAGATTACATGGCTCCTGAGATGATAGAAGATAAACCTCATGATTACACTCTAGACGTTTGGTGTTTAGGTGTATTATTATATGAGTTATTGCATGGATATGCTCCCTTTGATGGTAAGAATGATATTGAGAAGTGTTAGAATATAGTCAAAGTACATTATCAATTGGACGGATCATTGTCAAAAGAAGCTAAGGACTTAATAAAGAGTTTAATCACATATAATTAATAGGATAGACTCAGTATATCATTAATTTTAAATCACAAATGGTTTAAATTGCATTCATAAAATCATTCAAATGAAGTTAAGCACGGAAGAACAAAAACGTAGAATGCTTATTCAATCCATTCATAACCTTAATATCTGAATAAATCAACTGCATCATCACAAAATTCACTCATCAGACACCAAATTAAAACTCACGAAACTTAGAATGATATATCAATTGAAATGAATGTTTAGAGAATCAGTAGAAACTCTGATGTGTAAAGAAAACAAATTAGATCATAAACTTAACAATCAATTGGAAACGAATCTTTTATGCAAAAAGTTCTAGTGGCTTTAGGTTGTGTTAAAAGGGAATAACCTTATAATAAAAATTATTGAAAATACTTAATATCTATTTCAATCAATATAAATTATTCCTTTTAGAATAATATTTTGGTTTGAATCAAATTCTCATTTAGAAGCCAATGCAGAATTCATTAGATGACAGTGTTTAGCTTAGGCAACAGAATACAATAGCAAAAATTTCAGAATTAATTTTATATATCTAATCTTTCTTTATTGGAGAGGCTTAAAGATAATTTAGATAATCAAACTTTTTCTCAAAATAGAGGTCACATTAACTATGGATGTTATCAATAATATCAAATAATGATAGTAAAAGGGAACTGGGTATATATTTTTTCTTAATTTATCTTCTTTTATTCTAAAAAGGAAGTAGTTATCAATTTTATTAATTTTATTTAAAACTAAAATATGTTGCATTTCATTCTTAGAATTTATAACAAGGGGTGTGTTATTTTATTAATGAATTTATTATTTATTATATATATATAGTTATGTAATTTTATGGCTTACTTCCAGCACCAAATCCTTTGGTTTAAGCGGCTGATCCAGAAATTAAATAAAAAATGTATAAATGTAAATGAATAAGTGGATAGGTAAAAAAGAAAGATGCATATGATGAAAGAGATTCAGCATTCAATATGTGGGATTACTTTAGTGACAATAAAGTTAACTTGATCTATCAGCGTTTCGACAATTATCCATGGTCTATGATCCCACTGAATAATCATCGATTTGCTGCGTCCTGTTTCTTTGATTGCAAAAAATTAATGGCTTTAAATAGAGAATTAAGATTAACAGAATTTACGATTGTCTTAAATAAAAATTTATATCCTTCTACAATGAGATAAAAAGAATCAAAACAACTAGTTCTTGAATAAGACAACAAGAAATATAATGGGCTGAAATTTGATTCCAATTTTGAAAGTGGAAATCTGTTTACATCATATAGAGTTGGGCCTAATGAATATGATTTGATGATGTAAAATGACACTAATTCGAAAGGAAACACCTAATGGTTTTACTTTTCAGTTGAAAACACATTGAAAAATACTGTAGTTACTTTTAATATCATAAACTTTGTAACTTATATATTTTTATCAAGCTTTGTAGATAAAATGTGATTCATTATTTAATATGGGATAAAGGCCAGTTATTTTTTCTACCAAATGCAATAGATAAAAAGGGACAGGGTGGATTAAAGCAGGCCATAACATCATTTACTTTCGAAATAAATTTAAGCGAGAAAATAGCTCTCTTAAAACTTATTATACTCTTTCTTTTAGTTATAAATTCGAGTATTCCAACGATAAAGTTTACTTTGCGTAATGTTACCCTTATACGCATTCATAATTAAATAATTTTATAGAAAGATCGATTCGACCAAATAAAGTAAAAATAACAATATCCTTAGTTTGCTGAAGTAAAAGAGTTATGTAAGACAATCTCAAAATTACCTTGCCCCTTAATTATTATTGGAAATGGTAAAAAAGCTATTTTATTGATGGCGAGATAGCATCCAGGAGAAACTCCAGGCTCATATACAATTGAAGGAACGATTGAATTTTTAATCAGCAGTTGCATGGAAGCAGAAGTTTTAAGAAGTCACTTTACCTTTTATATAATTCCTATGATAAATCCTGACGGAGTGGTTTTTGGAAACTATCGTTGCAATCTTTATGGTGTTGATCTAAATAGAATTTGGATTTGCCCTCATAAAGAATTGCATGATTCTGTTTGGCATGTTAGAGAATTAATAAGATAAATAAACTAAACAACTGAATTGAGTTTAATAATTGACTTTCATGGACATTCAAAAAAGTAAAATTTTTCTTTACTTTTAGATTCAATAGTTTTTATTATGCTAATAGTTTATGTGATGAATAAAAATTGCTACCTTTAATAAGTTGTAATCTTTCTAAAATGATGAATTTACGAGATTGCTCCTTCAGTGTACATGAAAGTAAAAAGAAGACAGCAAGAGTAGCATTATAATCAGAAGTCAAAAACGGTTTTACCTACACGTTAGAAATCTCCTTTCATGCTTTTCGATAATAAGCATTCCAAGATTTTACCGAAAGCTCTTATAAGTAATTAGGTGAAGATGTTTCATTATCAATATTTAAGTTATTTGAATCTTAAATGGTAAAATCCAGTAAATTACCAAGAACTTTAACATTATAATAAAATGATGAATTAGATAAATTAATAAAAGAATGCGATCTAAGCTAACTTTAGATAGGCGAAGATGATTCAGGTAGTGATTCAAATCCAGAAGAGGATGCCCTATAAGAATAAGAACTTCAATCATTCTTTAATTCTCAGAAACAAAATAAAATAATTATATAAACAAAAAAAAAGCTTAATCGAATTGAAAGGGCATCATAAACTGACATACAGCATTATTAAAATCTTATGTTAGATGAGAAAGTATTATAAAAAATTGAAGAATAAGTTAAATCTATAAGAAAACCCAACGCAGAAACACTTGGATTCTAAAGCATTCAAGAAATAGTTACAAACTATCAAGATGTTCCATTATAGGAAGGTTTTAAAAACTCATTTTAGTAAACTGACATTTCTTTACAGTAAATCTTAGGCAAGATGCAAGTCTATCATGTTAGAGTCTCTAACAAGTAATTAAAAAATATATTTAGAAATTCCATGTTTTAAAATTAAATTGCTACTCAATCTAGCAAACCAGTCGTGATAGTTCTCAAAAATCCCTATTCCAAGCAATAATTGTCATAACAATAATAGTTAATGCCACAACACTAGGAAGCTTCCATCAAAAATAGAAGGAGAATCACATCAATAACAGGAAGATCTTCGATTGAATATAAAAGACTGTCTCATGATAGAAAATACAGCATCTAACAATATAATTAAGATAGGAATCATGCTATAAGTTTCACCTAATAACAAGTCACACCTTAAAATTTGTTAACATAAGACGCTACTTTTGAGAAAATTGCAAATATTAGTAAACTGAAATTTTATGATAAATAAATGCTTAAAAATTTGTTTTGATTTTGAAATAATCTTTCAATTACATTTTAATATCTTTTATCACTCTGATTATTTTATCTTAGACCATTAATTTTGTATATCTATTACATTATTAAATATATTTAATAATTATTTTTTACAAAACAATATAAATACTAAACTAATTTTACTTAAAGTAGCCCTAAGTATAAGCTTTACCCAAATGTCTCAAAATATTCTGCTTAATGTAGAATATTTTATGTATAAATTAATAGTTTTAGCTAATATTTTTTTTAATATTTATTTTTCTTCTTTAATTATGCGTAAATTATGATTTTCATTTTTGATTTATTTTACTTAATTAGAAGGAATTTAAATTTGAATTATTATAATATTTAGTAATATCATTGTTGTTATTAATATAAAGGGTTAATTAATGATAATGAAATTTATATTTATTATTTGAATACAGTATGTTAATTAAATAAACAAAATCAATTTAATTGAGAAAATGGAGGTTTTTTGATTATTTTGAGATCACAAGTTGTTAATAAGAGTCTAAGATTATTTTAGCATAAATTTTCTTTCTCAAATCTCTTCTAAGTGTTTATAAATTGTCACATAGAAATAGAGAATTATATTAATTGATTTGATTTAATTTAAAATTATTAATAAAATAAATCCTTAAGAAATCTTGAGAACGATTTTTATATGAATTAGTAAATTGGTTAATTTGAGGTACTCTTATTTAGTAATAACATGTAAATAAATAAATATTAAATATTAAATATTAAATATTAAATGATTATTGCATTTGAAAATTTTCTTAATAGGTGGCAACTTTAGTATGTCATTTTTGCCTTTATTTTTAATATCATACATACTAATTTTCCATTTATAATCAAAAGAAAAGTAATCAAAATTTTACATAAATTAAATGATTGAATTATTGCTCCTCCTCTATATCGTAGTGTATTGTCCTTTAATAATCTACGTTTATTCATCCTTATTAAAGAAATATGAAGATCCTAAATATCTTAGAGCAGATATTCCTGATAGGTTTTAGCCATTTAGAAGAACAGATTATAAAAATTGGAACAAATTAGAGATCTATTTTGGTGCCATTGTCTTGTTACCTCTTAGATTAATATTTGTATTAGGATCGCTCTTCGCTTTTGCATTTGTTTTTTTTGTCACAACTAAAGGTTCATAAATTGTCATATAATTATAATAGACTTTAAACTGGAAAATCCATGGCCTGCTAATAGATATAAGTTTTTAAGATCACCCCTCTAATTTTTGGCTCGAGCTTACTTATTTTTTTCAGGTTTTTACTAAATAAAATAGAGAGTTGTGAAGTAAATATTATCAATCAATTTAGGTATTCTGATTATGATTAGGACTATGTTTAAACCTAAATCAATGTTCTAAGTCAGCCATCAATTATAATATCAAACCATGTTAGTTGGTATGATACAATTACCTATGTTTTTAAATATTTGCCTTCATTTGTTTCTAAAGACACAGTGAAGGAATACCCAGTTTTTGGCTGGATTACGACTAATCTCAAAAGCATATTTGTTGAGAGGGAAAATGCAAATAATAGGAGATAAGTTATGATAGACATTTTGAATAGGGTGAATTTAATAAATTAAGGACATCTATTTCCTCCAGTGTTAATTTTTCCTGAAGGAACAACATCCAACGGAAATTACATTTTATCCTTCAAAAAGGGTGCATTTGAACCATTACAACCAGTTAAAATATGTTGCTTAAAGTACTCTCCAAGAAGATTTAGTCTAGCAATGGATTGCATAGGCATTTATGGTACAATACTTTTTATATTATAGCACTTACGTTATTGTCTTTGGTTTAATGGAAAAATGAGTTAGAAATTATTGAATTTGAAGGTCTTTATGATCCTGCTTATTTAAAGTTGGAATAATACCCTGAAGAGAAAAGAGTAAAATATTACTTTAAGTATTTAGTGGGAAATCTATGCTGAGAAGGTTAAGGATATAATGAGCAAGTGTCTTGGACTAGAGAAAACAAATTCAGGATATAGAGAAGAATATGATTATGAAGTTGAAATCTTAGGAGAGAAGAAAAAAAAATCATCTTAAAATAATATGAAATAGACAAATTAAGAAGAGGATAAATAAAAAGTTGATTGATCTATTTTAACTATAACTAATTAGATTACATAATTTTAATATATTTTAACAATAAATATTATGCTGTTTAAAAATAATTAATAATTTAAGTTAAAAATTTCAAAATGGGAAATACTATAGTTTTAGAAAATGAAGACTACATATCATCTAATATAAGTTTATTAAAAGACAACCTTACATACATAAGCTCTAAGCAACATCAATATTTTGGATAGATTCAAATATGGAAGAACAAAACATATCCTTAAGAGTGGATATTTTCAAAAGTACATAGTGCGATTAACCAAAATAGATTACTTAAATCGATATTCATTAAAATGTTATTAATTCTTAACATACAGAAAGGAAATCAATGAAACACGAAAATTTATTAAAATATTATGGTTGTAGCATTAAAGAGCAAACATTTTAAGGAACAATTAAAGAATATAGAATTTATTATGAATTTTAATCAATCACTTTATCAAAGGTTCTTTAAGATTACCAATAGAATGGTTAATATGTTGCAGAGTCATTTATATGGAAAGTATGAATTTATGATATTATTAGTTAATTACATAAATTTCGACTGTTTTTGGTTATCTAGAGAGTTAGAATAAGTTTCACTAAAATATCACCTTGGATAGCCTCTTTTTTGACAAAGAAAAGAATGTAAAAATTTTGGTATTACCTATTTTAAACATAGTATCATGGTGCTCTACCAAACATATTATCAGCGTATGCTTAAACATTAGGAAATTATAACTCAAATATTTCTTTGACTCCCTAACAGATGAAGGATTACTAAAATCATTTAGCTTGTCTATAAATAAACCCTTTCAAGTAGGATTCATATCAATTTGGAATTGTTTTAGTGTCAATAATGAGTGGTAAAGGTAATAATATTAGTTTTTAAAATAATTTTAAGATGTTACAAAGTGCACAGATTTTTATAAAGAAGTAATACATTATTAGTAGATATTAAATATTTTGGGATCAGCATTTCATTATTATTCTTAAAATTTAATAAATTTAGTAGTCAGCTTATTACAATATGATGATTTATAAAGACCCAATATTTCACAATTATTTAAGGCAAAGATTTACAAGAAACTTCCATTTTTAAACTAAACATAACTCAAGAAATATAAATAGCCTGAAAAAAAAACTATTAAAAGGGTTGATACAAATAACTCCTATTCCTTCCAAAAGGAGAGAATTAATAGTATAAATAATATTCTGACTGAAACTAATAAGGTGACTCGTTCTATAACAACTAACACAATACTATATTCTTCGCCAGTAAAATTTTCAACAAGAACCTCAACTGCATATCCTAAAAAATTTTCATTTGTAGAAGGATATTTTACTCCTAAGAATAAATAATCGAGAACCATTTCTTATAGATTTTTTACAAGTAATAAAAAGGTATAATCACCTTATATATACTGATTATTTTATATAATATATACTGAATATTTTAATGTTCTTCAATATTTTGAATATTTATTGTTGGTTTTTGTAACAGTTGTGGTTTTGTACTCTGTTACAGGCTTGGTTTCTACTTTGCTTTTAAATTCAGTGAATTCCTTCTGGTATGTTTCTGGTAAATATTTAGATCCCCTTTGCAATTAAGAAGCAGATGTATTATTTTGTAATTAAGAATTTCTAACTTCGAAATTCTAATTGACTTTCTAATTAATCTAATCGAATTTAGAGTTTATAGAATCTTTAGGATTGATTGGGTCTGATGATTAATATTCATAAGAATCAGTTTTTCCGTTGACTGTTGAGACTACTTATTTTCTGACTTCAGTTGGTTTATTTGTTCCTTTGCTTTCAACAGTATAGGTAGTTATCTTTTAATAATTTGAGGTTTGTGGTTACTGTTACTATTAATATTACAATTGAGGCATTTAATAACTTGTAGGCCCTGATGGGGGTAATTTTGATGGTTGGAATGATTATTGTTGGGTCAGTTAATCTTCCAAAATAGCGATTTGTTGCTGTTGTTGTTAGACTTTATTTGAGAGACTATTCATATTTAATCTTAACTCATCATTTTCATGCTGTAAATCATCAATATGTGCATGCAATTAATCTATTTCATTTGAATTTGCAGCTTATTGATTTGTTTTTTCAAGTTCTTTTTACAATCTTACTACTTCATCACATTATTTCTAATAACGATTTACATATTCAAGCTTCTATAATCTTTCGTCCTTCAATTCTTTATGTATTTTATTTAGGTCTGCTTCCAATTCTCCTAGTTGTTAATCCTTCATCTATTTGAATTAATCTAACTTCTACCTTTCCAATTGCAATTTTTGGATTAATTCTTCATTGCCTTGGTTATTTTACTTAAAATAAATATTTGTATCTTATACCTAATTTTGTTTAGCATATTGTAATTCTTATTACAAATACATTACATCTTGGTTTTTAAGTCTAAGTGCTTCTGTCATTCGTTATAACTCTTGTGTTAGTGTCCTCATCCTCTCTATACAGCCAGTATGCCTTTCATTACTTTAGACCACATCTTGTTGTTGAGGAGATTATAGTTGTTGATTCATAGAGCCCCTTACATTCTCTTGTCTTATTACTGAGTTTCTTTTATCTTGTTGATAATTCATTTATTTATGCAAAATAATTAAATAAAAGAAAACTTATAAATCATAATCAAATTCCAGTTGTATGCTACAAAATATAAGTAAATATAGCCATTAGGTCTTTTTTATCTATTTTTTTATCTCTGTATATGTCGAATATTTCAATTAAAATGACTTAATCTTGCTTATCTAATTTTTAATAACCCAAAGTCTCCATTAGTTAACTCATCTTGTTAAGATCAAGAATTTCGTTTTGATCACAAAGTAAATTTAGACATTCTTATAAAGGATCATAATCTGTAATTGGTTCGCCATTCCATAATTCATAAATATCTTTGGCACTGACTTCTTGTTTTCCTTGAAAAACTGTGTTTATTAATGATATATCAGCATTAGGATTACATAATTCTATTTTATTGTAACTTCTTACACATTCTCTTTTTAAGATCTTGAACAGAGATTTTTCCATTCTAAGTGCCAGGAACTTTTTTTAAGATTCTTTCCATTTCCCCTTGATCAAAATACACATTGTCATGATGTTTACCAAATATTTTATAATCTAAAAGTTAAATATTCATTTACCCAAGACTCCTGTTCCTTATAATTGATTGATATATTTTTTCAATTACATAGCTGACTACCTCTTGGCATTTGCTAATTGTGGCTATTATTAAATAGGCTATTTATTAGGCTGATTCATCTAATATATTAAATTAAAATAAATATAGATTTTTATTAAATTAGATTATTCAGATGATTATTATAATTACGATAACTCAAGTGTATTCAGATGATTTTTTCATTCTTTAGAGTTTAAACAACTATATATTTTTTAATAAAATATTAGAGTTTTCGAGATATGTATTCTTAATTACAAAAAAAATAAACTTAGAATAATCCTTCATTTAAAAAATATTATAGTTGAAGATTTAGGTATTATATGATCAGAAAATGCTACAACAATGATTTCTATTTTTTGACATGCTTTAATTGTCAATTAAACCATCATATCTTAAATATTTGAATCCATGATTAGAAAAAGGTTCCAACATTCTATTTATGACTTCTATCATATCTAAAATTTTGTGATCTATTTCTTGAATCTCTTCTTTCAAAGTTTTAATTATTGTTTTCTTAAATTCATTTGTCATGTTGTACAATAATGAAATCCTATAATTAAATAGTTTTTAATACTTTAAATCATAAATAATAGGATTATCTGAATCCTCTAAAAATCTAATTTGGAGTATCTAGCGATATTCATTTGATTAAAGTTTTACACAATTGTGACATATTTACTAAAGATAAGTATTAAATGATACATAAATCATGTCAACTGAAACAGCTTCAAGCATTTTATTATTACTAGAGAATAAAGCAAAATTTAATTTTTGTTTGGCATCAAATGGACAAGTAGACCATTATTAAGGGTACAATTTTTGATCATTTAAATACAATTGATAATGATCATTGTTAGGTTAATTGAGTATAAAGATTTCATAAAATTCTTTGGAAGGGATTAATAGTTTGTTAACTTCTATTTTTTGAAGAATTTCTATGTTGTTTTTAAAATTAGTGATTAGTTCATCTAACTGTAGTATTTTTAGATGCTTTATTTTGATGCTGTCCAATAATTCTTCAACAAACATGTTTGCGGTGAATTCTAGAGAATTGGAAGACCTCTTAAATGGTTATATTGCATACATTTGTTAACGGAGTTAAGAAACCCTCTCTCACATTGTTTTAGCACTCCTTAATTACATCGTTCAATGGATGATCGGTTGAAAGCTTTTTAATGAAGGGAACGTTTTCATTAATAGGGTCATTTTAATCAATATTCTGGTTTTTTAGAGAATACAAAAGACTCAGTTTTTTCTTGTTTATTTCTCTTGCTCTAGGTGATAGGAAATCAAGTTCCATTAAATAATTAATAATATTTAAGTGACAAATAATTCTCATCTTCTTTAATTTAAATAATCTCTAGCGCTTTTATCTCTACCGTGATATCCTCTATTCGTAATGGTCTATGATTATCTGGATCCACCCCCGCCATAACCATATCTACCGTCATAAAATCCACCTTAATTTCCATATTGAGGTCCAAACTTCGATTAAAATTTGCTAAAATTGAAATCATCTTCATCATCAGAACTCAATCCTTACTTATGTCTTCTTCTTCTTCTTCTTTGTTTAATTTCCTCAATAATTCTTGTATATTTTTCTATCAACTCATCATCATCTTCATCTGTTTAATCATCCTCATCTCCATCATCACTGTCTGTTACATTTTATTAATAACTTGTTATTTAAGTAGGTGGAACTTTGTTTTTATACAAGTCTTCAGGATTAGAAAGTGGATTTCCCATATCATCTGTTATAAATTAGTTTTGTTGATTAGGGTACTTAATTTCTTGCTGATAGGGTTTTGGTATCATAACTTCATAAGGTATTTCGACAGGTACTGGTACTTTCTCTAAATTGTTTGTTAAAATTTATACCTATGATTGTCTAAACAGGGATATATTCTACAATAGTCCTCTCCACTGGAACAATTTCTTCAATTTCTTGCTCCTCCATCTTCACTATTTATTTTTTTTATGGAATATAATTCACTTTCCTCTCAATTTAAGCTGGCTATGTTAATTACAATGGAGCAGGTTGAACAATTTATTATTAATATTAGACTTGTGGTTAAGGTTAAATTAAATTTTAAACAACTAATGGCTGTTATTAATAATTTATTAAGTGCTGAGATATTTACCCTTGATTGACTCCCTAAAAGGGCATTTAAAATTATAGAGGCAACTGTCCTTTGTATTACCCAACTCCTGGAAAAGGCAGCTAAGCACTTAAAGGCACAAAAGTTTATTGTGAATTCTATTACTACAGTCCAAATGTTGGCTGAATCATTCCAAATCCCATTTAAACACTCTAACCAGGACCAGCACTTAATCTTGGGCCCTACAATTAGCCTTGAACACTTTATGCTAACATTTTATTCAATTAATAAATTAATTATTAGGTTTTGACAGTTAAATGCTAATTAGTAATCAACTTATCATTACAAGTTGACGTGGCCGAGTGGTCTAAGGCGCTGGATTAAGGCTCCAGTCCGAAAGGGCGCGAGTTCGAACCTCGCCGTCAACATTTTTTTTTTGATATTTCAACTCTAATCAATAATATTTTTATTTTTATGAAAACCAAAGACATAGCTTCGTGTCAAATTCCAGATAAAAAATAGCAGTTTTGATTTATTTATTATTCTCTATAGATTGTTAGATATTTATCTACTTACCTTTTATAAAAAGCCCCCAATATAACCAATCCCTGTAAACCAATAAAGCACCCAAAGAAAGTTGTCTATTAAAAGAAAAGCAGGCTCAGTTAAAGAAATATTCTAAGAAAATGCAAAGCCAATTAAGGATCAACTATACCTACAACCATTAAAACAAAATTAATTTCAGAGAGTTCTATCTTAAAATACTAGATGTAAAGACATCCCAGAAGAAATTGTTACAGAAAGACCATCTCTCTCTAAGTCGAAGAATAAAAGATACAAAAGCGTAAATCTAGCCAAAAAGTTTTAATATTTACATCAAAAAATTGAACCACTAGAAACAACTCAAAATATTAACTAGTATCAATCTTATAGAATAAATTGCAATCCCATTAATAGTAATTTGGAATCAAAATGGAAGAGCTAATTAAATCAATTAGAATAGTTTAGTTAAAACTCAGAAATAAATCCTCAAATTTATAATCCTAGTCAAAACAAGATTTTACATAAAAAATTGATTTTCCCTAAAGAATTTTCAGCGAATGGTCTATATAAGAAATATTTTGCTTGATTAAGACTTGATTTAATTAACTTTATTTAAATTCTGATGGTTATATTATACAGAAGATGGCAATTCAAATAAATACAATTATATTTCTTAAGTTATAATTTTGAACTTAAATTACAAAGATGGCTTTATTTCTATGATGTTATTTTTATTCATCATTTGTTAGTCATTCTTGATTCTTTGAAGTAACAAATCAAAATAAATTATGTTAATACGATAAACTAACAAAAATAAAATCCAATATTTAATTCAGAATTTCTAAACATGAAAAACTAACATTTTATTATGAATAATCTCTTCAGATTTCGATGTATTTTCGGGTGATGATAAATCTAGAATTCACCTAACTTATAATTTATTTTCATTTTTAATTACCAAATGAAATTTTATTGAAAAAATTGTATATTCAAATTTTTTCTCAGGTAATTCCTTCAATTTTATAATATCATTTAGAACATCAGATAAACACTGAACATCTAATGAGAAAGTGCTCTATATAAATAAAAAGATACTCCAATTTAAAATAATTATTAATTATTGTAAGTTTAAAAGATGTATATGTTTTTGTTTTCTCGAACTAAACCATCTTACTAAGATCAAAAGTATTGATAGAGATATTAAATTATATTAATCTTTATAGTCTATAGTTTAGAAATAAATCAAAAATTAATGATTCATATAATTAAAAAAATCTCAATTTTAGTGACATTTTTTTGTTAAAGATCATTTATAAAGCAAACTTTAGAAATGAAAATATTCATTATAAACAGATTAAGATACAAATAGAAATATCAAATATCTCTATGTATTACAATTTATATAGTATTGATATCATTTTTTAATGTACATATTTTATATTGATCATGCTTCTTAATTTATTTAGAGTCTTTCGCATAAATCCTTAAGGTATGTAATATTTTAATTGATTCTTGAGTTTTTATCCTTTGTAATAGAGCATGCCACGACATTTCTACTTGTACCACACATTCTGCCTAAGTCTACTTTGCTCTTAACAAAAACATAAGGGACATTCTAAGTTGGTCAATATTTCGAATACCTTGTCCTCGCATAATAATGGCAAATGAAGAACGATTTCTAATGGAGTTGTATCAGCAGCAATTATAACTAATTCTGCAATACCTCTATTTAATGTTTTGGTTGTTTCATTGGCTCCTTTTTTTAACTATTGATTGTAATCAGGATTACTTATTTTAAGGCAGCTGCTTATTGTGCAAGTTCTAGAATTTAAGGTTCTACTTCTTCATTAGCTAAAGGCTGGGCTCGTTCTGGATATTCACCTTGCTATTTATATAGGCATTCAATTTACCATTAGTTATTATGTTTACAAAATATTAAATGTTAATTAAAGTTAAAATTTATATTGGGTATATATAATCAATAGTACGTGAATTTAGAATAGACATTATTCTAAAGAGTCTTGAAGTGCTTATTGTATTTAATATTCAGAAATATTAATAAATAATATAATGAATTCTATAATTTTAATATTAGCTAGCAGATAAGAATACATATTTCACCTTTAAATTTTGGAAGCATAGGTAAACTCAATGTCAAGTAATGATCGAATGTATTTGATGTAAAAAATACAATACAAGATCTTAAAGGTGGAGTAGAGAAGAATTTAAATAGAATCGCAAACATTATTGAATTATTCTGAGCCTCGAAAATTTTTATAGAAACTTGTGAAAAAATATATAAAAATTCAAGGTTATTATTACTAAAAATTGCAAGTATTAAGACATGTAAATAGTTATATTTCCCAATATTCAGTTAAAGAAAATAATTTTTACCAATGCAAAGAAATTAACTATTCAAAATAGCGAGCAATTCTACAATGAGTTCTACAGAAATCATACAAATAATTATCAATTTGTAAAAAGAAAGACTGGTTCGTTAGATTGATTCCTTAGTTAAATCCATAAATAGAAATGAAGCATTATAGTATCCTATTTTATTTAAACTAGGACTGATTTAATCACAAATAGAAACGAGAAGTTTTGTTAAGATCCAATCTAGAGTTTGGAATACTTAAATCATATACATCTAACTTATTATTTATAAAATAAGCCTACTTATAAAAATGATCCATACGATATCATGAATTTAGATGAATAAACAAAAGAGTTTTTAATGTCAGGTTTTAAAAGCTATGTTTGCTGTTTAACTAAAACCAAAAATGTATTTATTCCAATAGAAAGCACTCAAGAAATTACTCTATTTAGATATGAAAAGTATTGGAAAATCCTTAATGATCAAAATAATGCTCTAAATAAAAGGATAACCAAATTCTATTTTAAAAATTACCAATAAATTTAAACCACTCTTGAGAAACAAATAATATGCTCAGTACATCGTTTACCCGTAAAACTCAATTAAAAGTAAAACAAAAGAAATATTTTTCATAAAATAAGATTAAGCAAATAAGAAAATGAAGGCAGAAATTCTAGAACATTTTAAGATGGGTTCCAGACAGACAAAGAACCCTATGTGGGGAATTCTATTGGAATGGAATCCTAAGGGGATATCTTTTCTCATTTAAAGAACATTGTACTGTCTTCATCAAAAACAAGAGAATAAAAATCAAATTATGAGAATAAAAAATATATTCTCAGAGATAGTTAAATTCGAAATGAACATGAGATGATTTAAAGTTAATTGGTTTTATGTGGTAAATCTATGAAATTCCCTAATAATGAGTAAGAGAAGAAAAGAATCCTAAGTAATATCTTTGAAAATAAGGACAATGTTAATAATGCTTCTAAAGACAAATCAGTCGAACAGGTGTCACTTTCTTTAACCAAAAATTTGAAAATCTAAAAATAAGGATTGAGTAATAAGTACCACTTAATAAAAATCAAACAAAACTGCAGTCAGCTTAAATTATAACAGTTATAATTATAAAATTGAATTATGTTATTCATATGATTATAAAACTTATTACAACTATTAGTTTATAGGTTTTATTTAACAGTTGAAACATAACAATTGCGATAATAAATGATTTTTATTATGAATTTTAATAATTATAATGTAAAACCTAGAAAAGCTATTGATAGCTCCAAAGCAATATAAATTCTACTTAATAATTCATCATTGCTTGAATTTAATACACGGAGTATACTATTGCAAAAATTACCTTGATAACTTGATAAATGGTAGATTGCCATTCACATTAGCATGGTTTAGATGCTCATTTTTATTTTTGATTTTTATACTAAGCTTAGGTGCATCTATCCTTTATGTTTTAATAATACCTTAAATAATTACTTTAAATTAATAGCGTACAAGAGATCTTATCAATTCATTGAAATTGTTGTTAAAACAAAAATTGAATTCATATATGGGTTGGATAGAAGATATAGTGTATGCATTATATTGTTTTGGATTAGGATTGATGATTTGGGACATTCTGACGACTTAAGTAGAAGAAATTCAAGATGTAATGTAAAATTAATAATTTATTATAAATAGAAATTCTATAAGATATTAAGTTTCTATTGGCATCGTCAAATACCTTATTATTAAGTTTGTTTTAGAGAAATGGATGCAGAAAGCTGTTTTACAAATGGAATAAAATTAAATAATGAAAACATATTAATTGAATGAAAAATCAGAAATAATATAAGAACTATGTCCAATATGTTATGATTCCTTTAAATCTAAAGAACAAATAGCCCAATATTTATGTCCAGGAAATCATAAATTTCATCAAGAATGTTTAATGAAATGGTTATAGGCGCCTTATAATAAAAGAAAGACATGTCCTTACTGCAAATAACAACCATTAAATCAAACTAAAGACTTTTTATGAATAGGCTATTCATAGTTTAATAATTTTATGTTTTTTTCTTAAGAAATTAGAACATTATAAATAAGTATTTTAGATTTTTCTTCAGATTCATCAATAGAAATCTGATAATCATAATTTTATTTTACAATAAATAATTAATTTGTTTTTAAAACCCTTAATTAATAGTCTATATTCATATTGATTCAATTCTTATTATTTATTTCACGTTGATAAACCTAATGGGAAAAGTAAAAAAATGAAATTGTAGATTCTATTGATATTGAAATGTTAGATTCAAAAGAGAAAAAATAAAATACATTGGAATAGGGTGTTTTGAAGGTATTAGAGAAAGAATTTAATAGTAATATAGATGGTATTTTAAGTTCTTAATTTACTATTATTTCAGTGAATTTTTGAATATATTTTCAGATGTATTACTTATTTCAATCATGCAAATAAGAGTAATTATGAGTTTCTGGGAAAATCAAAGTTATTTGATCTATCCATTATAGGAATGTTCAGAAATAATAAAAAATATTTTAGCACAAAAATATATTCATTCAAATTTGCGTGATCCCTTTCTCTCAATTTCTCTTTCAACAAAACTTATAAAAGTAAATTAAATGTTCTCGCTTTATGTTCTTTATCTTGCCATCTTCATTGGACTGGGAGTAAGTTATTAATCTACCCAAACTACAGGTGTTTTGCCATCTTCTTCAACTTCTTAAATTACTGTGTTTGGGTCGCAGTATATTTTTTTTTTCACTTAAGGCTATTAGGTTATAAGGTTTATGGTTACTATTTCTGTTTAAGCATCACTAAGCAAATCTAGATCCTCCATTCCAACATCCGGTTCTTATTTTGGTTTTAAACAAGGTTTTTTTGGTGCTTTATCAAAGGTGTTTACATATTCTTCATAAGTCATTGAAGAGTTCAATCTCTTGCGTTATTCTTCCATAATTTTTATTTTTGTTATTTATAAAGATCTTATTTTATTTATTATTACGCAATAATACCTGTTCCTTCGATTTATAGGAGTAGTATTGGAAAGTAAATTAGATTTAGAAGGAAATGTTTCATAAGAGTTTAAGTAAAAATGATTGTTGATTTGACAAGAAATAAATGTTATGAAAATTGTATAACTAAAGTTGAGAAATGCAAATAAAATGAACAAAAAGATTTGATGTAAATTGGAATAAATTATTAATCTAACATTTATTCTTGAAGTTCTTATTATATTGCATTAATAATTCAATATTAAAAATGAAAAAATTGATTAGTGCTATTTTCTACGCCCATTCATTTAGTAAAATAGGTAATTTTGATGTCATGATGATGGATTGTTTTAATGGATGTCATATGTAAATAATAAATTCATATCAGAATGAGTAATCTAAATGAATACATTAACAATCCAACATTGTTTAAATAAAAGATAATCCACTTAATAGGGAACAGCTAATCCAGAAAAAATACAGCAATTTGGATTGAACTATAGAACACCTAATTACGTTTGGCTCCAGTATTATAGCATTAAAATGTAGATTTTGATCGAATAAGGATTCTAAATGCATAGAGTCTCAGGAACTGTATTGAAATTTTCAAAATGGTTACTTGAAGGTGAAAGCAGACTGCCTAGTTAAGCCACTCATTTTGTTGGTGTTGGGGGGATAGTAGTGAAAGATAATTGTGTATTACTTGTACAAGAAAAGAATGGTCATCGAATGGGAGCTTGGGGTACTCCAGGAGGGTTATTAGACCTTTAGGAATCTTTGATCTAGGGTATTTTAAGGGAGGTGAAAGAGGAAACAAATTTAGATGTATATTTTAATAATTATATAATAAAAGTGTTAAGTAGAAGATGTGTTGTATTTTAGAGAGATGCATGATGCTAGATATGAGAAGACAGATATGTACTTTGCATTTAGATTGAAATGTTTGGACGATTCATAGATCAAGATTTGTGATTAAGAGTTGATGGATTATAGATGGGTGCCTATTGCTGAATTATTAGATGTAAATGGTGGTTGATGATAGATTAGTTTTTGAGACTGGAAGATTAGAAACCCCATGTGATAAACTTCTACAAATCAGTTTAGGAAAGACTTATAGGAGAGGATAAAAAATATATGTAGATAGAGGAGAGAGAGGAAAAGTATTAGGGTTAAATGAAATATTATGCAGTTTTCAAACCTAGATTTTGATTAAAAATGCACATTTTAATTTTCACTATATGTTGAGTCTTGTGGAAGAGATATTAAAATAAGATAATAAAATAATCTAATGAGTTTTCAGAGAATGGGAATTAGCGAAAATAGAAACACTGATAATACTTTGCACATCTCTAAAAAGGAGAAAAAAGAAGCTAAGGGAAAGTGCATAGTGTAATAGTACTTTCAAAAAAGTTAGACCAAAAATAAGAGTACATTTTGTATGCTTATTATTAAAAGGTTTATATGAGGACTCATTAACTATAAATGGCATAGAATAATTTGAAAATTATAAAAAGATGGTGAAGCTTGAGTAGAAGAGGGAATCAGCCATTGGCATTTCGAGAATCCTTTTCAAAGAATCCTTAAGATAGAGATTTGAGAGACTCTAAAATATCAAAACCATTTAATAATTGATGGCTATTCCAAAATACTAATAATTTTGTAAGATGTTCCTCAATTTAAACACCATTTTAATTAATTAGACTTTAGCCTTTTAAGAAATAGTTATTTAATTTAAATAGGATTATTAAATAGAATTTAAGGTTCAATGTTTACAGTAATTCCTATCTATTTGGAATGATGCTTTTCGTTTGGTTTGGAAATATTACTAAAATGAGAAGCTTAGTTTAGAAGTGGGTATAAAAGATTAGTAATTTCATTAAAATGATGGTAAGAACATCATTTTTCAATAAAAATTGCTTGATTATATCCAAACCAAAGGAGAATGTATAGACTTATATCCTCTTCCAAATATGGAGAATATTTAGTAGGATATCAAAATCTAAGATTAAGAGTCACATTCAACTCACACAATCATGAGAGATTAATAAAACTCATAAAATAGCAACCAATTAAAATAAATTGCTATTGAATTATAACATTACTTTCATCTTAGAGATGTATCCAACATGTATTTGACCAATGTTGAGAAATATCTGATCAAAAAATCAATTGATTTGAGTTCCAATAATGGAATTTTAACAATCATTAATATTTTGATATCCAGATATCCTGAATGGATTGCCATAGTTTAAGGATAAACAGACAAAATAGTCAGAATCAATAGAGCTATTGACATTAAGCAATTAATGCTGGAATATGAATGTCTGGATTGCAATTGAGAATTATATTAAATCAAGAACAATACAAATAATATAATTATATTATGTCTCTTATATATATATATATGTTATTCTCAGAATCCTAATTATGTCAACCATTTTCTTACACTTATTGTATGACTCCCATTTACTTCAACTCTTCCAACCTAATCATATGTTTCAATCTTATACCTTCTCAATTACATCTGCATTTGAACATACTTTTCTTAATTCCTTAATAAATTCATTAACATCTCCTTCAATGTGTCTTATTACTGTTCTTGGTATTTCACTTCTCACGAAAAACTTTCTGTATACCGGAAGATTTCCATTTTAAGATCTCAATACTCTGAATGGAGACTCTTCTCTTGTTTTATATTGAAGTGGTTCTGGTGTTTAAGAGTATTACTCTCTCTTTTCTTATGCTACTGGATGCAATCTTTTCAAATTTTCTTTTGGTTGTCTTAACACTAGAGATTTTAAAACTTAAGCTTTATTCATAAATTAATATTAATAAATAGCATTAATTTTACTTGCATCTATTCTCTACATTTCATTTATATCTATCAGTATAATCAATCAGACATGAACCACATAATTATGAAATATCCTTAAATAAATGGTGGTGATTAAAATAATTAGATTCAAAGTGTTTTCCCATTTTATTCTGGTTTCTGCATGAATTGTTTAGTTCTATATCATCCAATTATCTCTCTCCAAATTCTTATATAATTATATTTAAAAACAGGATTTATAGCATCTTTCTTTCTAAATGTAAATTAAAAACTTATCTATCTAAAATATATTTAAAATTTATTGTAGGTAATATAGAGTTCCCACTCTTTATGAATGAATAGATAATAGATTATTATAAAACATTATAAATTATGTTGAGAAATGTTATTTTCTAAAGATATTATTAGGAATACTTATATAAATATATATGAATAATATGATTACTATTTTTCATTTTACTGATCATTCAAAAAAATCTATAAGTTGCCTTATAGCTTGTTCTAAATAAATAAATATAAGAAATTACTTTTGAGTTTAGCATCAGTTTTTTGTCCCATTTGAATTTCATTTACAATATCAGCAAAAGTAGGTCTCTCACTTGGATTCTTCTTTAGACATTTTTTGGCTATTTAAAGTAATATTGGAGGATTGCTATTAGAAGGAATAATAACTTGATCCTGTCCGTATCCAACTGATCCAATAATTTACGTTTACGATAATCCTTCATATGGTATTTATTAAGTTATAATTTCCCAAAGGATCATTCCAAAACTATAAATATCGGACTTTTCTTGGTATGGCTCTCCTCGCATAATTTCTGGGGCCATCCAATTAGGAGTTCCTATTCTAGCTCCTTTGTTGACTTTATGATCTATCTTCTTATTAATTTTAGATAAACCAAAATCACATAACTTAACATTCCAATTTTAATCAATCAGAACATTGGATGATTTGAGATCACAATGCATAACCTTTCTACCATGTAGATAATTCATTCCCAAGGCAATGTCTTCAACTATTTACATCAATGCTTTTTGATCTATGTGAGTCTTCTTTTTATGAAGATGATCAAAAAGACTCCCTTCTTCCAGATATTCGGTAATCAAATAATAATTTTATTTTCTAATACACACTCCCATATACAACACAATGTTTGGATGACGTAGATTAGAAATAACTTCTACTTCTTTCAAGAAATCAGCCATTTATAACTTGTATTTCAAATTTCCTTGGGATTTTCTTTTCCCATAAGATTTAATGGCCACGTCTTAACCAAGCCATTTTCCTTTATGCACAACTCCATAACCTCCTTCTCCAATAATTTGTCCAATAATTAATTCATGAAATACTATTAATACTCTTTCATTGATTCCAAATTCTTTTAGCATCACAAGTAGTTTTTTTGGCAAATGATGCTATTGTCTATCATCCTTTTCTTTTTCTTTCTTATTAATTTCTCTTAGTCTTCTAGATCTCTTTTGATTTTTGTATTTTTCTTCATCCGATGAATCTGAACTTGAATCGTTTCCAGATACATCAGATTCTTAACTTGAAGTGTCTTAATCTTAAAATTTGCTTCCATTTACTTCTGATTTCTATCTTTGTAATTGTTAACTAATTGATTATAATTTTTCTTATTATGTAATATTTTCATCATTGTTATTAGCAAGTTAAGGTGGAGTTTTAGATGACATTGCATCTTATATTTCCTATTGTTTATTTGTTGATTATTATTTTGATAATTCACTAATTGGATGACTATCTTTCTCCTTGTTCTCCTCTACAAAATTCGAACATTCATTCAATACAAGCATATCAATCTTTAATTCACTTATATTCACACTAGCTTTATTTGGAGATTCTAAATATCAAATATATCGTATACAAACAGGTGACGTTAAATGCTATTTTCCATCTTCATCGTCTGCTGATTCTCCTGATTTCTATAAATCCAATGTTTATTTTCTTTATTGCTTTTTGCTTCTTTTACTTTTTTGTTTCTTCAATTTCAATGATTTATTATTATCACTTAAGTTTCCTTGATCTGAATCATTTGACATAGATCTTGTTGGTGATTTAGGAATATCTTTAATATTCTTCTTCCTCTTATTGGCACTTGGGGAATCACTACTTGATTCACTTATATTGTTATCATGATGTTCATTTTGCTCCTCTTCAATCTTCTCCATATAAGAAAAGAGGCTCTTAAATCTCAATTGTTCAATTGAATTAAAAACTCCCTTTCTATCTTCCAAAGATTCTAATGGCTTCTTCATTAGGATTCTTCCGCCCATGAACTTCACATAGTATTTCTTGTATTCTTCAATGGACTACAAAATCTGCTTTCGATGTCCCAATACTGATATTCCCAAATCTTATTTTAAATCATTGTCCGTTAAAGCATACAGTGTTTTGCCTGTCATTTAGTTTTTAATAAATTCTTCCTTATATTCACTTAATTGTAATGAATCCAACCAATTGCAAACATCCTCTAATTACCATTCCTACACTATATTTTTAATATATTTGAATAATCTTACTATTTTTTTAACTCTCAAATTCTTCCAACTTCTCCAATACTTATAAACTCAAAAATCCATGTTATTATGAAGTGCCAAAAGAATTTAACTATGATTTACCTTCTTCTTTTTATTAAGGATCGGATTCCCCTTAACCACTCTACCCACTTGGTTGCATGTCCTTCTATTTATCACTATCGTTCTATATTGTAGGACTAGCTTCTATTTTAATGGCGCAATCTTCGCTCCTCTCACTCTCCAAATGGTTTCTTTCAGGTTTTATATGGAATTTTTCAAGCACATAGGTTGGTACTTCTTCAATCTACACACTATCTAAGATATTGTCAGATTCGTGATGCTATTTGTAATATTTCTTCTCACGAGTGTTAAAGTAATAGCCAGTTCCATACTTTTTATTCATTCTAAACTATCCTGCATAATCTATCTTCTAATACCATGGAATATATTTTAATCAGCTTAATATAAAGTTCCTGCTCCATCCCTCTAATCATCTTTCCATTCTCCAACATATCTATCCCCATTTATATAAAAATGCATTCCTTCTCCGCACTTCTTATTCTCAACCCAATCCCCTATGTACAGTTCCCCATTCTTATAGTAGAGCTTACCTTTCCCATGCTTTTGATGATTCTTCCACTCTCCTTCGTAACGATTCCCTGACGCAAATTTATAGGTTCCCTTGCCATGACGTTTATCATTCAGAATCTCACCTTGATATTCATCTTCATTAGAGTAGGTAATATGTTTCTGTACTTGCTAATTCACTTCTTATTTAGAGGGTTCTCCATAAAGAAACTTCAATAAATTCATTTAATAATGATTCTAATTTAAATTTCTTAAATCAGTTTAATAAATAGACAACCAAATAAATAAAAATAGAACAAATGGATATATGATAAAGGTCAACCATAATGTATAAATAAAATGAAATCAAAATTAAAAGGACAATGAGTTTCCTACTTGTTTATCTAATTGTTAAAAGAAGTCTAAAAGAATATAAATCATATTCATACTTTTCAGTTCATTGTTCGGATTAAATAAGGAGAATGTACTTGATGATGATGATTGTGAAGCAGACTCTTGTTTTGCAAACAGTCTTTAAGATATCTGACTCTTCATGAATGGAGAATTCAAAAATGAAGATGCAATTTCATCAAGATTAAATACTTTCCTTTCTGTAATATTATTTAAATCTTAAATCTACATCTATTATTATTAGAGTTTAGCACTAGACACTTAACCACTGCCAAAATGAGTGGAATGACAAGGTTGAAACAATTTGTTTTATGGGGTATTATTAAATGGATTTAATGAACTATTAGCAATGTTGATTGTCTATTCTTCTTCTTTTTAACTATTATTGGATTTATATTATTCCTTGTCATATTGAATTTACGATTTTATTTTTGATTACACTTGTCTAAGATGTTTAGGCACTCCTCCGACTCCCCCAGATGTCTTATTCTCTTTGCATATGCTCTTCTTCTTCTCTCCTTTGAATTTTGGAGAATTTCTATTATGCAAACTGTCAAATTGACTTGAATGATGCGATGATCGTTAAGTAACTTATCTGGTGCTGTTCTCACGTTATGATAGAGGATGAATTTCAGTTTGTGAGTTGTTTCTTGGTAAATATTTGGGGATTATCGGTTATTAATCAATAGTTTGCTTTCTTGGAGGTTAATGTTGAGAATCATTATTGCTTATATGATGAGGATTGTCGCTATATTGATTCCATAATATTGATTTGCTTTATAGTAAACTAAGAATTCTTACATCTCAGAATCATCTAAGTGATGCTTAAATGGTACTGCCTTTTTGACATTCTATTAAAGTGGAATTTATTCAGTGATTTTTGGTGTAACTTTGGGAGGCATTAATTTAGGCTGACTGTGATATTTAATTTGTTATTCTGGTTGAATGTGCTTCTCTAAAGAGAGAACCTTATTTCTCAAATTTTTCAATTCTTAATGAATAGACTTTTGTTTGAATGAATCTAGATAATAAATCAAAAATTACTCGCTAATAATTTGATTGCTTCCTAATTTATATCCTCTAGCTTTTACTTTACAAATCCTATGCCTAGAATGAGAAGGTATTTAATTAATTTATCATTCTTTATGAGTTTGTATTCTTCTACAAATTTATTCAGATGTTTCAATTCCATTTATATTTTTAACAGTTAATTTATTAAATGCTTAGAGCAACATATGAACATATTATTCATGTAGAGTCATTTAAAAACATTGATCTCTTCAATTAAGGACTCTATTACTTGAGATTTATGATCAAATCTAATGGTGAGTAAGCCACTCCTTACAATTATTTTGAAACCAATAATAACAAGAAAAAAGAATCTTGGTAACCAAGTCAGATTGATGAACAATACTTTTAAACTAGAACATTTATGATACGATTCCAAGAAGAAGAAGTAGAGATAGATGAAAGTTGCATTTTTAAAATAGAAGTCTCAGCATCACCTCATTATGAACATGAATTCAAATTAATATGTGAATTAATGTGTGCAGATCTAGCTAAAATTGGAGGTCCTCCTAATGAAGAATCTCTTTTCAAGTGTGTTGCTACCTTTTAAGGAAGAATCTGCAACTCTTATAAGGGAGTACATGAATATGTCCCCATAATGTTTGATACCAATCATTTTTGTCAGGTCCATTGCACTGTCAATTCTAATCTTCAAGATTTTAAGTTCCGATTAAGTGAATTTCAAAAAGCTAATAGCTCTAAAATATCAATTCAACCAAAGACATTTACAGAGTTCCTTCATAAACACACTAACAAATTCACTAAGAGTCAAGAATTCTTTGATTACTACATCGGATAATTGAGATTAACAAGTGAATCACTCTAATAATAAGTGGCTAAGCTTTGTGGTTAACTCAAATTATATGAGGAATTATCCAAATTACCCACAATTCCTAAATTCTCATACATCTAATATCAAGAATCCTCCATTATAAAAGAAAATATCCATACTAAAGGTAATATATTAATATCTGACGTTTTAAATTTAAAGAACATTAGAGATTAAAACCTGTTATCTACTCTCATCGAAAACGATATAAATCAATACTCTTCTGTTCTGTTTGAATTACAAAACATACTTATTAATATCATATAAAACAATTCAAAATAATACCGAATACTTTTACAATAAAACTATCAAGTTAAAATAAAAGATAAATGGGGAGAAACATATTTTAGAGAAGTCATTAAATGTAATTCCTTTTCCAATGGAACTTTGTGCCAAAAATAACACCAAGATGTCAGTGATCAAATTAGAAGAAAACCTCTTATTATGGAATAGTAATTGGATATTATAGATGAAAACCTATTCTCTGATTAAAAGTAGGCAACTGTGTTATTTGAAGAAATCTATCAGATTAGTTAACCTTTAGCTTAATAAGAATAAATTTTGCATTTAATTGTTCTGGTACATGGATTTTAAGGAAATTCCTTAGACATGAGGTTGATTAAGAATAATCTGCAATTATAATATCCAAATCATCACTATTTAATGAGTAGAGCAAATGAAGATTTAACTGATGGAAATCTCTCTGACATGGGTTAGAATCTAGCTCAGGAAGTTAAACAATATATCTTGGATTGGATAAAGAACAACCCTTTTAGAATCAGTTTTCTTGGTCACTCAATGGGAGGAGTTATTGTCAGAGCTGCTTTACCACATTTGAGTGACTTCAAGATCAATATGAATACATACATATCTTTATCAAGTCCACATCTAGGATATGGTTACAATAATAGTTTACTTATTGATGCAGGCTTATGGTTTCTAAAAAGAATGAGAAAATCTGTCTCTTTACAATAATTAGCAATGACTGATGCTGAATAAATTGAAAATACCTTCCTGTATCAATTGTCAAGATAGGATGGCTTGAATTGGTTCTAGAATATCCTATTTGTCAGTTCAGCATAAGATTCATATGTTCCATTTGAGAGTGCAAGAATCTCTAAGAATTTTGAAAGAAGTGATTAAGTATCTATATTTATCATTATAAAGAACTCGAGAAAATATGAGAAAATGGTTGATAATATCTTTAATGGAATGAGAGCAACATAAGTGAGAAGATTAGATGTTAATTTCGTTTTAAAAGAGTAATTACATATATTCTATTATTTAGAAATAGAACCATAGACAATATGATTGGAAGATCAGCACATATTATGTTTTTAGAGAATCAATAATTGTTAAGAATGTTGGTAACATGTGTAGATGATATATTTAATTGACTTTTATCTTTATTTATAATTAAATAGTAAATCATTTGTTAATGATAAGCGAATCAGTAGAGAAGTTCTGACTGTCTGCAATTTTGATTGTGGGTGTTAAAAGCCAACCTGGAGATTATTGTTCAAAACAGTTTTCATTAAATGATAATTAATCAACAATGCTATAATCTTTCCGAAAATTTTGGACAATTAAACCTTTGTTTATTAAAATTAGCATATCTAAACATTACTACATCTAATTAATTATATCATTGATTTATTTATTGTTAGTCAATTCTGAGATTGCGTTTAAAAAAGCCTAATTTTGACTTGCCAACAATTATTCATAAATTGTATTATTATTTTCTTTTATGAAATTCATCAATGTTGAGGGGTATACTATAGATTATTAAATTGAGACTGCTTATCTTGGTTGAAAATCATTCATATCAATGGATTCCATTTATGAGAGTAGACCATTTGTATAAGTGATTTTTGATTGTACAAGTTACATGATTTATTCCTCTTGTTCTGATAATTACTCATATTAGGTAGCTCGATCTAAAGTTGTTAAATCACATTAGGTTGATTAATCTTTGAATAACTTAATGCTTTATTCAATTTTATTTTCATTAGTTAATTGAGTTTAGCATTTTATTTTATTCATGTAAGTGTTGCTATTGTCATTAAAATTAATGACTTCTGGGATGGTTTTGACTTGCAATTGTTATTTTGGGATGGATATCTGATTGATAAATTAATAATAATTATTCATATAAATGAAATATTAGGAATAAATTTTATTTATAAGTACTTCCACATTAAATCTATTTTGCCTATGAAAATGATTATGATAATATGAAAAATAGATACCGAGGAATTATAGGATGCATACTATCTATATGCATGATTGGTTCATTGAGACCTTACAATGGTCCAATAAAACGGTTTTCAGAATTTTGGAGATTTTTGTTTTGTTATAATGCTTCTTTGATATTTTTGATACAGGAAACCATTAAATATTATTATATTTGTATGATAACAAGATAATAATAGTAATATTCTTAATATCTGTATTCTAAAATGAGAGGGAAGCTAGATAATTGATGAAATTGGGTGACGAGAGTTTGGGAAGATCGGTTACAAAAGATATGCACACTTACGATGATAATTGTGAGTTTGAATTAGTTAACTTAGTGGAATTTATTGTGGGTACCACCTAAATGTTGGATGGTATCATATAGATTATTTGTCTGGTTTGGAATGGGAGTATTAAGTTGGTGGGAATATTAAGTTGGTAGGAGTAATGGAATGATTTGAAGGGAAACTAAGATCAATCAGGTTAATGTAGATATTTGGTTGTGTGGACTCTCTTTGCAGAAACATTTATTATTTACATAAAGTTTTTAAAGGATGCTGGTAATATTTAATATGTAGATACACCTTATTATATATCTGTTCCATGGATAGCAACTATTATAAGTAGTTCAGGCGTGTACTTAATAATGAGAGTGAAAAATAAGAGAATATAAAAATTGAAGGTTAAATGAGTATTAATTATAAAAACAATATTAATAATTATAAATGGATTATTGTATGAGAAAGACGGAGATGACAGATAACAAAGAAGATGATGGTAAGAGTGAATGATATAATATTAGTTACATTTGCTAGTTACGAATGGGAAAATATTAAGGCAACAACTGCATCATAATTGCCAACTTGTAGGAATTGCCATACAGCGACTACATTTAAACATTATATGATCATCTTTGGAGGCAAGGAAGGAGAAGGAAGGAAGAAGTTCTGTAATGATATACATATTTTGGATTTAAAAAGATTAAAGTAATGCAATAATAGTATAAATAGTTGGACATCCTAAATCAAGGTGAGTGGATAGATACCAGATGTAAGAATGGGACATAGTGCTTAGAATTATTATGATAAGATTGTCTATTATGGAGGATGGAATGGTTATACAGTATTGGATGATATTATTTTGATGACTCCAAGTGAATAAATGAATGTTGTTTGCATTGATTGGCAACATGTCAAATCTGAGAATACTCCTCCAAAGAGACAGTTCCATACAGCCAATATTTGTGGAGACTTTATGTACATTTTTGGAGGAGGAGATGGTAAAATGTGGTTGAGTGATCTATACAAATTTGATCTAGTTAAATGTTTCTGGACTTAAGTAGAAACTACAGGACAGAAACCATAAGGCAGATTGTAACATAGTTCAGTAATCTATGACCATAAAATTTATGTTTTTGGTGGTGAACCTGACAGATCGCATCAATTAAATGACTTATATTAATTGGATATTGAAAACAATGTCTGGACACGCTTATAACCCAAGGGAAGTACACCATCTCCAAGAGTTAGTGCTTCAGCTGTTATGATGAATAATAAGATCTATCTGTTTGGAGGATATGATGGATAACAATGGAGAAATGATGTCTTCATGTACAATATCACTGAAAATCAATGGGAATATATTGTAATAAACGAATAGGAAATTCTACCTCATTTTAGATGTTCATCCAAAGAGAGCACTTCATAATAATCATCTCCCCCAAGACCCAGATGTCGACATTCTGCTATTGCCTATAAGAATACTATTGTGATTTTCGGAGGCAATGATAGTGAGAAATCGTATAATGATGTCTATATGCTCAAATAACAGTCCACTATTAAATTAGCAGAATCAACTCTTAAACAAGATTTTTCCAGCATCCTGTTTTCTCCTGTTTTGAGTGATATCACATTCTTTGTAGAGAATTAAGAGATTTATGCTCATAAGATCATTTTAGCCTCCCGTTGTGAATATTTCAAGACTCTATTTTTAAATGAACAATTCAATCTAGGCGATAAATTGGCTATCACTGATACAACTACTAATGTGTTCAAAGGTATTCATTACACAATTTCATCATCTAGCAATCCTATAGTACATTTATACTGATGAAGTGTTCATCGACTCTTATATTGTGTAAGACTTACTAGCACTAGCAGATAAGTATATGTTGCAAAGACTTAAGAATTTGTGTGAAGATCATTTAGTATATATTCTAATGTTATTTATTAGATTAAGAACATTTCCTTAAAAAATGTTATTGAAGTTGTTAATTTGGCTGATAAATTCTCTGCATAAGAATTGAAAGCCAATGCTATGATCTTTTTACTTGATAATAAATAGAAGATATTGAATACTTAAGATATCAATATGCTATCTAAGGAGATATTAATAGAATTGTTAAAATTTACTAAATGAATATATTATAATCATATAACTATCAAGTAGTTTATCATCATTGCCAAAATCATTAGTTAAGGAATAAATAGCCATTTCATACTGAATTTGGCCACTATCACAATTGTACTAATCAAATATAAGATTACCATGACCAACAAAAATATATTATCTCCTCCATTTAATATATTTATTATGGCCACAGATGATAATAAGAAATGAACGTTAATCAAATAATTTACTTTCGGTCTTATTATTTATGCTATTGATTAATTCTTAAATTACTCACTTCAATTGATTACCTCTTGCTATTATTGTTGTTATGGAAGATCCTCTTCACTTTTACATTACTGTTGTTCTTCAGCCTCTAAAAATTACATTAATCTCACCCTCAATCACAAATTAATTTCTTGGTAAATTCTGTGATTTGTAGCTATTCATTCTCGTCTTGCGATTCTAATGTACATTTTCCTTCCATCTAAACTTTGACAATACAGCATAGCCAAATAAAACTAAACTACTTATTAACCAAAAGAATTCAATTATCTGTCCTGCAATCATTATAATTTAATTAACGAATCTCATTAATCACAAATTCCTAAATACTTCATATATATATTCATTAATTCTAATATTAAAACTCAAATTATTCACTAAATCAATAAAGAACAGAAAGTAGTTAAACCTTTAATTTGTTGAAATGATGTCTATCAGAATAACTATTTAATTTACTAACCTCAAATTTATAATTATAATTTTCACATTTTATAACATCTACTTAGAATTTAAAGACCATGAATTCTTCGTTAAATTTGATTATAAAATTCTAAAAAAGTTAAGTTTTTTCATCATTTTTCTAATAGTACAATTCTGAATAGTTTTCTTTCTAATTTACTGTTTTTATTTTTTTTTTGAATTAAAAAATAAACTATGCTTTTTGAAAAAAAGGTTTTTTATTATGTAAAATTGCCTGCAACCAATAAAAGAATAGGTTGTTTTCTTCAATTTAAAATGTTCACTCATTATTAAAAGCTATTTTCTTTATAAATTTAATTAATTTTAAATGGGATTGACTTGTTCTTCCAGCAATCATAAAGCTCACAATTCTCAAACCAACGAAATTAATTAGCCTATCATGATTGCAGAGAATTTCATTAATATCATAGGATAAGTAGAATTATCTGACGATATCCACGATGATCTTCGTTATAATTTAAATCAATTAATTATACTGAGGAGCAAGCTGGCACACTGTATCGTTCGTTTACATAAACGATACTCTCATTATCACTACTAACAATTAGAAAAAGAGCTCACAAGTGTATTTCAATATGTAGATATCATACTACAGAATATATACTTAGAAGTGTATTTTCCATTAGTATATACCTTCTTGGTAAACTTAATAGAAATACACAAATAAAATTTGAAATAGTAATTATGATGAAGAGAGTGTGACATTATTAAATTAAATTTATAAATTTGAAATAATAATTATACATAATTTTATTTGTTTTTCCCTATTGGTATATTAATTTATAAATGATTTGATTTAATTATACATTATTTGTATAAAGTTTATGAAAGAATTATTATGAAATTATAGCAAATCATTTGCTGTAAATTATTGATGTAATTGATTATTATAATTACAATTAATCAAATATTTCAGTAATCTTTCTTCAATGTAGAAATTCTTAAATCTGATAATTATTTTTTAAACAATACATTGATTTACTTTTAATTATTGTTTTATTTGCAAAGAATTTAAACATGTCAGTGAGAGTAATACATGATTTTATGCATAAGCCTTATCACTCTATATAATATTTTGATTAATATATAAATCACAAATTTTTATTGCTTTCTAAATAATTATGTTCCACTTTCTTAGAACGTTAAGCCTATTGTTCTTTTCTAGCAATTTTTCTAAAGTAAGGGTCTTCCTAGAAGGGTTTCAATTTGAAATTTAAGGCAGCTGAATTAATACTATATTTGATGAATGATGGAGGAGGTCCATCGAAAGAGACCTTTCCAACAAAGCTATCACATCCAGCACAACACAGGTCTCTTTCTTCCTAAAATGTAGTAATAAGATAATTACTTTAATGTTGGATTCCTCTAATTTGACACTATTAGGAATGTGATTCCAAAATTATGCATATCCTGTAGTTGATTTGTATTTCGTGTCAAATGAAAATAATTGATTCTCACAATGTTTACAATGATAGGTACCAACTTCTTGATTCTGATTAAATAGATTATAAAATTTACAAACCAATATTCTCCAGTATATGGACGTTCCATCCCTTTGCCAGCCGCAATCCAATATTGATGTGGAGTCATTGCTAAACGATCTACTTTGATTAATTTGCTGAAAGCTTAATAATATAGCCGCAACATAATTATATAAATTAATTTATATAAATCATAGGAGTGGTGGGTAGGTCATTTAAAATGATTCATGTTTATTTAGTTATGGTCTGATTACAACAATCAAAACACTTGCACTTATCTGTGCATTTCTAATTTCTTATATAGCATTCGCAATATCTTTTTCTGCATTTAGATTTAGTGCAAGAACACCCATATATAATGTCTAATTTAAATAACGCATCTCGAGGCAACCTTTTGTTTCTATAACACTTTTAATCAACATATTTAATTGCATTATTTCTTTATTCTTAATGCTATTCATTATTTTAACACTCTTCTGAACATTAACACTCTTACAAACACATTCTACCGCTATGAAAGCATCGGCAATATCTCTTTAGGCACCCACTATTCTTGCAATTGCAAGGCTGTTGCTGCAATTTTTTAATTTCACTGGGATTATCCTAAAATATTTAAAAATTTTTAAATGCTTATTCTTCTACTTCCTATTTTTTTTAAAGAGTATGATTGTTCTGCTATTGTTATTCATTTAACCTTTATTATTCTTTCTTTTGTTCCTGCTCTAATCCCCAATTTGAATCATTTTCCTCTTGAGTTTGTTCAGGGTTTTCAAGTAAATTTAGAAATTTCTAGGATTCTTCTTATCCTAAAAATTATTGTTGCTGCTGCCATGATATATTTCTAAAAAGATCAGCCTGAATCAGATCCTCAGAGTAAAATTCATTATAGAATTGAGGAGATCTGACAAAGTCATCATTTTAGGAATTTTTCTTATACCCATATATTTCTTGCGATTCTCTTTGCACTAAAAATAGAGGGCTATCGGCCAACCTTTCTGATTCCATTTAAACTTAGCTTTGTTATCTATACATTATTACAATATTAATATTAATCTTTAATAATTAATAATTAATTAATGGACCATTTAAATAATAATACAAAGCAAAGAGATTTTGCTGGTATCTTGTGCTCGTAATATGCCAAGTGCTTTTGAATCGCAACCCCCAGACCAGACCATAAGTCAATTCGACACCTATCAAGAAAGTCTTTATTGACCCAACTTAGAGAATCTATGAAGACATAGTAGTCGGCGAGTATCTAGAAGAACATTAAATTGTGGTGGAATCAAATGAAATAGAAGTGCCCCAACCATTTATTGAATGGAAAGATTGCCAATTTCCAAATCAATTGAACAAGCGTATATCACTCAAAGCTTTTTAAAGACCCACTCCAATCCAAGCATCAGGTTTAAATTAGTATAATTAGATTTAGTATTTCCAATCATTATGTCTGGACATGATTTGATAGGAATTGCTTAAACTGGATCTGGCAAAACAATCGCCTATCTTCTTCCAGGATTAGTTCATATAGAATGCCAACGTAAAAAGGGAGGACCAATGATGTTGATATTAGTGCCAACTAGAGAATTAGCAATGCAAATATAAGGTACTAAAAGAACACATAATTTAGAGCATATTAGTTATTTTTCTGAAGCCTACAATATGAATTCCGCCTGTATTTATGGTGGAGCAGATAAGAGACCTCAAGAGATGGCACTAGCTAGAGATCCAGATATTGTTGTGGCAACTCCAGGAAGACTAATTGACTTCTTAGATGCTCAAGTAACTAATCTTCATAATGTTACTTATTTAGTCTTAGATGAAGCAGATCGTATGCTTGGTATTATGATATTATATATTTAAAAGATATGGGATTTGAATAACAAGTTCGCAAGATTGATAGCTATATTAGAGAAGATAGACAAACAGTATTCTTTTCAGCAACTTGGCCAAGAACAGTGTAAAATTTAGCATGCGATTTATGTCACAATGAACCAATTAATCTATATATTGGAAGTCAAGAAGTCACAATTAACAAAAACATCACTTAAGAAACAATTTGTTTATATCAGAATGAAAAATAGGAGGAGTATAAAATTGAATACCTATTTTTAGATTACTATATATTTTAGAAGAATTATCAAATAAAGATAAGGTTTTGATATTTGTTGAAACCAAAAAGGATTGTGAAGACTTGGCCACTTATTTGTCTGAACATGGATTCTTTTGTATGTCTTTACATGGTGATCGAACTCAATAATAAAGAGATTATGTCATGAAGGAATTCAAATCTTCAAGATGCAAATTGCTATGTGCTACTGATGTTGCATCAAGGGGACTTGATGTTAGAGATATTAGTTTAGTAATCAACTACGATTTCCCTAATTAAATTGATAATTATGTCCATAGAATTGGAAGAACAGGGAGAGCTGGTGATAAGGGAAGAAGCATCACTATGATCACTTTGGATACCATGGATCCAAGAATAGCCAAATAATTGGTTGATGTATTTAGTATATTTAATTTAAGCTATTAAAAGATTCCGAATAGGTTGTAAATGATGATCTATATGATTTTGCTTATTCAAGTATTTATAACATTTTATCATAGAACCATATTAAAAAGGTAAGAGACCCAATCAAAGAAAAAAGAATAATGATAAACCTATAACTCAGACCAAAAATACTAACAACACCAATTTCAATACCTAAAAATAGCAGTAGAAGTAATTCAATTTGAAAGCATCTTCTCCTGTTAAATAATCAACATCATCCATGCCCCCTCCCCCAGAATTGAAGAAAGCCTTTTCAGATGCTCCGGTATTTGGTTTTTTCAATTCAAAAAAAGAATGATATTAACATATTTAGAAATTCAATCATATCAAAATTGTTGTTTATTCAAATACGGTGGAATGATCTCTAGCGTTTATCTTAATATCCTTCCATAATCACTTTACTATTAGTTTTGATCTATTTTATTGACAATTTAATTTGCTGATCAATATAAATATATAAAAATGGGAAATTGTTTTAAAGAGTAAACTTCTCGTTCTTCTATCTCTGACTATCCAAGAATGGAAATATTTGAGTAAGACTTTTTAGATCAAAAAATATCTCATAAAATAACGAAGTCTGGATTATTGAGCTAAGTTGAAAGCATAATTATAAAAGAAGACCCAGAAACAGAATAAGATCAAAATTAATCTGTCGAACTGAATTCGTAATTTCAGATTCAACATAGTGCAACCATAAAATTTGATAGGTTGCCATTGGGCATCAAGATGGAGAAGCACCACAAAATAAAATTATACAATTTACATACTCAAAGATACTTGCATTCTCATGCAATTAAACATGAACATAATAAATCGAATGAAGTAAGCACTTGTAATAATTGTAATTATGAATATGACTGGTGGTAATTCATATATATTTAAAATAAAATTCATATTTATCATCCAATTACACAATCATATTTAAAATGTTTATAAACTATTAATGACTTGGGAGAAGTAGGTTGTGTATAACATGATATGGATGAATGGGTAATCATTTCAGATGATAGAGAAATCAAATAATATTCAATTATAAGTTTGTATTATTTATATATATAAGAACTTAAACATATAAGTACTGGACTTTATTTGCATACTTAGCCTTATTAAAGCAAGGTTGAAGATTAGCATATTGTATCGGTCTGTAAACAAGAACTAGCAAATGCTCTTTGGAGAATTGCAGATATGTAATGATTTGTTATTCAATTATTTATTCATTTTTTATTGTAAATATAATTATACTCTCTTTGATAAAACCAGACTTTGTGCTTCGTTATCTTTCTATATCCAAGTTTTTAAAAAGAAATTATAGTAATTACCTTAATTTAAAAGTTAACTTAAATTCAGAATTGATTAATATGCTATCAATTGTTTTTAAGGGATACCAATCAGATAATCGGTTAAAAGACTCATAATTATATTATTATTCTATCTTAGGTTTAAGGAAGGATGGCCCAAATACATTTTTGTGTTAATTCGGTAATTTCCTTAGCATTTATTCAATTTTTGTAACTACATTTCCAATATGAATAAAAATATTATAATAATTAGAAAAAACTTTAAATTGACCTCCAAATAAATTTTATTTAGTTAAATATTTTTAGAGAATTAATTTATCATTTAAATATTTCTACCATCATGAACTTTCTGATCAGTTTCTGTCATTATCTAAACCATTTTAAACTAAATCATGCTATTCTTAATTTATAATATAAAAGTTGCTCCTATCTTATTTGACGACTTCTGTTTCAATCCTAACTCGTAAGACTTTGTAAAAGAAATAATTCCAAAAGCATTACTTTTTTATCATATTATAGTTGCTATAACCAACTATACTACAGGTTTTAAAGCATTGTAATAATACTAAAAGATAAAGTTTATTAATAAAATCCAAATATGATTGTTTTTGGTTTAATTGAAATGATTAGTTATATAATAAATGATATTTTCTTTCAGTAATATTCGTATTGAAGAAAAATCGAATAATTAAATCTAACTTCTTTATTTATCAGTGCTTTATCGAATTTTAACATGATCTTAGTGCTCTTTGAATAGAATACCTGAATCTTCTAGGCTATTTTGTTTAATTTACTCATGAGAATTAGGAAATAATTATTTTTATTTGTGGGAAATGGAGCAGAATTATACACTATAGCAAGAGGGCATTGATAAAATGCAAGGTTCTTTTGTTAGTCTGTTATTGGAGTGAAATGAAACTTATAATATTTTTAATTAATATTTTTTGGATTGAGCACCTGGATCCATAAAAATATGAATACGAAAGGAGTGAACAGAAATGTATAAAAATGAACTTATGACAATATCATATTTATAGAATATATGAAAAAATTAAATGCGCGCCGATTTGTGAGCATATATATCTGAAATTCAAAAAAAAGAAGAAAAATTTATCATATAGTTTTTTTTTTACCTTTTTGTCCCTTATTATTTTATAAATGAGTGATTTAGAAAGTGAGAATGACCCAACCAATAGACAATCAGATAGACTACGAGAAAAGTAGAAGAGAAAGTATAACATGTTAGGTACATTAGTAGGTACAACTTAATGGAAGAAGAAAACTACCGTGAAGAGTAAAATGGAATTAGTAATGAAAGACGGTCTGCCAGAGCGATCAAGAGGAATTATGCAGCTACTATGAGCGAGGAAGAAGAGTCGATGAATGAACCAACTTTAGAAAGTGAATCAAGGCGTATATTCGTTCCTGAGATTGATCAAATTTTGTGGCGAAAAACAGACCAACACACTGGGGATCTTTAATATTTGGTTAAATACAAAGACCGAAGCTATTTCCATACCAAGTGGCTTGATGAATTGATAGTATGTTGAATTTATTCATAATGGTCAGATCCTCAACGAGAAGAATGGAAAGTAGAAAATCAATCGATTCAATAAAGTGTTTGATAAACGAATTATGGAAGAATTTGAGGAAGCTGCTGATGCTCAATATTTTGATCCAGCATTTCAAGAAGTCGATCGAGTATTATCATGTACAGAAATATTTCCTATTGTCCATCCTAAAAAAGGATCCGAAATGAAAGGTAAGTGGGCAGAGAGTCTAACCAAAGTGATGTCTCATTTACTCAATTTCAGTAGGAATCAAGTTCATTATGGAGTATACTTTTTAGAAAGCAAAGCAATCCTTGATTTTGGCACCATAAATAATCGTTTGTATTTGGGATAGTACAAAACTAACAATGAGTTCTGGAACGAATTGGGAACAATATTTAGAAGTGCCTGTCAAGAATATTAAGAAAATAGTGAAATGAAATAAATCAGTGATACTTTGAGAGAGTGTGCAATTGTACTCTATAATTAATGGTATTAAGAAGCCAAAAAGAATTATGAATAAAAGTAATCTCAACAGAGATATATCAATGAGGATGCATACAAAAGTAGAGTAAATGATGCCCACAGAAATGATATCATGCCTGAATTGAAGAAGGAGAAAATCAATGAATTAGTGCTTAACCTTCTCAATATCATCGATGAGAAATAATACACCATTCAAGAGAATCAGTCTGAAATTGAATCAATCATATAAGATAAATTGAATCTAAAATTAGAAATCAAAAACGAAGACTTTTTCGATCTCGAAGATTATCTCAGATCCTAACTCTAGACCAAAGACATTGATGTTGCTTAAGAAATGTAATTGGAAATGTTGGATTTCTAACAACAAATGGATAATGTTGATCCAGACATCGAAGCTTGGAATCCGGGAGATAAATCTTTTGATTGGTTACAATTAGATTCCGAAGACATCTAAACCTTAACAGAATCAGAAATCTTAAAATTGTCTCAAGAACCTGATCGTTTGTACTTAGTCAAATGGAAACACTTATCTTATTTAGAAGCCACATGGGAACCTGAATCTTTGATAGATTGCAGACAGAAGATTTAAGAGTTTAAATAATTCAATAGAAGTTTGGATAAAGAAACAAGGAATCTTATGATGTAATAGAATTCTAATCATAAAACACTTGTGGATTTCGAATAAGGACTTCGAAAAAAGAAATTATCCAATCACTAAATTAGTGAGATTAGAAATTAATTGTATTTCTTGAATCAAAGAAAACCACCTCATGAATATACCCAACTTACACAAACTATTTATAAGGATAGAAGACTATTAAGAGACTATCAACTTGATAGTTTGAATTGGCTCATTAGAGCATGGTATGAGGATAGGAATGTTATCTTGGCTGATGAAATGGGACTCGGCAAAACTATACAAACTATTTCATTTTTAAATCACTTATACAATTTTGAAAACTACAGAGGACCCTTTTTAATCATAGCACCCTTATCTACATTGCAACATTGGAAACGTACTGTTGAGGAATGGACCAATTTGAATGCTGTTCTCTATTATGATTAAGAAAGCAGTGCTGGAAGAACATAGTGTAGACAATATGAATTCTTCTACACTGATATTAGCATGAAAGGCATTGTGCTCCAAGCCTCTGAAATCTACAAGTTTTAGATACTAATTACCAGTTATGAAGTCTTCATGCAAGATTTCTAAACCATATTCATTAATATACCATTTCAATATATTGTAGTGGACGAGGCACATAAATTAAAAAATTCAAATGCAAGAATTTTGCAATCTTTAAAAAAGCTTTGTTGTTAGAGGACATTATTATTGACTGGAACTCCTATTCAGAATAATACTGAAGAATTATTTAGTTTACTCAACTTCATTGAACCGTATTCATTTTCGAACTTAATGAGTTTTAAAAGGGAATATGGACAATTGGAGACTTCAGATTAAGTGGATAAATTGAATGTTCTGCTTAAACCATTCATTTTGAGAAGACAAAAGGAGGATGTAGAATAGATGATTCCTCCTTTGTAAGAAACTATTATAGATATTGAAATGACTACTATTTAAAAACACATATACAAAGCACTTTATGAAAGAAACAAGTCAATGTTGGAATAGGGATTTTCTTAGTGGGCTGCGAATGCTGCTTCATTAAATAATTTAGAAATTCAACTTCGAAAATGTTGTAATCATCCGTATTTAATCTAAGAAATGCAGAATGATTTGACAAAGGAATGTTAAAACAAAAATGACTATATTAATAAATTGGTAGAGAGTTCAGGAAAAATGATTCTGTTGGATAAGTTATTGAACAAATTTAGAAATGAAGGCAAAAAAATGTTGATCTTTTCATAATTTACAATGATGTTATCTATTTTGGAAGAGTATTTAAAATTTAGATAAGTGAAATATGAAAAGATAGATGGGTAGATAAAAGCAAGAGAAAGATAGAATGCCATTGATAGATTCAATGATCCTCAGAAAAAGAGGGAAGTATTTCTATTGTCTACAAAGGCAGGTGGATAGGGTATCAATTTGACAGCTGCTGAAATAGTAGTGATTTATGATTCAGATTGGAATCCTCAAAATGATGTTTAAGCTACAGCTAGAGCTCATAGAATTGGACAATCAAAAGAAGTCACTGTTTATAGATTGATTACTAAGGATACTTATGAAGCAGAGATGTTTGAAAGAGCAATCAAAAAATTAGGATTAGATCAAGCTATATTTATGAGTGGACAATTCAAATCATGTGAAAGTTCATTCAAAAATAACAAGAATGATAAAAAGATGAGTAAATAAGATATGGAAGTATTATTGAAGAACGGAATCATAGGTTTGATAAGTAACAATTAAATGGGAGATACATTTTAAGAAAAGAATATTGATGAAATATTAGAAAAGAATTCAAGAACTGCCAAATACTCTTTGATTAATGGATCCTATACAGTTTCGAAGTAGTCATTTGTTTCTGAGAAAACAGATAAGTCAATAAGTATTCAAGATCCAAATTTTTGGAAAATTATATTAAAAAGCCAGGAAAGCAGATGTTAGAAGTTAATTAAATTATTCGATATACATATGTCATTGTAAGAATAGAAGAAATATATGGAGGAAGTTGGAGATTGTGTTAATTCATTGATAGAATCCAAATTAAGTTAATCTAATTATAGCACTGATGATGAATAAATATTAACAGATTTGTTGAATAAAATTAATTCATCAAATTATGCCAAAAATTATAGAGAACTAGCTATGAATTGGATATACGAATTGAGCAAACCTTCTAGAAGAATCAAGAAATTGACAGACATGGATTTGGGTAGAAAATAACAAAGGACAGTAGAAATTCAAGGGGAGGATGCAAGAAGATTGGCATCAAAAAGTAAGGAAGAATTAATTAAGAAACTTTGTTATGTGTGTGAAAGACCTAATTGTTCTGTGTTCTGTATGGGACATTGCAGAAGAGCCTTCCATATAGCTTGTAAAGATCTATTGGAAACAACAGAATACATTAATATTGAAGGTCCTGATTAAGACTTTCTGAATAATCATTCATTTCCTGAGCTCAATTGGAGTGAAGAGTAATTGAAGGAAAATGTCAATATTAGATATTCTTGTCCTGATTGCAGAAACTGTCTAGTAGTTTGTTTGTTGTGTAAATCAAAGGGAACATATCCTCCAGAGAAGAAATAGAAAGAAGAAGTAATAGCTTCATCTGATGAAAATGATCCTCTAGAAGATAATGTGAAGAAAATCAAAAATAAATCAGCCATTTCAAAATGTTCAACAGCTAATTGTAATCGATACTTTCATTTGAGTTGTATATAAGCTGATCCATTATCTAAGACTCTAGATTCAAATGTGGAATTATTTAGATGTCCCTCTCATGTTTGTGTATTTTGCAAGGTTAATTCTTCTAACACAACAACAGCCTTAATCCATTGTGTGAGATGTTGTAGATCATTCCATAGTAAATGTGCACCTCCTGAAGTGAAATCGAAAACTTAGAAGATCGGAAAAAAGGTTATGATCTGCGATTTGTGTGCTAAATAAAAGGAAGAAAAGTTTGAGGGAAAAATGATAGTCAAAATATCAATTAAAGGATATTAAAAGAAATAAAAATAAGCAAAATTAGATTTCAAATAATTTGGAACCACAGCTAGAACCAGAAGAATTTATGAGAAAAAAAATGAATCCATGCCCAGTGATAGAAGGTAATTAGATTCCAGCAGAAGCAATAGTGAAGAAAAGATTGTCAAGAAAGTCCAAAGAAAACAATTCAAATAAGATATTCATCCTTACTCTTATGAAGAACTGGGAATCATCCCAGTTAAACATTTTGACTATTCCAAATACACTAATGTAATATATACCTTCTATTGAATTAGGATTGGTGTAGATATTGTGGTGCAAGGTTTGCATCTAATTTTACTAAAGGGCCTTGGGGTTCCAGAACTCTGTGCACTATCCACTACATCAATTGGGGATAGAAGAAGCAACTAGATCTATCGGAACATATCGTATTGCCTAAAAGCCCAATCAATAGAGATGATCCTACTGAACTCCAATTCCTGCAGAGGTTAAAATTGTTTTTATTTATTCTTTTAGATAAAAAGCAAAAGATCCTAACTTCGACCCCAGAAAAGAACTTAACATCTACAATGACGAGTAGTACCAAATATTTAACAATGACTGAATCATGTATAATTATGACAAGAGCTGCTAAATTTGGTTCTCTTATAGCCACAATTTTATTTTATCTTATATTTATATATTGCTCAATTGTTAGCAAGGTATGCTATGAGGTCAGCTCTTTCTTATTCGTTTTCAAGACCAGCGAAAGCCATCTTTGTGCCTACAACATACTTTGAAGGATTCTTCAAAAACACAAACAAGTGCTTTTCAGACCAGTTGAATCCTGCACCCTTCATGCTCTTAGAATATGGGAATTGAGTTGATCCAGCCTTTCTTCCTATAAGTCCTCTAAACAATCATTAAATAAAGAGTTTTACCCTAATGTTGGTGCTGATGCAGTCTTATCATCTCCTTCAAAAGCGTGACAGGCAGCACATTATTAATCAAAGATATCTCTTCCTTTTGCTGCATCTCCATTTGGAACATTGACATTTGGCTCTGCGATTGTCTTCTTGGGAGGCATATCTATAAAATAATTTAATTTTAATTTGAAAATGATTCGTGTACGCATTGCTATATATACATTTATCATGTATAAATCTTTAGGTATACTAAAGCAGGAAATTGGTTGAGAAGGTTATTCTATTTTTTAATTAAACAAAGACAATAATGCTAGAGGAAATGAATTTAAACCTACTTCTCCTAAGAAATTGAGTAAACTCATAAATCTACACTTTATAAGTCTACTTGGAAGCTTATTATGATTTTAAATATACAAACTATATCTTATAAATCAAATATTTTGAGTATTAAACTTAAGATATTTAATAATATCATTATAATTCTATAAAGAATTATAACTATTAAAATTAGGAGATTTTTCACTCTCTTATAGACTAGAGCAAAGAAATATCAATATATTATTGACTAGGCTTTATATACTGATTCTAAATTACTTTTATATACTATATTATAGATATCATAATTCATCTCTTCATGCATTAATTAAACTTTTTATTCAACTTCAATTAAAAGCTATGATATTCCGATTCCAGACTCTTTAACATTCTATTAGTAATTCTGAATCTTTATAGAATTGTTTTTTTGATTGATACATCATCTTTAATCGATTTATCAAATTTCTACATATGTTAGATTAACTCTTTTTCCGTGCTGATACTAAACATTTCAGATTTTATCAGTTATCCTAAATAATGAAGAATCTCATCAAACTCAAGGTTCAGTATTTACTATTGAATCAATGAAAATATGTAAAATGTCGCTTTATAAAATCCTATTTTAGTACTGACTGTTACCTTTCCACTCTTCTGCTAAAAATAAGTCCCATATCACATTCAAAAGGGCTGATCTCTAACTGTATTGAAATACATTTGAGTATAAAGTAATAAACCAAGAAGCCACATAATAGGAGGCATCAATTTTCTAATCTTTCAGATGTGAAGATAATTCAGGCAAAAAGATACATAGTAATCTTTCAAAAGCATAAAATCCAGTTTTCTATTATATTAACTATTGATTTTACCAATTTTGAAAAATCATTGATATATAATTCTTTGAAATAGAGATTCATCATTCTATCAAAAGCCTTATATGCAATTTCTTAATCTTAATAAGTCAAATATAAATATCCAGCTATGTAATTCATGCCTTAACAATATCCAACTTCTTAATTGTAAAACGCATAAATTCTTAATAAGCTTTACAGAACATTTGAATTAATTTTGTCTTTATGAATGTGAAGACTTCTCTAAACATCCAATTTAATAGTTTCTTCATATAGATTATTAATATCCATTTCAATTCCTACTTTAGTTTTCATCTCAACATAATCAATATTCAATTATTTCAATTTTAAAGCCTAAGACATTAATCTCAATCTCAATTGATGAGTGGATTCTTCTGAAAACACTTAAGAATTGCCCAAATAGAATTTCTTAATTTTGTGTTTCAGCTATCTATTAAAATTGCCATTAAGAGTTAGTAACTTTTATGGTTGATCTTGAATGGATAAAAATCTAATTATAAAACAATCCTTACTTTAAACAAGCTCCACACCCTTAGATCACCTTGTTCTCATAAATGTATAATTATTTTCTCTCATATTTTTCGGTTTTGTGGGTTAAAACTACTTTACCTGATTTGAAAAACTTCTTCCATTAGGTGTTATGAAAATCTTCCTATTTTTCCAACAATTTAACCACATGATCCTTATCAATATGTTATTATTATGATGCTATTTAGATGATTATTTCTGCGGATAATTCTGATGGTAATTTTAGTGAATAGATGAACAGATTGATTTCATCTAATATCATATAACAGATTTCACTTTCATTTACTTCCATCATATTAGATTATTGAGATCCAAAGTTCTTGATCATCGATAGTCCTTTGCCAATAATTCTTACTCCTTTTTTTAAAATAGTGCTTTAGGTTTATTGCATAATTGATTGAGCTTGCTTTCTCTTTTCATCAACTTTCTTGGCACTAATAAACTAAAATAGTTCAATCCATCTATCAACTTTAGTCCATAGAGGAATATCCGATAATTATGAGGCCAAATTAACTCTCTCTTTTCCATCTATTCTAACAATTCTAATTGCCTTTAATAATAAATCATAGATATCTTCTGATTCGTAGATTTCATTCAAATCAACGTAATTTAACCAATGCCTAATTAATTATAACAATTCCATAAACTATTCAGTAGTTAATGTTAAATAGAATCCTATGATAATATATCAATTTACTTGCTTATTTTTCTTAATATGATTTAGCATGTGATTTATTTAACTAATTTATAAAATAATTTCTGCCTGCCGATTTCTAAAGAATCTACTTAATTTTTATTATTTATTCGCATTTATCCAATAGATCAATTTAAAATAATGATGATAAATATTTATCGACTAGTTTTTTCTCTTCTTCTGAGATTTTATCACCCACAATTGTCCATTAACTCTATACTTATTATAATGGATGGACTTAATCATGATTTTAATGATTCTTTTTCCACTCTTCATAACTTAGAAATTCTTCAAATGAAAATTTAAATGCTATGAAATTAAATAGATTTATTACAGCCCTCTTGAATTTGCATTCTTTTTTCAATCAACTTTCTAATAGGTATCTTTGGATCTGATTTCAATTTGAGTTCTAAATCTGATATTTTTTCTTCAAATTATGATTAATCCTAATCAAAAGGCAATAATTTTAACAACGAACTAACAGTCTACTTAGTAAACATGATTCTATATTATGTCTTATGTTCTACCTACTCTATTCATTTAAACCAACGTTGGTAAATATGGAATCCCATTCTTAATGAAACTATTTCCATCTCTCATTTGTGATTAATAATAACTTCTTATAGTCCTTCTCCATTCCATCAGCCAATTCCTGAATTCTAAGAGAATTATTAAATAATTTTTGGAAATCCTCCTTGGTTGCATTACCTTTTTCAATATGATCTATCATTTATTATGCCTATTCAGATTTCTACTCAAATAATTTCATCAATCTCCAATATTCCTCTTAAGTTTTACACATCTCCTTTCTTGTTTCTAATATTTCGGCTACTTGCTTTTTGGATTCACTATTCAAACTTCTATTCGTTTATCTGAAATTCACAACAAATTAAGTATAAGGCTCTGCAATCTCACTCTTAATTTTTTGAGCTGTATTATCCCAATTTTATGATAATCTTAATAAGTAATTGCTCACTTATTGATATAAACAAACTAAGATATCTGGTTCATTCCCACTGCTAATCTAAGTGTGAAATTTTTATCCAATATTTGAGATTGCTGAACTAAAATCAAGGAGGCATGTGATCAATTCTGCAAACTTTTAATTATTTCATATATTTACAATCTTTTCAACTCCTGTTACATTTTAAGTTAACCCAACCATATATTCATATAGTTTGTGTTACTGGAGATTAAAGTACTCAATAGTATGATTCATATCAATTAAATATATTAAAAACAAATATAAACTAAATAATAAAAAATTCCATAATATCTATTTACCAATTAGGTTATTAAAAATAATTATAGAAAATATACTCCTACATTCATATAATTAAAAAAATAAACTGAATCTAAAATGTTATTTACAATAAATAAATATTCCGCTTAGATATCAAATTATAATAAGAAGCAATAAATATAGATTAATTTTATTGATATAAAAAGATTTGAATAAATTTGACAATAATCAATTGACATCTTCTAAATTAGGCCTTATTTGATTTCTTGGCATATCTTTTTTCTAGATCTATTCAATTTCTCTCAGCAATTTAATTTAGAGAGCATTGTAATATTTTTATTATCTTGATTATTTTGCGAGCAAAAGTTAGGTAATTAGTAAGCTTGATTGTTAATTCTCTGAAAATAAGATAGACTAATAATTCTCATTTACTACTGGGTTATATTTATAATATAATTGATTATTTTAAAGGCTACCTTGTAAGTCAAGATTTGTTTTAATAGTTGAGGTTCGCTTTTTAAAAAGCCATTCAGGTTATTTTAAAAATATATACATTAGAATAATACATTAAGCATAAAATATATAGCTGAATGTCCAACCAGAGGTATAACCTAAAAATGTAACCTTAATAATTTGAGTAGATCCTAACTACGATAATACCAGCATCATTATCAATAATTTAGGCAATCGATATTTAAATTAAACCTATTCATTAGTTCCATAATTTATAAATTAATACTTATTTAACCAGTAGATAATTAAAATGGATATCAGGGTTATAGGATAGCATATTGGATACAAATAACCATAATAGCTACATTAAAAAACCAAAATAGTTAGATCAACTCTCTTTTAATGAAAATTAAATTTTTTTGAAAGTAATTTGTTAGCCTCAAATTATGTTAAATTTGATTCTTAATTGAAATATTTGTAATAAATAAATTGTATTAATTTCCAAGCTTGTCTAATATCCATTATAGTAAATAATATTTATACAACGCCATTTACTAAAATAATCAAAATGATATCTTCGCTTAACCCACCTGCTCTCCACAATTTTTCTTATCTACTGCCTTCACCAGAGTAGACGGCAACAAATATTGGGGGATACAAATAAAACATAATACATATGAGAAATTCGTTTAGTTATAAATATTATTTCCAAAATTGACGCTTTGAATCGTGGGAACTTTAATGGACATAATTCTCAATAGTGTATATACAAATTTTTGTAGAAAGAAATAAAATCAGAGCAGTTGCCAAGCTCAAAAGTGTATTTATCTAGAGTTAATCTTAACTTTTTCCAGGATTTGACAAAATATAATCATTTTTTGCCACTTCAATTGCTATATTAGGTAACCATCCGCAACATGCAATAGCAGTCTTGATTAATTGTAAGTTAGGGTTGCCATTTGATATCTTTTTCTTCCAAATTACATCTGAAGGTCTTGGGCATTCTTTCAGAGAAAAGTTCCTTTTAAAGCATTTTTTAAAATTTTTTGCTTCTTACTTAAATATAGAATAAAATTTATTACTTCATCAGAAAGAGTTATATATACACTACCTGTGAACTTCAAATATTTGTTGCTATTATTCATAACATAAAATTAATTTACAGTCTTCCTTATAATATCTTTCAATGACCTAAATTTTTAATTTAATATTAACCTGCCATTATTTTCAGTTTGTTAAACATTTATTACTTACAATTTCAATTCATTTTCTAAATAGTTAATATCATAAATTAAACAACAGTCAATTATATTATATTGAACCGGGATTTCATCCAACATGCCATTTCTAAAATAATTTAAGATATCATTTTTTTTCCATTTTAGATTTATTGATGAAATTTGGAATGAGCAACTTTTTATTGTTTTTTCACTATCATAATCATGATCCACATTATAATAATCATTTGTTTAGTATGTTAGATATCGGACGAAGACTAATTATGCAATTATTGCAATTGCATATAATACATCCAAAACGTCATCTTAATAACTAGGAATTATCACTATACAATACTGTTCAGGGTCTAATCGATTTAATAGTGATGACTAATTATTCAAATTCATCTTACAACTTTGACTTTTTATACATAGGTCTCCTTTGGTATTCTAGATCAAATTGTATAGCCCAGCAATAATGCTGCGAAATAGTCATCATAATTACAAAAATATGCTTAGAAGTATAAAATAAGTTTTCAATAACTTAAGGTATTTGTATGAGGTGCCATATTCGCTGAACACATTTATATCAGTAAGGATGGAATATTTAGTTGTTTATATTGGCAAAGAACAACAAAGACATCTATCTAAATTATTTATGATCCCATTATGGATAATTTGAGCTCTCTTTAAATAATATATTCTACTCACATTATGATTTTTGGCCATTTCAAAATTTGGTGGTGATTTCAATAAATTCTCTCCAAGTATGAATTCTGATGGATTCTCCATATTTTTAACTTGATCTTGAAGCAAATTAATATAGAAATTAATAATTTTCTCCTAAAATAGATAATAAATTCAGTTTAAAAATGAATGTGAATCAAGATGGACAATTTTTAAAATGATGGATTTCACACGAATATCAAGGAAATAAGCCCAAATGAATGAAATTGCAATGACATTTCATTTATTTATGAGTATTTTTTCAGTTATTATAAGAAATAAAAAAATATTATCTTTCAAGATTTTATATGCGTTGATATTGTATGTATATATATATATTTATTTCTGTATTTGTAGTTTCAATTATTCTATTAATGCTTCCTGAATTGATACCTTTGTTTATAGAGCGATTACTATGCTTGTCAAATTTAAGAAGCTGCTTTAGCATATCATGTACAAACACAGGCCAAAGCATTCAAATAAGAATTTTTATTAATTTTCTTTATTTGCAATTTGTTTATGCTTAGAGTTAACTCTTGAGTCAATTTAAAAATTGTAATAAATGAGTTAATTTTTATAAATATATTAAAAATGAATATGCAAAAAATCTAGAATTTTTGATAAAGAGTTCCAAAAAGACCCTTAATTAATCACATCTTGATCGACATGAATTTATTACTGATCTACTGATTGATAAATTCAGATTCTCTTAAAATTTTCAATTCATTTCATTGAAGACTGTATTAAAGCTCCAAAGAAATTGCGAATAGTAATATAATTATTAAGCTTTTGAATTGCGACTCATATCTAGATAGACTTATCATCTACTTTTATTAGATATTAATAAAATATGATAAAAATTAATTTTTAATAAATATGATATTTTGGTTATCATTTACTAAAATTTATCAATAATTCTTTGAATATATTAATAAATACATAAATGAAGAAAAAATAGTAAAATAGAAGTTCCTCATCGTCTTCATCTAGTTCTAGGAGTAGAGAAGATGAAGTGAAGAATTAAAGAGCTAAAGTTTCATATCAGGAGTACTTGCTTCAAAGAAAACAAAGGAGAGAGTCAATAAAAAAATCAAACATTTGGCAATTCAATAGTGATTCAGAAGAAGTTCGTAAAGGTATGGACTGATAATATATTCAGATTTGGCAATAATGAAAGAATAAAGAAGATAATAAAGATATATTATTGAGGAGTAAATGAAATAAGAAGAGGATAAATTAAGAAGAGCTAAATTGGATGCTATTATGAAAGGAGAACATTTACAAAAAGTATTACCATCTAAATCTTAAGAAAGAGAATAACAATCTGAGCCAAAAGAGATTGTGATTCAGGAGGAAGTTGTAAATTAACAAGAAGAAATCGATTAAGAACAAGATGAAGAAGAATAATAGTAAATTTTCAAATATATTCTTTCAGTTATTCAGAAACTGACTCTGATGATTCCTTTGCTGAGAAGGTTAGAAAACTAAATGAAGAAATGCAAAAGAAGAAAGAAGAAAATGATAAATCTTGTTAAATAGGTCCTATGCCTCTCTTGTTTGATAAAAACTTACAGCATAGAACCAATTATGGCAGTCAGTTATTACCTGGAGAGGGGGCTGCAATTGCATATTATATCTAATCCGGAAAACGTATTCCCAGAAGAGGAGAAGTTGGGTTGACTTCCGAAGACATAGAAAAGTATGAAGGATTAGGGTATGTAATGTCTGGAAATAAACATCGGAAAATGAATGCTGTTAGATAAAGGAAGGAAATGCAAATTTTAAATGCTGAATAGGGCAAGGCCTTGATGATATTCAATTATGAACAGAAGGTTAAGAGAGAGAAGCAAATCATCGATCAACTGTAAAAACAATTGAAGTTGAAATAAACAAATTAAGCAAGTTAATGAAAATATATTATATAATTGCTATTTAATCTATAATAATCATCATAAGTTGTATTTCTTCTAGCATTCTTTGAAAATGTCCATATATGGTTGACATCTTGTGATATCTTGGTTAGTTTGTAAACACTAAAATTTAATTTAAAATCTTACATTCGAAAACATTTGACTCTCACTCTAACAAGTTTATTATTGTTATTAAGGAGCTTGTTGTTGGGTTTATTATTCAGCTGGTTGAGAATGACCTATTTAAATTACATTTAAATCATACTTGATCCACCTATGACAGATCTAATTGCTTAATGAGCTACTTCTGAACCTGCTCCAAAGGCCATTCCTTACATCAAAGTTGATCCAAGTCCTGAAAACATACCTCCAGATTTAGCTGGAGTTTAGAGGGGAGCTTAAGCTTATGGAGCTGGTCTTGCAGCTGTGGCAGTGCTTCTTGATGGGCTAGCTGTTGATCTTGATGCTGATCCACTTCTTCTTGGCATTTTGAAAACTTTTTTATTAAAATTATTAATGAAATATTTTTAAGATTCATGGAACAATTTAAAATAGGTGAATTAATTACCTTAAATTAAATTTTATCAGAACAATTATTTTCTAGATATTTCTTAGACAATATAAATTTAATTTAATATAACCATTTTATGAACCCAACATAGCTACTAATGTTTGATCTTAAATGTTTTAAACTCCTCAAACTTTGATTTCATTCCTATTTTTCCTTCCTTTTTCCTTAAAATAAATAAGCTATAAAATAATTGCAAAAATATTATTTTTAACATATGTCTCATCTATTTCCATCAAATTTGGACTCTATATGGTTGGATTGTTAATATTCTCTGACAATACAATTTAATCATGTTAGAATAAAAAATACATCCTCAAAATTCGAACTTAGGACAAGTTTTCCTTTTTTTTGTATACTCCAATCGTGCAATAAAAAAAATCACAAAAATTGGTAATGGCATAAACCCAGGGACTGTCATTAATTTCTTAATATTGTTTTTCAAGTCTCAAATTTTATAACTAAGTTTTAATAAAAATGATAATCAAGGAAGAATACATATTATTTTGGAAAGATAAATATAACAATTAAAAAGATTAAGCTATATCATTTAATCAATCAATCTCCTTTTTCATTATTTCAAGTATTAAACTTTTTATTTGATAAAATTTATGATATCATAAATGTAGGATAATCTATTTTTATTTATTTTGATTATTTTATTTATCCTTTTAAACTGAACTAAAGTAGATTTATAAAATGAATATCAAATGATATTTGAATTTAATTTTTTATCATTTCTAGATAATTATCTTAATTCATAATTTAATAATAACTAATAACGATGACCAAAATTATCCTGGTCTATATATTTTATTTGATAAATTTGTAATAATTGACATTAATTTGTTAAAGTTGACAGATCCTCACTATATTCAGAGTTTTAATATAATTACATTCAGGGGGTTTTAAAGAAAATATTAGATGCAACTTTACATATCCTTTTTCCAAATAATTATTTTTGAATGAGAATAGTAATAATGGATTTAAGAATAAATTAAAAACAGATATAGATGGTAATTAAAATTCTAAAATTCATTTAAAATTAGGATTTATTGGATATTTAAGACATACTATGCTAGGTCAATTAGAATTATACCTTTTATTTTGGAAATAAATTTATAGTGAAGTTTAATAAATTAATAATAAATGATATCCATTTCTATCTAATATCAATTCATTCATAATAGACTCCAAATACGATTGCTACACCATAGATACTTTCCTATTGGTTTAATAATGAGAATGATTAAATACATTTTGAAATGCATATGATGCGTAATTGTCCCAAGTTGGATCCCAAAGATTTTTGGATGTGACTTTGCATCCTTATCCTTTGATTTCTCCAATTATAACTTAAACTGCAATTTTAAATCTTGGCATTTTGATAGCTTTAGAATAAATAGAAATAATTTATTTACAATCTCTTACTTTGCTTCTGATTCGTTTTACTAATTCTTCAGCTAGATTAGGAGTGTTGTTAGCATCATAAGTTTCGTTTTTTAATTTATCATCCATAATTTCTTGAATTAGCTTTCTCACTTTAGATGGATAGAATCTAATTATATTGATTCAAAATCACTTTTCTTCATCCTTAGGTTCTACAACAAAAGTATTTGCACCTCCAGAGTCCATCTTAGATGATTTTTATAAAATAATAATAATAATTTAATAGTTACTCATTATTTTTCAAAATTCTTTTTAATTCCAACATACAAATTATCAAATTGCTACTCCATAGCTTATTAAATATAAGGCTATTCAAATTTAATTATATTTATACTTTTTCATCTGAATATCTAGGTTTCATCACTTTTTCAAAATATTCCTCCTTATCTTCCCTTTATTTTTATTTGATCTATCTATATTAAATGACCATTTTTATTTTTAAATCTACTCTTCCCGCATTATCATTATTGATTCCATTCCATCTGTATTAAAAGTTAGCATCGTAATAATCTCCATTGTTAATGAATTCGTGTTTGATAATCTCTAGATTTTATCCTTTTATTTCATCTAAACTTTTATCAAGATCGCAAGACAATATCAATTTTGGAGGCAATGAATTTTATGGGAACTCCGCATCGATTCTTATGGAAGTAGTCGTAAGATTTCCACCTTAAGTTAAGAAAGGTATTTTTATAGGAACCCATCCTAGATTCTATATAAATCATAATTACCTCCAATTTAAGTTATTATGCCTTTTGGAGGATTGATTGTTAATGTTACATTAGTATAGGATGTTTTTTTCTTTAGTTTTTCTTTGGTGTACTATCTAATTATTGTCTTGATTCGAGGTTCTTCAATTTCAATCAAATCTTTTGATTACAAATATTTTGCTAATTTAATAATATCCTCATTTGCATCCCTTATATTAGTCAAAAGAATGGGTTTTAAATTTAGTAGTAATTCTCTTAATTTCTCCTTTTATTTTTCTAAAGGGTTCACACTATCCCAATGCATGTATTCTAATTCACTTTTATGTAATTTCTTATTCCATTCATAGAAATTGAATTTTAAATTTGTATTCTCTATTTCCTTACATCTTGTCATGATTGTCAATGTTGAAGAATGCAAATTGCTGCCAATCAATATTCCTAATTATGCTATCCTAGTATCTCTTGCATAACGATCTATAAAGCTATTATGAATATAGAGGATCCCATCTAACTATTAGATTGGATTAACTTTTATAATTATTCAACTCAATACTTTATTAACTCATTTGATGTACACTGTAGTCAAGTAATGTTTTCACTAAATTTTATAGAATTTAATCGTTATTAGTTTATCCTGGATCCCATGTTCCTCTTGTATCGATCAATTATACATTTCCAAGAACTTCATCCTATAAAAAGTAAATTTTTCCAGGGTCAATAGTGACAGCCACTCCAAGACCTCCGGTTTATGGCATTTAATTATCTGAGTCGATTCCTCCTAAGCTTTTGATGAAAGTTGACTTCCCGGATCCAGAATCTCCGTAAACCAAATAAGTTCTAATTTGTTAATTTTACATATACAATAATTTGATTGATTTTTATGATATATAGATTAAGACTTATCTCTACTTTCTTACTCCTTATCATTTATTGTTTGGTCTAAAACTCTACTCTCTTTCATTCTCTCTCGACTATCAGAATTTATTATCCATATTATTTTAAAATTATGAAGTGAAATGATAGGAGTTCATTAGAGGTTATAAAAAATGTATCTATCAATCTTAGACTTCACCATAATTCATATAAGCAGATATAATTTTTTTTAAATCAAAATCAATTATTTAACATCCATTATTGCAATTTTATAAAAAAAATATATTATTAATGAATTTTAATTCTTAGGCTTCCTTTTATTAAGATTTAATTTATTACTATAAATTAAAAATTAGGTTCTAATAATTTTATGATTATTTCCAAAAACATTAATGCTGTTTAAAATTTTAGACAGCAATATCAGTATTTAGCAATAAAATGATAATTTCAAAAAATTTATTAAAAATTCATATGATATAATTTTGCAATTTATGAGGGATACTATAAAAATGGATTTAATAATTTTTTTGAAACAAATGATTTCTAAAATCTCTTCAAAATCTAACTCTAGCTTAGACTCAAACGACGACGACAGCTCTTACTTAACATAATTCCATCATCAACCACATTTCCAATCAGATGATGGAATTTTTAAGTCTAAGTAATTTAAATAAAGAAGAAAAACTATCCAATATGGATAGAAAGATAGAAGCAGTGCCATCTATAAGTATATCAAAGAGAAGCAAAAAGCCTTTCTTGATTACAAACCAAGAGCTTAAATTTCTTAATTCTCTGCTGAAGAGGATAGAATCCTAATCTTGCTTGTTAAGAAGTTAGGACCTAAGTTCAATAAAATAACAAGGTATTTCTCAGGAAAAACAGTTAATATGATTAAAAATAGATATTACAAGTCTCTACGATATATTGAATCTCAAGAAATTCCAAAAGAACTTGAAGAAGAACTTCTTTCAAACAACAATGAGTCAAGAATTATTGGTAGGAAAATTCTAAATTTATGGCCCCAACATAAATATATGAGTTCTGTGTTAGAGAACAGCCCTCTCTTTCCAGAAGCAAAGGAAATTTTGCACACGTTTTTGAGTTCATTTTAATAACTCATCAGCAATTGCAAAAGTGACAAATGAAATATATATATATGTTATTAAACATAATTAACAGTACTAAATTTTGTATTCATTGAAGTTACAAATAACTGTATTTTTTATATTATAGCCATCTATTTGTTATGATAGGTCTATTGATATAAAATATTCATATAATAGATATGAATTATTTAAGAAATTTATGATATACAACAAATATATAAATAAATCATAAAATCAAATATTAAAAATTATGGCTGTTAATACACTCTTTAGCTAAATTAACATCAAATTACTAAATTACAGAGTAATTATGGTTATGATAAAACGCAAGGAATTAAATATCACAAGTAATAAAAAATTAAGTCCAAAATTAAATTGATTAAAATCCAAGTTCTCAAACTGTAGATTTATACAAACCTTAAATACATAGATATATTTAATAATTTCATAGCAATAAGCGATATTCCAGTTTAAAATTAAGAACTATCCAATTTTTCTTTTCTCTATGATATATACAAGGTATATTTAATGTTTATGTTGTCAAACACCGATTTCTACATTACCAAATTATAGAAGATTTTTAGCTTCTTGAATAAATTTTAATGTATTTTAAAATGTAAATATTTTTAAGTCTAATTCATTTTATCCACCTTAATTTATCGGTTAAGATGCATTCTAAAGTAAAAGAAATAACCCCCAATTACATGTTAATGCAACTAATTTTTTGTTCAAATTTTAGAATAAATTTTATATGATTATTTCAAAATGCATCATAGCTTTCATTCCATATTTCATAGTAATAATTAAATTTTATATTATTAGCATTTATTCTTGACTAGAGTAATAATTCTTGCCAACTTTTTATTCATTTACATATTTTTATGAACATGAATAAATGGAATTAAACAGTTATGCCTTTTGAGTGATTCCTTTTAGATTGGATAAATGAGGAAGCTTTCCTTAAATTAATTCAAATAGAACAAATTTATTTCTTAAATCAAAATTCTTTGATTTTTCAGATGAATATTAGTTATATCATTTATTTATAATTTCATCCAAATATTTTTATTAAAAACTTGATGGAAAAGTTTTCTAAATTATTTAATTTTGCTTAATATATCAAACCATCTGATAATTTTACACGAAGGTGGTTCGAAAAAAATATAATCGTTAATAAAAATAAATACATAATTTTAGATAAAAAAATTTGAAATTTATTTATTTTTAATGATAAATTATTTCATAGCATATCTTCACTCACCTGCATTATCTATAATTCCACATAAATTTTCAATTTTGTTATGACTACTTCTTAAATTATTTTTTGTTTTAGTTCAGAAATTTAAATTTAAATATGTTATTAAATATTTTTTATTTATAAAAAGGAATTTCTAATTAGAATATTATCGAGTTATTAAATGTTATCTTGATTTATTAAAGAAAATTTAACATCATTAAGAAAATAATTGAGTATTTTTAATTAATTATCTAATTATGAATTTATGTCGTCTTTGATTAATTTTAAATCTAATTCAAATTTGAAATCTTTCATTATTTCATCTTTATTTTCATTTATTATTTAGTTAATAAATTCTTCTTTATTATTACTTAAATCTTCTTTTAAATTTATATACTTATCATTTTTTGGAGCCTTTTAATCTGAATAAATTCTTGATTCTTTTAATTCTTTGGCAATTAATGGGAAGGTTAATTATAAGATTTGCTAAAATTCATAAAACTATCCATCTTTATAATATTATTTTTAAATCCATTCTAAATTCTCTTTAACATTGTCAATCCTTCTACCTCTCTTGGATTTAAGCATTGTAAAACTTTTATCCACACCAACTAATCTTTAATTTTTATTATTTAGATTATTATATTTTTCAAAGATAATCTAGGATGCTTCAATAAATTTGTCGAATGATTTAAATATTCCTTCATCCATTAATGTTTTAAAAATATTAACAAGATCTGGGTATTTTTAATTGAATTCTTTTTCTTTTTGCTCTCTCTTTCTTTAATCTGTGATTAATTGCTTTCCCTTTTCTTTTGATTTCAGCTCTTTATTTCTAATGAGTTAAGTAATGCTAATAATGATTTCCTTAATAGATTAATCATCATTTTTTTTACTATTTTTATAATTCTCTTTTTCATAAAAAGGACAATCATATCCAACAAAATGTATTGTATAAAGTAACCTTTCTGGCATTATTGTAATTTAATGCTTGATGTCTGTTAGATTTATTAAAATTCTATCAGAACTCAAATAATTATGTTATATATTTTATTTTTTAAGTTCTTAATATTTCTATAAAATATCTAAACACAATTGAATATTTTAAGCTATAGTTAATCGTATGAATTTACTTTCCTAAAAATTATAAATTAGATTACTTGTAAATATAGTAATAAACTTAATGTTATTTACATTGAATGATCAATTTTATATTCAACTATCTTGCAGTCATCGTTTTATTACCAATTCGTTAATCCATCAAATTCTAATATTCTTTTCATATCTTCTTATGATTTTTCGTAGCTATAAGTTAATATGCTTGAATAATTTAAACCTTTCATTATAGAATTATAGAATTATAAAATTTTGAAATAATAATATTTTATAATTATTATTTATTAACGTAATTTTATAATTTTCTTGTAATTGTAAAGGCTTCAAATTTATTCTACTTAATCATAATATTTATTTTTACACTTGAAAATTATAAGTATAATGATTGTTGATTAATTATTGAAATAACAAATAAATACAGAAATTAATTATTTATTATATAAATCAAAATATTTCTTCTAACATCTAAATGATGTGTAATTCTATTTATTCTTTGACATTTTCTTCTACTATTTTATTTAATAGTTTTTATTTTAAATTGTTAATTAATTTAATTAGCTTTTCGTTAATTTCTATTTAAAAGTTAACATTATTATAAAAGTAATTCAACATACTTAATCTATCAGGTAGTGATGTGATGGTTTTTTTAAAAATAAACTATTTATCTAAATCAAATTTATATTTTTCTTAAGCTTTTTTTAATAATAGATCTATTGAATTATTAATATCTTCCATATTCATGCATCCAATTATAAGTTATATATTAATAAATTATCTATTTTGCACTTGATTTTAATCAGAGTAAAAATAAGATTTTTTCACTTCTTTCATTATTAATGGAATGGTTTCGATTAAAAGCTATTCAACTCTGATCCATTTTAAGCTTGATTAAGTAGATTATATAATATTTACAAAATTCTAACTTACTTTTTTTGATCTAAATTTTCTCCAAAATATTTTATCATCAAATCTTAAATCGACATCTACTAATAGTTATCGTTAATTGTTTGAATTACCAAATTACGTAAATATATCATCAGATTTTAAAATAAACTGCTCAAGCGATATGCATATTCCCTCATTATATATCTTCTAATAAATTTCTTCTTCAGCTTAAAGGGTTTATAATCTTTATTAAAGCTTCTCAGTACCATTTTACTATTAAAGTATTTTTTTTTATTTTTCTTTAAACTTATTTTTGGCAATTTATATGATATGTGTAATTATTTCTTTAACTGATTATTCATCGCTTTTTTAAACAGAATCATAATTTTCCAATTCGTAAAAAGGACAGTCATAACCAGTAAAATGTATTGAATACCTTAATTCTTTTGGCAATATACTCAAAGCTTACGATTCATTTTCAAATTGTAAGTATATTCGATCTGAACTTAAATATTTATGTTAAATTTTATTATTTTCAAGTTATTTATACTTATTATAAATATCGATCCCTAATTGAATCATTTATGCAAGAGAAAATCTCAAGAAATCGGCTTCCTAAAATATATTAAATATTACAATGAATAGAAGCAAATAACTTAATTTTATGGAAACAGAGTTATTGATAGTATATTTAACTATTTTCTATTTTTGATTAATCTCCCATGCTTGGAAGCGTTCTAATTCTAAAATTCTCTTCATTTCCTTTATTGATAGATTAAAAGTGTATGTTAAATAACTATTATATTTAAAGTCTTTCATTTTATAAAAAATATTATATTTAAACATTAATTTATGTATTTTTCCCTAAATTTATTATATTGATAATAGAAAGGATTTATCATTAGAAAGGAGTGAAACCTGATTGATGCATTCGTAAAATTATAAGTTTTATATTTAATAGATTTTCTCAAAATGAGAATATTAAAAAATAAATGAACTGTGATACTGTAAATTTTATGATTCAGTTAGAGGAATAAGAGTATGATTGATACAAATATTATTTACGTTTCTTTGTGTTTTAATATCTATCAGATTCAAAATAAAGAAGGTAAATTTCCTTATAACTTTGATATTTGTAATTGAAATTACCCTTTTTTGTTTAAATTCTACAGTTGAGAAGTTATAATTTTACTAAGGTTTAGATGGGAAAAATAGGACAGAAATTAAGACTTAAGAATTATGTGATTATTTTACTTAATTTAAAAAAGGTCAAAATATAAATTGTAGTATCTTTTTAATGAGTTTTAATGAAAGCTTTTAGTTGTTTGTGCGTTATTAAAATTATTAGTAAAGATAAGGAATAATTCCTTTGTATATTAGAATTAGAGGTATTATCGAATCTTCATTCGAACCAAACGAAATTTTTAAAAACTCTAATATCACCCTATTATAAATATTAAAGAAAATATTTTTTTATAGAATCTCTTATTTTAAGAACTTAGTATAAATAATAAAACCTACATGAATGGAATAAATCTAATAATTAATAATAGAAAAGAAATAGCGAACATATAATAAATGATCATTTGAATTTTGATATTTGTTGGATAGGATATAAATAAGAATTGTTTTGATTAATTAGATTGCTTATATAATTAAGTTTATATTAACCATTATATGTATCTTCTCTAAATAAATTGAGTAATAAAGAAAAGCAATCCCTAAAAATGTTTCCCTCTGATAAGGCTATTTCATATGATTGTATAACATAATAATTTTGAGAAATTGCAACTGAAAGATATTATGTTATATATGGAATGAATAGGAATTTATATGTAATAAGAAGATTTGATGTCATCGATATCTCCATAACTATTTAGTATATATATACGAACGTTTTTCTTAAAACTTTAATATGAAATTACAACATTTGGATATACTAAGGAATTTTATCAAATTTACCTAAAAAATGGAAGCTTAACATAAATGTAAGAAAAACTAGACTAATGCTAATCAAATCTTAAGTTATTAAGCCAAGCATTCTTAATATTCCTATTATGAAATATTAAAGATATCTAGAAATAGAAATTAGTCATTTAGGTAAGATATAATAGTAGATTTCATGATATTATAAATTGACTGCCTATGTAAATTTGATAAAAGCAATAATATAATATTAATGTTTCTTAGATAATAGTAACAAATTTAGTAAAATCTCAATAGATAAAAAATCTATGAATAATTTTAGATTTGACTAAATATTATTTTTCAATGTTCTAATGGTAGTATTAAATGCTTGATCAGAAGCTAGAAAATTTAGTTAACTAACATTTTAGAGCTTTTCAGGTTAATATTAATACAATTACAGAATTTATTATAAATAACAACTAATGATTAATCAGGATAGATCACAAAGTAATTTTCTAAAAGAGGATTCACATTTACCTGTTGAAACAATACTATACTAAGGAAAGAAATATGTTCCATTTTTCCTTGGGGGCTCATAGGGATATTATACAGATTAATAACCAATACCTCCTTATGATGCATTCGATATGATTTTAGAAGTGCTAGCAATTATAGAATTAATATTGNTAGTATCTTTTTAATGAGTTTTAATGAAAGCTTTTAGTTGTTTGTGCGTTATTAAAATTATTAGTAAAGATAAGGAATAATTCCTTTGTATATTAGAATTAGAGGTATTATCGAATCTTCATTCGAACCAAACGAAATTTTTAAAAACTCTAATATCACCCTATTATAAATATTAAAGAAAATATTTTTTTATAGAATCTCTTATTTTAAGAACTTAGTATAAATAATAAAACCTACATGAATGGAATAAATCTAATAATTAATAATAGAAAAGAAATAGCGAACATATAATAAATGATCATTTGAATTTTGATATTTGTTGGATAGGATATAAATAAGAATTGTTTTGATTAATTAGATTGCTTATATAATTAAGTTTATATTAACCATTATATGTATCTTCTCTAAATAAATTGAGTAATAAAGAAAAGCAATCCCTAAAAATGTTTCCCTCTGATAAGGCTATTTCATATGATTGTATAACATAATAATTTTGAGAAATTGCAACTGAAAGATATTATGTTATATATGGAATGAATAGGAATTTATATGTAATAAGAAGATTTGATGTCATCGATATCTCCATAACTATTTAGTATATATATACGAACGTTTTTCTTAAAACTTTAATATGAAATTACAACATTTGGATATACTAAGGAATTTTATCAAATTTACCTAAAAAATGGAAGCTTAACATAAATGTAAGAAAAACTAGACTAATGCTAATCAAATCTTAAGTTATTAAGCCAAGCATTCTTAATATTCCTATTATGAAATATTAAAGATATCTAGAAATAGAAATTAGTCATTTAGGTAAGATATAATAGTAGATTTCATGATATTATAAATTGACTGCCTATGTAAATTTGATAAAAGCAATAATATAATATTAATGTTTCTTAGATAATAGTAACAAATTTAGTAAAATCTCAATAGATAAAAAATCTATGAATAATTTTAGATTTGACTAAATATTATTTTTCAATGTTCTAATGGTAGTATTAAATGCTTGATCAGAAGCTAGAAAATTTAGTTAACTAACATTTTAGAGCTTTTCAGGTTAATATTAATACAATTACAGAATTTATTATAAATAACAACTAATGATTAATCAGGATAGATCACAAAGTAATTTTCTAAAAGAGGATTCACATTTACCTGTTGAAACAATACTATACTAAGGAAAGAAATATGTTCCATTTTTCCTTGGGGGCTCATAGGGATATTATACAGATTAATAACCAATACCTCCTTATGATGCATTCGATATGATTTTAGAAGTGCTAGCAATTATAGAATTAATATTGATGTGGGTATTCTTTGCTCAATTGTACAATCAAGTAGTGAATAAATAAATCATTGATAGCTTGATTTAGTGATTCCAGTGTTTTATAATGCATTGGGAGAATAGACAGCAACTGGTGACAAAATTATTTTGCTAGCAATCCCAACTCTTGGCACATTTTTTTTTGTTTTATTAACTATATTATCATTAATAACTAATAGATTTTAGTATGATTTATAAGTGACTCCAGAGAATTCAAGGATTGTATTTTCAAATACTAGAAAATTAATTCTCGTATTCAAAGTGATTACAATTGGATTGTACTATTTTAATGATAATTTAGGTTTATATTTTTGAGTATTGGCTCAATTAGAGTGATTTAGAATCAGATAAATGGATATTTGATGTCATATGTTGTTTTTATAATAATAGTGTATGGATTAGCCTATTATTATTATACAATAGAAATGGCAAAGATAATTTGAGATTATAGTTATAGTTATATAAATCATTTATCTAACAGGTATAAACATTGGTTGATTGTTTTATCTCCCCTTAGCTATACAACAACCTATTACCTTTTACATTTAATCATTAAATTTAATAAATAAATAAATAAATTAATTAATTGAATTCCTATTTATTTGACTTTTTATTGGGTCCATCACTTGCTTATTTTCTAATCTATTTTTTTTAACATTTTAAGTTTTAAATATGATTTTCATAGTAAGGTAGAAATTCCCTTTTCCATCTTCAGTTAATATGGTTAATTCTCTTCCAATTTGGATGCGCTAATTCAATATAACCTAAAATAATCTTACATTAATTGATTATACATCTGTTATAATGTTAATATGTTGCTCTCTCAATTTAATAGCTTCTCTAAATCATTCCGATTCAACATCTTTGGCTATCATATCAGCCATTTTCAATTCTCATTAATAAAAGTAAGGTGAAGGATTTAAGGTTTAATTCTAATGGAATTGCATCTAATGCTTATGATAGTTCATTTTCAAGCATCTTCAATTTTCAAATGAAAATAGTTTATACCATTATACGACAATGCATTAAAACATATAAATTTAATTTAATGTTAAGAAATTGTGTGCGACAATATTTCTGTTTAGATAGAATGGTTAGCTCTAAATTACACTTTGTCAAAGAGAAAGATGCAAAAACAGATTATGTATATTATGAATAAAAAACTGTTTTCTCAAAAGAAAAGGGAAATAAAAAATATAAATTATTGGATGTCAAAGTCCCTGATATTAATGTTAAAAAGACTTAATTCTATGTTTTCGACAAAAATACTGTCCCTGTACCAAGGTAATTCTATCACCAATCTTTAGATAAGTATATACAGCTCCATTAAGGAAGTATGTTAAACAAAAGCTCTAAAGAGATGAATTTGTTAGATATAAAAAATCGTAAACTACAATTCAAGAATAAGAAGAAGAATAAATTGATGAATTATGGGGGGAAAATCCTCCAGCCAGATATTTTGAAAGACTAGTGGCTAAGGACTTATTTTTTAATTACAGAAGCCCACGATTTGCTGAATACAATAATAGGAAAAATGACTTCCTTTAAAATCCCTCTGTGCACAGTGAGGTCAAAAATATCATTTAAGAAATTAAGTAGTCATCAACAGTCTAACTCTCAAGAAGTACTTTTGTTTTGGAATATTAGTTTATCATCCAAATTATTTCATTGAAGATCACTATAAAAAGTTGCCTGATCTTTTTACTAAACTCAAGGAAGCAGTCTCTCAGGCAAACTTTAAGGAAATCCCACAAATTGCATGGATGCTTCAAAATTAATTGTTATATAAAGAAGATATATATAAGATTTGGGAAGTTATTGAAAATATAGTTAAACCACAAATCCATCACTATTCGATTGATGAATTGATATTATTGAAAAGAGGATTAGCAACAACATATCCAAAAGCTGGAAGCTATGAATTACACAATTTAATTTATAATTTGGTCTCTCAAGAAAAATTGAATGTTGATTAAACTATTGAAGCTCTTTATGCATTTAGAACATTTAATCATGATAAATATGCTAAAGTTCTAATAGATAACCTAATTACTCTGTTGCCTGAATATAAAAATAACCATTCAAAATTGGCTTAAGCATTTTATGCCATTGCTAATAATTTACCAAAAAAACATTTAAGATCAAAATCCTTTGATGTTACAGCAAACGATAAATATAGATTGGGCGTTATGAATGCCTTTGTGGGTCCATTAAAAGAAGGAAAATATAATATGGATGACATAACAAGAATTCTTCTGGGTATTTCCATCTTGAAAGTTCCAAGTATTTATTCACCTCTATCAAGACTTTAATGATTTAATCTTTATACTAGAAAATTAATTATAAGAACCTGATGAGTATTAATTAGTTCATATCCTATATGCTCTCTCAAAGGGTAATAATGGAATTTAAACCGGAACAATGGAAACTTATAAATATTTAGAATAATTTGTTTTAAAGTTTTTCGAACAATATGAAAACTTAGAAAAATCTAGAGTATTTATTTTATTATATTATTTCTAAGATATACTATGCTTACTCGGCCATTTATTCTGAATTTGCTCAGAATCCTATATTCTTAAATTGGGTAAAAGAGAATATGGTAAAATTCTCTTTTTCAGAATTATAAAATGTAGTGTATGGCCTCATGTTTAATTAAGTAAATGATTAAGAGATTTGGTCTAATTTTGTAAAAAACGTTGCAACTAAAAGCGAATATGTTCCTTTAGCTAATTATTTCGCTTTCAAATAGGCTAAATTCTACATCACATAGTTCTATCCTCATTGGAATTTAAAACCATTTGAATAAGCCTGCTAAAATGCTGAAAATATGTTCCTAGCAAATAGATCTGAAAGATAACATCTAGATCAATAAATTATAGACTTTTAAATTGTAATTAATTGTTTGATATAATAAGGATCTCAATACTCATCTACAATATGATTGGAAAACCTACCATAATTGGAATAACACATATTTATTCAATATTACACTCCCAGATCATAGAATTGCCATTATTTTGAATACTCCCAGAACAACTATTAATGGAAAACCAAGAGCTTAATTGCTGCTATAACAACAAGTAATGGCTACATAGGATTGGAAATTATTGATTTTTGATCAAACAGAACTTTTTTCAATGAAAACAAAGGAAAGAGCTGTATTCTACAAAAAAACAATTGATGAGGCTATTGAATCATAAAAGGAAAAGATGAAGGCATGGGAAGAAGAGAGAAGAGATTAAATCTATGAACAATTATTAATCTAAGCTGAAAATGGTATTACTCCAGGAAAAAGATTTGTCAAAAGAGAGGATCTTAAAGGACTTTCAAGATTTCCAGTTTGATAAATTAATGCTTTTATATATCCAAATATAACAATTATTAATTTAATAATTCTGATTATCAAATTAAGTCTGAAATTAATTACAATATCTATAATTCCACATAATTCTTCATTGCTTATATAGTTACTTCCTTAATTATTTCTGTTTTTAGTATATCTATTTATTGTAAGATGATGTTTTACGAGTTACTCTGTTATTTTTAAGAAAATTTAACATCATTAAGGAAATAATTGAGTATTTTTAATTAATTATCTACTTATGAATTTATGTCGTCTTTGATTAATTTTAAATCTAATTCGAATTTGAAATCTTTCATTATTTCATCTTTATTTTCATTTATTATTTAGTTAATAATATCTTCTTTATTCTTACTTAAATCTTCTTTTAAATTTATATACTTATCATTTTTTGGAGCCTTTTGTTCTGAATAAAGTGTTGATTTTTTTAATACTTTGGCAATTAATGGGAAGGTTAATTATAAGATTTGCTAAAATTCATAAAACTATCCATCTTTATAATATTATTTTTAAATCTATTCTAAATTCTCTTTAACATTGTCAATCCTTCTACCTCTCTTGGAGTTAAACATTGTTAAACTATTATCCACACCAACTAATCTTTAATTTTTGTTATTTAGATTATTATATATTTCAAAGATAATCTAGGATGCTTCAATAAATTTTTTGAATGATTTAAATATTCCTTCATCCATTAATGCTTTAAAAATATTAACAAGATCTGGGTATTTTTAATTGAAATCTTTTTCTTTTTGCTCTCTCTTTTTTTAATCTGTGATGAATTCCTTTTACTTTTCTTTATCAGATAATTTTTCTTTTTTACAGGCTTAGAGTAGGCTAATAATGATTTCCTTAATAGATTAATCATCATTTTTTTTACTATTTTTATAATTCTATTTTTCATAAAAAGGACAATCATATCCAACAAAATGTATTGTATAAAGTAACCTTTCTGGCATTATTGTAATTTAATGCTTGATGTCTGTTAGATTTATTAAAATTCTATCAGAACTTAAATAATTATGTTATATATTTTATTTTTTAAGTTCTTAGTATTTCTATAAAATATCTAAACACAATTGAATATTTTAAGCTATAGTTAATCGTACCAATTTAATTTCCTAAAAATTATAGATTAGATTACTTGTAAATATAGTAATAAACTTAATGTTATTTACATTGAATGATCAACTTTATATTCAACTATCTTGCAGTCATCGTTTTATTACCAATTCGTTAATCCATCAAATTCTAATATTCTTTTCATTTCCTCTTATGATTTTTCGTAGCTATAAGTTAATGTGCTTGAATATTTTAAACCTTTCATTTAGAATCAAATTTCTATTAATGAATTTGCAAATATTAATTGATAACTTATATATATATAAATTTTGTATGATATACATAAAATGCTATATTGTATTATCTAAATTCGATAGGTATTACAAAATCTTCTTTGTCAAAAGAACACGTACATAACAAAATTGTTCATTTATAACAAAAACACTTAAATAAAATAATATTATTCTGTATGATGGCCAGAAGTAAATAATTGATAATTTTATTTGATGTGGATGGGACTCTAACCAAATCAAGAAACAAGATTGAACAGAGTATGGTTGATACTCTGAAATCACTTTGCAAATTACATTATGTCGGTATCGTTGGAGGATCTGATTATCACAAGATTAAAGATCAGGTAGGATAAGATGGTAATAATAAAATATAAGTTTGATTAGTATTTGAGATGGTTGATTTTGTGTTTACTGAGAATGGTCTTTATTCATTTAAAAATGGAGAGCATTTCCATACATAGTCATTAAATAAATTTGTAGGGGAAGATCAATTGCAGAAATTCATCAATTTTACTTTGTTACAATTATCATAAATCCAATTACCATTAAAAAGAGGTACATTCATAGAGTATAGAAATGGAATGATTAATATCTCACCAATAGGACGAAATTGTTCATAATAAGAGCGTGATGATTTTGAATAATATGATCATCAACATAAGGTTAGAAAGTAATTGATAGAGAAATTAGAGAATGAATTTAAAGACTTAAATTTTAAATATTCAATCGGTGGATAGATTAGTTTTGATGTATTCCCAAAAGGATGGGATAAGACTTATTGTCTACAATTCTTAAATGAGTTTGAGAAAGTGTACTTTTTTGGAGACAAAACATTTGAAGGTGGAAATGATCATGAAATCTACATTCATGAACGAACAATTGGATAATAAGTCAATAATCCTTAAGAGACAATCAAATATTTAAATGAATTATTTTTAAAAAATTGATAATTTAACACAAAAAACCATTTTCATGAATTCTTTGTTTCTTAATTAAATATGGACAGCACTTAGATTGTTTTACCTCCTCGTCATTAACGTTGGTTGAATGGTAACACTCATTGTAATAATTAGGATATGAATACTAAGTTCTACTTTAGAATGCTCCTAATTAGAACATACCTATATTTCATTCTCATCCCTCGGAAATTTATTACCAACCAAAAAGTATATTTATAAAATGGAGATTTTAGATGGTTATCTATATATCTTAAGGTCAGCTATATTAAGCAATATAGGATAATTCTAAGAAATTGTTTAAATGGAAAAAGATGAATTTTTACTGCCAAAACATAAACCGTAAGTGTCATATATTGCTTGTAGTAAAGAAACAGATATTCCACATTTTCGTATGCATATTGTTTAATTATATGGTCAACATGATAACCCTGGGATCCTACTTTGTCATATTCGTCTAATGAATAATTCAATTTCATCCTTACCCCATATTTAGACTCATTCATATTAGACTTATGAAGAGATACGTAATTGTGGGTAGCGTCTTACTGATTGCATTACGAAGTCATTGGAGGTTGCTCTTGAAGTTGAATAAGTTTAATTAAGACTTACATTATTTGATGATGATTACAATTATTTATAATAGAAATTTTACACATTAGAATAAAGATAGGAAATTACTAAATTGTATTCAAATCTAATCAAACAGAATCAAACATTTGTAAATGAGTTGAGAGAATGTGAAGAAGTGTTGCAACGATATGAATCCTTATGAGTAGTGTTTTTTTATTGTTTAGATTTAATTCTTTTAATGTTCTTTATTTCATAGACCTTTACTGATTTGACAGAAATTCAAGTTTATTCTTTATAGAACTTTGGATATTATTTTTACTCCATGGCATACTTATTAATTTATTTGATTAATATATGATTTTTAATTATTAAATTTGGTTATTTATTTTATTGAAATTTTAATTATGATTTTAGAATATATTTATATTATATTTAATCTATCCCTCTACATTATATTCATTTAGATTTCTTGTAAGATTTTTTCAAATCTTATTGTTTGTCTAGACCTTATTTAAATCGAATATGACTTTTCATTTATGTTTTGGTCTCCAAACACTCGTAACATCATGCCTATTGCTCTATTGAGTTGATTTGGAAATAAATGTAAAAATAGAAATATTTGCATTTAATTGATGCAATAGTTATTCAATAATAATATTTTATAATCAAATGGATTCAATCAAATTTTTTTCATAAGTTTTTAATGTGTGAAAAATTATTTGGGCTTTTTACTCCTTTATATATCTATGATCTATATCTCATGTGCCAGTTATGCTACACAATCTTGGAGTTAAAAATATAGTTTATGGCATACTTCTTGATAAATATCCGACTATTTTATATACTATTGAATTTACCTTATTATTCTGAAAGCCTTTCTAAACTCCTCCTCTTCAGGGTCATCAGAATGTTGTAAAAGGCTGCTGAAAATCCTTATGTTTAACAGTTATTTTTTGTAGACAGTAATCTTTTCCAAGAATTTTATCACTTTCAACTAGTCTTTTAGAATTTAAAGACAAAGATTTTGATTCTTACAAGCAAAAGTTATGATGCTCTTGCAATAATTCTTCGGAATGTTCTTTGTATCCTTCTAGTCTTGCAAGACATTCACTTCCCGCTTCTTGTGTATCGGAAGTCTGATTGTTGGAGTAGGTGAGCTCACCTGAGGAGGACAACAGTATTGAACAGGCTGAAAATGGGGATAGAACGGGGGTATCTCATTCTACATTCTTATTTCTACTTTGTTGGACCCCAAATGAACCTTAGATAACTCGACATTTTTACCATGAATTCATTCATAGAGAGTGGTAACACAAAAGGGTATTTTGGTTAATTATTCATTTTGTTTTAAGCTTATTATAACTTGCTTAGGGCACTTGCAAATTTTTGAATTACAGTCCACTGTTTTTAAATTGAAATCAAATTTTCGTTAGTCTAAACTAATAGAAGATACTTATAATTAGTACAGAAAGGAAGTGGTCTTGGAATGCTGACAGGTGCTTGGTTTGTTTGTTCCTCTTATTTAATACCATATAGTCTCATTTCGATATATAAAAAACAAATCTTATTATTATATGAACTAATGCAAATAAATAAACAATTAATTGATCAATCTAATGATCTCGATTGAACACTTGGCATTTGTATAGTTTTTAGATTTACTTCTAATTAGTATCAATTCAAGATTGCTTTTGTCAACTTCCTTAACTTTCTCGATTTTTAAACAGACATTGGGTCAATTTTTATACACAATATATTATAAAATGGCTATGTTGAAATAATATGGAATTTAATTTCTGATATCATGATACATAGAAATATTTAAAATTGACATTAGGGGCTTTTTTCATAATGTACAATTTCTTCTAAAACTGAATCAAAAGTGCATTGTTTAACTGTAAATCATGTGGCGAAGTCGATTTGGCCTATCTCACATCTAGACTTTCTACCACTATATTAAAGTTGATTTTGCCAATATAAAATTTAAAAAAATAGATTCATATTTAATTATTGAATAATATTAAAATTTATATAATTTGTTATATAAATTTTATACTAGTTTTAACTCAATAAACGAATTATTTTATTTAAATCTATTCAAAATCTATCACAATTTCCTAATTGATAAATACTTACTTGTTTAGCAGCATTGAATCATTTTCAATAAACTAAGACTGATAATAATAAACACTAGCAGCCTTTTATTTTGAATAATATTATGGGAATTGTTTTTTTTGATGTTTTTTGGAATTTGTTGATATCAAAATTTCTATTACATGAACTTTTTGAGTCAATCTAAAATACTAAGATTTATTGTACTACGAACTCTGTATTTTATATTTATAAATCTTTTGCATAATTTAGATGTGATAATTGTTTATTGGAAATGATGAAATGTTTTCATCCTTTCTATTAATATTAGTCCCAATAGATCTTGTGATAACAAACAATTTGCTTAATGTTTGAATTATTAATCAGAAGTGTTATTTACTTTTACAAATAAAACTAGCTTAAAAGCCTAAGAGTAACATTGATATTTCCACTGAAAATACTATAAATAGTAATTCATAAAAAATGTTCACATTCAAAAGTTATAAATCATGAGATTTCATTTTTTCCTTATGATTATAATCTTTACCACTTCAATATCATAAAACTGACAAATAACCTACCATCATTACTCTATGGGCTTTTAACGATTGAATTATTAATAATCAGATTTTAGAAAGAAATTATTCCTAAAATATAAGGTTATACATTATCAAACTGGTTTTATGTTTGATTTTGGAGAAAAGGCTTGAAAGGAATCGAGCGTGACTAAAATATCTATTTGATAATGTGTTCTAATCTAAATTTTTTTAATCTTTTGTTAATTCCAATAATTAAAAATTAATTAGAGAAAATGAGATTATAGGTTATTAATAAATTTAGAAATCAAACTTAATTAAAATAATGGAAGAGTACAATATTTTTATGATAATAAAGTAACTGGCACAAATAATTTTATTGGAGGTTGCTACTTCACCATATTTTTTATAGCATTAATAATAATTAAATGAAAATAATTTATATAATAATTTAGGAAAGTGAAAATGTGAAGATTGTCTATTTATGATAGGTAGATTGAGTTAGCGATATCATTTTTACATAGTTAAGTGAAGATGTCAATTTGAATGGATTAACTGAAATTGAATTGGTTAAGTGCTCTTCTATTGGGTAAGAAATTAAGTAGTACAAGTGAAAAGAATTGGATTATGAAAACCATGTTAGATTAAAAAAGGTTGTATAAAATGTACATATAATATTTTAATTAAATAATAATGAACATCTACCCTGTCCGATATACTCCATACTTGAATAATTCAAGAAGAAGACAAAGAGTGATTGACCCTAATAGAGCGAAGAGTTCTCAAGGAATGAGATTGAATTCTTCTAGTCAATAGAGATGTTCCACATAATAAAGTCCTAACAGAACACCTAGTTAAGGTGAATTGCAGCAAATAGAAGTATGATGAGATTTGTTTTGAATGATAGTTTTAACAGCAGGCTGGGCCAATTGCGCAGGTATAAGTTCATTTGAGTGTGTCTAGAATTACTAATAATTGTTTCTGTCAACTTAGATCAGAAGAAGTCCTTCGTTTCGATTGAAGAATTATCATGCGTCTGAAATAACATCGAGTGCACAATCAACTTCTTAATAAAAAAGATAAAATGCGGTTGTAAGTGGAAAGTAAGGAATTATATTAGATATTAGCAAAAGCAAGGAAGACAGAATAAATAGAATAAATTTCTTAGGTGACCTATTACAATAAATGGAGTAAAATGGATAATAAACAAAGCAATCCTTGTCAACAGAAATGACCACAGTTCCTAAACCGAAATTTGAAATTCTGAATACAAGAACATTAACTGAATATGAATAAAACATAGAAGAATTGCATTTCTACCTTGTGGACTCCTAATAAAGAACAAAGCAATATGCCCAAGTAATTGAAAAGCAAAAAATAAATAATTGAAAAATAATTGAATAACTAAATATATTATGTATGCTGTAAATCATTTTGGCATTCCAGGAGGAGGTGGGGGTGGAACAGGAAGTTGTTAAGGGAATGGTTTGTATCCTTCTTGCAAAGGTTGTATTTGAATGGAAGGAGGAGGAGGCAAAGGGATTCTCAATTCTGTTGGCATGTATCCAACGAATCCTAGGAGTGCTTTTTGTGCCAAAGGCCTATTAGCAGCTAACAATCTCTCTGCCTGACTTCCATGCCTTTCTCCCTTAGCATCCTTTTTGAATGCATATTCAACCCGAATGATTTTGGTTCCCAGAAATTGTCCATTCATGGCTGTTAATGCACCATCACTAGATTCAAAATTATCATAACTCACAAAACCATAACCTTTGGAAACTCCAGTTTCAGGATTCCTCATAATCTATGATAATTAAGAATTCAATACCTTGGTGGATAGGATATGTCCAAAAGCAGAGAATGTTTCATAGAGTGTTTTCTCGTCTATTTCAGTGTCTAGATTTCCTATAAACAGATTGGCACCAACTTCTTGGGTCCTTTTATCTTATGATGCTTTATTGACTTTTATGGGTTTTCCATACAATTTTATCATGTGCATAATTTTGATGGCATAATCGGCATCTTCTTCACTCTTAAATTCCACAAAACCATAACCTTAATGTTCTCCAGAAATTTTATCTTTTGGAATATGAACATTAACTACAGGTCCACATTGAATGAACAATTCCCACACTATGTCATCAGTGACCTTCTGATCTAAGTTACCAATGTAAATCGTAGCCTCCTAATTTCTTTCATATAATGGAGGCACCACTCCTGCCAAAGCCAAGGACATATTTTATATATTTATATTTTATTTATATTATTTTTAATCATTTTAATTGTGCATGTCTTATAGGTTTACCGATTTGATGGTTGCATTTTTATCATCTAATAAATCTACATTTTTATATCATTTAAGTACTATAAACCTATAATACAAATTTGATTGCCTCATAAATAAAATTTATTTGCATTCGAAATGAGTGATTTCCAAACTAAATAATATGTAACACAATCTTCCTAAAGACAATATACATCAGGCATCAAGGATAATGTCAGAAGTATCACTCAGGATAGAGTGGAATAAGTAATCACCAGGGAAACTCCAAAGGTTTAAGTAAGATTATCTGTTAAATTAAGACAACCACTGTGGAAGTGGAATAAAGAAGTGCAACCAAAATCCCCAGAATGCAATCTTAACAAATTTTAAGAACTTAAACACAAGGATTTGTCGGAGGGTAAAGTTATATTTCAAATATGGCTGCAATTCCTTAAGTTGGATATTAAGGCAACTATTCTGTCCAATAGAATTGTGTTGCTTCTCAAGCACTTTGCATGAATGTTATTGTGGTTTCAAAGGAGGAAATTGAAGCTCCTTGGAGATTGGAGTGTGAATATCTCTAATCTTTAATTGCTGAATTGGAAAAAAGAAAGGAAGTCTAAGTGGTTGAAAAAGTTGTCGAAAAAGAAAAGGTTGTAGTAGATAACTCCAAAGTAGATTTCTTGGAGGCCCAATTAAGACAATTAAGGTCAGAGAATGATTCACTTCAATTGCAATTATAATCCATGAGAGGAGAAATTTAATTGAGAGGTTCTTAAACTGAAGACTTAGCTGCTAAAGAAAGAGAATTTTTCAATCTAAGACTTAAGTTTGAAAGCCAAATTTAAGACTTAGAAGGTTAAATCAGAAGATTATAGGAGGAAAATGGTAGATTAAGGAAAGAAAACAATGAGTTGCTTATCAAATTACGAGATTATGAAGTATTTACATACTCTATTAATAAAGACTAAAATCGCTATGTTATCATCAGAAATCGAAAGACTTGCTTATTCTATTAAAATCAAAGACGGAGATCTTGAAGATTGGAGACTTCGATATGAATAATTGGAATCCTAAGGCCAAACTGTTATCCAAGAAAAAGTGACATACTTATCATCTGAAGTAGAAGTTTGGAAATAGAAATTCATCAAAGTCAATCATGATTATAATGAATGCTAAGAACAATTAACCATGTGTCAAGCAGAACTAGAAGCTCTTAGGAAAGGATAAAAGAAGGTATATATTTTTTATTAACTCAATAGGAAGTTGTTGTATCAACATCAAAGGTAGTAACTAGGACAGGTGGAACTACAACGACATCTTCTATGGGGTAAACTAGAGGAAGTAGAACTTATGAGTAATTTTAACCATGAAATATTGTGCACATAAAAATAATATTAGGAATAATAATATTTATTTAATTTTATAAAGAGTATTAAAGAAATCTTCTAATCTAAGGAATAGAAAAGAAGAACGTATGTTCTTTTGCTCATAAATAAAGATATTTTAATTAATGATACTTCTAATTAATTTTTTATATTTTTTAATTAAATTAAGTAAATAAACCCTATATTATTGTATTCAAAACTAGAGAATTATTAAAAGTATATCAATCAATCACCGACACTTTAATAATTAATAATTACTTTGTATAATAATCAGAAATTAAAGGAGAGATACAGATTAATATTATTTAGTCAAATAAATAGGATGTCACTGAGTATAAAATAATTCAGTTGGCAATTTTGAAAAAAAGAATATTCCTATGTAGCATTACATGAATGCCATGTCTATAAATAGTAAGTTATTAACGAATACGAGGGATGAATTAATTTTGGGTACATATTTTTAATGTTTATTAATTCTCACCTAATCTTTAAACAATTAGGGTTCTCTACTGATTTAGTCTAATTTTAGAACAGTATATAGATTTTAATAAAATGGAGTAATAAAAATTATATATGATTTATTTTTAATTTAATTAAAATATATTATTCAAAACTGATGATTATAATTGAAGAAGTTTTATATAACAGAAATTCTTTTTTTTTAGTAGAAATAGGTTAGTAATTCAATAAAGAAGACATACCAGGGCAATTATTGCGTGATATTAATTGAAAATTCTGTTGATCTAATTTATATAATGTTATGTTGTTAAGTTTTAAAAATGCTTCTCTTCATCTATTCTCACTTAGTCTAATAGAAATCCTAACAAATTTAAGAGATTCTATTCTAAATGGAATTGAAACAAATATGAAAGAAGGAAAAAATGAGAAGTTCAATTTCAAAGGCACCTTTATATTAACAATTACCCAATTAACGAATATTTAACTGCCAGAATGAGAAAAGCATATAATTTATGTGCTTGGCTCGAAAAAAATGGAAGCAATATTTAGAATTTATTTTTTAAAAAGCATTGGGATTAATCATTTATAAAAAAAAGATTCGATTCTGTGTTTTATAAGCCAATGAAATTTGACTTTCAATAACAATATTTAAATAAAAAATGAGAATCTTTATAATAGTTGGCTTGATAGCGTTAAGCAATTGTGTCTCATTTAGTTTAACATAAAGATGTGCTTGCAGTGAATATAAATAAACTCTATGCGAAGCTTATCCTTATTGCGCTTGGAGTGGAACTGCCTGTGTTGACATGGATTGCACATACTTAAAATCAGCTGATACATGCACCGGACCAAAGTCAGGATATCAATGTTCATGGAATGCTTCATCAAGCAAATGTGAAACCCACACATATACTTGTTCTGAAGTTACAGAAGATGACTGCTCACAAAAGATATTTGGATTTAATTGTATGTGGGTGAATGACAAATGCTAAGATTTTTCATGCTCAACTGCTACTTCTGCTGCATGCGATCCATTCAATTGTGCTATGTTAGATTCATCTAGCACATGCAGTGAGCCTAAAAGCGTTGATTGTTCCTCATTTTCAACCCAAGCTACTTGTAATTAGTCAGATGGAAATGGTAATATGTGCTACATGAACAACGACTCTGTTTGCACATAATATGATATTTACTCTCAAAATTGTGGTGATTATTCAAGCACAAAGGAATATTGTCAACAAATGTGTACATTTGTGGATAGTTCAAAAACATGTTAAGCAAAAAGTTGTGCAGATTTTACAAATTAGGATGATTGTATCTTATAATTGGACTTGACAGCATTGAAAGTTATTCCATGCACTTGGAGTGGTACAGCTTGTTAAGAATCTACAGCTGCAGATGTCGAAAAATTGGATATAATCTCATGCATGGTTGTAACAATGTTAAACTATAAATGGTCATTGGATGACGGCAAATGCACTGCATGCACATCATTTACAACCAATCCATAGTTTTAATATTTATAGGATTATATGAACGGAAGCTATGGTATTCAAATCGGAGCCATTATTGTTGGATTAAGCTTAATATTCAATTGAGATTTATAATTCACCATTATCATTCAATTTTTGTAAATTCAATTTTTCTTTCAATGCCAGATCTTCTTCTAACTTCTTTTTTCAATTCAAACTAGCTTAAATAGGAGAAGGACATAGAAAACATAACAATAAATTGTTAATTTATTACATTTTATTTAAAACAGTTTCACTTTTTTTTATTTAATTAAAATGCTGTATTTTTAAATTTAAAATTCATATCAAAGCTCCATTTTTTATATGAATTTTGAATAAAATTATTTATGCTGAATATATTCTTTAAATATGAGTTAGATGGATGTTGAAATAATTCAATTTAATTTCATGCGCTTTTAATAAATATAAATATACATTATATATTAAATTTATATTATAATTTAATGCAGCAGCATTAACATGGTCCAAATTGTGGATGTGCGGAATACATGTTTAATGAAGATGCAGATGATTTATATGGTCAAATAGAGATTGATAAAGTTGATTGTTTGAATGAAACAGCACAAAATGTCAAATAGATCATTAGACCAGAAATAGAAAAAACTAAAAAGGTAATTTTGAATGCCATACTTAGAATCACTTTGTGTAATCTGATTTAGACTCAGAAATTATTGTCATCATTCCTTTTAATGAGACTGTGAGAATCAGATAGATTAATGTCGTGAGTTTAAATGAGGAGTCAGCACCCAACCTAATGAAGGCCTATATCAACATATCAAATGTGGATTTTGGACTTATAGAAACACCTTGTGTGGAAGTATGAATCTACTTTTTAAATTAGCAATTTGTATTAAGTCCAAACTTAGATGGCTAATTTGGGAATGCAGTCAAAGTATCAAAATTTGAAAATGTTAATAATCTTATATTGTACATTAAATCTACAGTCAATGATCCCATTCGAATATCCTATATTGGAGTGAAGGGAATAAGGACATTTTAATCAAAATAACTTGCAAATACCATTTATGAATTAAATCCATTGGCAAAGCAAGTTGATCCTGATAAAGTTGTATTTGATAGTGTGTGTTGATTTTTAATATTTTGATATATTAATTATAATTATATCGTTTTCTGTTCTATAGTATTTAATGGAAGAGCTAAGAAAATCAATTATCAAACAAGAAGAAGAGAAGATGAATAATAAATTAACATTATTGGAATAATCAGTTGGATTTCCATTAAATGAATATATGAACCAGGACTTCATTAACAAAATCCCAGAAGATAGTTTTTTATGGTACATTTTCTGATATTAGATCTTAAAGGCAAGTTCTATCCAATAAGTATTTAGTTATGAAAGGAGTAAAACCATCAAAACAAGATATTAGGGAACATCGATTATACGAAGAGATAACATTTCACGATTTTGTAAATGAGTGTTTACAGGCTATTATGTTCTTCCATTTGATCATTATGGATTTTAAACTCAATTTACGAATCATTACAGACTCTATTTAAACCTTATAATAGTAAATTCAACTTCTAAAAGAATATTAATAAATCAAGTTTGATCAACCAAATAGACTTTCAATAAGTTACACTAGACATAAAAGTCTGAAAACTGAGATATTTAGATACTACAAAATCAAATACAAAGTGGCTATGAACGATTAAGAATAAAAATCTATTTATTCCTATGGCGATGATTTGACATGTTTTTTTCCAATATTACCGAATAGTAATACTTTACATTTTACTATTTTGGGCAAAAAGATAGATGGAGGAGAGAAATTTGAGATTTTGAGCAAAATAGACATGGGACTAGACGAAGTTCTTGTATCATTTGATTTAAAGACTTATGCAAAGGAATAAATCAAACCTTGCATCTTGACTTTAGATTATAGAGATGAATCTCAAGATGCTCTCTATGAGGGTCCAAATCCTATTGAATTAAGGTAATCCATATCTATAATTAAGATTTTAGTTACAAATGCCTTGCGAATAACGAATCTAACTAATGGAAGGACTATTAGATAGACAAAAGAAAGTGGAAGATTAATATAGAGAATAAATGCAATTGAAAAACAACTCCATACAATAAATCATAGAACCATTTGATGATATTGTTTATATTCAAGGAGAAGATCTAAAGCATAGGAATCAAACTGAAGACAGAGAATTTTGTTCAGCATGCTTAATATTTTGATTATTTTAAGGATGAATTTCTATTGTCACATTATGAACAAATTAATTATAGTAAAAAATTCAGTGGTTTTAATGCAAAAGAATGTTTATAAATTATTTTTCTGTAATTTCTCCTTGTGCTCCGCATTCTACAAGAATTTATTACCAAATATCATCCTCTATTGTTCCAATCATCAATTCAAGTTCCTTTTTTGATATTTTCCCATCTTCATTCGCATCAAAAATTTTGAAGGCAGCCCTGACCTTATCTACAGACACCAATTTTTCTTAATTCATAGCTGCCATCAAAAATTCTGATAATAATAAGATGACAAAAAGTTACCAGAAAAATCCACTTATCCACTCTGATTTATATCAACAATAGATAAAATTTTATCAACTTCTTATATTGCTTACTGTTTGTTTTTACAAACAGAAATATAACCTTCTATTAATTCTTCTCTTGATAAAATTCCATCACCATTTTTATCCAAGAATTAGAAAGATTTAGCTAATTCGTCCTATTCTTATTAAGATGTCATTTGACAAGCTATATATGCAAGAACAGCTTAAGTAAAAACTGATTAGGCCTAGATATATATTAAGAAAATACCTAGAACTTTTACAAATTTTGCAATGCAGATTTATTCACTTTAGTACTTTATTAATTCTTTTTGATCCATGGATCTGATAATGCTTCCAATGCTGAAAATCGTTTATTCGGGTCAACTTATAACATATTTTTTAATAGATCCTTAACTTCCTGGGATATCATTTCCCAATCCTCTTCTAATCTAAAGTCGAAAATCAAACATTACACTCAAAAATTAATTCTCCTTCACATACTTTCTGCATTATTTCATCCTCATTTTTACCTGTAAATGGAGGATATCCGCATAAAAGTATGTATAAGATGACTCCACAAGACCAAACATCACATTTTTCATTATATTCTTGCTTTAATACTTCAGGTGCTATATAATAAGCCTAAGGTTTTAATAGTATATATTACTGTCCCTAATTTTTTAGTCATTTTTTGATTTTATTCATATTTTCTTGAAGTTCCAAAATCTATAATTTTAATGGGAGACAATTAGGTATCATTTACAAATAACACATTTTCTGGTTTAAGATCTCTGTGAACAATGCTTCTCTGATGACAATAGACTACTGCCGATAAGATTTGTCTCATCAATTCAGCTGCCTTTCTTTCACTAAAAAAATTGAATTCTTTTATTCTATCAAACAATTCACCTCCTGATAAATATTCAGTTATTAGGTAATAGTTGTTTTAATCTTGATATAACTCATATAGTTTAACTATATGGGGATGATCCAAATTCTTTAAAATATTCATTTCCGCAAATAGTCTTTGTTGCTCTTCAACTATTATTGATTTCTTTTTCAATTCCTTCATCGCTCTTATCATGCCTGAAATCAATCAATTCTACTATTACCAGTATTTTTATGCTACACTTTCCAAACCTTTCCATATGCTCCTTACCCTAAGATTTCTCCAGTTTCATAATATTTATGAATGCTACCTGCCTTGAGATTGATGAACACTTCAGCTCCCAATTTTACAGAACCAACTGAAGAATTTGTTATTTTCCTTTAAAATTTACTTCTAGGGATAGCTATTTCAATAAAATCTAAAATACTTGATTCAATTTAACTTCCTTCTTTATGATGCAATTTATTCGAGCAACCATTTTAATCATAATTCTGTCTTAAATCTAAGGACGCAGAACCAAGAATTTAAAAATCCTCATAATTCTCTTTTTAATTATTAATTATTTCCTCATCACTTTTTTAATCTTTATTCACAACACACCTTTTCGTTTGAGTGTGCGAACTCCCTCTTAACTTTTGACTATCAAGGTCTATTTCATGAGTAGTTAATTTTGTTGGTAAAGTGCAACATTAAGCTCCCATTTATTTTTAATTTATTAATAAATTTGTTATTTTAAAATATATCATAGCTATTCTTTTGGAGGTGCTTACATACTTTAATGGAACCCTATCAGAAATCCAAAATAGAAATGTTCAAACCATTTTACATTTTCAAATAACTGAAGGGTTAAGAATTTGGAATATATTAATTCTATAAGATTAATATTGAATAAAGTTAGGAATTATTTACAATACTATTTAATAGATTATCTATTGCATAATGTATGTATGCTTTGACTAATTAATGTGAAAAAATAATACTTACTTAATAATCATTTCTAAGTCTATTTTAATTTCATTAATAATACCATATTCATACCTTAAACTTGTTGATCAATTCAATTTAATTCCCTTTTCACAATCTTCGAATAACCCTAAAATTAAATACCAAATCTACAATTTTCATATCTTTTGGCTAATTTTAAATAATTATCAATTAAATGGTAAAAAAGATAAATTCCAAATAAATTTAGGTATATTTTATAACATTAAATAAAGGCAGATAGTGATGATGTGTCAAATTGTTTAATTTTTATGCCATTATTTACAATTCTAAATACAAATAGAAATCCATCAAATTAATCAAATAATATTTGATTTAAAAATATATAACTTAACTACTCTATCAGATTGAGAATAATATAATAATGATATTTATTTAAGGATACTTTATTTTTAGTTAATATTAATGTTCATTATCAAAGAAATGGTTGGTCAAAAATTATTTGATATTAAAGTCTCTCTTTTTGGATATTTTCATTTTAAGCAGGTAATTTATATTATTTAATTCAGCTAAATTTGACAATAAGATTTTTGTATGAGTCATAATAAATCATTCAGTGGCTTATTTTAATATTTTAAATTCTATAGTAAGATTTATAACAATAAAACTTTGCTCATATATTGTATATTTGCAATAGCAGAAATTAAATTAAATAAGATGTATCAATTTTGGTCTTATTTAATATCATTAAATTTAGGAATCATATAATCAAGCATTTCATTATTTTTACATAAAAATAGAGTTGATAGGCACCCCAGATATGTGCTATTTGAAATGAATATAGATGTAGCTTTTTTTATGTTAAATGAAAAATAATGAGTTCAGTCAAAAAGACCTTTTGAGCAATAGAGAAATAATAAAAATATATTATATTTAAGAAATTCGTTTTTATTTTAATTATATGAAAACAATTATCATAATAACACTTATTTTCGTTTGCCTTTCTAAAAATGCTAATGTAACAAGAGAGTTAGAAATAGGAGTTATTTAATTTGAGGAAGCCAAAGGATCATAAATTTATAATCAAGTATTTTCCTATTAAATCCCAGCTAGTCCGATTTGATACTCCATTCGCAAAACTTCCTTAAGTGGCTTTGGCCTTGGTAGAACATACATCTACAACAGCTCTATTTGCAAAAGTGAAAAACATAACCCAGCATGATTTCATCATCCAATTTTTTAGTGCTGTCACTTTGAATGCAACTTACAGATATTTAGCAACTACAGATGCAGATGTTTACATCAACTGTTCAAATTTCAGAGCTACCCAACAAGCTATATTTAGATACCCTTAACTCTAGTCAAATGTAGAAGCCATGGCTTTTCTTGTTGGTTATCATCATAATGGATTTGTTAATATTTCTATAGATTAGAGCAACAATCTAGCAAAGTTATAAATTAATACAAATGATGTATAATCAACAGCCATAGGGATGTGTTTGATTGTTGGAAGCAATCTTAGATTTGGTGATGAGGCAGATACTCCAAAATTTAGTGGAAGAGTAAGCAGTCAAGGATAGACAAGGTCATTGTCATTCGTAGCAAGTATTTTAAAAATATTATTTATTGAGGTTTAATAAAGTAGTGAACAAGCAAAAGAGAAAAATAGAGAAACGTTAACTGATTTGGTAAAAATTGTAATTAACTAAAGAAAACCTTTTTTGATAAAGACTAAATAGTGGAAGCACCATCATAGAGTAGCGAATAGTTTATTGAAGTTCCAGAAAGAGAGTCAATAAATGATCAAAATTTGAATTAATTAGATGTGCAGGAAGTTTCAGAATCTTAAGATGAAGAAGAAATCTAAGAGTTCGAATAGGAAATATAAGATGATACAATTTAAGAAGAGAATTCTGATGATGACATTAGTGAAGAGGAAGATGATGAATACTTTTGGAGCTCAAAAGATAAGCAATAGTAATAATCTAATGTTGATTTTGAATTATAATTAACTTTGCTTCAAGATGCTTTAAAAAAGAAACCTTAGATTTAATAATAAACTATTAAAGAAATAATTAAAAATTCTCCTGGTAATTAGAAAGAAAAGAAATAAAAATAGTCTATAAAAAAATAAAAAGAAACAACTTAGAAGCATAATACTCAAGAACCAATTGAATAAACAAATTACACTAATGAAACTCTTAATACTTAAATATTGAATAATGAAGAAATTGATATGCAACTGTAATAAAAAGAATCCCATGTGAGATCATTAAAAAAAGCATTAAAATTAGTGGATACAGTTAAAGAAAAGGAATTGGAAATTCTATTTCCCTAAATTGAAAACCAAAAAGAATAATTAAATAATCAAGTATTGAATGATGTTAAGGTTGATAATAAAATTTAGGAGGACCCAGAATTGCCAAAACTAATTGGATATAAAAGTCCATTGATTGATGATATTCCAAAAATGGAAGAAATTATTCAGGTGAAATAAAAGGAAAAGAAGTTTACATAGAAGCTTGATGGTTACATGCAGAGTTTTTCATAAGATACTTTTACTTAGAAAGTCCAAAAAAAAAAGGAAGAGGATTAAATTAAATAGATTGAATCTATAGAGAAAGAAACAATATAGTATGAATAGGCACAATTAATTCAACTTAAGGGTCAGTCTCATTCAGCTAAAGTTGTTTATGAAGCTTCTGAAGAATCTCTAAGAAAATTTGAGGAAGATTTTGAAAGAAGAAAATGTACATTTTTATATTTAAGATAGAGGAAAAAATGAAAGAAATTAAATAACAATTAATTCCAGAGAATAAGCCAACTAAAATTAAATTTTTGTCTTTAGCTTAAGAGGACGAATAGCTGAAATCATATAAGGATTTCTTTTACAATTGAATATTATTAATCAAACCTAATATAAAAATTTTATTCAATCTGTTTCCTTCTGATTCTTAGAATAATTGTATCTTCTGAATATCGAAGAGTTTGAAGAAATCTAATATGATCTAAGTTAATATTTTCAATATTGAAGGTGGTAAAATTATTAATTTAAATCATTTGAATTATTTTTAAGACGAAGGTCTTTTCTATCTTGGAGGAGTAGATGGTCGTTTTCTTAACAAAGCTTCATTGTTGTCAATAACTAAGTATTTAGCAAATCCTTTTTTTCTTTAAATGGGCTCTTCCAAATCCATCCAACGTTACTCTTGAATTGGAGCAGCAGGTAATATTACTTTTGGGATGATTTCTCCTCTTTTAGATATTGTCAAAATAGCTTTGAGGATATAAATAATATTTTACATCCTTTGCATTGAGGTTAATTACCTCCATAATCTGGACAGGAAAAGATTGTAATTACATTATTGTTTTACCTTTCAAATCCTTCCATTGTTGGTTCGTGTGATCTTATTATCATATTTAAGGAATTCTCTTATAAAAATTTATTAATTCTATTTGTTCCAAATCTTAAAATCTATTTATTTTAAAATATATCTCTATCTGGGTTTGGTTGATTTTCTAGTTCCTCTTCTTATAAACATGGATCAGACCATAAAAGTTCCAACGCTACTTTTTATTGATACTAAAAATAAATAGAAAAAATTACAGTCTTAGGATCATGAACTATTTCTAATGGTTTTTATATTAATTCAATCTCGTCTATAGTTCTCATTGTTTATCCTATTCCACCATGAACACAAAAGATTTTGTCTTCAATAACAGCAGCTAATGGCATATATTAAAAAACTCTGTTAATTCTTTAGTAAACGCTGTTTGGATCCATAATATCTTCTGCGAATTTGATAAAACATTCATCAGCAAACCCAAATATTTTATTAACTATGGGGTCTTCATGATGCCCTCTAAGTAGATGAATTTGATCAGAATATTTAATTTTTAATGTAAACAATAACAGAATGATTTCCAAAGATCTTGATCCTCTATCTACATAATCCCCTAAAAATAAATAATCTTAGGAATCAATATCGCCATTATATAGATTATCATATGGAGCCTTAAAGTGATCAAAAAACCTCATTAAATCTAGATATTGACCATTTAAATTTCCATATATTTTTATTGGTCTTCTCAATCTTAATAAGTTTGGTTCTTTTTCCAGAATTCTCTAAACTTCATCACATAACTTAATTATCATTTCTTTCTTAATGCCTGTTAATAAATTAGAATTTGGAGGGATCTATGCATAATCCTTAGGTATCAATAGATTCTGCATGAATGGTTGACATAATTAATCTAAAAATTAGGATTTGTTTTAAGAATTAGGATCTAAAAATCCTGGTCCCAATTTTTTATGTTCATCTTGTAATTTATCTATTGGTACTTTCTTAACCTAATTTGTTATATCCTCTTCTGGACCATAAGTCATAGCCACTAGTGCCTGATTAGCCAATCTAATATTTTTATTAGTTGCACTTGATACTCTAACTTACTGATATGAATTTTAACCTAGGGTTAATTAAATAAGTACTTTTTTGTTGAGCTGAGGCTTATTAATTTGTTTTTTTAAATTAATCTTAAGTTTATGCTAAAGGCTAAGAAGGCTTGGGATTAAAGGATTATGTAAATGATTAATCAGCCTTGATAGTGTTCATTTACTTTAATAATTGAGGTGTTTAAGCAAATCTCTTACTTAAATCAATTTTAAGGATTCCCTCAGTGGGAATATTGGGTTGATCCGAATCAAATCCTCCATGGAGATATAAAAATTATTCCACCAACCATGAGGAGTGTCTGAATCTCTGAATTGGTTAAAACTTGTACCAATCAGATGTTTCAGTATCATAGATTTCAAAAGGTAATGTCTCTCCTACATTGTTTGACCTACCTCCAATAACTAACATTAATGTTCCTAAAAATAAGGTCGAGTGTTAATATCGTTAGGCTGGTTACTCAGTTTATGATCTATAGGGAGCTCTTACCCAATCCCATCTACCATCTCGATGTCTTCTGAGACCCCAAGTATCATTCAAAGCACTTTGATCACTTGTACGACCTCCAAAGGCAACCATCATACCGTTAGCTGACCCTGTTGAGCACAGCGCTGCAGAATGATATACTCTCACAACAGGTTATTCAGAGGAGCATTCTAATTTTTACCACGAATAAGGAGATTTCTCTAAATTAAAACTCCAAACATCATTTACAGGTTCTTGGCCTGTATTTCCACCAAATACTATCAAATAAGGCTTTATTAACACCATAGTATGACCATATCTTCTTCCTGGTGTTGTTCCAATCACAGGCACAGTGACCCAAGTTCCAGTATCGTCTCTTAATTCAAATACATATAAATTGTCATCTGCTAATCCACCACCTCCTACTGCTCCTCCGAATATAATCATTTAGTTTAATTCAATAGCTAATGCCTGATGTGCTGCTCTATTCGTAGGTACATTTCCACTAGCTTCAACTCGCTTCCATTTTTTTTAAATTATATCTCCGATATACACATCTCCTGTGATTACATACCTTCCTGTATCTCCAACCGCACCTTTAAATCTTTATTCAAAGTATACCTCCAAATAATGCGATCTTATTAGGGGCTATGACACAAATGGTGTGACCAAAACGAGGTTAGGGATTATCTCCTGCAAAATTCACACTTTCCATTTTTATTTTAAATATTATTTTAACGATATATATATGAATTCAAGGCTGGCCAGACCATCGACACCAAAGAAACCTTTTGATCCAAATTTAATAAGATAATCCGCTAAAAAGCCTTTCTAATTCAAAACACAGGAACCAAAAATACTCATTATAGAATACTACCATATTAATATTTGATATCATTATTTGCATGTTATTATTATCTTATAATCAACTTACGATGACCTTTCTGCTTCTCAGATGTTCAATAGCCACACAATTAAAATTGCTCTATTCAGTTTTACTTAATTTACATATTTATTGATAATAATTCATGTCTATTAATACTCGTATTATTTTAATGCAAGGACTATCATCCAAAATTAGTGAGATTGATTTATACAATATAACATGATAAGTAAATAAAAAGAAATAAGAAGGGATGACTATGATTTTTCGATTTATTTAATACACTCCATGTTTAAAATATATCTATTTAGCTGGTAAATAATAAACACATTGCCATGGAAATATAGCATTCGTATTATATAGAAATAATAATATTTTATTATTAATGTATGATTAACAATTATATTAATGAATAGTCTATAACATTATTGCAACTTTTGAATAACCACATATATCATCAATCAATAATCTTAAGATTGAAGTTTAACTTACTTATAATTGAATTCACAACCTAAAATTCATTATTGGATTGATCAATTTAAAAATATTAAAAATAAATATTATTAGTTACAAAATATGTGTTAGAGAATCAGAAGTAATTTTTTATAATTAATTAATATAATAGTAGCAACCCTATTTGAAGGAGCAATTATTTTATTATGTAAAATTATTAATAATATTCATTTCGGAGGAGGGGGTGGGGGAGGAGGAGCTGGTCTTGGAGGCTGTGGTCTCTATTAGGGTGGAGGTGGTGGTGGTGGTTTTCTATGATCCTCCTCAAAAATATCTGGTCTTTTCTTTTTTAATTAAGAAAGATGTTCTGCAATCATATTGCCTGGTTACAATGTTGTAGTCTTGCTTCTCTCATTTATTTCCTTCTTTATTTCACTATAACGAGGATCTTGTAGTTCTAATTGGATATGTTCATTGATTTAATTCTTGGGAAAATTCTTGCCACAAATCTCGCATTTTATTAAGACTAATTCATTTTATGAGGTTGGCCTTTGATAATTTGATATGATTGGGGCACTACTATCCCCTTATTGACCTGCTTTTTGTAGAGTTGAATTTAAGGTTATAATTTATTTTTCTTTTGGTTGTTATGGATTATTAATAATTCTAGATACAACTTGTCCTGTCTATACTAGGTTTTGCTATTACTCTAAAAATAGACAACCATATTACAAAATTATGCTTAATCAGCACCTTTAAAGTCCATTTTATCAAATCTTTAGATTCCCTTTTCATAAACCTTATCTATCCTATCATCTTCTGCAAAATCGATAGTCTCACAAATCGTAAAGTCATTCCAATCAATCATTGCCATTTATTCTATCATATTACTATACGAATAATACATTTCTCATCTTCATCTTATTATTGCTTTCTATCTTTTTCTTCCTTCAAATAAATCTCGTACTCATATTTTTCTTGACATCTTTAATATATTACTTATCGATCCTAAACGTATGTCAACAATCTATCGATTTCTTCCTTTTTTGGTTGTAAACATTTTGTATAGGCATCAACTAAATTTGAAAAGAATTGAAATAAATCATGAGTTGGTTTTAAGAAATCATACTATGGATTCATTTTTTCCCTTTCTGTCAAGGCAACCAAAAACTTCTTACCATTCTTAGCAATGAATATGGCTGTATGCTTAATAATGTCTAGATCTAAGGCAGATAAATTTCTAGGCTGTTCCACTGTGTATTGATCATTAGGAGGAGCCTTTACTACTTTCTTAGGCTATTCGCTTTTGGGTACAGGTTTTGTTTTCTAATCCTCTTCTTCCTATATTGGTGCTATAATGATGATTAAATGAACTTGTACCCACTAATCCTCTTGCAAACTCAGTAATTTTATTTTCATAATATGGTCTATAAGGATCATCTCTTCTCAAAAAACAAAAATTTGGATTGCTTAATTCCTTTTGCATAACAAGATCTTCAAATGTTGCTCCATTTTTTGCTACATATTCTGCAGTCTTATCCGCATATTCTAATTATAGGTACATTCTAATACTTTTGATATTTGGAGGAGGAATGACAATATTCGATGATCTATTCTTAATTAATAATTAAGCTTCTAGCACCATTAAAAGAATAATTAATAATATGAGATTAAAATTCTTCAATGAAATATTTTCATAAAAAATGAAGCTATTGCAATTATTACATAACTACTTTTAGAGATGTGTTTAGAATAAAGATGTAAGTTGAAATATTTGTTTACTACTTAAGTAAATATTGAGAGCCTAAACTTATACATATATATTAAATTAAAATTCAAAAGTGATTCTATAGAAAGCCAAAAATCTTAGGAACATCAACTATTTTACAAAGAAACTTATAAATATTAAATTGTTTTATAAGATCTAAATGATAAAATTTAAATAGACTTATAAAAATATTGTCTTAACTCATTCACTTATAAATTAAATACATTTAAATTCTTCTTATGTATGACTTATTCAGATTTCTAAAGAATAGTTATTGAGTCCATAAGGAAAGAAATTCTCCTTTGTAAATTAATGCAAATAAGTTCTAAGGAAAGGAATTCTCATTGAAATTAATTTGGTATTAAAATTATGAATTTAGTAGATTCAAAAGCTCTTTTTTCTACAAATAAAAAAAGTCTAATCTTATTTCTACATGAAATTTTCATGTTTCTCATACTATTATTGATTAAAATCTGATCAAATAAAATTCCGTTGCCTAATAGTTGAAAATTTATTTACAACTCTACTATTTATATTAAGCTCATTCTGTATACAATAAGACATTTATAGAATATTTAAATATAACTAAGGTTATAATTGTCCATTTTATGAGATAAACCAATCCTGTTGTCTTATTAAATAAATTCAAATTGTAATAAAAATAATTCACTGAGGGTTTTTCTTTAGAAATACGAATAATATTATTAAAATTCATTTAAATTGCATATCTAATATTGCTCTTTCAGAGTCTACCTGCTGTTTTATTACATAAAGAATAGATTACATTTTTTTCTATAAATAAAATTATTAAAAATTCGAAATGGAAGACTAAATTGAAATTGATTAATCTTAATGTATTTTTTAAATAAGTATGTTTTAAATTCGATAAGAAATGTAATTTAATTATATGATATCAAATATGTCCTAATGGAAAAAACATGTTTATAAATGCTAAAAGTGCTGCAGAGATTGTTTAATCTTGATTGAGATTAAACTAAAATTAATTTATCTTTCTTTACTTTACCATTTACTATTTGTAGTACACTATATAAGTATAACCCTCCGAAAGTAAATGCCCATAATTCGGTGGCCATCCAGAAAATGAGCACAGCAGTATAATCAAAAGGATTGAATATTTGAAATATAAAGGCATAAATAAAGGGAGGAATACAAACATACTTGATGGTCCCTATAAATATTAAAGTATTTTACTAAAAAATGATATCTATTGTTTGGTCAGAGAGAAATGATATTGAATAGTGATCAAGGTAAGAAAATTGCATATAATACCGATGAAAATGGCAAAGCCGATCTGGACAGAGTTTTCTATATTCCATATATCTGAATGTTCTGCAGTTATGAGACCGCTAATCCATAAGGCATAAGAGATAGTGAAAATCAAGAATATGAAAAATGCATTATGTTTCTTGGTAATAATTTTGAATATGTACACATCTAAATGGTTTATAGAATCTGATTAGCAGCAATTGTATGGCAGATATTAAGAAAAAGAGATACAAGGATGCTCGATATTTTTCCTTGTCAAAATTATAAAACAAATTATCGTAGTTAAAATCTAAAATAGTTATGACCGACATAATTATCTGAATAGCTTCTTGAAACACCCAAATTCCTGTTATTTAAATAAGAAATCTCTATTTTTGTTAGTCATCCAAACCAGATAACTATTGATTGGGTTATAACAAGGGCTAGTAAATTTAATCTAACTAAGCAAAAGTATTACGAGAGCCAGCTTCTTATGTAGTTAAATTAAGATTAGAGGATTATTATAAATTATTGGTTTGCATAGTTGAATTGTCTGGAACAGAAGACTCAGAATTTCTTTGTGCCTGATTTTCTTCATTTCTTCTGCTTTCCAACAAAATATTATTTAACATAATTTTTGTTTTTTATGGATTAATGTAAGATTTAATATATAATATTATAAGAGTAAATATTTGCAAATATTATTTGTATTACATATGATATCAAAACCCTTAGCCAATTGTCCGTATCTGCAAGTAGGATATGATGATAATAGGGTGATGAAATTATGAATGCTCTGTAGATATTTCTGTAAATATAATGTGAATAATTTATCTTTTTTGGATATCTTTGGTAATAATTGCAATTTATATAAATTAAAATAAAAAATGAAGCAGGAATAAAATCATTTTACATTCACTACTGTGATCCACCCACCTTTTGTGGATTAGGAAAAATAAGAAGAACAATTTTATCCATCAATCGGATTTAATTTTGCTACTGGCGATGCTTAACGTAATATATATTCTCTATGTTGTATAGCGGGATGGGCTTTCATAAGCAAGGATTAACCACCATGTGTTCCTTACTTTTCATCGTACCTTAAGAAGTAGAATGGAGCGGAATTCCTAGTTACCGGTGGAGCTTATCAAGATAATGATTAAATTTCAAGCACTGCCTTCTGCTTTAGAATTCAGCTTCATGATCACATGGAAGGGCACAGAATCAAATATGAATTGTGGAGACAAGGATTAACAAAGGAGGATGAGGATGGCAATGAAATCGAGGGAGAGAAAGTGGCTGTCATTCCTCAAATGAATTTCCCGAGACACAATCACAAAGTTTTTGAACTTTTAAAACCAGGAACCACAAATCAATATTTGTATATGGTAGTTGGAGGTCAATTTATGAGTTCAGAAGACTGGGGCATCTTAAATTAATGTGAAATTTACGATGAGAAGGGACCTGTGAATCAGAATGGAGAGTAGTAATGGGAAGTGGTGGAATCTATGATTTAAGGTAGAGCTGGATTTTCAGGATTTGTTTTGAATAATAAGGTCTACGTTTATGGTGGATTGACAATTGAGAAAGAAGAGATTGTATACATTATGATTAATTAATTATTAGAAAGTACTCCATAGCAATAAGGTGGAATGCTTTGATTTAACAACTAGGAAATGGAAGGATTTTAAATATAGATAAGGTTTGAATGTAACAAATCATTTGGGTTCATCTTGTTTGCCTGTTTCATAAAAGCATATTCTAATTTTCGGAGGTTCGAATGGTGAGAAAGTTACTGATAAAATTGCAATTATGGATGTTGAAAAAGGGTCAATTGAAAATATCAAATAGAAAACCAAATTGAGTGTCCCAAGAGCAGGAGCTTAAATTTTTGTGTTGAAGTAAGTGGCTGGTAGATTATTATTAATATTGAATTAGATTCAATACAGAAAAGAGATCTCATAGTAGTTTTGGGTGGAAATTAGGATGAAGTGAGTTTTGATTACTTTACGATAAAAGATTAGAATACTGTTGATATAGAGTACATTGGAAAAAATGAGTTTAATAATGCATTTACTGGAGCAGTCACTGGAACATATACTTTTGGTGGCATTAATGATATCAGGGCCTGGGCTAAGACAATGTAGTACATGCCTGTAGTGACATTAATATAATGAATATTAAATATCACATGTCTTATTATATTTATTTTGATTGTATCACTTAGTTGTGTTATTATTTTTGATTCCATCTATTTAAAAAATAGATTTTTATTTATTTATTTGATTATTTGACATATATGATTCATTACTTTATTAATTTTATTAAATTAATAATATCTAATAAATTAGTAGATTTAAATAAATATAATTTAAAATATTATAGCAAGTATGATTATAAATGTATAATCTCTAAGCCTAATATTTATTAAATTAGGAATGCTATTAAACTAAAATATGCAGCTCATTTTCTCTAAAAAGAGTGGTAGAATTACGATTGAAAAAGAATTTAATCTTATTGTTACTAATTAGAATAATAAATATATATTGAATTGTTCATCATTCTTCATCATAGAATGGACTAATCATTAAAATAGGAAAACTCATGGCCATTGCAAATACATGGTTAGTCTTGAAGTTGTTCTAAGAATATTAGAATAAATATGTACATATCCTTTTTATTCGATTTTTTTCATAAGTAACATGCATCCAAATCCTATAAGAATGACTACAAGGAGCCATAAAAATAATGGGACATAGAAAAATCGATAATACTGACTGAAGAATTCTACACTGTAAGCAATGATTGGTGGGAAGATTAAGTAGATGAGATATTCTTGTATAGGTTTCTTGACTCCTTTATGTTTGATTGCGTATCTGACTGAAATGAATTCAACACAGATCAAAAGGTAAAAGTAGTAGAAGTAGTTGGTGTCCCAGGAAAATATTATATCACTGCCAGACACAGCTGTTTGCATTCCTTGCAAAAGCAAAACATATAGAACTAAATGTATCCAATATAACGCGAATTGATTAGTCCCCTAAATTGTTATACTAATTATTTACTTGAGTTATGTAGGTCGTATTAGTTATGATGAACAAATTCAATAGTATGAATAATATTAAAACTGCCCATAATCCAGGACCCCAAGTATAGTTACTTGTTACCACTTATAAACGGGTTAAAGCAGAAATAGTGTTAAAAAATAGCGATATGCATATTTCAACCATAAACAGAGTAGTAAATGTTTAAAAAAAGAATTTACGTTCTTAGGTTCCAGCTTTTTGAATTGAAGTATGTTTCAAGTGTTAATTTTATACTTTAGGAAGATTATTCTAGTTTTAAATTTAATTTTGATTCTAGTATAATAATTATTATTGAAGTTATGAATTATGATATGGATATCCCTGGGGTTAAGAATTTTAGTTAGGACTAGTAGGTATTTTTGGTATGTTAATTGATACATTCTAGTTTTGTGATTGATTAAGAGTCTATTGTTGTAATTATAAATAAGGATGCATTTGCTAGCTTGCTTGTAACTAAGTTTACTGTTATTTCTTTTGATATAGTTCTTATAATAATTATTAGTGCAAGTAAGAGGGCTGCTAGAGAATTTGGTTGTATTCTTCTTAAGATACAAAGACGGGAACAAAGGTTTCTTGTGTTGGTTGAGATGTCATTAGATATAAATATTAATAATATTGAATCGTATGTTAGTGATATAAAGTATTAATTTTGTGTTATGATTTTCCTCATTGTACATTTTTTAACTAAGAGTTCTGACTTTGCGATTCTAAATCATTTCATCACTATTTTTGAATCCGATATCAAAGAATGATACCAAATTTAAAAAAGCTTAATAGAACTGTTGCATATCATCATCATCTGATCTCAAATTATACTATTGGGATAATGACAATAAAATACACTTTGTTGATTTAATAATTCTTGGGAGGATCAATTATAGAAAGTGTCCAAATCCAACTGAAGAATCTATAATTCCACAAATATTCCACATTTTTCACAAATCGATAATAGAATTTCGTCACAAGTAATTAGTATATCATAAGTTATTAGAGTGACTCTAATTATAACAATTAAAACATTTACTTTAATCTTGTTGATCTAATTATGGAATAGTATGATAATAGTGATTGAACTTGGAAATTGATAAATCTGAACACACGATTATAACTGATCACATAACTATCATTTGATTCCGAAAATGGTAGTAATCATATCATTGTGAAATATTCATGATTCGTATAAGATTGAATTTTGAAACTTTCATGTAGGGCTATACTTACTGGATTCGAATATAACTCTTATGATAAAACTATTAAGCAGATTTAAAGGAAACTCTTAATGAGTAGAGGAGAATAGAAACTTTTAAGTTAAAAAGTGTTCGCTCTAATTATTCTGCTAATCTTAATGAATCATACGTTAATAGTTCTTCTTAATTTAGAAATTTATATTCTGGTGACATCATGTGAGTTTCTGAATTGTTTTATTAAGAATAAGTATTGCTAAAGTTGGATCATACGTTAAATGTGTTGAAATTAAGAGCATTAGATGGGTTGAACTTGATTTATGTTAAATGATGACTTAGGTTAATACATCCAGTGTTTAATACAACAAATATTTATTATTAAGGCTATTATATTGAATTTATAGAAGATTATGGTTTTCCACATATGTGTATATTTCTAAGTCAATTCTACAACTCTTAAGTTTAGTTAAGAATCTAAATTTGACTCTGAATTGTGTTATTCATTTTATATTTAAGGATGAATAGAAATCACTTTACTAATATCTTGAGAAGTTTAACAATCAGCTATTTATATACAATGTTTTATTTTCTATAATTATTTATTTTTAAAAAGAATGTTTCTGATCCACTCCTTCTACAATAGATAATATAGAAAAATGTCAATATTCTGTAAAAAAATAAATTCTTCAATCGGAGAGAGGACTCTTTTCAAGTATTCTCGAAAATGGAAAATTGAATTTCGAAAGTGATATTTGTTAGTATTAATCAATATTTATGTTGCTAAATATAACATTCTATTTCATTTAATAATTGATTGCAATATTCTATATTATAAATTTATAGTGAGCGATTCATTTACTAAATATTAAATAATAACACTTTAAACTTTCTTAGCACATTTAATGCAGGATTCAAAGAAGTTTAGCTTCCAATTTATATACATCCTCAAAAAATAGCTGTCTTGACTCTTTCTTTTAAATCATTCTTAATAGTGTATAATTCCTATATACCAATTAGTTGTTTCACATAAAATTAATAAAATTGAATTTCATTAATTCCCAGTAAAATTCCCTTTTCAAGTTAAGTTAAACTGTCATTTAATTCACTCAACTTAATAATTTAACAACTACAAATAATTGAAATGGAACTTAACTTTTATTTAATTTTAAAGAAATTATTATATAATATTTCTAGGTTTTGTTTCATAATGCCAAGTATTATTTAGCACTACTTACTCCTAACAAAGCATTACTAAAGAATAAAATACATTTATATGTTAATTTATTAATATTAAACTATGCATTAAGGGTCTTTTTTTTTGAATCAAAAATATGCTGAGTTAGATATGTTTAGAAGGGATGTTAGAGAAAGGTTTACCTAAAAATTTGACAATAAAAAAACTGTGCTCTAGAAAGTGAAAGAATAATAGATGAATCCTCATCAATCCAATTTTAGAAATAGGTAATCACCTAATGCATAATAAAATATATAATTATAATCTCCAATAAGAATTAAGTAATATTCTAAATGCTCTCCTGGTAGGTTATCCTTTCAACGATTTACTAATGATGTTGGTAATGTTAATTCTAGGTATAAAAATTGATTTAATATATAATAGTTTGAATATACCCAAAAAAACTCTTAATGAAATTGCGGCTGTGGAAAGAATACAGGACTTAGCCAGAGCGTTAAAAGGGTAAAGCTATGCAGCTACAGATTTATATATGTAAGAATTGAGAAAGTTGTCCAAAATGATTCTAATGAATGAGTTGAATTTAGCACTGATTATAATGATGATTAACAAAAATTATTAGAATTCTCCTCTTGAAAGTATTTCAACTAGCTTCATTGATTATTCTTTGCAATCTTTAAAATCATCATACTCTTATTTTTATCTCTCAAATAAATGCAGTTCTTTAAATTACAATTATAATATATTTTACAAATATATTGTAAACTATTTCGACTTTAATGAAGAATAACTGTCCTTATTCAGGATTATAATGAATTTAAAGAAAACACTTTAGAAAGATAATTTATCCCGTTAAAATTTTAATTATAAATTATATTTAAAAAATTCATGAATTCTAAGAGTATACATTAGAACCTTAAGTCGTTCAGCTTTCCCTCTCATTCATAATTAATAGAGGGTATTTGATGAGGACCATGAGGTATGTTATAAGCAATAGGTTAGATCTGACCAGAATGAATATTCTGGAAGATCCTAGAAAATGGGCAGCAAAATATTAAGAGTATAAGCGTAGAATAAAAACTATGAGAATAAAATATCTGCTTTTAATGATAAAATATTGGATTTTCTATGAAAACTTAATAATATTGCAGTTAAATTTAAAATTTGGCTTAGCAAGATTGATATTAGATAAAATTATTCTCTTATTAACAATTATTAAATATTGTATTATGTATGAAGAAGATGATTGGTATATCCAATTATAAATCTAAAGTTTTTGCAAACCCAAGATAGAAAAAGGATGCTTTGATAAAATAAGGTGAATGATGATGCAAAGAATAATTTTTTGTAAATAAATATAATTAATTTAATTAATTAATTTTTTGTTAACTTTAAGGATATATATTGTATTAAGAAAATAACTCTATCTCACCTATGTATATCCTAAAACAAGAAGATTTACAAAATTTATGTTCAGATATTTCAATTAAATACCATTAATGATTGTTAACCATTTTGAACTCACTTATTCATTCTCTTCTCAAAAATATCAAATCAACTTAGTTAGTTTGATAATCAATTATAATTAGCATTTTACAATAAAACTTATGAGCCTTTTTGATGAAAAAACATTGTTTTTCTTCTTATTTAGATTTTGCTTTCACTCTCTAAAAGATTTCGCATTCTACTTATTGAGTATTCACGATCTGATTAAATGATTCTAAGAATAATATCGTTTTAATGTTTAAGACAATTTCATATTTTTTATGAAATTAGAATAATTTTTTGGAAAAAATACTTGTTTTATATAGAACTTCAAGATCAATTAGAAAAACAGATCAAATAAGTATGCAGAAGTGTGCAAGAAGAGAATATCAGCATTTCCCCTCGAAAAAAACTAGAAAATGGAGATTTGATAATCATGAATCCAATATCACTTTTTTCATATTTTTTGGTGTTTTACATGCATATTTGGAGTGGGCTTATCAATATACTTCATTTTAAAGCGATCTGAGTGGTTTATTGAGAATGTAGTGTATTTTTTATTTTTCATATATTTCCTGTATTTAATAAATGGTACTAGTAGATAATTTTTTTGATTTTAGTATATTTTCAATTAAATAATTTTCTACTCAAAAAATGACCAAAATGAATTTTCTTAATTCTAATCTTGGTTCTAACTTGTAGAGTGTTGAAGCAAAGTCCTAAATGTATTTGAAATTGCGTGCAGGGAAATATAATTTATATTAAAATTAAAACTTATGGGATCAAGTTGTTGCTAAGCTTAAGGCGATGACAAAATCGAACTACAATAGCAATAAAAGATTAGATTAAAGAACAAAGCTTCAATATTAAACAAAAATAGTAATTTAAGTAGTACAGATTAGAATAAGGAAAATGAGAGAATACAATCTTACTAAAATAATGAATCTTTAATGATAGATGATACTGGAAAAGAGTATAATAGAATAGCAGCGAGTAGTTTAGAAATTTAGGAGCTAACTGGCGACATGGATAGAGTCGATTCAATACAATTAACTGAAAATGCTGTTAAAGATAAACCTATAATGAGGGATTCATGTGAAGTAATTTCGCTTGGATCTAAAAAGACTATCTTGAAGAAAGAAACAAAATATAGTTTGTTTCGCAACAAGGCTAATTTTAATCAGAATTAAAAGAAGGTTAGATTTGATGAAGTGTGAAATTAATTATATTTTAAATAGTTATACTAACACGTAAATGGTATAGATTGACTTTTATAAATTAAGTTAACAAAACTAAACAAATTTATATGAATGTATTAAAAATCAAAAATAGTAGGTAAAGAAAATAGCTCCCCTGTTTTACTTATTATTTTTGTTTTTTATCCAAGTTAGGATGTTTATGAAAAATCTGATTAAATTTCACATATTTTAGTCATTTAAACCATTTTTATGTATAATAAATGATAAAACCTTTTAACTAATATTTCAAATCAGAATGTCAAAATATGTCTAAGAATTGACATATCAATGTAACATTCATAATTCATCTGTTTTAACATACTAGACAATTGATAAGGAACTTAATAGGTATGTAACATTTATTGATATAAGAATAGATAATAAATGTTTATGCAATTTTAATAATACTCATTTATCTGTTAAATTTCTAAAAGCTGATTTAATTTCATCAACAAATTTAGTGAAATAATTCATTAATTCTTATTTAGGTTATTTTGGATCCTATAAGACATATAACTATTCATTACCTCAAATTTCATTTAGGATAACTTGACAAATTGTGGCTTAGTTTAATTCAATATGATATTCCAAGTAATTTTAGCATCTCCTGAAGATTCAAGAATGGCCTTTTTACCACATTCAAAGAAGGAAACGATGCATCTCATCATACCAATAGTTTTGTAAAGTGGACAATTGTAATCATATTTACTGAAAGCATCTTGTTATAAGAAATCTTCTCTGATAATTTTAGCAATCTAAGTAGATTATGGTAAAGTATTACTTCCAAAGACAACTTTTGATCTTCTGAAAGAGAGTCTCTACCGACCAACTGGACAATTTCATTCAATTCTGATTCTTCATGTAGGATCTACTTGAACATAACTCTCAAATGAGAAAACTCTGGATCAAAGGCATTGAAATATGGTTCTAATATTTTTTCATAATTGGAATTGGAAATGGTCCAATTGACAGATGGGAAATGCTTTCTTTGTGCCAATTTCTTATCCAATCCCCAAAAGACCTAGACAATTGTAAGAGTGGCAGTAGTAACAGGATCTGTGAAATCCTAGGAATGATAAGAAATAATAAGTTACTCCTCCTGGAGGTGAGACAGCACCGACAATAGTAATGGATCCTTCTCTGTCAGGTGAACCTCTGCATCTGACTCTTCCAGCTCTTTCGTAGAATTGTGCGAGTTTAGATGCCAAATAAGCAGGATAACCTTGATCTGCAGGCATTTCTGCCAATCTACCAGAGATTTCTCTCAAGGCTTCTGCCCATCTGGAAGTAGAATCAGCCATCATAGACACATTGAAACCCATATCTCTGAAATATTCTGCCAATGTGATTCCTGTGTAAATGGAGGCTTCTCTGGCAGCGACTGGCATATTGGAAGTGTTAGCAACCAAACAAGTACGTTACATAATGTTTTCTTCCTTGCCCTTCATTTGAATGGTCAATTCTGGGAATTCACTTAGCACTTCAGCCATCTCATTTCCTCTTTCTCCACATCCAACGTAGATGATACATTCAGAATTGGAATATTTGGAGAGTGCCTAGGAGATACAAGTCTTGCCACATCCAAAAGCTCCTGGAATACAGCAAGTACCTCCCAGGACTGAAGGGTAGAGTGCATCAAGAACTCTTTACCCAGTAAGGAGTGGTGTATTACCTTACAATTTCTCAATGATGGGTCTGGGTTGTCTGACAGGCCAGAAGTGACTCATTCCATATTGATGTTTCTTGCCATCCAATTCTACTTCCAAAACTTTGTCTTTCAATGTGTAATTGCCCTCAGGTGCAATGTAAGTGACTCTTCCTTAGACTCTGGGGGCTGTCAAGATTTTGTGTTCATCAAACAGATTGTTTTCAAAGACTGATCCATAGATGTCACCTCCGGAGATCATTGAACCTACTTTAATTAGTGAAGATGGTTTGAATTCCCAGATTCTATCCTGATCCAAAGCTGGAATATCAACACCTCTGGGTACAAAAATGGAAGCTGATTATTCTGCGATGACTTATAATGGTCTTTGAATTCCATCAAAAATTTATGTTAAAATACCTAGATATTTATGTATTAAATACCTGGTCCTAATTCCACTGAAAGAGGAGACTTTGTTCTCATAACAGGATCACCCACAGTCAAACCAGCTAATCATAATTACTTATTGGAAGTACATGTATCTTCGTAACATTGAATAGATGCATTATCTCCTTCCAATTTAATGATTTCACCCACAAGTTTATCCCAACCCACCTTCACCAACTCAAACATCTTAGCACCTGCCATCTTCTCTGCAACAACCACTATTAAATTAATGAACAGCAATTACATGGACCAGCCACTTTGAACACTCTACCAAAGCTACTCTCCTTCTCCTATAACTCCTCCAATTGTGTCTTGCGTTATTTATTCATATCTTTTAATAAAATTTATATAAATGATCATCACGATTCTGAAAATAAAGCAAGAAATTAATTTATTCTCTAATTTTATTGTTTCATATATTCGCTTCTCAATTTCTTAATCCTAAAATTTTGCCATATTCCTCCCTTTTCCAACTTATCACACTGCAAACTCAACCTCTAACATATCTATACATCTTTAGTTGAGAAACCATCCTTCAATAGATTTCGTAATCCCCAACACCCTCTTTTCTTATAAACAGTCCATTCTTCATTTAAATTTGATAACTACATCTTTTTTAACCATCAATCAATGTGCCATATTTCCTTTAATATCTATAACCAAGGAATCCTGCTATTTCCAATTGATTGATTGTTTAATCTATTTATTATTGCCAATTTTAGTGAATCTCCAATTTTATCCAGATGTGTCGGAGGTATATTTGGATTTTAAGACTCTGTGAAGAATGCTAGGTTAGATTACAATTTCAACATTATTTTATTTATTTGCCACAATAAATAAACATTAATTAAAAATGCAGAACTTCATATCCAGACCCTCCAGGACCAATACCAACGAATTTGGACATCGCCGAGAGGATTCTTTCGACTACAATGAATTCAAGAATTTGGCTTCGAGTTTGATCACTTGTCAGCATCAAAAAGAATGGAATCATCAGCCAAGACTTACTTAAATACTTCTAAATTAGAGTTTAACTGTGATGTTTGATGGGGTAATACTCAAAGAGCAATGCACCTTATATCCGAATGTTCTTAAAATCGATTGTCATTGCATCCAGCTTTCGTAGTATTAAATAAAGAGGAAACAATTGATCCACAATAATAAAAAGTGTTACCTCCTCCTCCTTGGCAACGACATTATGCTATTCTTCAGCAATTTCGATATCCAGAAGCATTGGTATAACCAGATTAAGCAATTCTGCATAATGAAAAACCTTCTAGTCAAATATCGGTTGTAAGAACAGTTATTTCAAGATTTCTACTCCATCATCAAAAAGAAGGTAAGGAGATCTAACTATCCAAGAATCGACAGTAGTTTTCGGCCTACATCATCAATAAGCAACAGCCCTTCCTGGAACAGACATTTGGGTTGTTGCATGAGAGCAAGAATCATTCCATTTTAAAAATCAAGAGGATCTACGAAGACACCAATAATTATGTCATGATTACTGAAAGGTTTGAGGGAGAACCGGTCTTTAATTTCCTACTTGAGAACATACAATTCATGGAAGTACAAGTTGCAACAGTATGATCAAATACATAAACCTTAGTTGATTTACTAGATTTTACTATTGTTGCGTTATTTGAATGAGCATTAGGCCTATCATGGCAATATCAACGCATTAAACATATTAATCAATAGAGAAAGTCAGTCCTTGGAAATTGGAGTTATTGGATTTATATATTATGTAAAAAGAATAAATAAAATCGATAGCCATTCAAATAGGGAGATGATATAAGCGAATATCTGAAATGGGTCAATCTCAATAAGTATTATTGGAGTGGCTTTGAAGAAAATCAAATACCTGGAATCAATTCGGATCTCTATTAATTGGGAGTTCTACTTTATATCATCACATTTTATACGAAAATCAATCAAGATTTGAAAGTATGCACATTAATAATAATAGCGGAAAAGTGACCCTTACAAATTGTTTTAAAAGTACATGAAGGAATTAGTAATAAAATATGAACTGATTGACGAAACCATCGAAGTCTTAACATGTTTAATATTAATATTTTATTTAGAGATGAAGACTCCAGATTCATAATATGTTCATGTCTTCTCATCAAGTCAATTGGATCTGATCAAGAAGCTATTGTCAAATTGTTCTTTGTCTGATGCTCTCACGCACTAATGGTTTGTCAATGCTAAACAGAAGGCCAAACCCCACAATCAGCGTCAAGGATTACCCACTCTGAAAACAATCATTGAAATTAAGGAAGCAAGTGATGGCGAAGCAAGTAAATCATAAACCAAAAGATTCAGTATACAAAGTGACATGTATGATTCAAGTAAGCATTATTGTAATGTTTAAGTGGATGAGTGTCCGACTGTCTCATATTTGATGCGCAACATCTTAGATTATGAAAAGGCGCCATGTAAAACTCATCATTCCTGATTATATTTAATTAAAATAAATATGTTACATGCAAAACCAAAGGCCTAAACACAATAAGTGCTTTTCCAGGATTTGAAGAGCAAGAAATCTTCAACTTCTTTCAATCCCATTAACACACTTTTTGGAAATCAATAAACTGTTCATCTCCCAAACAATTTATGTATCTATTCATAAATACACATAGCAATTCCATTGTACAGAGGACATTTCGTCAATTTTCATCATGAAGCAATAACAATAAATGATAATTATTCCTTGAGCGGCATTTAAGATGGCTTTCTTTACTTTGTGGTCAATTAAAAAAAAATGCAATTCTATTTCTATTCTCCCCTACAAGATGACCTAAATTACTATTACAATACTGTAAACATTTCTAATTTATTGTAGGATAATCAGAAGTACAAATTTCCAATCAGATTTAAAGAACAAGAAATTGGGCACCTAGACTACATTACAGCCGTTGGATTTTAATAGGTAGATGATGTATGGACAATGGCAATCGCCTCCGAATTCTACATATTTTTGTATACATTTACGGCTGATTTGGACAATTTTTAATTGCTAAAATAAGTGTTCAATGTCAATGGAGAAATAATTAACTAGATCCTTTTTTATTAAGACAATTTGATATATGGAGGCAGTTCAGGCACTCTCACTTGTAAATCCATAGACACTGCTCAAAATTACACTGTTTAATTGAAAGAAAAAATAAAAAGACAATTCAACCGGATTTTTAAAGACCTGACTCCTTGGTCATCCCAACAAGGCTTAATCTAATTGGAATTGCAAGAAGAATTCAATATATGCTATGGCTTATTTGAGAAACTCGACAAAAATGAGAACGTTGAGGATACCTTCATCACCATCTATGATATTGGACTTCAAGGAGAACTCTTTTAAGAAATCATCACAATAAAATAATCGTATCTATATAATTCTAATTTGGAATTCAAAAATGTATTTGATTATCACAATCTCCAATTTTATCATGCTTTTTTCGAAAGACAATACCAAACCAACAAGATAGTCCTCATTATTACAACCAAAGATTAATTACAACTTCATTTGTTGTTTGAATTGTAAAATAGAACAATCAACGAGATTAATTCATTTAAACAAAGGAGTTAGAATTCAAATGTTACATAATAACAATATATTAAATTGAAACCAGAATTCTAGATCATCCAAATTAAAAATCCCTACATGAAAATTGATACAACAATTCCATATGGTGTTTGTTTGGATGAGAGCAGAATACAATACAAATAGAAGGAGATGCTGACCATTTAGCAAAGTTAAGTTCTCAAGTCAGTCTACAAGGAGGAACAATTGTCACTGTTTCATTTAGACAATTACATCATTGCATAATTTCTTGATATGGCTCACATTCAATACTTAAGAAATCTAGAACAACAAATCACTAAATACAATTCATATAATTAGATCTAGTACTCCATATATAGGGATACATCAAAAGAAGCAATAGAAAAAATTGAACTAAATTGTAAAAGTAGTAAAGATATTCCCAACCATGAAAATGGCAATGAAATGTTAAAGAATAAAAATGGCAATGATATCCCCAAGAACATTTACAATATTGGGAAAATGACTGTCAATCGAGTGTTCAATCATTTCGACATTAATGAATCTCAACTCTATAATCTGCCTGAACATTACATCTGCATTGCTGATAATACAGTTGAGTTCATCGTTAGAATGAGACCCATTGATTGCTTCTTTACAGCCATCAAAGTAACACATTATGATTTCATCGATTAAGTCGATGCAGACTTCCCACTTGAGAAATTGGTCAGAGCCTATGGAATCGAGGAAAGTTGTGCTTAAATCTTATAAATCATAATCCAAGAAGAACAGAATTTTTATATCAATGTTGAACTATAACATCAATATCAATTGGACTTGCAGAAAGCATATCAAAGAATACATTACTCAGAGAACATTTAAAAGTTTTTTGATGACAATGAGAAGATTCCAAATTGGGTTACTGGACAAGTTTATGTTCGCAAAGGAGCTATAATCAAAGAGAAAGCACTCAAAGCCTACTTTGCCTTGATTAAGCGTTCATTAATTAATGAGGATAGAAATCAAAAGTCAAAAAAGGTCTCAAGCACCACATCTTTAATTTGGAAAATTCTTGCTCCACTGACAACCAAGAAATTCATCAATGAAAAAGTCTATAACTTAGAATGCAATAAACCTATTGAGAGTTACTCAATCTAATAATTACAAACTGTGTTTAAATAGATTGAAAAATTAATCAAATTATTCGAAAACGAACCTAATTATTTCCAGTAACTTAAGAGTTCACGAAATGATCTATAAATCGAAGAATAAAATTAATTTCAAAATTACAAGAATGGATTCAGTAAATACATTTATGAAACTTTCGAACAAAGTACTCGATTGGATATTTCAAGAAGTACCAATTACTCTGACTAATCATTAGCTGTTACTGTGAATGTTGATGTTGAATACGTAAATATTATATCTATTTCTAGAATTAAATGAAAGTGCTCTACTCTTTTTGTAAGAAAATCAAATAACTACTACAATTCTTGATTTACTTTTTTGGTGAATTGCAAGGAATCAGGAATATAATTAATAGCTATCAGAATAAGCCTTAATTATTTGAGTTATCAATCAAAAGTGTCCTTTGTGGAGACAATGTTGGCAATTTAACATTAAAATAATTAATGATACACATTATTAAGAGTGACAAAACAAAGTTTAGAGAAGCAGCTCAATACATGAATCATCATTTTCCTGATTTCTTTACTATTGCAGATTTCAAAATCAGCTTAGTCTAAAACCTTTTCGATGAGATCTTAACCTTTTCTGCCTAAAAAAGTAAGCACTCCTATTTACTATGTAGATTTGATCAAACTTAATCCAAACGAGTAGATTAATGAAAAAATCAAGAGGATCTTAAAATTGTCCAAAGCTCCTTAAATTACTATTGATAAAGTGCTTGATAAGCGAGAGATCTTTCTGTACTACAAGGATTTGTAACCAGAATTACAAGACTAATTACTGGAGGCTTTGAAATTGATTGAAGAAGTCGCCATCCTCATTGAACATTCATACTTGACTCAATGCTTCAAAAATTACATGTATCCTTTTGCCACATTCAAATTCTATGTGTAATATCTGGCTTAGAAATGCTAATAATAAGAAAAGGATTAATCAAGTGATGAATATTGCAATTGCATTATGGATTTAATCGATTAATTCAATAGTCTAATCAAATACTATTTGAACCCTCCAAAAGGCTTAACTAAGGCACAAACTAAAGAAATTCTCATAGAATCACTTCAAATATTAAATCAATTTTAACTAATCAAGCCAACTGAAGCCATAGCTAACAGTATTTTAAAACATCAGCTTAAGGAATTCATTTAATACATCGATTACAATCAGGAAATGGACTTACAATGTAGTAATGATCTAGAGAAATTATAAATGTAAAAGAAGCAATTCATCGCCAAAGCTTCAAAAGGCAATTCAGAAGTATATCCATAACTGATACAAATACTACTCAAATTAGCATAATTTTCATTAACCTAATGTCCAGAAATGAATCTCGAGGACATTCAAATTAAATTGCCCATCAAAAAGAGATTAAGGTATGTTAACAAGGCACAAGAGTTTATCAGAACTTTCCAAAAGAATGCCTAAGGAATCGATATAAATGAAATAGAAAAATAAGCAAAGAATCTCAGTAAATAACTGTTTTTGTAAGACATTATGTATGATTACATTGTATCGAATGAAGGTGAAAATCAAAGTAAATAAGTAGTAATTAATTTAGGTTATCATACAGAGAAGAGGAAAACCCTAATTGAGATATTGGATATCAAAATGATATTGCAATTCTTTGAGGATAACAACATTTACTTTGGCTAATTACTGTGCTTGGATTACATGGAAAGTTCTCAAGGAATAGAATTACCTAAAGAGAAAATTGAGTAGCTATGGATCAATTATATTTACAGTTCCTATGAAGAATCTAATGAATGGCCTACTGATGTGCTTAAACGATAAGTATTAATGTAGTATTAAAAATATTAGATGAAATTGCTTTTTGAGAATATTATCAATAATTAAAAGTACATCCAATTGTAAAAAATGACTGAGACAATAGAATTAATTAATACTAAGATATGCTAGGATTTATAAGTGACCCAATTGACCACTTGGTTGTTCTTTGAAATTTTGTTGAGTCACGACATTAGGGAAATTGATTTGGTGAGGATTTATTTGGCTCATTATAAGGATCACGTTCAGATCTTAAATAATCCAATCTATCAGAAGTTGTAAATAGAACAAATTCATACTTATAAATTATAATTGATACAATAGATTTTAATTTTGTTGGAGGCACTCAAAAAATTGAAGAGCGATTAGGAATAAACAAGCTCATTAATTCGTCAATTTAGAAATGCTTTTGAGGTACTTGAAATCATTGATATTTTATAGAACGACTATAGAAATCTGATGGACGATGAGTTGTACGATGGAAAGGTTATAGAACAGATAAAAATGAGGGTTGATTCATTATGATTGCTATTGTTGTTTTATAAGCTCAATTTTAGTGTGGCAATTTATTGTTAATAAATTTATATTATTTTTAAATTCAAATGTAGTAAGAATAGATACCGCAATAATAGAATGTCACCCCAAAAAAGTATCAATTAACAACGCCAACCAAAGACAAAAAGTAAAATAAAACTAATCAATCTACTACAATATAATCCCCCTAGAATAATGACTTTTATTCTCCAAAAAATGTCAATCCTTGGAAAACACCCAAATCTTTATTAAAAAGCAATCACAAATAAAACACTCCTGATCATTCCATACAAGCGTCACCCTACAGTGATAGATATATCCCATTAAATGTTTCAAGGAATTTATTCAATAAGCAAATATAGCCATTTGAAATTGAGGAGGAAAACTAATACGAGGAACTTTTGAGTGAGAACGTCTTGGAAATTGATGAGAATAAACATGTGAGCATTTTGAATTTCACTAAATAAAAACATGACAAAGTACAATCTGCTAAACAACTTGAAACACCAAAAAGAAAAATAGACACCCTACCAATAAAAGTGTTGGATGCACCTGGATTAGAAGATGATTTCTACTAAGACACACTCCATTGGGGAAAGAATAATCTAATTGCAGTAGGATTACAAAGATGTGTCTATTTATATAATGTGGACAATTCAAAAGTGTTTCAATTGGCAGAACCAATGGATAATAACGAACTCTAAGCATATTATACATCTTTGCAATGGAACACAAATGGGTAAATGTTGGCCATAGGATGTTGCGATGGTTCTTTAAAACTCTGGGATTACAATAAAAATACCTTCAGTGGCTCCATGAATATATCGAATAAAAGAATCAGCACGATTAGTTGGGCCAATCCTAATATCTTTGCATATGGCAGTAAGGATAAAGCAATCAATATATGCGATGTTAGAGTTCCCAACTATTCGATATTTTAATTGCTAGGACACACTTAAGAAGTATGCGGAGTCACTTTCGATGGAAATGAACTCTAATTAGCTTCTGGTGGCAATGATAATAAAGTATTTGTTTGGTAAATGAGAGGAGGTAACAGTAACAGTAATAACCAATATATTTCTTGGGAAATCAAATCTCATAAGGCTGCAATAAGAGCTTTGGCTTGGAATCCTAATTCCTGTGGTGTCTTGGCTACTGGGGGTGGAAATTAAGATAAAACCATTAAAATTCATAGTTCTCACACGAATTAGTAAATTACAAGCATCAATTGCGATTCGCAAGTCTGCAAATTGAGATTTTCTAAAATTGTTAATGAATTGGTTTCTACACATGGTTACGAAAAGAATTTAGTATGTCTATGGCAATATCCGTCGATGAAGAGAATTCATTAATTAGAAGGTCATTCTGAAAGAGTTCTTTATTTGTCTGCAAGTCCAGGTATTTGATTTTAGTAACTATTTATAGATGAATCAACTATTCTGACAGGATCTGGAGATGAGACGCTTAAATTCTGGAAAATCTTTCCTACTTAGGTTTCAAATAATATATCCTCACTATTTTCCATGTGCGAAATTAGATGATTTAATTAATATATATATATATAAGATATATCTTCTAAATTTACTTTATCTTTGAATGCTAATAATCATTAATTATTTATATGAGTGACGAATAAATTGAATAACCAAATGATGAAAATCAAGAATAATAAAATGATCAAGACCCTTTGCCAGAATAGAATGAGGAGTAGGTTGGGGATCCTGAATAAACAGAACAACCAGAGTAGCCTCAAGAGGAAGAGCCAGAAAAGCCACCAGAAGAGGACGAAGAAACTAGGCGGTTACGATTAGAAAGAGAAGAATAGGAAAGAAAAGAGAGGGAGGAAAGAGAGGAGCAGGAAAGAAAGGAAAGAGAAGAAAGAGCGGAATAGGAGAGAATTGCTAGAGAGGAATATGAGGCTAAATTGAAAGAAGACACTGCAAAATTTAATGAATTAGTTTTATAAGGAATTTCAGGATTGATCAAAACTCAAACTGTTTATGCGTATGTGAAATTAAATCTTGCAGAAAAGGACATAGACAGGATATTTTAGATTAATCATTTGAATCTCAGATATATTGATATCTCATAAAATAGAATTGTCGATATTACAAATATATTACCTTTAAAGTACATATACTGATTAATGCTTTAGATATTTGGTTTCACTAAATGCTTCGAAGAATGAAATTAATAGTCTCTCATATTTTTAGGATCCTGAAGCGTTCCCCTACTTGCAATACTTGAATCTCTCTACAAACAAAATCAAAACTCTTGTTACTCTTTCCCTCAAGAGATTGAGGAGATTGAATTTAATAGAAAATGAAATTACTACTGCAAATGAATTCGAGGGACATGAAAATATTGAAATCCTTGAGTTAGGAAAAAACAAACTGAAAACTACAGATGGATTAGCAAATATGCCATAATTAAAAGTATGCTATTTAATCATAATCCTTTTTAGGAACTCTATTTGTAAGGCAACGAACTCAAGGATTTTAGATCTCTAAATAATCTACCATCTTTATTAAAATTAAATATAAGAGCAAATAAGATTACAAAAATTAAAACTCCTGTTATAGAATTCCCACAATTATATTATCTTAATCTAAGAGAGAATTAATTAGCTAAATTTGATGATTTTAAAAAGATTGCCAAGATCAGAACCATAACAACTCTCAACATGTTGGCCAATCCAATTGTGGATGAGATGGGTGCTGATAATTTCAAATAGGAGATTTTAATGTTTTATTTCCATTTGGTTAGAATAAATAAAGTAGACATAACTAAAGAAGATTATGATGAAGCTGCTAGAGTGTTGTAAGAAAGAAGAGATGAGGAGGAAAGGAAAAGAATAGAGGAGGAGTAGGCAAGAGAGGAAGCTAGATTAGCAGAGGAAGCAAGATTAGCAGAAGAGGCAAAGTTAGCTGAAGAGGCACGCTAAGCAGAGGGAGCAAAAGAAGGAGAGGGAGCAAAAGAAGGAGAGGGAGCAAAAGAAGGAGAGGGAGCAAAAGAAGGAGAGGGAGCTAATGAAGTTGCTGAATGAAACAAGGATTGAATTCATCGATTATCATTAATCTTTTTACATCATATAACAACATAAAATTCGCATGTTATCTTGAGTCATTAAAGTAGTAATCAATTGATGTTGTAGTAAATCTTAGGGAAATATTCCTTCTTAATTTTATTTCTCAGAATTTTATACATTTAATTACACAGACTTTAATTATGTATTTTCCTCATTTAATTCTCAATTATTATCATTTAGTAATAGGATTAATTTGATAATTATTTTATTAATTATAAAAAAATAAACGCAAAATCCATTGTTAGAGTGGCATTCAAAATATATAGTTAAATCATTTATGTTATTATTTACCAAATAATGTTGTATTCTTAATAACCTTATTACTACTTTCCATTCTATTAGCCTTAAGTTGTTTGTCCAGTCTATTATTTTACAGCCTAGACTTTAAATTAATAGGAGCATCAAATCGAACCTATAATGACTTCAATCACCGACAATCAACCTACTAATAGTTAATAATTGAATTATGATACAGAAGAATTAGACCTAGAAAAGAGTGAGAAGCACTAAGACACAAAAAATCAATCTAAAAAATAAAGAGAAACAGTAATCAAGAAAAAGAAAGAATTATCAAATACTAAAATTCATGAAGTATTAGACTCAACCAATCTACATAAAAATTTCACTAAAGCCCTGATAGCCTATGCCTTAAGATCACAATTCATTATTTACAAATTGTTAGGAGAAAAGATGGGACAAGAGTTTCTTGATTTGATGCAAATTGTCAAAAACAAACTCTGTAACCTCACACACATCCTCTAATTCACTAAAAATGACGAATTCTTGAGAGCTTTTCGTACTTTAGGGTATACTTTTTTATATATATATTTTAGGTTTATATTTCTAAAAAAAGAGTCGGTTCCTTATATCTATAACTCAAAAATCTAACAAAAAACGAGCCATTTGAAGCACAAAGTAATCATAAAGAAAACTCTGTTAAAGATCTGAACCTTTTTAAACTTTATATCTATCTCCACTCTTATATTACCTAATATTAAAAAACATTAAATTGGTTTCATATAAATTAAATTACTCAATGTATTGTTCTAAGTCATTATGGGACACAATCGATTTGTGATTTATTTGACTAACAAAATATTGTGAAATTCATTCAACCACCTCACGAACTACAGAGACACCTGAAGATTCTATATGACTATTTTCATTAATTATAAATGCAACAGCATTTAAATATTCGACCTTATAGTTGAAATACTTCTTATATTCGTTAAATAATGTATCCGAAAAATCTAATAAATTTACCCTCAATAAAATATTAGAATACACATTTCTACTATTCTATAATAATTTGAATTTTACAATCGAGTCTCAAATTTATATATAAAAAATAGATATTTTCTTATATTCTATTCTTCCAGAATAATCGACTTTTTAAACAGATACTTAATTGCAAGAGGAGTTTGAACAAGATAGTCTGTATATAAACCCAGCCCAAAGAGTTAATTCTTGAATCTACATTACCTTTCCTATTAAGTATTATGTTCTTTGTTTGAATTAAAAAAAAAATTAAACTAAATCGTGTAGTATTGCACATATTATAAGTGAATTATTCATCTTATTTACCTCTTAGATTCTAGCAAGCAATTTAATTTAATTTCTCTTACTTATTTATCACAAGAGAAGATTGGTAAGGTAAATTCTTATTTTTTATATTAAGTCAATTAATGAAATAAGCGAATTTCATATTTACTTTCAGATTTTCGAGAAAAGTACTTAAAACTCAACAGTAATGTTCATAAGTTTGATAGGGTTAACAGAAGATAATTAAACCAAAACGTTATTAATATGAAAATGATTATAATTTTAGTTTTTATTTTAAAATACCAAACTTTTCATATTTCCCCTAGCTTGTTTATGTACTCTTTATGACATTTCATTGATCTAAAATTATTTCTAAAATGATAATTATATATATGTCATATTAAAAAAGTAGGTATTACTTTTATACAATTGGTCTAAATTCTTGGTAGTCTGGGCATAGGTTGAAACAAAACTTCTTAGGATTTTATAATTAAAATTGTAAACTTGATATCATTCATAAGTTGAATGAGCGAATCTATTTGATGGAGAATGAAAAATATAAATAAACATTAAAAATATCAAATATCTTAAAGATTTTCGAAACTATTAGACAATTAACTGCTTCTGTTTTCACTTTGGTCATTGTTGTTGGAGAAAAAGGTTTTTGTTTTTTAGTAATCTATGTGGATTCTTTCTAATGAATTCAATTTCTTTCTCATCTGATGTGTGTTGAACCAGTACACAAGACTGTTGAAAAATCCTTACAAGAAACTAGCTCCATATTATAGGAGTCTTATGTAGTAATAGGGTCCAGTTTGGTGTATAAAGTAATCTTGTTGTATTTACTCAATCCAGGTATTGTTAAACACAAAGATCAGAAACACAATTTGAGATGGCAGCCAGCAAATAAATAATGCCATAGGGTAGAGTATTAAATTGCGAGCGAACATCAATTGGATGTTGATTTGTTTATTTAGCAATTCGTATTAACTCTTGATTCTTTTAGTCTTAAAATACGTTCTCAATAAGAAATAGACAGATATTAATACTGAGGATAGGAGTGGCAGGTAGAATAAAGTAAGATTCAGGTATAAACTTAAGCTTCTATTCTTTTCGATAGTCTTATTTTCATCATTTGAACTAATGGAACAAGTAGTAGGCACTTTTGAAGGTGTGGGTGCATAGGATTAGAAAAACAACGGAATTGTTGCAATCAAAAAAGGAACAGCGAAACCTATTGTAGAGGTATAAGGGGTTACCTGCTGCGATTATGAATTTTTCATATCTTTCAAAATAAATCAATTCCTTTTATCCTCTTGTGATTGATACGTAGAGGAAATAGGCGATCGATGTACTCCAGACAAAGGCGCAAATTGTGGCAAATTGAGTCAAGGCTCCTTGGATAGTGCATCTAAATAGTATTGATTAACTCACCTGGTGACATTATAGCCATCAAATGTTGGCTCCACATAGAGGAGCAATCCGAAGGCATAAAAAAAATCTGATATTGAGAGACATGCGACGATTCTTTAGGCAAATACTTTAAGGTTATCGAAAAAGAATAAATGAGTTAACATTAGTGTAGATCCTCCTATAGATAGAGAAATGCACACATAAAATAATATTATCATTAAAATAATGTATAATAATACAAGTCCAATAAGACATCAGGTTATGTAAGGTCCTCAAAATAAGTCAGTGTCTCCAGTGTCCAGATTTCAAATAATGGGCAATATTCAACCACCTCCTGGGATGAAAACAGTGCTCAAACCCAAAGTATATGAAGTAGTTGAAGTGCCTCTAAATCATTACACATCGGTGCCTTCCTTCCAAACACCTCAATAATAGTAATATGATCCGGAGTTGCAAAGGAGGATCAAGCAATTGGAACAAGAATCATTTAATTGCAGACAGAAAATTGAATAAGATTAAAGAAATGATAAATTTTAACAGCTCAATGAAAAAATTAGATAACAATAATAAGAAATTGAAAGGCTCAAGTCAGTCAATGACCCAAACCTTAGATTGCTCAAAGAACAATGCGATTATTACTTTAATCAATCGTAATAGGCAGAGTTGGAGAAAAATGTAATAATCTTTAATTCATTAATTATCTATAGGAATTGATCCTAAGACTCAAATAAAACGAGTAACAAATGCAAAAGATCCAGCAATAGTAAATCCATATAAACGATAAGGATGTTAAATACAATCAATTATACAATGAACACGAATAATTGAAGTAGCTGTATTAAAGTCTTGAAAATTAATTGTAATAACAAATGGACAAGCAGAAAACAGAATGCGATAGAATTTACAATTAGAATTTCTCTTAAATCAAACAAAAGTAAAACAACTTATCATAAAATAGTTCTGAATTGAGAAGCAAACAATTTGATGATTAGATCTCAAAGTTACAAGAGGAATTGAATAATGCAATCAATGAGGTGGAAGTGTGGAGATAAAAATATCACAAAGAGGATATCAACCATATGAATCAAACAACGAGAATTAATGAATTGGAATTGATCAATTTACATTAGATTAAAGAAATTGAAAGATTGCAATAACAGAACATTATGAAACAATAAGACAATGATTCACTGCAATAGAAAATTACTTACTTGGAATTCAATTATCAACAAATTTCATCCTCTGGATTAGATAGTGAAGTCAAGAGACTTAAAGAGCAATTGGAGTCAAGATAGAGAGAGATAGATGATTTAAAAAGGAGGAACACTGAAATTGAATAGAATTTGCTAAGGTTGAAAGATCATGAGATCTAAATTGAAATCATCAAATAGAGAGTAAAAATAATCCAATTATTGTAGAATTAATCATTTGAAAATTAATTGCAAGAGTCTGATCGATTCAAACATTAATATGCATCTTAACTCATTGAACTGGAGGAGTTACGCAACAAATAAATTAGATTGGAGAACAATGTTAATGATCTGAGAAGGAATGAGTATAGACAACAAGCTGAGATTAATAGATTGAATGATTTAGTAAGAGTCAAGGATGAGGAGATCAATAAATTGTAAATAGATTATAAGAAGAATATGACATAAATGACTTAGCAAATGAATTCATTTAGGTCCTTATTGTAAGCAATTTACCTCATATCTTAGTGAACGAGACATTGATACATTAAACATGAATAGAAATAGATTAGATATGGAGAATAAGGAATTGATTGATTAGAGATTGTAACAATTAAGCGAGGAGTTGAATCTGACCAAAAAGGATAGAGAATAATTGCAAATAGCCTGTTCTTAATTAACATAGACTAAACTTGGATTAGAGAATAGAATCATTGTTTTGTAAGGAGAAATAGATAGATTGAATTAGTTAGTTAAAACACAAAGCAATGAAATCAATCATCATTTACAGACATTGGAGTTATAGAATGATTAAATTGAACAATTTAGATAATAAAATGAAATCTACAAAAAAGAGATGGATGTATATCAATCATTCATATTTAGCTATTTAAAACTAACTCTAATTCAAACTTCTTTTAATCGGGATCATAGAAAAAGTTTGATTTCATTCCTAATCAGCATTCAGATTCTAATTGGAATTGATGATTTAACATAATATCAACTGATTTAAAAGTATATTTTACTATCAATATTAATATCTACATATATAATAATGTATTATCATATTAATTTAATTACAATTTGAACATTTTGTAAACTTAAAAACTCTATTTCAAAGCATTATTCAATTTAATATCGGAACAACGTAGGTACAGATCAGACAAACCTTAAAATAGATGAAACTTAGAATAAATTCCTAAGTATCAGCAAAGATTTAGTATTTTTATTTTTTATTTAAAAATAATTATACCTCTAAATAGTAGATCTAATTAAAATTAATTATTTGGATATTCAATAAATATTGGTTGAATGAGAAGAATAGCCAACTCTGATGGGCGGGATTAGGCGGAAGGAATGAAGCATCAATTATATTATATTATGAAAATGTTTGGCTTTTAATATTAATAATTTATTTGTAATATAAGGAATTTATTAATGAAGGACAGAGAATTCTTTAGAGGCTTGATATTGAATTGCCTAACCTTTTGTTATTCAATCTATTTTTATACAATGCGGAATGAAGTTAGCAATCTGCTTTGCCTGATTGTTGCGAGCATTATATTAATAACTATGTTTATTTTGCGATATGCAAATTTGTAGATTAAGGCCATTGGAACTATACTATGCATATAAATAGATGTAATTTGTTTGATAATTTTGAATTTTGTAAATCTCAATGTTACCACCTATGCGTAATTAATATTGTGTTAATACATCTCAAAGGACCTATTTAGATAAACAGGATCATCTGGATATTATTTAATTAGTCCCTAGTCTCTATACTATGGAACTCTTTTCATTGGGAGCATATTTTAACAAGTTTACACTCACGTGGAAAGCAATTTCACTGCTGAATCTCCACAACTAATTCTCTGTTTATTAATGTCCCTCCTGGATAATGGGAGAAGAGAGGAGAAGAAACCCTAGAGAATTTAATAGATAACTACTGCGCCAATCGACACTGCTACAGCAAACAAGATGGATGGTTTGGCCAAAAGAGCACTCTCTATAATAGATCAACCTTCCTAAGATCAATCTAAAGATAGCTTTCAAAAAGGATATGATGATTTTAGCAACATTTAATAATATTACATCAATCCGGAAATAATCTATAATTCTTTGGAATACTTCTCGGAAGGCTTGATAATTTTAAATGTTTTGGATGAACAGACTCACACCTACAAAATATCATATATGAATAATGCTACCAGAATACTTTTTGGCAAAGATTAGGACGTGGACATTCTTTATATCTTGGAAAACCTATCTTCCTTACATATACAAAGTCAGGATTGCTTTGAAGACCTCAATTCAAGGAGAGACTCTGCCCAGTAAAAAGTCGGAAACCTCTCATCCTCAAAACTTTGTAAATCTCTGTTCCCAACTAGAGATTTCATGTTTTGTTCATTGAAGTAGGCTTTGACCGATATTTAATTGCATGAGAAATATTAAACTATGAACATGAACATGAAGGACCTATTAGAGAAGATTATTAAATCAAGGAGACAAGATTCCATTACTGTAAATACTCACGTGGATTTCAACTTCATAGACAATCAGAAACCATTAAAGATATCCCAGAATCTTGCTTATTCAAGACAAGATAATGATAGATTGATGGAGTTCAAACTCACTTTACAAAAAGAGAAAACCATCTTAATCATCTGTAGGGATGTAACTCATCGTTAGAAGATTCGATATTTAAGAGAGTATGATATTTAAAAGTCGAAAATGCTTTCATTTGTGAGTCATGAATACAGACAACCTTTAGGATGCATCATCTAGATGATTGAATGTGCCTTACAATAGAAGGTCATACAAAAAAATGTAGAAATCACTGAGGATTTACAAGCAGCCTTGGATAATTCAAAGTATATGTTGAATTTGTCTAATGATTTGTTGGACTTGGCCTAAATTAAGAATGGAAAGTTCAAGATACAGAAAGTACCTTTTAATTTAGAAAAACTGATTGCAGATTCAATTAAGATGTTTGCTTTGAAAGCCAAGATAAAGGATCTGCAATTGGTTTGTGACTATAATATCTCTCTCCCTAAATTTATTATCTCTGATAAAAACAGAATCAAACAGATAATTGTCAATCTCTTAAGCAATGCATTTAAGTTTACTTGTACGAGAATACAAGTAATTGTCGATCTCTAAGGCAACTAAAAACTGAGGATAGGAGTCAAAGATGATGGGATAGGGATCAGCCAAGAGGAACAGCAAGTTTTGTTCAAAGCATTTTCAAAAGTAAATTCAGAGGAGAGCAAGAAACTCAATGAACAAGGTGTAGGATTGGGTTTGGTGATTAGCAATTAGATAGCCCAAAATATTGGTTGTTCAGGATTGAATATAGAATCTAACAAGGATCAAAATAATCATTTTTCTTTCTTTTACTTCGACATAATGATGGAAATACCAACAAACAAAAAAAAAGTGCCCAGCTTCAAAATCCCCTAAATAACCCCCCAATATTAGGAAGTGGATGAAATTACGACCTTCAATCAGGAGTGTCAAAAGATTGCTCTGGAGGTATTTCCATAATGTTGTCATTATTTGATTGTTGATGATGATTGCTTTAATGGATATGCCTTCAAAAGGATTCTAATGGGATTGTAGAGCAAGTACACCTCATCCTTTTAATAATTTGATGTTGAATATGTTTCATCTGGGAAAGACTCTCTTTCTAAGATCTAAGAGAAGAAATGCAATAAGGTGTGTTAGGGTTACAAACTAATTTTCATGGATGTAGAAATGCCTGTTATGAATGGGATGCAAACTACGAAATACATCTTGAACATCAATCCAAAATAGTTGATTGTTGGTTGCAGTGGATATTCAGATATTCAGGAGAAACAGAAATGCCTCGAAGCTGGCATGGTTGACTATCTCACAAAACCTGTGATGGAGCAAGATCTCATTCAAATACTACAGAAATATTAATGATATTATTATGATTATTTTTGATAACTTATTAGATATGAATTCATCTTTCATACAATTCACTTGAGCCTCCATAACGAGCTTGGATATCCCAAAAGATATTTTGAAGAGCTTAAGTTAGTGACAAAGGTCTGACACACAAGTCATCAATAGTTTTGGATCCTTGTTGCACTATCATGTCATCACCATGTTTCAATATATAATCAATATTGAAATACTTCCAATTGGGAATATATTAGGCTACAAATATAAATACAATCATACCTATTTTCAATAATAATTATTTATCAATATGAGCCAATTTAGGAGGTCTTTGCACTATGTTGTGGAACATCTCATAGCATTCTAACAATGTATACACGTGAGGTCCTCCCAATTCGTATGTCTAACCTATTGTTTCGGGCATCTTCAAAGCATTCAACATGGCTTAAGCTACATCTTAGACAAAGATCTAACTATCTAAAATATTAGTGTACAGGCTATCTTTTGGCTTGGCAATTGTCTGGAACAATGTTGAAGTTGTGAAAGTATCTCTTCTACACTTACCAATGATAAGCGAAATCATCATTGTCTCCAACCATCACACTTGGTCTAAAGATTGTGGCATTGGGGAATGCATTAAGGACCTACCCATATGGTATGTTTCATTACTTCCTATTCACCAATATACTTGGTTTGGAGATCCAGGGATTCTGCATGAGGATTTGCACCACAAGCTGAAAAATGAATCAATCTGATCACTCCTGGGTTTTTGGCACATGCTTCAGCTATTCTTTTAGGCACTGTGATATTAATCCACTCAAAATCCTTCCTATTCTTCAGATGTTTTCTTGGCCCAAGCAAATTTACAACCACATTCGAGTTTTTCATAGTCCATTCGATCATCTCTTTGTTATCATAATTCATATCATGTAAAAGCCAATTCTATCCTGGTCCCGATGTTGTTTTCAATTCTCTAACATGATCCTCATAGTTGTATCTATTTGATCTATGTGAAATCTTACTGATGATTGTGAGGGTATATCAATTCAGAACCAATATTGCCAAGCATGCCACCCATGTAAATACCTGAAAAACTAGTACCCCCATGTATGGTTGCTCTGATTCCTGAAGGAGTGTGTTTGGCACCCTTATCAAAAATGTGCAACTTAGGTCTTTACAAGACACCAAAGTGAAACCTTAAAACCTTTTGCATTATTATTATTATTAATAAATAAATAAACCTAAAATATATGTACCTCTCTTCATTGTTTTGAGTAATAACAATAAAGATGTTAGAATCTACTTCATTTCTCTCATCTAAATGATTGTATAAATGAGCAATTTGACAATCCTTCATGACTTTTACTGTTGGTTATTGGAATGGCAATTTTTGAGTAAAAATCACATTTTTGAATCTACAAAGGTATCCAATTTGATGTTAGATGGGGAACTATTAAGGCTTCTTTACTCCAGCTTGATATTGATTATTTATAAAAATGAATCTTACTAATTTATTTGATGTCTACCAAAACCATAATTCCTTTGCATTTAATCTTTCGAAAATCTATATCTTTTGATAGTCCTTTCAAATAAATGTTAATAAATAAGAAATACAGTTGTTCTTGTAATATATATTTATAATCCATGAAACTATTTTGAGATTTGAATATCTAATACTCATCAGGATTAAATTAGATTATTCCTGAAAATTTGTTTGAGTAAACAAAATTATATAGTAAGGGAAGAACGTGGATTTCTAAATATTCAATATTTTTTGAATAATAATAAATTTAATTCAAATTATATAAACTCATATGGAGGATACTAGCATATCGCCATATTGCTTTTAAAACAAATCCTCAACATTAGCAGTATCAGAGTTCTCTAACATCAATATAAATGAAATAATTATTTTTTATTTGTTTCTTTGATGTATTTGATCTAACCAGGTTATTTCTTCTGTGTTCCCTCTGCTAGGTTAGATGATTTCTGTGAAAATATAGAATTAGTAAAATAATAGCATAAGAAAATGAAAACACATTAATACAATGTAACCAGAATTATATTGTTTTACATTAATCTATTACCTAATTCAATATGAATTAATGAGGACTTGAACTTGATAAACTGTTATAAAAAGATTAAATATTATTTTTTTTGCTTATTTATTAAAACAGAGTGAAAAATAAGATGATTTTAAATAGAAGTTAATAAAATTTAATTTTAAGATAAACGGAATTTTCAAATTTCTAATTATATTACTCATATATTGATAAAAATCACAAATGCAAGGACAACTTAGGCCAAAGCAGAATAAGATGTATCATCTGTATCATCATCACTTTTTGGTTGAATACACACTTCACACTTTGAAGTTGAGGAATTCCATCTATATGATAAACTAGACCCAAGTAGACAGGTAGGCTATGTCAAGGTGGAATAATCAAATTCCACACATTTAGCATTTACCCATTTACATTAGGTGGCCACCTGTTGTGTGATATCCCAAACCATTGTACAAGCAGTTTCAACAGTAATCAGGTCACATGTCCTTGTGGTACACTTTCCTGTTGTAGTATTGTAATCGCATGAGAACTTTGGACATGCAGATTAAGTAGTGTTATCAAAATTACTACAGGCACTACTACTCCAAGCTTCACAAGCTGATGCACTTGGATTCCAATAACAAACCTTCCCATCATTTTGAACTGTTTCTACGCATCCTTCTTGATCGATTCCAGCACAAGAGTCAATACTATGCATTGAATCATTAGTTTTATCAGTGCATGGATACAATCCAGCAGAATTCTTTTTGAAAACAGCTTAGCAAGGTCCAACTCTGAAACATTTGAATCCATCACTATAGGCATAATCAGAGCATTTTGTGAATGTCTAACATGAAGAATCCTTCCACGCACATTTAAAATAGTCTTGTAATTGATCACACATGTCAACAGTAAATTTATCACATGTTTTGTGAGTGCATTTTGATGATGTTGCATCCCAATCACATGTTGTAGGAATACACTCTGTTTATAAAGATGCCATTTCACAAGTGCATCCACCCACTTATATCAATTATAAACTGAGTGCTTGTATTTGTATACTCAAACTGATCAAGATCAACCCAAATTTCATTAATTAATTGAAAATCAACAGCTAATTCAATTCATTTTTATACCCATACAGTTTGATATTGAGTGATGACGCATTAATTAATAGTATAAATATATACATAAAATTAAACTCAAAATCGGTGTTAAGACAAGATGAAGTCAATAGCATTGAAATTATTCAATTCCTCTAAAGATTTACTCTAACAGTATTTTTGTATATATTCCCATAATTAATTGGAGTTCAAACCCTTGATCAAATTGAAAGCTTGGTTGAATGCATATTGTTCATCATTGATAAACACCAGTTAACGGCATCCTCCCATAGATGCTGCAACCCATTAAATTAACGCCTTCAGTTGCCATTCTCCACCAAAGACTCCACATCCCCATTTTCCAGTACAAATACGAGCAATTCCATAAAATCCACAATAAGATTTGGTCAACTCTCTCTTGTATTCTTTATATTACTAATGGTAATTCCCTGAGTAATCTCCTGCATCTATGCACTATAAAATGTAGTTGTATTTCTTACAATGAAGTTGACACTTCTGATTTATTTAACCATTCCTTTGCATTCAAATTTATCTTTATAGCCCTCATACATAATGAGTCGGTTGACTCTCTCAATAATAATTGATTCATCTTGCTTGATCTCAGTAGTTATTAGCAATGACGCCAATGCTTCAGGATGTGTCAAGAATAGTATTTCCTCTTGAACGCATCCAAGATTAAGGACTCCACCTCCGATTCTCTTATTTGCAAAATCCACTATAAAGGAGTCTTACACGTTCTCCATTTAACCTTATTCGCAATAAATAAACTCACACAAGGGTTTATTAAGCATTATTAAGTTCTGCTTTTTTCTGGTGAATGTAATCCTCTCGTGTGGTTTGAATTCAGGTGAAAATACATGAAGGAAATAGTAAAATAAGCATCTTAACTTCTAAATCTTAATATTATTTTATCCACTATCCTCATTTGATCGATTAAACAATTTTGCCATTATGAAAACAGCTGGTAATAGTTTATAATCTGGTTGTAGGTGCATAACACATAAAAACATATTGGCCAATAAGATTGCTACTTACATCCTTTTTAACTCCACTTTCTCTAAAAGCATACTCAGATAATCCGTAAATTCTGAATCCATTTTAAGAGCCAAATCGCTTATCTATGGTATTTTGGCTAAGAATTCTCTTTTTAATGGAAATCCATCTAATGCTATACAGAAATTCTTGAAATTAATTTTGTTTTTAATTTGTTTTGGCTAACTTTTATTAATATTAGTACATTTAAGAAATGCAAACAATAAATTTCTTCTATCACTTGCTAAACATTAAAAGCAGTTAAATTAGTTTAACTGGCCTTCAATAATTAGAGCTACTTCTTAATTTCCGGCCATAGCTTATTAAACAAATTAGGAGAGATGTATAGAAATTATCTATCCTATAATATTAATTTAATACAAAGGTTGCTAGTCTTGTTTGTTGTTTTAAGTGTCTTCCTCTAGGTCTGATAAATTTGGTGTCAGAATGCTAACAAATTTTTGATCAGATGATTATTAATTCATTTAATTTTATAATTAAAATAATATAGATTCTGATATATATACAATAAACTTTATTTTGAACAGAATTGTTGGATTATATCAAAGTTACGATAAATATCATTTATTAATAATTATTAAATAGTAATCATTAACATATAAGACTATTAGGCAATAATTTAGTTGTTGTTTGTGATTTTAAATAACTTATACTATTGCCCTATAAACATAAAACCTATTAAGTGTTGTTTTATTGGTTAGTGTATGATTTGTATAATAGTCTATCTTCATCATAAATTGATAATAGTGCATCGTAATTTGGATTCATAACAAATACCAAAATAGGATAGTCAACCTCATCTACTGTTATTAATTAGGTTTTATCATCAACATATTCTAGATTCATGTAATTATTAGATCCAATCCATTTGGTTGTTGTGTATTATTTGTAAATACTGGTGGCGAATGTTGTACCTAACATTGATTATTTAGATCCTTGTAAAATAATTGTTAGTTATTTCTATTATTTGATTAGATTTATATTCAATGACATGTTCTAGTTAATAAATATGTTTTATTCATTAGGAATGTACCCTTTTGATTAAATTATTAATATGTAGGATTATTCTTATACAAAATTTAGAGTATTCTAATTTTGAATCTACACATATTCAGTATTGGTGATTGGATTAATTAATTTGATAGTGTAATTTTAATCAATATTTAGTTAAAAGTCTAATTTCCAAAATCTAACTGATTAGAGTGATTTAAGTATGTCTTAATTCTAAATCAGATTAGTTTAACTAATTTCTTCAAGTAATCTGGTCTATTTTTTAATTGTAAAGTCAATGTTAACTGTTCTACTAGTAACACACATATAAATCTAAATAGAAATATTTAAATACATTTGAATAGATGTAATTTTAGATGGCATCAAATTTACCTATAAATTTTAATTCTGTGAAATTTGAATCATCAACATAAAAGTCTTTTGAATTACTTAATCTATAATAATTCATCGGAAAATCTGTTTTAAGTGTTAACTCAATGTTATCACAGTACATAAATGAACAGTTAAGAGTAACAAAATTCTTGATTTGACTACATCCTTTAGGGATATCCAAGTATTTAGAAGTTGAAAGTGAATTAAATTTATTGATATCCTAATTGATTTCTTTACTGAATAAGAAGATTGTAATAATGATTAGAAATAGCTGAATAGTTCCAAAAACGAAATCATAGATTTTAATTTCGGTATTCAACAATGGAGGTTTCTATGATATGTACAAGATAAGTGTCAGAGTAGCAAAACCAATTAACTAATGAACTAAGGTGATAACATTCAATTTGAATTTAGATCTGTCAGCCACTATTCCGCAACAGTTTAGATTCAGACATCCTAACTTTGTATCTCTCTAAGAAATAGGTATTTTGGAATCCATTTCCCACATGAAAGCTTTTTCATCATCATTACAGGATGTAGTTTCTTAATACTTTTAACAATTAGTATTGGCAAATAAGAAGTCCATGTGTAGATTTCTTAAATGAGCTGAGCAATCATTTAAGACTGATACCTTATTTTATTTGGCCTGTCTGACATTTGAAAAGTGTTTGTATTGATTGAGTACCAAATAAAACAATAAAATAGCTCCAATAGTAAAGTAAGCCACCTTAATCTTTTTCAGATTAGCACTATAGACTAATGCACTGGTGCAGATTAATAAGAGCAATAATATTAATTGGAATCCAACTAGTTTTGAATAGTGATTGATTGCAATTCCAGTAATGAAAAACAGTGTATTGTATATATGCAAAGCTATCATGAGATTCTGCTAATCTTAACAAAGATAGAGACTATAGGTGATGTAAAAATACGATATTAAAAGTAGGGAAAAAGCCAATAGGATTGATCGGAATAGGAGTGTAAATTGTTGCCATTCTTGAATTTGATTGATATAACTGGAATTCTCACCAATTTTATAATTGTAATCAGCTTCGAATGAGGCAATAAAGAATATCATCAAGGAGATGGCCAGAATGATCATTAAGCCATTTAAAACAAAAGATAGTTGTCTAATTACCGTGTCCTCTAAGGGTTTACAATGATAATAATACTTTCTTATTTCCAAAATAGATTGAAGATCGACAGAGTTATCCCATAGATGGAGGTGTAAAGTAATATCTCATAGAAGTATGGTGGATAGATGGTCTTATAAAGGAATGTAATCACTATAAGATAAATGTTGATGAGGATAGCGAAGGGAATAACAAATTTAGTGTATTTAATGAAATTGGACTGTTCATCGAAATTCCAACCTAACAATGAGTAATGTAAATTGATACCATCAACTGAGTAGTTGTCGTTATCTGTATTTTATTTCATTAATTTATTGTTAAAAAATAATATTCGCATTTTAATTCATTCAGAATGATGCGATTAATATAATAAAACTCATCAAAAATAGTTTACCAAATCCTTCGCATTCTATACATTCATTCTTTACATTGTTCCAGAAGTATGTTCCCAACGTGATGCTTGAACAATTGCTTTGTTGAAGTTAAGAAACACTACTCAATTCTACGCACTATTTGCCTGACCATGTACAAATCGTAAATGAATTTCCATCCAAATGAGGAACGAATGAGCATGAACTCTAAGATGTGAAATCCTTACACTGTTTCTCATTGCAATCATTGTTCGACCAAACACAATAGGAGACATTACACAACGCCTCATTTAAATCAGAGGCATCACTGCAACTATCCAATTAAAATGCTACACATTCGTTGCTTATACTCTTCCAAACACATCTATAACCATCTGATTACACACCATTGCAACTTGACGAGGTAAGCTGATCAGAGCACACAATGTAGTTCAATTGTTTTGCCAAATAGTTCGTACACTAATAAAAACCTCCAGTCTTCTTCCCACTTGATACACATCCTATCACTTGATTGCCTTTGTTGAAACATTACTCCTCAGCATCTACATAATAAGCATTGCATTAGGAAAATGCAGAACAAGTTTGAGTCTTGTGATCAAAAGAGCAATCAAATCTTGAATCGCATTCTACTCTTGATGTAACATCAGAGCAAGCCAAAATTGAACATAATTTCGATTCGAATTTACATCCAAATGCTGTACAATCATTTTCTACAAAGATCTCTGTGCATAAACAAGTTTTATCCAAAGTCACGGTAACTGATTAACATATTGTAAAAAGTATTAATATCAACATATTATTATTAATGATTCATTCTCCAAACAGCATTTTCTTTGCTCTCTCCTACTATTTCTTCTTAATCAATTTCTCCTTCTCTCCAATACTCTACAACTCCTTTATCACCTCCTCATTCTAAGGATCCAATTGATTTGCCAATCTTAAATCAGCTCTACATATTTTTCATATCATTTTTACTTCGCCCTCTCAAAATCATCAACCTAAATTGAAGCCACAGCCCTTCTGTGTAATAATTTAACATTCTCAGGTTATCCTTATAAAACATTTGTAGCCTGTTTTATACATAATTCAAACTATTTGTTCTTCAAATGCGTAAGAGATAGATTAGATCTTAATTGCCCTTACAATTCCAATTCTCTATCACAATACTCAGTCTTTATTAAATTTAGTGATTCCAAATATTTATCTTGAGCTTCTAGATATTTTTATTATTTGATATCGCCATTGCCTAGTCCTTTCAATTCCAAAGCTCTCTCATAGACCTCCTCCCCTTCTAAATGCCATGGATTATTCTTCTTTCTCCCTATTCTAATAATCTCGATTTCATATTAATTATAAAATTCCTTTTTGATAGTTTTAGAATTACTTTTGAGGTTGGAGATTGATAAATCTTAATGAGACTGCGTTCCCCTTACTTCATCTTACTAAGTGCTTATTCAATCTCAGACTACAACCATCCTCTTCCGATTATGGTTTTAGTAGCTGTATGTTGTGAGTTAGTGAGTAATTCTCCGCTCTGATTGTGAGCAATAAAGAAGACTAAGATTAGAGATGTGTCAGTTACAGAAAACTTCCTCGTGCAATCTAGGAGTGTCTCCAATACCTTCTTTGATTATTTGGATGTCAAACATATAAATTAAATTAATATCAATTGGATATGGTGTACGGTCGTCTCATCTATAACAATGTTAAGGATTACACTCCTCAATGGTTCAAAACTATACCCTACTAATAAACCGTGAAGCCCACCTTCGGTATTGAATGAGAATTATAGCAGTAAGAAAACCCTAAGTAGTGTCTCGTTTGAATAGTGATCCTAAAGTTAAAGCCCTTTGGAGATTCCTAGGCAGAAATGTAGCTGACAATCCTTGGGCTTGGTAAGTTTACATTTTTGCAAGTAAATGAATTAATAAACAATTAGATTCTTTTGTGATCTTTGGTCTTAGCTATTATCCATGGCTTTGGGTGTACTAATTTAACAACAAGAAGGTAAAGATAGTGTATATAAATACAATTAGCGAACTATCGATTATGCCTTATAATAAGAGAAAGAATGGAAAGCCAAATAGGCAGCAGCTGAAGAATGAAAATAATAAATTTATTGTTCAAATCATTATTATTATTATTATTATTATTATTCTTATTATTACTACTATGGTTTTGGACCTAAATATGTTTCCGAGACATCCTATCCATACTTCTTCTCAACTATCACTCTAGTGTTTGTTCCTATCTAATCGCCAATCTTCGATAGTGCTGATCCCAGACCAGTCAATGCTGTCCCCATCGCATCCCAACTAGCCACAAATATTTCTCTGCCTTCTTTCAACCCTTTAATTAAGTTATGAACTTTCCTTACCTTAACTATCCGAATTATCAATCTATTTGTTAATATCTTACTTGAATTCTGACCCTTTTTACACAACGGGAGTGAATAGTTATTTTAGGTAGGCCCCAGTTACATCTACTGTCTATGAAAACTTAGACTTAGCATTTTCCACTTTTATCTTTGTTTCTGGCTTCACTTCCACATCTTCTTTTTTCTCCACTTTTGAATTGATATATTCTCCTCCTGCTGCCACTCCTTTGGCTATCTTATCTCCCAACCAATTAAAGCCTTCTTTCAACGCTCTTAATAAGAAATCAGTACAATACTTACTCTCCTCCAGCCTTAATATAACCCACTGCTGTAGTACTATTCTCTAATGGGTTGATATCGATATCTTTGCAATGAATTTGGATGCTTTATTTGAATTATGGAATTTGGATGGCATTTTCAAAAGGTATTATTTGCACCAGTTATTGCAGTGTATTTAAGAACAGGTCTCCTTCTTGTCCCTTCTAAATGAAAATTCCATTCAATCCTAAAATTCATGGGAATCCTTACCAGCAGTGGCATTGGGATATAGAAGAGAAAATCCTTTGTCAGACTTAAGAATAACCCAAGGAGTGCTAGGAAAGATTGTTTGACAATAGGTGTTGATCATTACAAAGTAAATCCGAGCATCTGGCATATAACAAATTTAGATCTATCCCTCATGAACCAGCTTTCTGCTATTCTGAACTAGTTCTAAAAGGCGAGCATTCTGTGATGTTGTTACTATTTGAGCTTGCGTATTATTCTGCATTTAATTAATGAATATGAAAATTATAATACAGAATTAATTTACATATTCTTTAAATGTAATTCTTGTTGATTCTTATAGAAATAACATTCTTCATACAATAAAATGATAAATATAAATAATTGAGTAAATATTTTGATCTAGATAATTACAATAAAAAATATTATTACAATTACCAAAAGTTATACACGACCATTAATCATATAATGTAAGGCCATTAATTATATAATGTAAGCTAAAATATTTCCTCTTCTATAGCATAGTTAAGCTCTTTAAGCTTCTAATGATAAACCTAACTCGAATCGCCACTTATGAATCCCCATATTCCACTTTACTCATATTCATACTTTCTTTTCTCTGCACAAAGATCTTCATATCTCTTTTTATGACCTTTAATGATTTTCTACAATTCTGCGTTATATTCAGGCGAACCAAATTTATACTTAGGTTTCTGAGTTTGCTACTGTTCAGTTTTACTATTCTAATCCTGCTCAGTTTTACTTTTCTAATCCTGCTCAGTTTTACTTTTCTAATCCTGCTCAGCTTTATTTTTCTAATCCTGCTCAGCTTTACTTTTCTAATCCTGCTCAGTTTTAAGCTTCACACTCTCGCTCTTTTTTTCAAATTCTTTTTCCTATTTTTATTTATTTTCCATCTCTCTCTTTTCCTGCTCCTCTCGTTCTCTCTGTTGTGTTTTCAATCTATCAATCTCTCTTTATTATCTTTGTCTTTCTTACTCAGCCCGTCTCTTTTCTTCAGCCCATCTCATTTCTTCAGCCCTTCTCTTTTCTTCAGTCCTTCGTCTCTCTTCTTCAGCCTTTAGCCTCTCTTATTTTTCCTTTCTCGCATCCTATTCAGCCTTTTGTCTCTCTTATTCAGCCCTTCTCGCATCCTATTCAGCCTTTTGTCTCTCTTCTTCAGCCTTTTGTTTCTCTTATTCAGCCTTTAGTCTCTCTTCTTCAGCCTTTTGTTTCTCTTATTCAGCCTTTAGTCTCTCTTCTTCAGCCTTTTGTTTCTCTTATTCAGCCTTTAGTCTCTCTTCTTCAGCCTTTTGTTTCTCTTATTCAGCCTTTAGTCTCTCTTCTTCAGCCTTTTGTTTCTCTTATTCAGCCTTTAGTCTCTCTTCTTCAGCCTTTTGTTTCTCTTATTCAGCCTTTAGTCTCTCTTCTTCAGCCTTTTGTTTCTCTTATTCAGCCTTTAGTCTCTCTTCTTCAGCCTTTTGTTTCTCTTATTCAGCCTTTAGTCTCTCTTCTTCAGCCTTTTGTTTCTCTTATTCAGCCTTTAGTCTCTCTTCTTCAGCCTTTTGTTTCTCTTATTCAGCCTTTAGTCTCTCTTCTTCAGCCTTTTGTTTCTCTTATTCAGCCTTTAGTCTCTCTTCTTCAGCCTTTTGTTTCTCTTATTCAGCCTTTAGTCTCTCTTCTTCAGCCTTTTGTTTCTCTTATTCAGCCTTTAGTCTCTCTTCTTCAGCCTTTTGTTTCTCTTATTCAGCCTTTAGTCTCTCTTCTTCAGCCTTTTGTTTCTCTTATTCAGCCTTTAGTCTCTCTTCTTCAGCCTTTTGTTTCTCTTATTCAGCCTTTAGTCTCTCTTCTTCAGCCTTTTGTTTCTCTTATTCAGCCTTTAGTCTCTCTTCTTCAGCCTTTTGTTTCTCTTATTCAGCCTTTAGTCTCTCTTCTTCAGCCTTTTGTTTCTCTTATTCAGCCTTTAGTCTCTCTTCTTCAGCCTTTTGTTTCTCTTATTCAGCCTTTAGTCTCTCTTCTTCAGCCTTTTGTTTCTCTTATTCAGCCTTTAGTCTCTCTTCTTCAGCCTTTTGTTTCTCTTATTCAGCCTTTAGTCTCTCTTCTTCAGCCTTTTGTTTCTCTTATTCAGCCTTTAGTCTCTCTTCTTCAGCCTTTTGTTTCTCTTATTCAGCCTTTAGTCTCTCTTCTTCAGCCTTTTGTTTCTCTTATTCAGCCTTTAGTCTCTCTTCTTCAGCCTTTTTTCTCTCTTATTCAGCTTATTTCAATTTTTCGATTAATTCAATTTTTGTATCAATTAATATTTCAATCTATTTGAAGGCTTGTTTGCCAAATTCATTAATAGTTTACAATTATTAATAACCATTGATGAATTCTTTAAATTACTCAAAATATTAAAATAAACTGATGAAATCTTTACCTATTTTTGTTTGTTGTTATTGACCAGAATTTGTCAATTTTTCACAAATGTTAATAAACTATTCAAACCATTGTAAAGCTGTTAAATTTTTATCATTTTGCATCAGATCTTTAAATATCTTCAAATCTGCTAACATGTCGTCATTCTACTGTTAATTGGTCTCATCTGATTTTTTGTTGAAAAAATCTTACATAATCTTAACATTTTCTTGTATTTTTTTAGTTGCTTCAGAAATTAGAAATTCACTTATGAGTTAACTCTTAGGTAAGTTTCTTGGTTTTATCTTAATCTTATTCATTGCTTAAATCTAATTCCAGAATATTTATCTATGATTGTCCTTAAACACTTCATCTAAATTGTCTTTTTTACCTTTTCTTTACACGATGATTTTATCAATGTTACTTTGAAATTTGGTTTGTTTTAATTATTCTTTTATGTCGTTTATTAATTCTTCATCATCCAAATCATCATTATAACAATTCAATAATAAATGGAAATGAGGATTATCAAGTTATGAAATAAATGCTTAAAGGTCAATCCCTCTTGCTGGAAGGGTATTATCAGGATTATTTATAACATAAATGATTTTCACTTCTCCCATGGACACAATCTTGTTAAATAATAGATCAAATAATAATTAGTCCACATTGCCAGTGGTGTCTTAAAATCCAGGGAAATCTATAAGTAAATGTTTATTATTGTTATTCATATAGAATTTTGGTTCTTTTGTCACAGATACCATTCCTCCTTTCATTATTGAAAATTAATCTGAATTCTGTTTTAGCTCTAATTGTCTTCCATTATAGACGAACTCAGCACCACATAAGAAATTGAAAATAGTACTCTTCCCAGCTCCTGTTAATCCTACTAGTAGTGTAATTGTTGTTGAAGGTTTGTGATTATTGATGCACTCATCAAATAAGCTAATCATTCTTTTACGTAACTCAAGAAGATTATTTTCTGTTAATTAAGTTTCCATTAAAATTTTTTATTTATATTTATGCTTCAAATTGTAGATAGGTGTACTTAAAGATTATCAATCTAATAGAATTACTTAAAAAAATATCAATTTCTTTTTAATAGAATTTATGAATTTATTAACCTATCATGAAGTAGAATTAACTCTAGGAGCAAGCTGTTAGTAATTTTATATTTTTGGTAGCTACAGAATAAACCCATAAAGTTACTTCATAAGAAGTTATCGTTTTCTATAAAAGCATGAATGGGTTATCTTTTTCTGGATAAACCGACTCCACTTTAAGACTATCATAAAATTTAAAACTATTGATGAATCATACATATGGCTTAATTCATTTAAGTATACAATATAATGGTATGAAAGATTGTCTAATTATTGATTAATGAAGCAAGGTCTCTAAATAAAATCAATTAAATGATCAAACCATTTTTTTAGGTGATAATAGTAGGAAGTTAGCTAAGTTCATTTCTAATATAATATGGATATAATGTAAATACCTAGTAAAAATTGAATTAATCACTGAATTAAATATAAATATTAAATGTATAAAGACATTGACATAAATGAAATTGAAAAGTTGAAAAAGGACTAAGAGATGATGTCGTTGAAAAGGGCTCCAACCAATATGAAAGTAAGATGAATTGAAATCTCTGTGATTAGGAGCGTTTTGGTTAATCAAATAAGGACTTTTTGGAAGATGAATTTAAGCAAAAAACTGTGGGTTTGGTTACTCGTGAGGAATTTAAGAGGAAGAGGGAGAATATTGATAATCTTGTGATGCAGGACATGAAGCAGAAATAGGAGGAGGAAACTAAAAGAAAATTGGAACTCAAATAAAAGCGAAAGGAAGAGTACTAGAAGAAGACTACATTGCTGTCTTTTGATTTGGATGATGAGGGCAGTCCTTAGAAAAGCTATGGGAAAAATGACCATGTCGATACGACTTATTTGCCAGATATGAATCGAGAGAGAAAAATTGAAGAGATGACCAGATAATTGGCAGGTATATGTTTGATGCATAATGTTTAGAATAATATTAGAAGGAAGTCGAATCGTAAAAGGATTCGCTGATTGATATTTAATTCCAATACTGGGATGCTTCAACTTGTTCCAAGTCTTTGAGAATTAAGAAGAAAATGACGATCTTGGAATTCCTGGAAATGGCCAGAAGAGAGATCATCCGAGATTTTGGATTTGTATGTGTTGGTCATTATGGAATATTAGTTAACGGAATTTAGTCCAGAAGACTTGATCATAGTTGCCAATGGAATGATATTGCCTCACAAACTCAGCTTCTATGACCTAATAGCTCATAAAGTCAAGAATAGATCTGGCACTCTGATCTTTTCGTTTGATCGCAGAAAGGTATTAGTGTGAGGCTTATATTGGTTTTAATTAGGTTTAAGCAAAAGGATAGGAATACGAAGTAGAGGTTGAGAAGTCCACAACATGTAAAATCATAGAGAAGTTTAGATACGAAAAGATTAAACATATTTATCCATGTTCGAAATGGGAGAATGTAGAAATTAACAAATACTTATGACAATTTACAACAATTAAGACAACAAAATATAAATATTAATATGTTAAACAATTAAAGCTCAAGCAAGATGAGTAAATCTAACTGTTTCAATACTCCGAAGGTATCTTTGGGTATGTTTTCGAATCAGCACTCCATCATTTCTTAACTGCTTTCAACCAAAGGAAGATCGCAAAATTACAAGCATAAGGTGTCAAAAACAACCTATGAATTCCAAACATTAAGAACAGATACTCCAAATTCCCCTAATAAATCAAGTCCATTTAAAAGCAAATACCATTTTAATACTCTGTCTCTGGTGTCAAAAATGGAAAGCAACAACAATAATATTCAGTAAGAAAAACCAAAAATTCAAAATAACAGCGCTGATCTTGGAGATTTGAGTATTAGATTGAAACTCTGCGAAGACGATTAAATCAACAAAATTCTCAAAAGTCTAAAATTAATTGGACAGCAAATGACACATAACTAAATTAACTAAAGTCATTTGTAATTATGGCATAATCAATTAAACTAAAATTGCGACAAATTAATGAAAATTCTATCCCTTGAACTCAACATACCCCCTAACTTTTATAAACCCTCTATTCACATCGATGACTAATTGCAGAAGTAGTTGTTAGAAGAGAGAAAAAATAGACTCTTGGTGGAAGAACAAACAAGTAAGATTATACAAAGTTAGGAATAATAAATAACATAATATGTATCAAATCATTACAAACTTATTTTTAGATTGACACAATCAAATTACTTGAATTAAAACTATTGAAGAGTCCTTGATTGGCACTTATTGTACTTGATTATAATTTTATATGAAAAAAGTTTATATATAATAAAATAAATAGATTAGATGGATAATTTGGAGTAGAATGCCATAACTTAATTGTTGAATTTGGAGGATAAGGAAATACAAAATGGGTGGGACATAAATACTCCCATTTAAATTCATAAGAGTAGATCTTTGGTGCAATTGAGACAGAAGAAAATTCTGTAACCATTTGAATAGAGGAAAAGAATTGATGTGAATCATGAATGTCATTTTCAAAAATTTCCTAAAATTTATTAATAAGAGCATTCCTTTAAATCTTTAATGGAAGAGTACTTCAAACAATTGAATCAAAAATAACTCAATCTTAAAAAGGATGTCCAAAAATCTACTAGACTTAGACACAGTTCCTACTTGGTAGAGGAGGGTGCCAATAGAAAAAGCAAACACTCTAGTCATGAAATACTTCTCTAAGATAATTAGTCTAATAAACAAATTAAGTTATCAGATTTATGTAAAGATATCATGATTTACAAACCATTAAAAAAATCCTCTTATTTTCCAAGATTAGAGCCAAGTTACCATCTAAAATGATTGATTACTCTCTATCTAACATGATTTCAAATCCAAATAAATATAGTGTATAAAAAACAAACAACTTTTTATTCTTAAAACCTATTTTGCTATTATTTTTTAAATAATTTAACAGAATGGACCATTCTCCAAATAGACCTTCAGTATCTCCATTGTCTAAAACCCGTATGTCGTCAGAATAGACACTCAAATTGCAAGACCTAAAGTATAAGGAGAAACTACTGCAAATGGATAAGATAAATGCAAGTAGCCGATCTTTCATTACTTTTAGAATTGTAATCCTAATTGGATGAGACCCTTTTGGAATTGGAAAAGGCAAATAAGAACCTACATCTACAGAATCAAATGAAGGAGACCCAAGACAATGAATATCTGAGACTTTTGAAGGAAAATGAATTGCTAAAGGGAGATCTACAATTTAAGCTTCAAGAGAACGAACTGAACAAATAGAAGTTAGCCTAACAGAATAAATAATATTAATCATCCCTTGAAAACCTAAAGTAATAAATAAGCGTTTAAATTTAGAGAATAATATGAATAGCTTTAACAGTCATTGATGAATAAATATATCATCGAAATGAATACTAAATTACAAGACCAGAAGCAACAATACGACACATTCAGCAAATTGCAAACTGAAAGAATGAAAGAAAATGAGCATCTCGAAAAATAGTATTAGGAATAACTATTGGATTACAAACAATCAATTTAAGAATTCTAAATTAAAGTAAGTGAATAAAAGTTATAGATTGAATCTCTCCAAAAATAATCTAACATTGAAAAGTAGGTGATAGCTGATAAAGAACTGTAAGAGTAGCTACTCTTGAAAAAAGTAGAACAACTCCAAATAGAACTAAGCAGAATTACTACAGATTTAGATATTTCAAAGGAGAAATATTTAAGATTAGAAAAATAATACGAACAAAATATTACCAATTTAGTACTAAGCAAAGATTAACAAGCTGAGGAGTAAACTAGTAAACTATATTAATAACATGAATAATCCATTCAAAATTTAACATCTTAAAATCAGGACATTTGGAAACAATTGCAAGAATAAAAATCCATAAATTAAGTTTAATAGAAGGAGATTGCAAGATTGTCCAATACTAATCAATAGCAAGAGCAAGACTTGAATGAAAAGGACAAAAAACTTAAAGACTTATCAGTTAATACAAACTAATCATCTGAATAATGTATTATCCTTCAACAACGTTTGCTTTAGACAGAATAAGCATTGCAATTATATAAATCTTAATTAGATGATTTTAAATAAACAAGAGGGGACTTTGAATAAAGAATGATGGACAGAAGCAAAGGAATATTGAGATAAAAAGAATAAGAATTTTAATAGTCTCTCTAATTGAATGAACAAAAGATTTTTGCTTTGAATTAGGAGATTGAAAGAATGGAGAATGAACATTAAAATTAAAGTTTTAAATAGTTACAAGAGAAGCTTATGAGCGAATCAAATGTCAAATCTTTATTAGTGAAAATCGCTGGAATTGAAGAATAAAATTCAACCTTATCTTCATAATTGGAAGAAACCAGACAGGAATTATTACAAAAATCAACTCTTTCTGAAAATTTGAGTGTGTAATTGAATAAAGAAAAAACATATAATTAAACTACTCTTAGAATTCAAAAGAATCAGATCTCTGATTTATAATAAAAATTAAAAGAATATTAAGTCGAAGTAGATAGATTATCATGTGATGTTAGAGAGCGTGACGACATCCTGGATAGTCAAAGGATGTAGTTTATTAATGAGAAGAATGAATTGGAACAATAAATCAAAATTATTTTTGAGAAGATGTCATAATAAAGATAACGACTCCAAGAATTAGATGATCAAACTTATTAATAATAGTGCTAAATACAAAAATTGACTCTTGAAAGAGATAAACTAGATAAGGAATTAAAATCATTAACAATTACAACTACTGAGTAAATCAGAAAGCAAAAGGAGTAAATAGATAACTGTAGTAGACTAATTGAAGAGAACCAATAAACCATACTTTAAAACGAAGAACAAATCCAAAATAATGAAACCTAAATTGCAGAATTGTAAAACTAGCTAGAAGAATAATATGCTTAGAATTAATAATTAACAAAAGATGTAGCAGAATTAAATGATGAATTAGAGGAAACCAGATAAGACAGAGAAGCCAAAATTTAAGAAATGGATTAATGGAAAAGATAATTTAAATAAAACAATGTTCCCTTGTCTGATTATGATTAAATCAAAAAAGAAGCTGAATAATATAAAAATAAATCCATGGATCAAGAATAACATATTAATAAATTAGAAACCTAATAATAGGCTAATACCAAAGAGATTTATCACTTGTAAGGAGAATTATCATAGTATAAAACCAATCTATCAGATGCTTAATCTCAATTAGTTAATAAGAAAAAAGAAAATGATAATATGAGTACAGAATTGGAAAATTTGAAAAGAGAGCAACAAAGAACATCAAACCAGTTGAGGGATATTGAACAAAGAGATCAATAAAACAGTGAATTAGTCAGTAAATAAAAGAGGGAAATTTAGAGATTGTAAATATTGAATTGTTATTATTAGAAATGATGATTTGGAAACAAAAAACAGATAAATAGGCAATATGGAATAATAATTAAATAAGAAGTTTGATGAAGTAACTTCTAAATAAAGAGAAATTGAAGAACTGAAAAGAAAGTTTCAATAGGATGCACTTGGAAAAATGACAACTAGTCCATCTTAAAAGTCTGTAATGATGGCATCATAAAACGTATAATATCAAATTTAATTTAGATGGCTGCCAGATCTACTGCAAAAGGATTAACAACAAAAATAACAGATTAATAAAATTGAAACTTTATAAATTTTATGCTAAAATTTAATTCATCATATAAATCTTTAATTTCTTACGTGAATTCTAATTATTTCAGAAATTTTAGTTCATACAAGAGATGAATTTTTCTGTTAATAATAATTTTGTTATTAAAATACGATTATTAAATTAATTTGTTTTTGGTATAGAATCGATAGATTAATTTAATTTTATTGATAAGAATAAATTATTGATTCAATATAGTTAATAATAGAGGTAAAAGCAAATCCATAACCAAATCGTTATTTAAAATTAAATGAAGTAATTAAATTATTATAAATATTTAAAATTTTGGTTGTTTCATATTCAATTTTTTTTTTTTTGAGAATCCGATACTACTTTTTAGGATTGTATTATTAAAAGTTTTTTATTTGGGAATTAAAAATATATTTAAGTATTAACACATTGTTTTATATATCTTTCATGGATTAATATAGTTAGGAAATTAAAAATAATTAACCTAATGAAAATATCTAATTTAATTTCAAAAATATTTTTAATAAGGGTAGCCTTTATGTTTAACTTTAGTAGATTTTTAAATTGAGAGCTTATCATTCGAAAATAAGTTTTGGCAAGAATTTTTGATAGGCTTATTAAATACTTACAATATTCACATGTCTTCGTAGTAAAATCAATTGAGAATTGTAGAAATTTTGATTTTGAATCAACCCACTTGAGTTTAGGCTGACTTCAAGGAGTCTGAAATATCCGTTTGTATTTTAAATAAGTGAATTGAATAAATTATGTAATATATAAATAGTGGTTGCTGGTGTGACGAAATAATAAGTTTAAGAGCTTAGAATTGCTTAGTGAGTTTATATCTAGATTAGTAATGGCACAAAGTATAAATACTATTGGAAGGTTGAACTCTAATACTAATAAAGTGATTAAGGAATATTTAACATTAGACTAAAATTAAAAACTACACAACTCTTTATATTGGATGTAATCCTTGATTTTTAGTTGAATTGATAAATAAAAAATCAAAAGTAAATTTTAAGCCTGATTCAAATTGAAAAGTTTTTAAGATGCTAACCAAGTTTCTTAGACAACAATAATTACAATTCAAATTTCTATTGGAACTATTAAATAAAAATTTTAATTTGTTAAAGGAAATCTTAAATATAGATTCTAAATTTCGGTAGGTAGGATGAATAGATATACTTATTCTAATTTTAATAAACAATTAAGATATAAATAAGAAGAACTATGTTACTAAATAAAGTGTACAAATTAAATGATATTAAGAAATTTTGGTAGAAAGGATATTTAAATTTATGGATAACTATGTCTTTACGTGAATAGCGAAAAATAGCTATCCATTTGAAGGATATAGATATTATCTAGGAAAAAAAATAATTTCGAAATTTAATTAAAATTACTTTTTTTAGTTTTGCATTCTGAAGCTAACAACCTTTTAGACATTATAATAATCATCCTTTGTAAAGACATTTTGAATCGCTCATATAGTCGTTTTTCTTATTATTTAAGTGGACTGTTACATCTTGATTTGAAGCAAGAATTACAGTAATTATACTATTTTTCTACTAAATGAAGCTCTAATGGAAACATTAAAAATACTACTTAAAGAATTCCAAATTAAGATGTCTAGGATGACATTGGTAACATATTTATTTAAATACAATGTCAGTTAAGGTCCTAAAAAAGATAGTAAGAAAATTAAAAATTGTCTTCACTACATCAAGAAAAGTGACATGAACATTAATATATAAAATTACATCCACATAACTTTTTTGTGTATCATTGCTAAAACAAATTGCAAAGTAAGTAATTAATTATAATTATATTTTAAACAAATTAGCAGCAAAATTTCTAGACTTTTATAAAATTGAATATTTGCACCAGAGCATCTTTTTTAAATTATTATATTTTTTTTTAATTAAAAAAATTGTCTTCTTAGTTAATTAACTAAATGCAGAAATAATTAAACAGTTAATAAATAATGTATTGTTAATTTGTAAGCCATTAGATAACAATAACTTGGAATGTGATAAAAAACCTCTTTTCTTAATAGTTATTTTATTTCTATACTAATTATTATAAAGAAATTTTATAATATTTAATACTATGGGCAAAATATTTTGGAAAGAATGGCATTTGCGAACTCAAATCTGCATGGTTTAATTTCTTATTTCTATTCTTACTATTGGCTTAATTGCCATCTCAACTTATTCTTATATGTTCTATATTTCTGAATTTTATATGGAGGCTTCAAATAAAGTTTTTTAAAAAGAATATGGTAAATGGACTAAAATTATGATGTCACACAACATTCATAGAGTATAATAAACGTTATTTAGAAGTCAACAACAAATTGTTAAAGTGAATACTCTTTATGAAATGACTCAGTATTTAGTATAGGGCACCTTTTCATAACCAACTCAATGTCTAAATGAATTATAACTAATGGATGAGTATGCTTACAGTGCTTCTTTTTGTTATATGATTTATAAAGACACTAAATCAAATAAAATCCTGTAAAATCTCTAAAATCTCTGTGTATTTTTGACAGAAAGTGTACTTATTGTTGACTAAGATTTTGATATCATGATAGCATCATCAAACGATATCCATTTTTTCACAGTTTGGCCAGGCTCATATTTATCCCCTGACTACAATCCCCAAGAGAGAATTTGGTATCAGTAACATTTAGAATAATTGGCCTTGCATAACAATACTAATAATTCAACATATTATAGTGAACCTCATGTCCATTGGACTTGGAAGCTCTTAATGATTGCTCAAACTAAAAGTTTAATAAACATTAATGGGTCACTTGATGGAGTAATAGGTTCTCATGTGAATTTCACCTAATTTAATTATTCGGATGATTAGGTAAGCTTTACTATAATAAATCCAACAGGCAGAATACTCCTGAGCTCCTTGAATGTCAGTGAAAATTCAAACATTTATGATTATAACATCACAAATCTAGGTTATCAAGATTATCAGTAGATATTAAATCAAGCCTAAGGTAAAAGTACATAAAGTAATTGTGATTCTACTGTATGGAATGATTATGGATATTTGTGTAGAAAAACTTATAATTAACAGGAAGAGGAACTTATAAGTACCAAAAACATAGAAGAAGCAGGGTTGATTTTTATCATGTAAACATTTGCATATATATTTATTGTAGGTAAAGCAAGTTGTCCAAATATCAGATAGAATTCAAAAGCATGTTTAATACTTTCTAATCACAGTTAAACAGCATATTTGTAGGAACAATGTTAGGTTTCTTTCTTTATATGATGTCATCTCTTATCATTACAACTATCATAGTAATATTTTTATTTAACCCCATTATCAAAATCATTAACTATACATCATAGTAATTATTCAAAGATAGTCTCAATAAAAAACATTTTCTTAAGTAACATAAGCATATATCATTTTTTGAAAAGTTGTCAACATCTTAATTATTGAATGGTTTATAAGAATCTTTTAACAGACTTATCCACATTAAAACAGCTTAACATAAATCTACTATATGTCATATCATTGAAGGCTTTAAATATCCATAAAAGAGATGGAAATTATAAACAAGGAAAAAAAAAATTACAAATCTAAATGTTTAATTGCAAGATAACTTATAAAATGAAGAAGCAAACTAGCTTTAGATATCGATTATAAAACAATTAATGATATCAGAATTAAAAATTAATGGCTGTTTATGAAAATTATTAATCTATTTTATATGATACACACTTAATCTATAAAGAAAACAAACAACCCCTTAGATTTTAGCATCAGGGCTAATAGATTTATTTTATTAGTATAAAATTATTAATTATTTTAAATAAATCAATTAGTTGAGTATGTATTAAAATCTAAACTTTTATTTATTACACTTAAAATTATAATGAATTCGCTAGAATTCAAAATCCTCATATAGAATTATCTCTTCTTAATTATTTCTACCTTCACATTATTATTTATCAATTAATGGTTAGGAATATGATTGCCAACTTAAGAATTGATTTGGATGATGAAATGAGTAGAGGTTTAACAAGACTTGTTGAACACATTTATTGATAATAAAATAAATTATAGTATTTAAATAAATTGTTAATAAAATAATTATTTAATTTCATAATTTCTATGAGATAATCAAGAGGAAGGAAAATTGACACTTCCAATTCAGAATCTGAAATCTACTAGAATTTAGGGCCTATTCTAAATAAACCAGGAAATGTTCAACCTTAGTAAAAACCTAAGAATTAAGGCAAACCCAAAAGCCAAACGTAAAAGAAATCACAAACAAATCTCAAAAATCAAGAAAATAAGTTAACTAAAAAAATGAAAGAATATGAGAAATAGATCTCAGAACTACGATAGTAATTATAAGATGATTAAGCTAATTAACAATATATTAATTGCTTCAATAGTACAAAGTAAATATTCAAATTATTTAATTTAGGGAACAATATGAAAAACTAATACAAACATACGAAGAGACTATTCATTAACTGAAATAGACAGAATTGAATTTATTAGAGGAATTACAAGGACAAAGTGAGATAGCAAGAGATGCTTTGAATAAATTATATCAATACCAATAGGAATACAACACTGAGCAGGAAGAATTGAGATAACATTATGAGTGTAAAATTGTTTAATGTATTTAGAAATGATTAAAGATAAAGAGTTAGAATTAACTTAAAAGTATGAACTATAATTGTAGTAATTGGAAAATATCAATCAGCAATCTAGAATTTCAGAACCAAAAATTGCTTAAGAACTTTCAAAGAAATTAAAGGATATGGCAACTAAAGAAGAATTGTATTTAGAAGAAATAGAGATTTTGAAAAATAAATTAAATTAAAAAAAGTCTTCTGTTAAAGAGAAAGTATTTTAATATTTAAATTTTTTAGGAGTTAAGATAAAAATTAATTGATTTAGAATTAAAGTTGTAAGACTGGGATGATAACTTAGAGAGATGCAAATCATTAGAATATGAAAACTAATCTCTTTTATGTAAAGTGTAACAGTTGGAGAAGCAGATCTTAAGAAAAGAAGAAAAGGAGAGAAGACTAAGAGATGAATGGAATAAGCAATATTAGGATTTGTAAACCGAAGTGAAAGTATTGACTCAATATTATTTAGTATTGGAAAAATGAAATGGACAAAGTCATAATGGAAAACAATCTTGTACTTTCTAAAATAACGCCATCAAAGAAAAAATATTGAATATAATTAATGAGGTTTTTTGAATTTTTATATATCTGATAGTTGTATCAAATTATTCCAATTATTTCAAATTTATTTAATAAATACTCAATAGTCATCAGATTCAATTAAATCATCTATTTTTAAATCGTTATAACTACTGATTTACCAATTCAATTTTTTGAGCTTTCTATATGTCATTCTTTAATTTTGAATCTAATTAGAAGAATACTAGAATTATTTTCATCAGTTTATCTAAATCTAGCTTATGCTACCGTAAAATTGAATCAAGAGAAAATTATCTTCTTAAAATTTGGAATTCCTTCTGAAGCATCAGTAGATGATCAAACTACCTACTATTCAATTATATCTAAGATATTTATAGATCTTATTTTTCTCATCTACTCAAGAAACATCTTTATTAATGGTTAAATTACATTCCTGGAATAGTTCTAGCACTAATAATTCAAAATGTTCAGATCCTCTTCTAAAACCAGTTAAATCGTTTTATAATACTAAAAGATTATTTTGATCATTAAATCCAAAGGACACTTATCAATTTTGCACTGCAGTGCTTGATAAGATTCAGGATATCAATAAAATTTTGAAATTTAATTGATAGAATTTTCTAATATTGTTCAGTATGGAAAACCGAAACTTCCCTCTAAGGGTGACTCATAACTTTTTCAATAAAGTATCAAAAATCAACAGGAGAAATTCATTTGCTACAAAAGAAATGTATCATAATTATGCATTCAATATAATTTTTAATTCATCTTAATATTTAATAGTTATGCGAAATCGCTGCTCATTAACAAATAAAACCCAATAATTCTTACTTCATCCATCTCTTACATTCAATAGGAAACGTTCCTGTGAATGTTTAGACTGTGGATTACAAAATAAAAAAATGCTTTATGTCACTACAATATTACCTTAATTTCAACCCTATCAACATATTATTACTACACTGAAAGAACAGAATGAAATATAGGAGTAAAGAAAGCGTATGAAGTTGAGGAATAAAAAATATCTTCTCCAAATGAAAAATATCGTTGAAAAAATTTAAAAACAAGAACATAAACCAAAAAAAAGACAAAATAGACATCACAATACTGTATTTTACAATCATAAGGCTAATACATCTAATCCACCTAGTCCTTACACAAATGAGATACCCTAAACCCCTGCAGAACCTATTCAAAGTACTTCTACACTGTTTCATAGGTACAATTCGTTAACCCCTCAAAAATATTTTACTGATTAAAAAATTATGAAATTGTAGAAATTCTCTTAGAAACTCAAAACATTCTATTTACCCATTACAGCTCCTTTTGAATCCCAAATGATATTGAGATTAGAATTATTGGAAGGCGGCAAAGTCAAATTAATAAAACAAACTGGATTTTAGGATGACTTCACTGTTAATATTAGACTGAATAATTTCTAAGAGGATCATAAAAAGATAGAAGAAAAATAAATAAAAAATAAAATTACCCTTCCTACTTTACAACAGGAGGATGAAGATGAAGAGTTAACAGATGAAGAAATCAATATGAAAAAATTGGCAAATTATAATAAAAAAAATGCTTATAAAAATATTTTGAAATATAATCCAAGAACCCTTCAAAGCTTGATAGACAAATCATAGTTAGGGTAAAGTAAGATAAAAGCTTGTCCTAAGCAACCTAATTAGCATCACATAGCTCTTCTCCAAAGATCTGTAACAACTAATGTGTCTCCTTTCAATAATACTAATATTAGTACAGCTTCTCCAATATCATCAATCTAATTATTGAGAGAAAAGAGAATAAAACCGAAACTCCTTCCATTAGAAAATAAACCATTATCAAAATTTGCCCTTACTCATAACTCCCCAACAAAGTTATCTAGCACCAAGCTAAGTATGAAGAAAGGATTTTGTAGAAGTATTTTAAGCACATCTGGAAAAAAATACCAAAAAAAAATTACTTTTGGATAATTGATATATACATTTGATAAAATATAACAACTTTAATGAATATTAATATTAGAAACAAATTTTTTTTAATTAATTAAAATGGTCTCTTTTAGAATAGTCATGTAAATTGTAAAATTTTTTTTATTTAAACTTTCTTTCAATGTTGAAATCAATTTTAAATCACAAAAATAGGATTAAAACTTAATAATTTATTTAGAACAAATTTTGAATTTTCATTAGCTTATCTTTACTTAATTTATCAACATAACGAAATAAATATTATAATTTATTGAAAATTTATTATATTATTCATCTAAATTATCATTTAAGACGAATATCTATTTAAATATTTGCTATTGAAATACATTTCTTAAGGTACATAAAATATTTCGTTCCTTAAATAATTTAAATGTAAGAAAAATTAATATTTATCTTCAAAACTATTTACATGAACAAAATTTAAACAATTAATTTAAAAAGGACAAGCAATATAGATTATTCTTCTAAACATATGATTAATTGTTAATAAAGGAATCAAAAAATACAAAAAATAGATATCTTATATATGTTCATCTATTTGATCATGACCTTTAGATTTAAATAAAACATTCGAGTTGCTTTCAACATATTAGAAATATTGAAAAGATTGTATAATCCTTTACATGATATTTAAATATTTCAATATGCATCCATCCTTTTCACAAATGTAACAAAGTTTATTTTAGATGTGATGTATCCCTCTTAAAGTATTAATGAGTAATAATAAATATAATAGTAAATATTATTATTTTGAAGAATAGGTTGCTGAATGAAAATGTCAACGACTTTTAATTGAAGACAAGAGAGAAGATCAAAGCATAGACAAGTATTTCAATATTAATTCAAATTTGATGTGGTCAATAGATATATGGAGCTTGTCTATTATTTTATAGTTGACAATAAGTGAGTCAATAAAAAATCACAATTAATATCTTCGAATAAATGATTACTTTTTTTAGAATGCATCATAATATGGAACTATTATTCAATTTAAAAGTAGTTAGAAGAAATATAAGAGTAAGTTTGAAAATAGTTAAGAAATGATTATCTATTTTTTATCAAATTTACTGCAATTATGTATTTTGACATTAAGAAATCTAATTAGTAATTTCAATTTTATCAGAAATAATCAGCTGTCCAAATATCCTACATCAATCTATTAGAATTAATTTATGGAGACTTAATAGGTTATAATTAAGAATTTATGAAAAAATACAAAATAGGAAAATTAAGTAAGAGATCAATTCGAAAGACTTGTTACCAGTAAAGTATATCCTTGCTTAGTTGATAGATATTTGGTTGAAGAATCAGTTCCCCTTTTTCTAAAAGTAATAAAAGGTGTTTTTCTAACCGGTTAAACAAATACAAATTAAGCAACATGATCATTGTTTCCACGACTATTTGATCTACTAGGTTGAATTAAAAAAGACAATACCTGATAGTTTAGTGATCTAAAGTTATTTTATAAGTCTGCATGGTGTTAAATTGCTGAACTTATATTGTAGTATGAAATGTGCAAGCTTCATCATTTACATTAAGAGATTCCTCCTAAAATGATTGCCATAAATACTTATTAATTTGTATGAGCTTGCAATTTATTATCATTTTTTTATTGCGATGTTTTTATTTTTTTTGCATTCGAACAGCATAGCATTTTATACAATATTAAAATAAATTAAAATAGTGTATTATTAAAAATATTTTATTTTTATAATTAAATCAGCATGTTTGCCTACTTATGAATGATTAATTGATGAAAGTCCATAAGCTTTTATGTTAAAAGCAGTAAACAACACCTCCTCTTTTTTATTATGTGGTTTATCTGTTCAAATCACAAAAGCATACATTAGTTGAACTTGCAGTTATACCATACTTTGAATGATCTTTAGTGTATGAGAATGTAAAGGCCTGGTATAATACTTAATTAATATACCCCATGTTATCTGACTAAATTGGAATATGATTTAGGTGTCTAATCACATACAGCGCTTTAGAGACCTCCAGTTCCATTACCCCAAGTTTCCATTATCAAGTCTTTGCCTAATGCTGGTGCTACAACATCAGCATAGAAATCTTCAACAAGGTTTTCATTCTTTGTATAAGCTGTTAAAGTAAATCCTCCTTTGGTAGAAATCTTAATTGAGTCTTGTAGTGCAGACTATAATATACTATTAATAATTACTGATAACACGGTTCCAGATTCTGTTTTGTATGTTTTAGTTCTTGAATTGGATTTTAATTGATATAATTAAGGGAAAGCAGTTGCAAATGCAGAAGGACTGTTAGCTCGATTAGTTAAGGTTTCAGCAATAATATATTCTGTTGCCAATCTGTTTGCCTCTGTAGTTGTAATAGATAAACACATATAATGTTGACCATTAACTTAAGCAGAAGATGGCATGCCTAATACAATTTAACTAATAAGTTTAAATTGGAAATTTACTCGTAAGCATCATCAAGCATTGGGAAAGTGGGTGTTGAATGAGAGATCAGAAATGCGTTACCATTTATGCCTGCGCTCAAGACACCCTTTGAATGAGCTCTGTCTGAGATTGTGTTCTTGTTCCAAGGTTAATCACTCCATAAAACACTCATGACATTATCATTATGAAAATCAATTTAAGCCATTGTTCTTTATAAAGGTGATGTTAAATCATCTAATTGATCAGTTTACCAATCAAATGTTCCACAATTATTCTTGGCATCACAATACAAATAGTCCATTCCTTCAATGTTGAGATTTATTTACCTCTCGCGCTAAAAGTAGGATCAGTTGGCATCTTCAAAATAAACCACCAATCTATAGCATTACCGCTATGATCTAAACAGGTCTATCCTAAGACTAGGAATAGCAAGGAAGAAAAAAGTACAAGACTTTTTATAGATGACATATTGACGTAATTTATTAAAAAATTATTGTCTAAGTAGAAGAATTAATCAGCTTTTAATTATCAAATTATATAAATAGAACTATCCCACCAGAATCATCATCTTAAAAAGAATTTACTAGAAGAGGAACTCTTATACAAATAGGTACTTTTAATAAATCATTAGAAATTTGAATTTATTTGTTTATGAAATTTAATATGATTTTCTTTTTAAAATTTAATTAAAAAAATTTTGATTTCTAACTTTAAAATAGATTTAATATGAATGTTATTTAGCATATGAGAGAAAGAAATACATAAGTTGAAAATATATAAAAATATAATCAAAAATTTCAAAATTTTTACCTGAATTTGTAAGTGTGAAGTTCTGATTTGAATATGCATGCTTGGGTGATTTTAGTCTTCGAGATAATTTTTTTTTGTTTGTTAAAATTATAATGTATTTATTCTGTTAAAGACATCAAATTTATTTTCCTCCTCTTTTTTGTAAACCCCTATTTGATCTAGATACTTATTTTATTTTTAGAAATTTTTTTAATTTTTTAAGAGTATAATAAACATTTATTTGCCCTTCTATTAATAGAAATTTAGGGCTTATTGATCATATTTAGAATACTGCTTGGTGAATATAAGTCAGTTCTACCCTTTAAATTATAAATTAAGATGTTTTGGTAGTGATGAGATTATTATCAGTTCAAATTGAGAAATACATTTTATTGATATTCATAAAGAGAATTTCAACAAAATCAGAAGAACAGTTAAAATAGTACCAATTATGTTTTTGTCATAATAGATAATATCACTTTGATTATATTAATTATATTACATAGCTTATCTCATAAAATCTCCTATGCACTAAATATCCTTAATCATACAAGCACTATTTTTATAATCTAATTATCAATGAATTTAAATAACAATTTATTTGAATTTTCCTGATTGTTTTAAAGAGAGGAATGTACTTTTAAAATTCATTTATAATATTATCTTATAAATAGTCTAAGAGATGGAAATTTCAAGACTATGATAAGAGATTTGTTGTATAATATCATTTAATTGATTTTCTCTTTATGTTATTTGTATTAATCCTTCTCCATTGTTTGAGAGGTAATTTTGTCCATTGAAAACCGACTTAATATATATAAATCTTTTTTAGTTCATTTTTGGCATAACTAAATTTAGAAATGAATGAAATTGGCGAAAAGGAAACCAAAAGGAAAATATCTAGAATCAGATAATATATTTTAGTATAAGTCATTTAAAATAATGTAAATTACATGTTTGTTTGCTGTTCAGTTTTTAATGAAGAATTGAATCAACCGGACAATAAATTTGACAATCACCCTAAGGTTATGAAGAGGTCCGAGGATATGACTTTTGTGTATTTCCTTGCATTTTGATATAATAAGATGATATTGAAGGTTTTTCAGATCGAATTCAAATGTGAATAAAAATCATACTCATTGATGAGTGTTCCCTTGATTAAGGTCTTCATCATTAATATTGGCTTGCTTTTACTTGAATATTATTTGAATCCAGCCTACTTGGGTGGTCGATGCCTCAAAGTGTAGAGTATGGTTTTTGCAGTGGAGTAATTTAAATTACAAATAATGGCAGCCTAGAGTAGATTGATAAGAATATATGAATACATCTTTGATCCTAAGCTTTTTATCGAGTACAAGGGAAATTAATTATTACTTTATCTCAGGAGAAATGTGACAGTATTTTCGCTTGGACTTTTTGATTGAATGTTGAATGCCTTTCAATTGTTGTCGAGTCTTGACTCTAAAAGTATGAGGTGAAGATAAAGAAGCATCATCGAAATTCATTACAATTCTGTAAATTAGATGTGTTAAAAAAAGATATTTTAAATAAATTGCAAATGAATTTATTGGGTTTTCTAATCAAATAGCTGAGATTAATTATTGTTTTCCAACTTGGTAAATAATATTAAAGACTTTTTTAAATAAATATTTCTTATAGATATAAAAAGACTGAATTGATAATTTGAACTTTTAATTATTAATAATAATAAATTAATCACAATTTTGGGTTTCTATTTTTTAACATGTCGACTACCTCTACAACTCCCTTGCAAATTGTCTAAATTGACTTCAAATCTGCATTTTGATGGATAGGCAAATATAATATCTAAAAATATTGCATTTATCTACATTTTTGAAATAAGATAAAGTTTTATTTGGATATTCATATGAACTTCCTATAGGACTTTCCACGATATCAAGCTGTGTTACTCCCATATAAGCATCAATCCCTCTCGCATTTAATATTTTGTATGTAGTCTCAGGATTTGGTACAACAACTGGATATAGCCTAAATTTATTGATTATTTCAAAACGAGTACCAAAACTTTCTATCTTCAACTGCATGGCCTGGTACAAGCAAGCCTCCTTACTTAAGGATGTTTTAACCCACGATTTGTCTTTAAGTTGCTATATTGAATTAATCAACATCAAATGTTTTCATTCTTAACGCTAACATCACTAACATGGGATCAGGAACTCTAAATCTATACGTTTGAAGAATATCAGATGAATTCTTTTGAAAGCCCCTTATGCTGTTGACAACAAATTCTTTATAATCCCAGTTTGGGAAAAAATTGATGAACACCCACCTTGAGCTTCTATTAATTTTTTGGCTATTCAACAATATCATAGGAATTAAATTTTTTAAAGTCCTTTTGAAATAACTAAAAGGTTAATCGATATTTACTTTTTTTAAGACCATTTTGGATATGATTCTTGCAATGCCTTCATTTTCCTATACAGAGCTTCATTATTTCTTATCACACTTATGGACCCTCCAAAGGCTGAGCATGTCTTGATTGAACCAAAACTAAAAGTAGAGAAGTCAACGTTAGGATTTACTATACATCTATACAATTTAATACATTTTGCATTGGGAGCTACGAAACTCTCAGCCTCATCCTCCATAATAAATAGTCCTTTCGACTTAGCCCAATCAATGATTTCCGTAGCATCAAATTTGGCTCCAAAAACATACGAAATCATTATTCCTTTGGTCTTTGATTCTATAACAATTCGTACCTTATCCGTGTAAAATTTTTTAAATTAATCCAATGTGCATCCCAAAGTGTCCGCATTCACTTCCACAGGTACTGGTATTATGCCATTAAGACGAAGTACTTAAATCATGTCAGGAATATTAATTCCAGTAATGATAACCTCTGATCCTGGTGGCCAATTTAACGCCTTGATACTCAATCGAAATTACTTGCAAAACTAAATCTGTAGATGCTCGAACACATAGAGTGATCAAAATTTTTTAATTTTTCAATCCTCCCAACCAAATTTCTTCAATCTGCAAAAAAAAGAGCTTTTAGAATAACAATTACTTCCTATATATATTTATTTTAATCCACAGGCTTTAAGTATGCCCATAAAGTATTAAATAAATGTCTATATTGCATATCAATATATAAGGCTGAATAAGGGACGATCTAATCGCCTTTTATCATGATTATTTTAACAATTAAATAATATAAAAATTTGATAAAAATGATCATACAAAATCTTTGATTATATATTTTAGTTTTACTAAATAAACTTAAATACCAAACCCTTCACACCGATTTTCCTTTGCCTTTCCTGGATTTTTAAATTACTTTAGCTATATCAAACATTGCATTAGCATAAACCTAACTTTTAACGAATATTGAGAGAAGATTTGATTTCAGACTTAATGATTACTCTACTTAAGATTGAGATAAATTTATAACTCATATAGAAAAGTCTTAGTATCTCAATTAAGCATCCGTTAGGTTAGGTATAGTAATGGTGTTAATTAACATATTAGAATATTAAATAATAGATACTTACATCACAAAACAAATCCTTTATGATATATTAATTCGGATCATAATTTTTTTGTAATTCCTAACTCACATTTACAGAATATATTTTATGTTTATTTCTTTAATAAATTTAGTATCATTAGGTTATATTCACCTTTTATTGAGTAAACATTAATAAGAATCAAAGAGAGGGGAAGATTATTTTAAAGTGATAAAGAATGTTTAGATAGTAAATAAATGTACGTATTTTGTATTAATATATCAAAAATCTGATCAATTGTACTGAATTTAGTTAAATATTTACCTTATGAAAGCCAATCAATTCATAATTTTCTCTAAAGCACCTTCTGCAGACATTCATACCGTATTTTCTGATCAAACCTTATCTAGCTGCACATACTCTGCATTCTAAGGAATTAGGAAGTAAATTACCTCTGGAATCTTTTCCATAAGTTCTTGGGTGTGTTCTGAATAAGTGATTTGGCATGCCTTGTTTTATTTTATTTAAATATTTATTAAAATCATATTAAATTACGAGAATTTGGTAATAACAACTAGAGTTATTAACCGAACTATTTATCATCTGATATTAGTATATAATTTAATATAAGAGAAGTTATTAATTATTATTATAAAAATGGATGAATTATTCGATCAATTAGAATTAGAGATTTCTGAATGCAAGACTTCCATGTCGGAATATGACAGAGATTTAAATAAATGTTTAGGAAAATATGAAATAAGTACTATCTTCTTTCATGCCAATAGAATCCATTTAAGAAACATATCAAACTGTCATTTATTCGTAGTCAAATTAAAATTGTTAAAATGCTCCCAGCTTTTCTTTTACTAAGACCAATAGATTTAAAGAAACCAAGAAGGATGATATTATAGGTGAACTTCCTTTAAATGTTTCAATATCGAGCATCAAAGTAAACTTTCACCATTCAAATATAGTAAGCTTAACCAAGCGTGACATTTACAAAGAGTCAAAGATTCCAGGAGAGCAAGGTGATTCCAACAACTCCATTAGATCCTAACTATGACTTCGTCAAGAGAAAAGCGAGTTCTGTAGTCATTTCCGAATCCAAGATTAGAGATGATGATGTTTCAACTCAGGCATCTATGGTAACAGTTGGTCCTGGAAGTTATGATGTGGAAGTAAAGGAGAAGAAATAATAAAATCGAACGTTTGCTAAGGATGAAAGATTTTTAAAATTGAAAGCGAACAATCAAGAAGCTATAAATCCAAATTACAATTCTATTCGTCCCAATATCCCAATTCCAAAGATTAGTAAACCAATAAAGAAAAACAAATACTAAATTTAAAAAGATGAAATCAATCGCATGAATGAACAGCTGAGATTAGAAGAATATAGAAGAAGACCATTGGAATTAGACAAAGCAATAAGATAAAATATTGCAGGAGTTGTTATTAAACAAGCATATAATGATTTTAATTCACATCCCAAAGGATCAAAGATGAGAAGATTTTTGATTAGAAAGTTATTAGATGACATTCAAGCTATAACAGTTGGGCCAGGCTAATACGAGATTCACGAAGAAAAACAACCTTGTATGGTTGTATTCAAAAGTCATTCGACTGAAAGAAGAATCCCTCCTGATAGACCCGTACCAGGGCCTGATTATTATTATTCTAAAGATGATTATATTAAGCCCAATCCCATTAAGGTGAAATTTGGGAAGGAAGAGAGAATTAAGAAAATAAAGAAGGAAGACTTGGATATGAGACCAGATTTAGAAGTGAATGTGGATCCCATCAAGCCAAAAGCTCCTGATGCTGTCAGATGGGATATTGAACCTACTAAGCCAAGATTGACATTGGAAATTGAGGACAAGGTGGCTCCAGGATATTATGATCCTTCTCATGTCCAAGTGGATCCAGCAGTTAAAGGAGTGAAGATAGCTCCTTTGAATGAAAAGAATGATAGAGTAAATGCGATCGATCCTACTAAGGGGAAAGACTTCAATGATTATGAGGAGCAACTCTATTCCACTTTAGATGGAGTCAAACCACAGATTTAAACTTTTAAATATCATGAAGATACAGATGTGAAACCAATGCATCCTCCTGATAAAGAATTGTTTCCTGAGTAACACAAGTTTTATGATGTGAATATGGATGCTGTCAGAGAACAATTAGTTTAAGATATTCAATTGGCTGGCAAGAAAGGCAGAGGTTTAAAAGAATGGCTGCAATATTTCGATGATATGACTATGTTTAAAAAGTACATGTAGAGAAGAAATAAATAGCCAGAAATAGGAGAATATGACGTCCAATTCAATCAGATTGATAAGGATCCAAAGACTGTTAATTTCAATAGATATGTAGAAATTGATCATGAACCCATCTAAAAACCAGATGGACCTCTAGATGGAGATAATTTGATTTTGAATCCTGATAAACCTAAACCACACATCCCTACCTTGGATTTTGAAAAGCAATCTGATCCAAGACCTGAACCTGAAGTCAAAGAAGTTGAGTTATTATTGAATGTTGATTATGCTCCAATCAAACCTAGGGTTAAAAACATTCCTAATTTTGAAAAACAATTAGAACGTCCAGAAGGACCTTAGATTAAGGATTAGGAGGCTATTATTGAACCTAAATTTGATCAGGTTGAAAAAAGAGTGATAGGAAATGTCAACTTCGAAAAACAACCTGACAGGGCAGATGATCCCAGATATTAACCTAAGGTTGACAACAATGTTTTACAAATTGAAGTGAAGCCACCTAGAGATGAAAGGACAGCTGTCTAAATGAACTCAAAAACAAAACGATTTGGTTAAAAGTAAGGAGAAAATGACTAACAATAACAATAAGAAGTACCTGCTGCTATCAACATATCAAAGATAGAAAAGGCTGAAAAAGCTATTAGACCTAATATACCTGGAGTGAATCTGTAAAAATAGAGTGGTAGAAAAGACTTTATTATCAAATAAAAAAAATGAATTAATTAATTTTAGTATTTCATTTATATAATACAAAAAAAATTAAATATTTCAGTAAACCAATCATTGATTTGTCCACTCGTCTAAAAAATCTGATTCACAACTATCATGGATATCTGATTCAGATTTTGTGATGTTATTCTACTTGGATTGCACAAAGTACTTTTAATCAAAACTAATTATCAAGGGAGTCTATTAAATTGGAAGTTCTTAACTTGATCTATTTGATGAGTACATCTTATCGCTGCAAGTTGAGGCACTCATTTCTGAATGATGAGGCTCTATTTATTTTTAGTAATCCTTTATTGTAATTGATTAATTGAGTAGATGCTTTATTACATCCTGATGACTAGCTGTCCACTCCTCAATTATAATTAGTGTTATCTTTGTGGACAAGAGTTCTTTCTTATAGTTTTATGCCATTTGTATTTATTAATCAAATTGTGTGAGGATATTCTGAAAGGTTTCTTCATCTACTTCTGTTAGGATTTCTTATCTATTACTCAGGATGTCATTCTAGATGTTAAAGACAACAGATTAGATTTGAGTGACCTCATCTCTGAGATTTTTGAATGTTTTATCTAATTCCAATTCATGATTATTTAATTAAGTGATTAAATCTTTTCTTTTTTATTCCAACAAAGTCTGGATGTATTTAAATTGATGATCAATCCTGCATTTTTGTTAGGCATAGTGTTTTTTGATAGTTTACAATTTTGAATTCAAACTTTTGATACTATTTTAATCTTCATTCGCAATATGATTACAAACCTATAAAAATTCTTCAAGGATTTCATCTTTGTTTAATTGGGAACATAAGCTATCTTGTAAACTTTGATGAATTTGCCATGATTTAGACATGTGAATTATTTGATATATATATTAATATTTATTAATTATATTAACTGTTTATTATAATACTTGATTGATTTTTAATTTCACTCTTCATCTGAATCAGTTTAGTTAATAGAATTGTTGTTACCCTCCTCAGTATCATTGTCATGATCGGACTAATGTTCTATAGCCATCTCCTGATTATTTTATCCTAGCAATGTCACATATACATAGAGAATACCTGGGATTTTATTGTTGGATGACAACGTATTAAATGGCGCGAGTCTTTCACAATCTAATTCTATATCGATGTTTTGAGGAGCCATCTTTCCACTGAAAGTAAGATGAACATAATCACCCATCACTTTACCCACAGTGGCAGTAATCCATGAATTTTAATCACTAAGGATATACATAATTGAATTTACTAGTAATCTATTTTATCGTCGACTTTAACAATTTTGTCTGTTAAATCATCGTCACTATCAAAATCTTCATTCTATTTAAATGGTTCCTTGGCCAGATTCAAGTATTACAACTTCTTCCAATTCAAGAACTTGGCATAGGCTTAAAATGTAATAGGCAAGTAAATGTTGTGCAATCTGTGATTACACTTTTGTGAATTAGAATTATTTGATATTAGTTTCTCATTTGGATTTGATTGGGTATTGTTTGTTTCGATGATCCATTACCACAATCTTTGGTTCTTAACCATCCATTGATAGACTGCTTGATTCCTAAATACCATCTAAAAGTATGTGAATTATATGTACCCTCAGAATATATTGTTAGCACACATCAGTCTCAAAGAAGTACTGCGATTGCTTTTACATTACTTCCAATAGTTTACTCATTCCCAAGTGAATCTAAAAAGAGATAATTATTATATGCTTACTCTCATTTATTGCAGTGAATCCTTGACTGTGAATATCCTTTTCAAAACAACCAAATATTTTCTATACTCCTTGTACTCTTTATCGTTTATTTGCTTAATAATTGCTTAAATGATCTGTTCAGTCTATTTTTAATTATCTTAGGATAGAATCGAAAGAATGTCAGATATCATCCTAATGGCCAATTTGCAATCTCCTTCTTCCAAAATCGCCATCAAAATGGGATTGTCAAATTGTAAGAGGTTTTATTCCTCCATACTAAAAGCATTCTTTCCTTGGGTTTTGAGCAAGAAAGCTATGAGTCTCCACATGTAGACTCTGCTTGAAGATGGACCAGAATTCATAGACTTTTCGAATTTCTTTTCAAGAAGTTCATCGTAATAATTAGATGCTATATCTACATTTTAAATGTTCTGTTATCCCAAGAAACTATTTGGATCCTCATCAAATTGTATACCCTTAAGATCATCCTACTTTCTCACACTCTCCTTATAAGGAATGAACAATTTACTATAGTTTATTTACATTGTATCCATAAACAGATCCAAGAGTTTCCCCACTATCTTTTTGGAAATCAAATATTGTGAATTCTATTCATTCAATCTGGCGAATCTATAAAATAGATCATAGTATTCAATTGAATTTTTGAGACTCCTCTTTAGATCTGGCAACACTCGAATCCAAGAATTTATTAAAGAGGCAACCATAGACTTAGGCTTATCATCCACATACTCATCCAAAACCTTATATCCTTCTTTCCTTTGCACAGTTTCAATTGCAGTCACAATCAGAGAAATCACAAACTTCCTCACCATTTTCTTAGAGCAATCAAATTGGAATTCTCTGATATAATGATATTGATTAAAGCATTTCAATAGCCATTCACATGTACTTGGAGCTCTCCTTAGAAGTTCCTAAATATCTAAAATGTTATTTTAAATAAATGTCTTATCATTCTCTCTCACTGCACAGGTCAAGTAAAAGAACACTAAGGTTTTAACAATCTGCTCTGAAACTTAATTGGATTGCAATTCAAATTTTATCAAGTTCTGAATGAAGATGAAGTATTCAGGACTGAATATGAATCTCTGAATCTAAAATTTCCTATTTTCAACCTTGATCTCATCTAAGAATTGAGAAGTTTTCTAATCGAATTCAATATCCATCAATTCTTCTTTACCATTTATAGGTTTGATTCGCTCATAAAACAACATATAAGCACTCTTCTACTTATCCTTAAACTAGTTGGGATATTTAGTTTTGAGCAATCTATCAACACCTCCAAAACCATCATTTTTGACATCCTTGACATCTGCAGATGATACGAATATATCATTAAATTCATACCATTTATTGAAATCACATCTATCTTAAATGAATGAATAATAGTGCCCAGAGTCAGCTGAACCAATATGAATTACAACTCCTGTCAATCTATATTGATAGTACTCTGATGGATTATCCTATCCATTTTATGGATTCGCTCTGTTCTCCTATTGTCTTAATCCCTATTGAGAATAAGGTAAAAGATCTAATTCAAATGGGAATTCTATTCTTTCGTTTATCTTGGCCTTTGCCATTAAATCAAAGTCGAAATTAAATCTCTTCAAAACTAAGATGAGATGGTCAGGTAATTTCTTAATACAAGTTCTCTTTAAGGCACTCACCTTCTTGTTACATTGTTCACAACTATAAGCATTTTCACCTTCAAGCAAATCACCTTGAACCAAGGTTTATAAGCACTCTTCCAAATTCTTTTTATTGGCCACTGGCAAAGAAATAGCAAAGAATGGTTCTTCCCTTTCTGAATAATGAGGACAAGTCTTGCCTATAATTTCATTAGATATCACTCCACCAAAGTTTCTTTTAACTAAATCTTCTTCAGAAGTTGACTTGATGTTTAACTCTATTCTATCCATCAAAAGATTACAAAATTCATCAACATCCATCTATTCAAAAATATTTGTTGGATTCCCATCAAAATCTTTAAAAGCATGACAGAATTTCTTTGGATTGTGATATTGTTTTTAGGAATGCTTCAGAGCCAAAAACAAACACTTCAATTAATGCAATAAATTCTCTTCTTATGCACATGTACTTTTATCCTCAATTTACAATAATTTTTCTCTAAATGCTGGAACCATGTACAACTATTAAAGCAAGGAATTCATATAGCAAATGCATCCTAAATTATATAGACCAACATAACCAGTTGAGGATTTCTCATGGAATCTACTTTGAATATTCCAATCATTGAAATTCTTTGTTCTCCAAGTATGAGTATAATGCAAAGGAGATACTTCATTGAGGAACTTCTGCATATTTTGAGGAGACTTTAACAAAGTAAAGAAACAATTGAACCCAGCTGTTCTGGATTATTGTGATTTACATTTACATCTGGTTTCTCCTTCATTTTCAAACAGATAACTTAATATTTACTCGAATAATCCTTAGTGAGTTGATAACTATTGGATTCTATCTATTAAAACATTTAACAATTTCAATAAACCAATCAAAATTTGATCTTGATCCTTCACTGTGTTTTCATTAAAGGGTAACTCTTCCAATTTCTATCTAATGTAGACCAAGAGTTCCTCAAAATTTAATTTCTATATAGCCAAGTTTTGTTCTTGCTGTATTAAATTACAACAGAATTCAAAGAAATGATCGCATTTTTGTTTGTTATTTGATATCACATCCTTTAAAACGTCTTCTAGAACAATTTTAATTAGCAATTTGCTCTCAGGAGTGTTGTTTAGGTTTAATAATTATAAACCATATTCCTTCTTTAGTTCATGATTTTCATGTTCAACAAAGAACGCATAAAGTTATTGATTTAATTCAGAATTTTTGATGTATTATTTGCATCCATCTTAATCCAAGTACTAAAAGCATTTTCTAAGAAGACGGAACTCTACCTCATTCATTTCCTTTTGTTATGAAGATTTCTTTTATCCAGCTTCTATCTTCTTTTTGGTTTTAACATAGAGACTAAATTGTTATATGCTTTCGACAATCTTTGACTTAATCTATTCTATAAATTAAGCCTCTTTAATTCTGATTCTATGGTGACTTAAAATTTCTAAATAAGCCAGAAAGCATTTGATTTCAAGAGGACGCTATTAAAACTAGAACGATTGCCCCAAAAATCTTTCAGTAATCATATCAACACCATCACTATTATTAAATTATTCACACCATTATTCATTTTCTAATAATGTTTAGATGATTTATAATACATAAAACATATCAAAAAATTGATGGTCTAAGTATTATTTCCAATCCTTACAATTCTCTACTTACCTCTTTTTCATAATGTTGATAGGCAACCTGTTAATCAAATCCCAAACTTAACTTAAGAATTCGATACTCTCCTATTTATCGAGCAATTTAAACAAAATCTCGAAAGTACGTTACTCTTAAGAAAGGTAATTTTTAGGATGGTTCTTGTTGTTGATCCTCACTTTCACAGTAGCCAACTAATAGAAGGCTTAACTAACAAAGGTTTCAACCACATCAAATTATTACTCAATAGGCTTATTCTCTATAGTGATATCTAATTGTAAATATGCAACCTCTAAGTCTTCAGCCAGCTTTTATTTCCATTGATTGATTGTAGTATTATCGCCTTCATTGAATTCCATGCACTTAATCATATTATTTTGTTACTAAATTTGCACTTTGAATTGAGTATAATTAATTGGTTTAGCAGACTTCTTAGAGGGAGGTCCACTCTAAAAGTAATTGAATAATTGCAATAAAAGATTAATTGATCTGGTGGTCAAACTGGGACATTGCTATTGAATCAAATCTAAGCATTTGTCCATCATTTCCTAATAGATTGCCTCGCTTGATTAATCAAGGTTTGAATTCAACTAGGTATACAGATTGATAATGAAATAGGAGATTTGTTCTAATAACAACTAATCCTTCACTTAAGCAAAGATATTCCAAATTGCCTGTTTCCCATCAAAATTATGATCATTAACCAAAAACCTATACAGATTGTTAAAATATTTCAATGTTTGACGAGATTGATTATATTGCTTAAAGAACACCTGGAACAACTCAAAATCCTCAATGGTGTAACTAAATATCTATATGAGAGATTTACTTTTCGTAATCGTTTCTGTCTGGATTGCATAAGACCTATTTGAAGAATTTGGATTCGCCTTCTTTATCGAAGTATATTGGACATATTCTAAACTAATTTGTATCCATTTAGTAATTGGTAATTAGGATCTTATTCAATTCCTTCTTTTAGATGCCTCCTTTAGTTTTGGCAGATAAGGTATCCCAAAGTCTTACACTCTACTCATAAGTAATCCTAAGATGATTTTATTAAAGTAGATAGTTTAGCATTTGTAATCTAAAAAAGACATTCTAGCTCAACTTTTATACTCCATTAATGATGATGTCTTGGGGAATATCATTTTTAAAGTATTATCTCACCTTTTCCATATAGACTTCTATATCTTACACAAAGAGTTCAATAATATTGTACTTATCGTCTGTGGATTGAATGAGTTCTCTTTTGCCATTGAAATCATCCTTGAATTGTTTATCAAGGAAGTAATGAACAAAACTAATGGCCTAATAGACTGATTTATGGCTACCAATCAATTCAAAACACTTGCCAAAATAACATGAAATGAATTGTTTAGTCTAGGGAATCTAGGAGATGATGTTTCTGGCTGCTTAGAAACATTACTCTTGAATAACACTATTTGTTAATTGATCCTCTCTATCTTGTACTAACTCCCAGAGTTGATTAAAAGTCATAAATCTCTTCTCTGGGCTCAGTGACAATTATTGTTCATGAAACCTCTAAGATAATGCAGATTCAGTGAATGTTTTGATCATGCTTACAATATTTTCATTGTATTTAGAGTAGGGAATAGTAGATATATGATTGTATAGCTTTTCGATCCCTTGAAAACTCAAATATGGCGAAACAGTCTTGAAGAATTCGTACAATGCTAATTGTGTAGTTTCATGTTTATCATAATTGTTAATCCATATTTTATCAATATAATCTACTTCAAATGCTTAATTTCGACATAAAAATACTGCCACATCACTTGATCTTTTAATCAATTCTGGATGCACTGAGTCCCCTAACAATGTTTGATCCAGAATTTTATTTTATTAAATCCATTTAATTAAATCATCCTTACTGATTGAACTCCTGAATTTTAAATTAGTTTACTAGTCAAATTTTAACCTCTCTGTGAAATCTTTAATCTCACTTATGCCTTTCACTCTCTTTTCCAAAAAGGAGGATTTCAAAAATTTAAGAGACAACTATAACTAAATCTCATCAGTCAATCTATTTAATTGATCTTCTGTGAAACCCTTTTGAAAATAATATTAATGATCTGAAGTGAGGTCTTTGACTTAATCAATGTCTGTGTCTTTTATATCTTAAACAGACATGTTATCGACCCTATTTTATAGCCATTCAAATGTCCTTTTAGCCATTTGAGCCTATTCAGACGATAGGAAATATTAGGACAAATATTTTTGTGTTAGGACAATTCTTTGCATGGCTTTAAGTGGAATATAATTATATTCAGCATTGTCTTAGAAATTTAACAGTCCTTCCCAAGCTTGAAGTCCTCCTATTTATTTGAAGTATGACATAGTTCTCAAATAAAAAGGCCAAGTCTTCTTTATACATTTCACTATGTCTGTAGCTCCTTGGTAGAGATTCCAGTCATCAATATTGGGATTCGTAGTAAAATTCTAAAAGTTTGATGAAGGAAAGACTTTTTCCAATTACGATTAGAGATTTTCATAGTTTAGCTTAAATTTAATTTGAATAGGAGTACATAGAAGAAGGAGTTTTCTTGCTTCAACACTCTCCAAATGGAACCAAAGAGCATGCAGAAGGCTTCGCACACTTCGGTAAGACAAGCTGCTATAGAGGCTCGTTCATCAAGGATGTATAATTCTTAGTTGTTTTGGAGTCTCATATACTGAGTTAGTGAGAATATTAGCTTACATCTGCAAAGTACTTAGGGAACTGCTCGAAATACCACTTAATGAAGTTGAAGTAAGTTTTAATGTATTCCAATGCAGTAGGCAATTCTTTTGATTAAAATTCGCTAGAGAGCACCATGTCCAACCAAATAAATTGTCTCACACGGACAGATAAGCATATTTCAATTGGCGAGAGACCTTGAAAATTATTTGACATGATGGAATTTAGTTCCTTGATATATTTGTCGCATTCGTCCCTTGAATATTTTAGGTAATCACGTGAAGTCTTGCTTTATCGGAAATCATCTCCAGTGTAGTCTTTATGTGAATAATAACTTACTTATGGTGAACCTTCGAGCAAAATTGATCTTATTTTGTGATAACTTGATAATCTATTATACTTAGGGGACACACATAATACCTCATTGTCCTTCCTAGATATCCCATCATAAGTGATCTCAATTTCTTTTTCACTTTTTGACAAAATGTACGCCAACTTATGTTATTTGCTTCCTTGATGGAAAACATCAATGTAATTTCCGACAAACAACTGTTCATTCAATTCGGGTTTCTTTTTACTCTTCTTCACGTCCATATTTTTATTTAAATTAATATTTATGAAAACACAATAGGATACCACCATTTTTATTAATTCATATTTAATACATCATGTTCTGTGTTTTGCTTCCACCCCTTAAAGCATGTATTATTATTTTAAAATAAAAACCCAAGTGTCGCTACCCCCTTTTGCTATATAAATATATAATTTTATAATAAGAGATTATTATATTTGCATTGTCCATTGATTTAGTTTTCTAAACTAGACAGAAATAACAATTAAAAGTTTTTGTTCAATTTAATCTGTAAATTTAATAATATTTAATTATGAATATTGATTTTTCAAGAATTCTCAATCTAGTAAATGAAATACCTCTTCACGTTTTTAAACAGTGCTGCCTAACCAAATTACCAGAGCAATAGATTGATGAAATCAACAAAACCATCCCGATTCTGAAATCGCAATTAACTATCTATTCGAGCATTTAGGAAAGCTTCCTCAACATTACTGTACTGCTCATACCGAATTTACTTGTGATTGCTGATCAATACTTGGTACTGTCAAATTGCAAGATTACAAAGTTGAAACAATGTTACAAATTCGATGCCTACGGTATATAACTATCAAGTTCAACAGGACATCTTTTGATGTTCTTCAACAACAAATCGCAATATTTGGAATGGATGCCCAAATTGAAATCCTTCTGTAAGTTATCCAATTTCTCAAACAAGTTTAACCTCTTGGAACAGATCATCAAAGATTATTATGTTATCCAGCACAAAAAAACCAAAAAATATTACACATCATACGTTCATTCAATACGAGCTACCTCACCAGTCGATATTTTGCATAGCGAAATTCAAGCATTGAGAAGCATAAAACATCCATCTCTGTTGGATTTGAAATGGGTATACGACGACAATCATTACATCTACTTGATATTCGAATACTTCAGATGCGAGAAACTCTTGGATCTCCTCAATCAAGGTTTGATTTTGGATCAAACCCAATTAGCATCTGTAATTTAAGCTTACTTAATTTTAGATAATCTTGTAATTGTTGTAATCTCTCAAATTCTTAAGAAAGAATAACATCTATCACGGCAACATCACCCCCAACAACATCCTCATCAACACTCAATCTTCCTTTCTTCAACTCTTCCTAGTCAACATGACATTTATCAGTCGTATCGACTCAGAACCTCTGGATCAATATCTATCGAATGTCCACGAGAGTTACATAGCCCCTGAGATCTAATAAGGGATTGCCAAACCATCAATAGACAGCGATTTGTATTAGATAGGAATAGTATTGTATTTTTTGACATTTTTTGTTCATTAAAAAAGGAAGGATGAAAGTGTGGATCGCGTTTAAATGGAATTGATTGATAAAGCAGAAGATTACCTATCATAACTTAATAAGAATACTCAATATAATAACTTTTTAATTAAGGATAAGTATCAAATGGTGTATTGTGCTTCTCAATTGGACTTATTGAGAAGACTACTTGATAAAAAAGAGAATAGAATTAAATTAGAGGAAGCAATTAAACACCATTGGTTCATTAATATCAAATAGAAACTAAAACCAAAAATTGAAAGAAGGAAATAACATCTGCCATCATTAAAAACAATAATCGAATTATGTGAACAGAATGAATATTCAAAACACTTTGAAAAATAACAGAAAATAATAGACGAGGATTCTGGTAATTTACTGTCCTATATCATAATTAGTACTTGAAGAAAACAATTTCATCTAGGTGCTGATGCAATAATTGGAACAGAACTAACAATCCAAAAGGCCATCTAAAGAGAATCACGAGAAATTGAGAATGTACGAGCAATTCAAGACTCAAATAGAATGCGAAAAGACAAATCAAGACAAGCAATTTGTATTCTCCAAAAGTATGATGTGATCAACAAATTATTAAGTTTTATACTATATAAAAAATCACTATCTGTAAGTAGAAAAGGGCAGAGGATTCTATCCATACGGGACACTATAGTTTCTGACATACGGTGCATAATGTTAAGGCATATAGGGATAATGCATTTGTCTAATGATACTCATCATTTAAATGATTACCTTGAGTTAAGTCTTTCATAATTATACTGAGATTGTCTCATTAAATCTGAAGCACTCTGATATTGACGATGAGGCTGATACTACTGGTAGAGAGAATTGTAATTTTCAGAGGAAGGGTGTTAAACAAATTAACTTTGTCGAAGATTGGTCTAAGAGTGTTATCTCTCCTTCTGCTTCACTGTTGAAGTCCTCAGAGAATTTGAACCCTACAACTTCTACTCATATTGCTTCAATTGTCTCATGAATCCAGGATTGGGATTTACAATTCGTCGCTGATTCTGAACATGTTTAAATGCTTGTTCCAACGACATATTTTAAGTTTTCATTAGATAAGCAATAACAATTGTCGCAGATCTTGAAACTCCTGCATGACAATGTACTAACACATTGGTTTGCTATCGATTGATATCAATAAAATCAATTGCCTCCTCGAAATACTTACTTAAATTTACAAAGTCAGCATCGTCAATTCTAATAAACTACTCTATACAAAACAACTCCATACCTTATGAGCAATATGTGCATCATACGTGAAATCCTTCGTACTCATCACAGCTAATATTGCACCAATATCATGATGGCCTAATAGTTTCCCATTACCAGCACTCTCGATATTCCCTAAAAATAATCCTCCTCTCCCATTCTAACCCTAAATTATACAATTCATGGGGTCTATCATATTTGTGCACATGCGATACCTCCTAATTTTGGCATTAAATAAGTGTGGAACATTTGCAAACAGATAAATTAAAAATAATATTTAATTAACGAAGAAGAATATTAAATTTTTATATTCAAGTTGTCCATTTTATCAATCTTCAGTCCTTCCACATTGTAAATGCTCTTCCGACTGATTCTACTGCTCCCAATGATTGAAGAATATAAAAATTCTTTTTTATAATAGTTTTTAATTCCACTTTTAATTATTATTAAAATCCGAATTGCTATATCAAATTCATTAATTTTCATAACAAATTTCAATGAGATCTAGATTTCTTCCCACAGGTGATAAAGTTGTTGTCCCAGACATCAGAAACACGGCAGAATATGGCAAATTATTTGAAGAAGAAATATTCTAATCTAAAATAAGAGCTCAAAGAGAATATGAGATGAAACTTTAGGAGTTCTTAGATCAAGTTAAAGTTGTCGATGATTTTGTCTTTAAAATCTTAGATATCATTTCAACATCCCTTTAGAATTCCTAAACTCCTGACCCCTCCTTACTCAGTGAATTAAAGAAATTGAGATTATCCCTTAAATTTGATGATCATTACAAAGAGAGCATTGAACCACTCAATGAAGCCTTGCTTTGGATTAAAGCTTCTCAGCATCTCTTCTCAGTTATCAATCAAATTAATCTACTGAGAAACATTATCTGTGCTCCCCTATCTTAGGACTATATTAGAAGAATGAAAAACTTTTCAGAAGATTTCGAATTGCTGCTTAAAGAACATAAATCCATTGAGGTCAAGTCTCCATTTAGTTTTAAACAATAAAAATAACCATATTTAGAATCTGCTTAACTATTTGATGAACTCTTGCTAAGAACTCTGAAAGCTATGAAACTTATTCAATAATATTCTACCTACAGCATGCAAATAGCTGCATATTACACTGAATTTTAATATCACATCAATGGTTCTATAAAAGTGAACTAAGAATACATGGAACTTATTCACAGTTTAGTTTTATTTTATTAAAATGAATCATCCCAATTTACTCCTTTACAGAAGGCTTTGGAAGGAATCCCAAATAACGGGATATTCCATGAGCAATTAGAAAATGTAAAGAATCTATTGCACAATTATAGAAAATAATTGAACTTAGAGGATTTTAAGGAATTAGATCTAGTATTCTAAAAGTATCTAAAGCAATAGTAACCTATCTTTTCTCTTGAATAATTGAGAATTGATTTATTTTTTATCCTAAATGATGAGGAGGACTTTATAACAGTAATGAAAAGCTTTAAAAGGGTTTGTTCTCAATCTATTTTAGATTTAGATTCTTATGATGACTTATTAAAGGAATTAATTAATTTCACATCTACAAAAAGAGACAATAAAATTTCATAATTAGAAGATAACTTCGTCATAGTATCATTTGTCTAAAACGATAAAAAGGATTGGTAATAATTTTTGAAATTGTGCATAACTAAATTAGGTGTTTTTTTAAAAGATGCAGAGAAAAATCAAGTTGAAAGTCCTTAACACTACCTAAATGACTTTAAACATTCAGCTAATTAATTAAGGCCTTAAAAAAATACTTTTAGTAATTCCAATTTATTGTAACTTTATGATAAAATTATTGAACTATTTGAAATTAATTTAAACAAGTGATTTAATATTATTTATATCTTAACAAATTATATATCTTCAAATGGAATGGCTGAGTGATATTCAATGCAATATTTGTTCTAACTGCTAACTCTGTTTTCTCTTGTGAAATTTTAATACATTATTAGATTTGTAATTTCTATATGTACATGTTGCAATTTAATATAAATTAATATGAATTAATTCAATAGGATATGATTTCATTAAATTAAATGGGGAACAAATAATGTTAGAAATCATTTTCAAAGTCAAAGTCAGATATCAGACCTTTAGATGTTAAGAAATGCATAAGTATTAAAAGAGATCCCATTACTGGAAAATTGATTGGGGTTCCAAAGGAATGGGCCTCTCATCTTGACGCCGATGAACAATAAGTTGTGGAGACAAATAAATTACCTGAAGAAGTGAGAACTCATAGTTTGCCAGAGCGTGTTCTGGAAATTCAGAATTCAATAGAAAACCAAAAGAATTTGAAACGAGAATTGAGAATTGACACAGGTGCAAATTTAGGTTTAGCCGGTCTTAATGTAGAGATGGAAAAAGAAATATACAATAGTGGAGTAAGTCGGAATGAAATTGTAAAAGACACAGTAAACTTCATCTCAATACTTGAAATATATGATGGGAAAGAATTAGCTTCAAAATAATCCTCTAATGAGGTCAAGACATAAACAGAATTTTTGATTGAAAACCCTGCTCAAAAATATATATTTAATGAACAGATTGAAAAAGGGGTAAATTGTAAGCTTTATAAAATTATTGATAGACGACTAAATCAGGTTTTGGTTGCTAAAGTATTTAAATTTTATGATTCTTTTAATTGCTATCGATTGAAAAGAGAAATATCTTTTACTCATCAAATAGACTGCCCATGTATTGTGAAGTATCATGAGACCTATCTCCATAGTGGATGCTTGTAAAATATAATAATATCATTAGTTTCATAATATAAGAGTATATGAATTTTGGGAATCTCAGGAAATTCATTAAACTCTTCGACAAGAAAATTGATGAATCAATAATTGGATACATACTCTATCAAATCTTGTTAGGATTAAAATATTTGCATTTTAAAGGCAAGATCCACAAGCATCTGAGTTCTAAGAAAGTATTGATGAATGATAAAGGAGATATTAAATTGTTGATTATGGATTACAAGAATGAATTCAAAAAAGACAAGGATCCTTATTGGATTGCCCCAGAAATAATAGAATAATAAATAATAGAAGAGGCTTCTGATATTTGGTGTTTGGGAATCATCGCATATGAATTATCAGAGCGAGATCCTCCTAACTTTAATGATCATCCCATAAGAGTTATGTACAACATTGTAAATTAGCCTGCTCCAAAGATTAGCAAACATAGAAGTAGCAATTTTTAGGATTTCACTTCAAAATGCTTGATCAAAGTATTCATTCATATAATTTTAGAACTACAAAAAAAGAACATCCTTAAGAGAGTTATTAAGACATGATTTTATAACTTAAAATAGGGAAAGAGGTCGTTAGGGATTAATAGAATTACTTTAGAAAGTCAATGTAGATCAGAAATTAAAATTGAAAAAAAGCGCTAGTTTAAAATGAAATTATAGGAATTCACATTGTTACTCTATTTTTTTTATTTAATTATAAATTATATAAGATAAGACTATTTTATGTTAATAAAATTGAAATTTCTCATAATATGATCAACCTTAATCAATCATTTTTTTTTTATTCTGTTTCATTCATTTTGAGTGAATTTACCAAAATTTGTGTCAAGGATTCTATTCTTAAACCTAATTTATATAAATTAAATATCTACTTTCAAAGAATTTGTTATAACTTTTAAAAAAGGATTGCTCTCTATATTCAACCTGAGGTCTCTTCTTTTTCAATCCGCAGATTTTAAAAATGATGAACTTCACAATTGGCTTTTTGAAGATGATGATGACAATCATAACAAGCCCTGCACTTAAAGATCCATAAATAACCCAACTGAATCTCCAAAATAACCTAAGGAACAAATAAATGCTAAATGGCAAGACTACAATTTAGTAACATTTAATTTAATGACTAAATAAATTAATTGTGAATCTTTTATCAATTTAGTAATTGTGAGTGATGGCATATTTATCCCAAAAGAAGATGTAAATTGTAAAGGCTAGACAAAATAGAACAGCAACTGGACAGATATAAATGAGGCATAAAGCTGTTGTTAATATAAATAGCATATTAAACTATCTTCCTCTCTATGATAAAAAAGCAGGAGTCATTATCTAATTTAATTATCCTTGGAAAAACTTTTTCGGAGTGAAATTCTTCAAAGCTTTCCTTTTTCTAAGCCAAAATCTACTGTGTCTGATGTGAAAGGTATGAAACACTTATTTGAATATGATTCTGTGTAATGATAATGTGACTAAGTCATAGCAAGCAACAATTTGGTGTTTTCCCCCCCAAATTTCAAATGTTGCAAAATAGGGGAAAAATTAAATTAGGAAGTATTAAATGATGACAAAAAAATGCATGATACTTTCCTCAACTTCAATAAAGGTACTTCTTCTACTCTTTGCCATTTAACCTAAAATCGTCAATGTTGTGTAACTAGACAGAAATGTTACTAAAATAGCTAAAAAGTTGGCAAATAATTTTTCCCAAGTAGACAATTATCCTGAAGATTTCTTATCCTTTTAATTTGGATTATTTTGGTAAAAGTATATTAATTCAAAACTTCCCATTAGCAAAAAGCTTGCAATTGCAGCCGTGAATATGGCCTTTAATCGAAATTTTAGTCTCTTAAAAGTATCCATACCCAAATTCTCCCAAAAGATTCCATTAATAGTGAATCCCCTCTTGACACCCATTTAATAATGAATTTACTCAACATATTTATTACTATAATCGAACTACTATTTAGCCAAGTAGGTATTTTGATTAAACAGACTAATTCTAGCTTTTTGATTTTCAGTGTCTTAATTCTGAATCTATAAGTCGTCAACCGAGACAGATCGACTATCAACATAAGATTAGGTATCAGCAACTTAAGTTTTCTACATTTCTTTCAACTTCGTTTGTTATTTCATAACCTCATATCTAATTAATAACTATATCATAAATAGCATATATTTACATTCTAATACCATTTTTTCCTGTAATGTAAGTAAGCAGCCTCTCTTTGTTCCTTAGTTTCAAATTTAATGATCACTTTGTTTGTAAAGGGTAGTCCATTCTTTAAATAGGATTTAATCTTTTGGGTCCTGTACACAATATCATTCAACTATTATTTGAATAGATTTTCAAGCAATTCATTTGTGAATGTCCTATATGTCTTAGCTTACTTTTCGCTATAAGTAGTAATTGTTCCTGTCTCCTTTAACTCTTTCAATTATTCCAAGGTGATCATAAAATCAAGTAACGCATTTTCTCTCTCTATGTTCATCTCATTTACTTCATGGATATCATATATATAGACCAATTCTTAGATTACATTCTTGGCTTAAAATAGGACTGATTTTTTGGCCACTTCGTCAAAAGTATTCAGGGCTATGGCTTTGCAAATGGTTGATTGGATTTCATCAGATGTCATTTTGTATGGGAGATGTCTTACATAAACAGACTTTTTGTTTTCAGTGACATGATTAACTGGTTCTTTGTCCCAGTATTTAATTTGTTTGTATCTTATTATAATTTCATATTGCAGTGGAATCATTATGTTGATGACAAAAATCAAGAATGCAGCTATTTGGATGTAGGTCAGTTTAAATCCGCTTCCACCATTATCCATATCAATTTTAGCAGAACATTCGATTTATGAAAGAAAAGGATCCATGGCTACAAACATGTAGATGGTATTTAATTCACATGCACTTTTATACTCAATAATTAAATCTTCGTCAGTCAAACATATTTGCTCTTTAAAATTTGAACATGTTGAGTTAACTTCATATATGAAGAAGATGCCATAAACGCAAAAAATTAAGACAAAAATCAACATCTAAAATTTGAGAAAAGTAAAATATAGCGGGGCAGCTATGCCATAATCCTAGACTAACAATTACCACATGTTGACAGTGAGAAAATTAATTCGTTTCCGGTTTAATGGCTTACTAAAATAAATGACATCATATTACTTGCAACAAGGACATTCTGTAGCAGTGGTTTTATCAAGAAATTCTTAATCTGGTTAAATATAGTGGCATTATCTATGGAGCTCAGCCTACTCTAAACTACAAGGATAGGTATAATAATTATTTTCTGGCATCTTAATATTTTTTGCCCAATTCATAGGATCTATAGATGATAATCTCTCCCTAAACTTAGAAGACGAGAATCGATGTTGTTAAGGGACTTGACCTTGTCTATCCTAATTAAAATCAAGAGTAACAGGCTCATTGATTTCAACTTATTGATCATCTTCGTAGTTTTCAATAAGTTTTTCGATATCAGAATTATTCATAACAAATGAAAATAATTGATAAATATAAAAATTATTTGTAGAATATAATTAGTAACTATATATTCCTCTATGACATATGTAATTAAGCAATCTATTTCGAATTATAAGAAGCTTCCTTAAACTCATTCCTGCCTATATCTAAAATTTATATAAATATTTTAATAATTTAAACAGATTTAATTATCTTTTAGTATTACTATTTTATATGTACTCCTTGTTGGCTCAAAGAATTAAGCCTTCTAATTTATATTTATCAATAATTCAAAGGAAATAAATATATATTAATATTCTCTATTTAATGTTTGATAATATTCAATTAAATTAATACATATAGATAATTAAAAGAGTGGAATTAAATAGCTTATAATGTATTTAAACAAAACTGTTATAAATTGGAATTATCTATGTAGTTATATATAAAAGACTTTATGAAAAATCTTATAGTGTAGAAATTATGAAATTATGAAAAGTTTGATAAATGATAAATTAATATAGAAAGTTAATATAATTAAAATTTATCAATTAATATTAACATTTCCACAATCATACATGTATTCTTCAATTTTAATAATTTAATTTGAGTACTTTCTAATATGATTCTCTTGATATTGAAAATGTTACATTAACTTTTACAGATAATAAGAATTCTACTTAATTAAGTTAACATGTTAAAAAGTAGAAAATATCCACATTTTATAGTGTTAATAAAAAGCATCCAATATTTCACAAATAGAATTAGATCTGCATAACAAATCTAACGAATATAAACAGTGAGATCAGGAATTGTCCAATGTATGAGTTTAATAATGAAGAGAAGAAAGATCTTTAATTTTTATAAAACATGTGTGGTGTATATTTACATATACTACTCAATTTCTTTGATCTGTTGTTAAAAACTTAGCATATAATAATGTATCCTTTTGGATATCCATGGTTACCATAGCATAGATGATTCCAATCAACACAATAACAAAGAAGACTCCAAACCACACATAGATTTAATAAGTTGTTGCATCCATTACATAGTTTGAGGAGTTAGTTTGCTAGAGAATAATAATACATTTAAATTACAGTAACTTAATTAAGCATTCTGGTTCTGGTTTCCATCAATATTCTCTAAACTTAAGCAGATTCTTTGGTTGTAGTGATTTAAGGATTTTTCTCTTCTTCAATTAAAATCAATCCGAATAAATCTTCACTTTCAAAGGTATTTCTGAAGTTTTTGGAGAGCTAAGAGATGATGGGTATAATAATTACTTTTTTATGAGCAATTCTCATCATATCGTAGACCAAATCAATTTCTTACTCATTTAAGATCTTTTCTAATTTTGCAATAGATTTATTGATGATTGATAACATATTTGGAGAACTATCTAAGGTGTAATATATAAATGTGTTATACTTTTTTTGAAGATGGTTGCAAGTTTATTCATAGCACAAATGTCCTTTAAAAATCCTGTAACTTGATCCTGATTATCCTTTGTTATATCTAAGATTTCATTAGTGTTATATTTGTAGATCTTGTTGTCTTTTGGAGCATAATCAAAAGTTGTTCCAAAGAAGTTGTCAACACATTTCTCTAATGATTGCTCAATTTTATAAGATTTGTCTTTTTTGGGTTCGTAGAAATAGACTTCATTCTATGATAATGGGATATTTTACATTTTTGCCAAGATAGAGTGTTATAGTCCATTGTAAATAATTGATATCTAAATCATCTTCATTTTGATAAATTTTGAAACCCAAATTGTTGTTATTAAATAATGCATTGGCTTTTTAAATCAAAGAATCAGCTATCGGATTTTTAAATTACAAAATACCTTGACGTCCAAACAATGTTTCCATGATGGATCTTTATTCTTTCTCCAACACCTTGAAACTTTAAGCATATCCTTCAGTAATTCTTTATTGTTGGGCTTCTTGTCCGGAGTACAATTTATCACTCTCTATGAGAATCAAATAATTCATTTCTGTAGGAGTCAAGACATTACGCTTTCCAAATGTTCTACAAGATAAAATCTCATAATTTACATTATCAATTGTTCATATGCTTTTTATTAATCTTGCGAGACATGTTCAACTAGCCCAATATTATATTTGATCAATTGTGCAATTTACTTCTAATTTAGTCCTTCCAGATCTTTTGCATTGTTTTCATTAAATGGATACAAGTAAGCATGTGATGCTAATGTATACACAACTAAACCAAATCAAATACAAATTCTAAGTACCACAAATGATGAACAGCAATGTTTTCATTATTATATTATTTAATAAAATTTATGAATGAAAACTTTTAACATAACATATGAGCATCAAATCTTGAATTCTAATTTCTTATTAATTCAATTTTATCCTTTTACACACATAGAGGTTTATCAAGATTTTGATATTGGAATGAAATATTGTATATTAAGTTATATATATATATAATCATTAGATTTGTGATAGACACCATTGTAAGAGCTACATAGTTTCTGACCATCTATCTTCTTAATTTCTGCATCCCAAAATAACAATTGTAAATGATCTACTAGCAGTTTAGTAGTAACTAGCTAGACAAGGGCCAGCTACAGAGGTATTCCCAGTTTTGATTCCTTTGAATCCTTAATACAATAATTTATTTGTGTTTTCCCATATAACATCTCTAGTAAATCCTTATTATAAATCTATTTAGTGTAATACCTTCTTCATCTTGAATTGTGGAGAAATGGATTTTAGTATTTACTACTTTCCGAAAGAATTCATCCTTTAACAATTGGTTGCACAGTTTCGAAACATCATGAGCTGATGAGACATTATTTTTATTATTAAGTCCATGAGGATTGGCATAGGTGGTTTGAGTCATTTATAATTCTCTAGCTTTGTTGTTCATTTCTTGAATAAAATAAATCAAAGGATTCTTTCCTTTAATTTTATTTTAATACATAGCATATATACCAAAATTTTCAGCTAATGTCATTGCAGCATCATTTCCTGATGGTAACATCAATCCATAAAATAAATCCTCAATAGAAATTACATCCCCTTTCAATAGATCTGCAGTAGTGCCACCAACTAAACTGGCCTACAGACTAACTTCTGCATATGTATTATTAGTTTGCACATTCATTGTGCGACACATATGTAGTACAACATAGAATGTCATGATTTTAGTGATTGAGGCTATTTCTCTTCTTTGATTCTCGTTGAAGGAATACAAAATGTCGCCAGACTATGAATCCACAATAATCCATGATTTGGCTGTGATTCGAGGTGCCAAGTTCTTTTCATCTGCTCCAATTAAATATGTATTTTTCACTTGTTATAATCTTTATGCAAATCGCTCCTCTTCTGATTTAGGTTTTTATCTAAGATGATTAGATTTCATTTTAAATATAATAATATTTAATTTATGATAAGAAAAATAATATACAATTTTGTTAAGTTTCAAACCCTTCCCAAATAAAACAACTTCAAATTTTAAAAGATTCAACAAAATCAAGTCATTCACAAAGCCCAATCCACCAATGATTTGCTTAAATTTTATTAATCATAAGGAGGCTCATTGAATCTGGTCAATTTAGTGAGTTATATCAGAAAATACACAGACTTCATGATTTCTAATTCTCAGGTTGACGACGAGTTTGAATTGCAACACGCCTATTCTGTAATGAATCAAGTGACAGAAATGATCCATACCAAATAGTACTTGTAATATAAGGATAAGATTTCCGATCACAAGAGATCCTTCATCATGTTGTTGTCTTTGAGTGTTGAAATGTTTCAGAGATCTAAAGACCAAGAAAATCAGAACAAATTCTTAAAAAGTGCCAGATTAGCTATCAAATCAATCAAAGAAGAGAATAGATTAAAGGATTGTAATATTGATGAAATTAGCGTTCTTTTACGATGCATCACATAAATTAATGAATTGGTATTACGATGATGACTAAAAATATAGAATCCTACTGAAGAAGAAGAAATTGAATATTGGGCACTCATTGGAACTCTCATTAATCAATTAACTCCACATACTAGTTGCAAACTGTTGCATTCCTTATCTAAATTTAGAAGCTTTAATGAAAATCTAATTGGAAAACTGTTACATCCCCTGCAATACATAGAAAATAAGGATATCAATTAAAAGGATGCTATTAGTTTATTCTTCTCATTTAAACACATCAGCGATAAAACAAAGAAATTCGACCAAGTAATCTAAACAGTCTTTGTTTTCTTACAAACCTATATGATTAAGCAGTCATTTAAGTTGCATGTCAAATACATTGGTATGATCTACAACGTCTTAGCCACTCTCCCCTTAGAAATTAATTAAGACTTCCTAACATTTTTAGAATTATAGTTAATTTAGTCGAATAATTTAAGCATGTTGTGTTTAGCACATTTGTTTTAATTTTGCTATGCAAAACCAGAATTAAATCTCACCATCAATAAAAAATTAGAAGACAAGATCATTATATTTTTAAACGAATCATCTGAAATTGATGACATCCCTAAGGCAGAATAATTCATTATGTTTTTCAACACATTAGGTAATCAATGTACACCAAAGTATATTGACATTTTCATTCCAATCCTGAAGAAGATACCTATGAATGATTTTATTATTGGGAAAATGTTCTCAGGATTACTGAAGATTACTTTGGCCTCTCATTATTTAACAGAAATCACAGATATTTGCATCTAGAGATTAAAACAGTATGATAATGCCATTAATATCCATGCTCTTAATAGTATTTATAGAGCAAAATGTATTTAGAATGCCAAGTATGCTAATCTATTTTAGGAGATCACCAATTATTAGATTAGCAAGTTCAACAAAGAAATCTTCATTAAGGATTATTAATATTTGATCAAAAATAAGAAATATTTTGAGTCTTTTGAATTTTTGCAAGTGTTGATAGATTTTTTAAAAATTTACACGTTTACTGGAAATGAAGGGAAGGAGAATAAAACAATTGTTAGTGAGAGGTTAAAGGAACTTAAAACCATGGTAGCCAGTGTAAAGAATTAGAAGGTCGAAGAGAATGCTGCAAAATTCTTAAATTAGTTTGATGAATTCATTTGATTTATGTATGAGGGAGATAATAAGATTGGAATTAAAATTATATATTATCACTCATTTATATAATATTTTTTTTGAAAATTCTCATCTTCATGGGATCACAATGTACAAATTGCAAATGCGTCAACACAAAAAATGAGGTACTTAAAACTGTAAGCAATTCCAATTTATTTCGATAGTAGGATAATGTGACTTTAGCAACCTCTGACTCTTCTTCTGTGCATTAAAAAAAAATTAAAAAAGCTATCATCATTTAATCGTATTGGAGGGGTTACATTATTCGGAAAAAGTTGAAATTAATGAGACTCAAGAAACGTGAAACTCTAAATAGTTATAATTCTAAAATGGATGCCAGCGAGTTTTTCTTTTCGTCTGGTGTTACTTTGAATCAGGATGAATTTCCCCAAGAAGACAGAGGACCTCATAAGTATAAAGATGTCTTATAAGATTTAAAGGAGGAGCTATATATACGGGACAATGGAAAGGTAAGGCAAGAGATGGTTATGGGGTATAAATTTGGCCTGATGGAGCCAAATATGAAGGCATGTGGAAATATAATAAAGCTCATGGCAAAGGTAAATTTCAACATGCAAATGGCGACGTTTTCGACGGTGAATGGGAAAACGATATGGCCAATGGTTTTGGAATTTATCAACATTTCAATGGTCCAAAGTATGAGGGACAGTGGTTTTGTGATTAACAACATGGTTACGGTGTAGAAACCTGGTCGGATGGTTCATAGTATTAAGGGTTTTTTTAAAAAGGATTGAAGCATGGGAAAGGGAAGTATAAATGGGCAGATGGATAAGTTTACGATGGAGATTGGTATAAAAATAAAATACACGGTAGAGGAATCCTATAATGGCCTGATGGAAGAAGATATGAAGGAGAATTTTAAAATAATAACATGCATGGAAGAGGGCTTTATTAGTGGCCAGATGGAAGGAAGTATGAGGGCCATTATTTTAACGATCAAAAACATGGTTATGGAATATATTAATGGAGTGATGGTAGAAAGTATGAAGGAGAATGGGAAAATGGAAAACAACATGGCAAAGGTGTATATATAAATGGAGAAATCGAAAGACCTGGAGAATGGTATCAGGGCAAAAGAATTAAGTGGGATTCAGATAGTAATGCATGAAAAACAAGTTTATCTTATGAACTATAATTAATTTAAAATTCAAATAAATAAATATTTATCTCGTAACTTAATTTAATTAAATAATAATCAATTGAAATAGGTATCCAAAGAAGACTCAAAATAATGAATTAATAAAATCAGAAAAACCTCAAAACACCTCAATGCAAATTAATTTAACCAAATTAAAAGGGTATGTTGTTCAGTAGTTATTTCTCACCCTAGAAATACTACATTAAGGGAAACATTTTTAATTGATTATTTCTTGTATCTGAATTAATGAAGATTTTTAATTGCAACATTTAACATATATATTATTATCTAAATCCCTTAGGATTTATTTAAATAAAACTGTAAAATTTGCTTATTTTTGGCATCCCATTTAGGTTTTCTTTAACAATCGTAATCAAATTTACTTTTTCAATTTGTTTTTCCTGTTTCTATTGTATCGAATCTTTTACTTTGAAATTCTTGAGTACTAATTTTATAAAAATAGCAGACTTTTATCTAAGTGGGTTTTACAATTGGAACAAAATAGCAATATGAGTTGAAATAAATTTTATAGATCCAAAATCTATAGTTTTACTCATATTCTATATTAGTTTATCACATCTAAGACTAGGATTACCTTTGAGAAAATTCACCCATCACATGATGAAAATTGACTCAGAAACCAAGCAAGAATTACTGCATTGTATGAGTGTTCACATAATTCCTATATTCAGTTTAGAATTTCTAGCTAAATGGCCTAAAATTCAATTAATTATTTTATTATGCTTTTTTAATAAAAGTAATTTATAAAAATAAATAATTCAGAAAAAACAAGTTATTGTATATCATTTAAACTTCTATTCTTATTCTGAATTTCATAATTTTTATTTAAAAAAAATAATAAGAATAAATATTTATTTTTTCTGATCTATTCGCACAATTCAATCTATTAATATTTTTGCATTCTTTTAATTATCAAAAGCATACTTATTTAAAACTACTAGTTTGTCTAATCTCAATCATTTAATTATATTTAATATTTTTATATATGGAAATAGTATATTAAAATTCTTACTAATATTTCCTTTATAAAAATATTGTATGATATCATTTTATTTAATATACTGTTCTTCTATCTCCTTACATCAAAGCCAATTATGTCCTCAATGATTCAATTTCAGATGTGTATTAATTTAATTTCTCTTTTAATGCTTACTGCAATCCTCTCAGATGATCTATCTCTTCGTCTCTCATTTGACAAACAGACCTCCACTTTTCAATCTATAGAACATAATCTTAAATATTTGATTCAAAGTTGTATTCATTCTCAATCTAGTATCTAAGATCTGATTCTATTGATATTCTCAACTCTCTTTCTAATTTCATTCTAATTTCAGATTCAAATTGCAGTTTTTATTCATTAAATCTTTGTTCCATTTGTAATCTCAATTGATATTGTTCTTTCTTCATTTATTCAATTACTTACTCTTTGGTAACTGCTTATTTTTTCAATTCAAAAATCTCATACATCAAAGCATCAACATCCACAGCTGGTTTAATTTATTATTAAAGTTAGATAATCTATTACTCATATTTAATTCTCATTTCCGATTCCAACTTTAGTTTCTCCTATTTTTCAATTTAAATTTATCTTCTCAATTCATTCAATTCGCTAGTAAATTTCTCATTCAAAATTCTTATTTCCTGTTCCAATCTTATCTTCACACTCTTTTCCACTTAAAACTTTTGTTCATTGATTTCTTGTCTCTCATACTCATATTGTTTGTCTTTTTAAGCTAATTGCTTCTTCAATTCATATATTTCATACATCAATGCATCCACATCTATATTTTTTTATTTGTTCTACAGGTTTTCATACTCCTTCATGATTTCCTAATATTTGAATTAATATTCTTAAATTTATTATTACTTATTTATTTGATCCTTCTTATAAACATCGATTTATTAAATCAACATTTCGATTTCTCTCTTCATTACTTGTTCTTATGATTAAAATTGATTAATTTGCGAACTCAATTGTTCTATCTAAATTTTATAACCATTTACATTACTTTGGCTACTCTAGTATTGTATTCTTAATTAGTTTTTTTCCTTTTCGCTTTCTTCAAACTTTAATCTTATTAAATCATACTCTTTCCTAAATTACTCTAGTTCATTCTTCACATTGATTCCAATTTACAATTATTATTTCAGACCTTATCTTTCTCTTTCTGAATCTTCAAAACTCATTCTTAATTATTGATATTCAGATCTTAATCTATCAAATTCTAGTTTCTGATTGTTTGCCAAAGTCAGTTATTGCCTTAGAGTCTAAATCTCTCTGTCACTTGATTCCAACTTCATTCTGAGCATTTCATACTCTCTCCTCAAACTCTCAGATTCCATCTTAATGTTATTGGCACTAGAAATCTGCTATTTTAATAATTGTCTTTCCCTATCGAATTCTTCAATCTTATACAACAATTATTATTTCTCTTGTTCGATTAATATTAATTATTATTTAAGTTATTACAATGAGATCAATTGCTACCTCAAATTTTCGATTTCATTGCGTAATGATAAATTCTCTCTTTCCTATTCCTAGAATTTGAATACTAGAGAGTCATACTCCTTTTTGATTTATTCAAATTGAACTCTTTGCTATTACAATATTGTTAATTATTATCTTGCACCATCTCTTTCTTTTTCAATGCTTTCAAGTTTATATCTGTAATTTTATATCTCCCTCTCAAGTTCGCTTATTCTGAATTTGAATTTCTCATACTCTTATATACTTTATCTCAATTGAATCCTCTCTCTATCTGCATCAGCAAACTTAATCTACCATGATTCTAACTCTTATCTCATCATTTCTGACTCTTATTCTATCTCCTAATAATCGTTGATTGTGGATCTCAAAAAACTGATTTCACTTTCGTATGTCTTGCATTTGATAATCCAGGTTTGCATCTCTGATTTCAATACTTCTACTTCACTATTGATTTGAATATTAATCTACTTTTTAGATTATATGTATTAGTTGTTGATTTCATCATATTTATACCTCAATAATTCATAATCTTTCCTTAAACTTTCATACTCCTAACCTAAATTATTATACTTAAATTAGAGATCCTAAAACTGTGTTTTATACATTGTCAATTCTGCCAATTGCTTCTCCAATTAGATTATTCGATACTCAAAATCTTTCTTCTCCTTTTCAATTATTATCAATGAATCTCTTTGTTTACTAAACTAATCCAGACTAATTTATAAGTCTTAAATGAGATTATCCTTTTTGTTTAATTCCATTTCTAAATATTAAATCTAATCCAAAAGCTCCTTTATCTTGACTCTTAATTAATTGCTTTCATTCAAAGCATATTATTATTTCTCAGTTAATGCTTGATGAGCTTGTAAATCATTCTAAGCTTGATTCAACAAAACTATTTATTATTGAAGTTTTCCCTCTAATTATTTATTCCTATTCTTTAACTCGTTCAATTCATCAATCAATTACTGATTTTATTATCTTAATTTCTCAATTTCATAATTAGATTATTAACTCTATTTATTCTCAATAATTATTAATTGCTACTTGTACCTATCTAAATCTTGCTTATTCTTCATGTCCTATTATTTATAATACTCCAATTCTTAAAACATTGCATCCAATTCTTATCTCAATTCATCCGCCTCTGATAATTACTTTTATGAATTCTTAAATGTAATCTACAAAGCACTGTAATTCTCATTCATCTAATGTAATTGCTGTCTTAATCTCTGCATATCAGCCAACTAATCCTATAATTCCCTAATTTATCTCTCCAAATTCACAATCTTTTACTTTTCATTGTCCTAACTGGCATTCAATTATCCATTCAATTAATCGATCTGATACTTCTTCTATTCGTATTGACCCAATAAGTTATTGTATTTACTCGTCAAATCATACAATTATCTTTGCAATTGTTCAACTTACAATTACAACTCATCGATTTTTCTCACATATTAATCAGTCCTCATTTTGTCCTTTTCAGACTATTGCAATTGCATTTAAAGTTCCCTCAATTTATTCTAGAGTTAATTATTTGCCTATTCCATTTCTCCGATGAATTACTAATTCTTATTTGCCTCATCCTCCAACAATTGCCTTTTCCTTGTAACTTGCAATTCATTCTATGCCAACTGCTATTTCAATAACTAAATTTCATGAAGCAAGGCCTCCCTTTCATCCATCCACTTTTGTTAATCTCTCTGTAATTAATCCTTTATTTAGATATTTATTGTATTTCTTTGCTCAGAAATCATCCTATCCTAATCCTATCTTACATCATCCAATTATTTTTAATATTGCTTTTGCATCATATGCAATTGTTAATTCAATTGAGCTATTTGATCCTTCAATAATTGATTTTCTGTATTTGTTCCTTGGGCTGCTCTAGTTATTTGGAGTTGATAGCTTTCTTCCTTTGACATCAAGTCCCTGATCTACATCTCTAATTATCGAATTCTGGCTAGATTAGCTTAATTCTCCTATTAATAACGGTTTGATTCATCCTAGATATATCTGGATTTATCATTAATCGATTTTAATCGATAAATTTCTTATTGCAAACTTCTTAGATCATTATTTAGAGAATCGATTGTAGATTTCATTCTTTGATTGTCCTGCAAAAGAGATTGTTCCTATGACACTCCTCTCTGCTTGATATCATTCAAAGCCTAAAGCAACTATTCATTGTCTCTCTTGGATTTGTCTAAGTCAAAATTCAATCTGTCAATAACTTGTTTTTATCTCTATATTTCTTCCTCATATTCCTTTATCTATTGATTCATTTGATCTAATGTTTTTTTCATCTATTGATTGTCTCTAAGCAACTATTGGAATTCAGGGACTACAGGAATATAATTACTAATCTAATACCTTTGGAGTTGGCAAAAGATTAGAGCTTTGCGATTTCACCTTTCAATATTTCATTTTCTCTTTCGATTTAATTGCAATCATGAACAGACGGCTATTGTTGTTCCTTCTTGTTCTTACAATATGAGCATGGACATGAAAATTAACTTAATTTAATTATGATTATGTGTACTGCTACTGCTACATCTATGGTGTGTTGATAATTCCAAAATTAATAATATTTAATAAGAATCGAATTAAAAACTCACCCAAAGGATATTTCAATTCATAAGATGATTAATTAGATACTACAAATCCATCCCTAATAGATTGATATTAATGATCAATCTATGATAATTCAGATAGAAGATAAGTAGAACATGTTTCATTTGAATATTATTAAAAATAAGCTTAAAATTAGTGAAAAAAATATAAGAAAATTCTTTATATCCTCTTCTCAACTCTCAAAAATATTTATTTTTCATTATGAATATGCCTATGTCTACCAACTAACATCCAGAAAATTTACAAAATTTGAAGACCATTAGAATTCCAAATGATGATAACAATCTTCTGTGAATTGTTATTTAAACTCTCCTTTAAATTCTCTTATCCTATTTAATTCATTGATAAATGTATCAGAATTCTACTTATATAGCTCATTTGAATAGATTCTTTTAAGGTATTCTCTCTTCTGATACCTTTTATTAATTTAAAAATGTATATTATTAATACTAAAATCATTTTTATATTATTTTTATCAAATGCTAAACAGCAATTACTAAAGTAAAATATTCTTACAACCAAAACCAAATGATTTTAGCATATTTGATGATTTTGTCTAAAAAGCCAGAAAAATTTGTCGAACTCCACAAAAATCAGTTTCCAAATATAAGGAGAGTTCTCTTAGCATTTCAAAGTAAATCAAAACTGAGATGAATTGTGATACTGTTGAAACAATACGAAAATACGAATAAAACCCTTAAGTTAAAATGGACTCTTATTTGGATTAACAAATACACATCTCTCCATTTCGATTTTAATTACCATTACGATTAGAAAAAACTTAACATTTTACGTCAGAAAAAAAAAGAATACCTGCCTGTCTAACTTCAAGAAAACTTAAATCTAACTTAGATGGACAAATCCATAAATCTATTCAACTCTCCCAATTCAGGTCTATTTAATAATAAAAATCAGAAACTCCTAATCCTAATTAGCAACAATAGACTAAATTTCTAATAACAAAGTATTTTTTATCCAAACCTCTGGTGTGCATAAAATAAAATAAAAAGAAAAAAGAAAAACCAATTTAAATAGAACTATAGTGAAATTTTTGTTTATTTTTAGAAATCACAATTTTTATTATTATATGAACTCCCAAATTGTGAGTCATTATTTGTTTCAATCTGAAAAGTTTCAATAATATTAAAAGAATTATATATTATTATTGTTTTCAATTTTTATACAGATATTTATTACTATAATATGGTTATTATTTAAATAAATCGATTTGATTGAATAGTAGAAGAATTACAATGATATATAGGGAGTTGAATATAAAAATTTTATTTTTTGGTAAAAAAATGAATTTTTAATTAATGATAAGGTATATTGAAATAATAATCTTTTACTTTGGTTTATAAATTATATTTCAAGCTTGATTTTAAAATTTTTAACAGATAATAATATTTAAAATAGATATATATAAATTGATAAATATAAATTAGCATACTTGGATATATTTAGGAAGGTAAAATTTACAATTTACCATTAATTTCCATCAATTAATCAATTTAGGTATTGTTAAATATTATTTTGATTTTCTTTATTTATCATAAATCAATAGCTTTTGAATAGTTAAAAATTGTTAATTACCAAATAATAATATAAAAATAGAACTACTTCTTTCTGATTTGACATATTAAAATGAAATTTCAATAGAAATAACAATACTTAAGAAATTGGTTAGATATCATGAATACTCCTGAATGCCTTAGTAATAAATGAATAAAATAACTCCTAATAAATTTATGATTCTAGATATAAAATTAATTTGTAACATAAATTTACTAGAACGTCTTATTATCAATATAAAATTTGGTAATTTATTTATGCATTCCAAATAAGTTGATAATGAAATTGGAAGTAATATCTGAAAATGCTATTTTATAAAAAAAGGAAAGCTATATCACTATTAGATCTTAAGTTTGAGTTCATTATCTAAATTGAGGGATGGCAATATAACCATTAAAAATATTTTAATAAGTTTAGCAAAATATTTTTCAGTTATTAATTTGAAATCAATGTATTCGAAATAAAAGAATCAAAAGGGAAAGCCAGAGTGGGTTTCATCATTTGTAGATTAGGATCGTTACAAGTTATCATAGGCTGAATTGATGTAGAAGAAAATTAGTTTAATGTCAAAACATCGTATGGAGGCTAAAGATTAATGGCAATAAGTATAAGAAAAATTAAAACACAATGTTATGGATGATGACACTTAAAAGGTTGTTATTTATGATTTACAATAGATTTATTTGACCGCATTGCATTCTAAAGGCTTGAATAATTCAACTTCAAAGAGAAGAAATTTAACATAAATGATTGAATGGGAAAAATCTGAAAGAGCCCATTCATAAAGTTAATTTAAACCAGACATTCTTGAATAAGCTAAATTATTGCTATAGGAAAGTGAAAGAGGGTCACAAAATCAGGATCCTAACTTTCTCAATAAAATTAAGTAGGACTTAGAAGAAACAAAATCATTTGTTGCAAAGGTATAACTTATGTTCATTATTGTAAGGCTTAGAGATTGAAGAAACCAGAAAAAATATTGAAAGCGCAATCTGAGAAATCGGTTGATAAAAGCAAATAAGAAATAAAAAAGTAAACAACCAAATAAAACCAAATGAATGAAGAGAAGCAATAGTAAAGCACAGAAAACTATGGGTTTAATGGTATGAAAAATTTAGACAATGTAATTTCATTTCTTGAAAATACATTACATTCGTAAGAAGTCTAAATTTCATAATTGAAAGAGGAGAACCCTTTTCGTAATGCAGCTTTGACTGATACAAAGACAATCTATTCAGAAATTCCTAATTTTTCTGTTAATAACACTCAGAATAAATTTTACACAAAGGAGGAGAATTGCTTTGCTTAATAAACTATTGAGAATTTCAACTAAGATACAAAGCAACAAATAAATCTGCAATTGCATAATAAGGAGAATGATTTTATAAATTCTAGAATTTAAAAGGAGGAATTTAGTAATTTAAATCAATCCGAGATTCCTAAAAATGATATTCCAAAATATGAGCAATTCAAAAAGGATATCATGAAAATCGAAGAGCAACATCCAAATCAATTTGTATAGCAACGATTGAATTTTGATAAGGTTTGCTTCACGACAAAGAATGAATTATCTTTTGATGATAACATAGATTAGTTGAGATAGTTACTCGAATAAACAAGACAAGAATTAAATTAAATGAATTTGTAAGACTCCAGCATATTGGATTGTAACAATAGTCAAAGAGACATAAACATACAATTAAATTAGGTAGAACCTTTACAACAGAAACATATAAATTACTAATAGATTCATAGAAAATATAAGAATTGCGATACTTTTGACATTAATGATCATTTAATGTGATAAAATTAATTTATAATTGTTTATTTTGATAAATAAAAAATTATATTAAACAGAAATAAAAATTATTAATAATTTAATGTCTGAGAATATCTAAAATAGAGTATCATCAATCTTTGAAAAGCTCAACAACATCTCTACTAGTGTTTAGGATGAGTAAGTTACTAATAATACCTAATAGAAAAAATAATCGTTTTCATGCTATAAGTTAATTGATTATGGCTTTTGAGGCTTAATTGTAACATCAATCTGATTAGAAAGAAGAGAAATTTGCTTATATTGCATAAAAAGTTAGACAAATTACTGAATTTTTAGAATAAGAATAAGAAGAGTAAAAGTTGCATTGATATTTCTGTAGTCGTGAAAGATAAGAAAGTGAAACTTATAAATTGATAACTGATTTAGAAAGACATGCAAGAAGATTAATAGAGCAGAATTCAAAAGATAGAGTAGAATAAGAAAAAAAAATAGTTTATTCAATTGGCCAATAAATTGAGAATCTATAATAGGATGTCATCAAAGAGGGTCTGGTAATAATAAAGTAGTTAATAAGTAGGCTTAACAAACATCTCATGAATATATTGATTCTTACTTAAACGAAGATTTGCCAAAAATAGCAGATGAGTTGTAAAATGAAATTACAGAAAGAAAAGACGTTGAAGAAAAGATATATCATTAATTTGTCGAATAACTCAATGACCTAAGGGAATTATTTGAAAGGTTTATATTAGTTTAACAATGTAGAGAAAAGAAGGAAAGAGAAACAAAAGAAGAGGAAATTGTAGAAAGTCTGAGGGAAATTTCAGGAAGAATTTAAGAATAATTAAGAAAAACAAAGGGAGAAAGAGAAAAAACTGAAGAAACACTAGTCTAATTGGTTGAGAAAGTAATTGAAAAGTTAAAGAGAGAGATGCTTGAAATGAACTTATGATAAAATTTACATTAATAATTATAATTAAATTTTAAAGATTCATTTTTACTATCAATGAAAATAGTCAATTTGTCTTAGATTTGTTGTGAAAATATTAAGAGTGAATTTTAATAAGATTATCATATATGGAGGAGAGTTAAATAATTTAATAATAAATGAATTGATTACTTACAAAAGAGCTTTCAGTATAATTTTTGAGATGGAACTTCAATGATTTAAAGTATATAACAAAAATTAAATAGAGATTTCTAAAAAATAAGAAGGTATTGGAATTGATAAAGTAAATTCCTAAATTATAGTAGTGAAAGCTTGAACAAATAAATATAAATAATCTTCTAATTGAAAAGAAATTGTAACGTTCTTTATGTAAAACATTTGGATAGATTAGAATAATTAATTTCATTTAGAAAATTTTAGCATTGACATTTCTTTTAAGAAGAATTTTAGATTAACCAGAATGTATCTTCTTATACAATCAAATTATTAGGATTGCACTTGTTCATCAAACATGATCTTAATCTATTTAACTTTGTTAATGTTTAATTGGGATAGATTGGACACCTAAAAAATTTAATGCGTTACAATTTGTGCAAACTATAGGGCAACTTTAGAAGGTACTTAGATTTGGAATGATATTTTTATATCAAATAAATATGAATCTGTTATTAAACTAACGAGTTAAAACGGAGTGAACTTTAAAGAATTTAAACGCTTCACTAATAAAAGTTTTATAAATAATTATATTAATTAATATATCTTATAATAAAACATATTGAAAAATTTAGTATTAAGCTAAACTCTTATGATTATTCATAATCTCAACATTCACTCATCATTTTCAATACATATTAAATTTTATATTAAAATGTATTCAAAATCATTATACTTCCTTAAGATATTTTGTAAAACGTATTAGACTTAATTTATATTCTTAATGGTTCTATATCTAAATAATCCCCTGATATTAAATCTGCCTTCAACAAAGATTATGCTGATATGTATAACATTAGGAGTAAAAAAAAGTATCCTGTATTTATATTGTGATGCAAAATCTAATAATAAGTAATAGTCTAACTACTTCAATTAATAGCCTTGTTACTTGTAGATATACAGGAAATGATATAAAAAATAAGAGTATGTAATTGGAAATCTGAACAAAAACTTAATATCTTCTTTCTAGAAACGTATATTTTTATTTTGCAGAAAAGAAAACAGCTCATTCTAAATTTAAAACAACATAGGAATTTTATATAATCAAAGATCAAGCTTAGAATCATTCATTATTAATATTTTCAAAGTACCATTATGAGTTCTTTTGCAAATAAGAACTATTATTTATATCAAGATTTTCAAAGAATTAGTATACGATTATTAGAAAACATCCTATATTTAAATACCATAAAAGAAAAAGATAATTTATTTGTTTATAGTAATTAAACTTGCAAGAACTCTCTTAGATGAGCTTCATACTTCATAATATGAATGGTATGATTCAATATTTGGAGGATTAAGAGGAATATTTATTTATTTATAATTATAGGCTTAGAATTGTAGCAATATATTTAAACATATGGCTTCAAATCATGGATAGTCATTTTCATCATCTTATAAGTAATTAGTTTTTAATAGTTCTTTGAACTCTCCAAACTCTATTACTCCTGATCCATCAGTATCAACTTCTTTAATCAATCCTTCAATATCGATCGTTAATTCAAATTCATTCTTTATTATTCGAATCAACTTTTCTGCATCAACATTTCCTGTGGTGTCCTCATTTCCTCCCATTGCTACAAATGCATCAATCATATCTTAATCATCATCTTATAACCCAGCATATTTAAGTTTGGCAAAGAGACTCAAAAACTCTTTGAATTTGATGCGTCCACGATTGCCATCATCAATCTCACTTATTAATTTGTGGACTTTATGAGGTTTCTACTTCAAACCTACCATTTCCAGGGCAATCTCCAAATCATCGACCATGATTTCTCCTTCTCCTCTCTATTATAATTAATAAAACTGACAATGTTACATCATCTAAATCATTAAACGCTCTTTGGCATTATTCAATATCTTCTTCAGATAAATTCATTATATATTATTTAATATTTTTATATATTTTGGATTCAATTCAATTTATACATTAAAATGCAGTAAAGAAGAAAACTATAAATTTAATTAATAGGAAGCACTAAGGTTAATATAATCATCGTTATTCACAATATTCATCAAAAGATTTGATTATCGTATTGAAATAATTTACATAAAACCCTCACGTATTTTCAAATAAATAAAATTTAAAGATTATTATTATCAAAGATTTCTTGAATTTACATAAAATAATTAAATAATAAGTGAATATTATTTCATATAAATTTCTTTCTTCGATATGAATGATCACTATCAGAAAGATGTACTTTTAATCTTTGGAGATAACTTTGGTAACTTAACCTCGCCGTAAATATTAAAAATCTTTAATATTAAATTCCTTTTCCTTTATTTCAAATTCTTATCTTTCTTTTTAATGAACATATGTATCACCCAATTTTACTATACTTTGAACATGGCAAAGTCCGGTTTTTTTGAGATAGAGAGGTCTCGCTTAATTCTATTTTTCAGATCATTTTTGATATGATTTACATTTTTTATGCTTCTATCTTTTTGATTGCTGTAATAAATATTGAAGTCTTCTAGATCAACTTTCATGATTAAAGGTTTAATATTTAAATTAAACCAATTTATATCAATTAGCTTTGAAAATGAACTATCAATTCAAATACAACTTTTAGTTTTCAATTGCTTTTTTAGTAATTTAATATTTCACCTTTCATACCTACTTTAATATTTTTAGTTAAGGATACCTTTAACTACAGGAATTTTCTAAAACTCCTTTGATTTTGGAGGAGATGATTTAAAAGCAATTCCTAAGAATGCCTTCATTTTAAAATGCACTTATTTATAACTAAATACATCAACATCAGAGAATAAATAATTTATATAATTTACATAATTAAGAGGAAGGACTATTAGATAATTAAATTTTAGAAATATTTATTGTATCTTTATAACACTATATATTTAAGTTATTATGATAATATCTAGTGTCTCTTATCTCTGTTGCCTAACTAATTATAAGTTATGCAGCTATTTTATTTGATCATTTTATGATCAAGATATTATAATTATTATTTGATATTGCAATTATTATCTAAATAAAGACCAAAAAATATATATATGTTAATATAACACTTTTTGATGAACTCACATTCTTGCTAATGGGGACATTCTTAATTCAAATTAGTTTGTAAATACTAAGATTATCATATTTATTAATAGCTTTTTTGCATATTTAATTAAATCACTCATTCCAAAGGAGCGTTGGGTATAGATTCAAACTGATTTTTGTTCTTATTCTACAATTGATAATTACTTCTAATTAAGTTACGTTCTTTTTTAATATTCTTTACTTAAAATTTTAAAGTGGAGATTATTCTGGAGGTAATCCATAAAATTTATTTTTTATTTCATTTTGTTTTAGGAGAATATTATGATACATACATTAGTCATAATTGGTTGTTGAATAATCAATTAATAAAATTTAATACTAAAACTCATTTTAATCCTATAAAGTCTTTATAGTTTTCTAACTTTTATACAAATTTTTGTTATTGAATAGAAAAATGTCGAGCTTAAATTGATAATTTAAGACTCCTTTATTTATCTTATTATAATTGTTATTTGAGATACAAAACAGGATTGCGATCGAAAAAGGTTTCTTCTTATAACTTATACTTTTGGGCCTTTCTATTGGGCCTCTACAGATTATATTGAGTTGAATCAATGATTTGTTTACAAAGGTAATTATGTAGTTTTATATTCATTCTGAAAAGTATTGATAATCATACTTTAATGACTTTTCTTCTTGCAACTTCTTATTTTCTTCGGTCGAGGCCCTCTTTATAATGTTGCTAAATCTCATGCGATATTTGGTGGTGAAGTTGGATATTTCCAAATTGAAGCTAGCATTTTAATCTTTGAGTTATTCGCATTCGGTAATGATACTTTTAAGGTTTGACTTAAATTTTTATTACATAAAATAAGTAAAATCTTTAATTATTAATGGATATCGATCGACACATATCATCACTTCTTACGGGAGGATGTCTTCCAGAAAGAGATCTCAAACTGGTCTGCGAACGAGCCAAGGAGATCTTCCTTGAGGAATCAAATGTTTAGCCTGTCAGAGCACCAGTCAATGTGTGTGGTGACATTCATGGTAAGGAATACATTAATATATGCAAGGTTAATTTTACGACTTGCAAGCTTTGATTAAAGAAGGTGGTGATATTCCTGAACATAACTACATCTTCATTGGAGACTTCGTTGACAGAGGATACAATAGTGTTGAAACTATGGAGTATCTACTATGTCTTAAAGGTAATTGCACATTGCATTGATGATTAGTCAAGTATCCAGGAAACATAGTGCTATTAAGAGGAAATCATGAATCGAGACAATGCACTTAGGTTTATGGATTCTATGAAGAGATCTTGAGAAAGTATGGAAATAGCAGTCCATGGAGATTGTTTATGGATGTTTTTGATTGTTTGCCCTTGGCTGCGTTGATAGAAGGCTAAATATTGTGTGTTCATGGAGGTTTGTCTCCAGATATGAGAACAGTTGATCAAATAAGAACAATAGATAGAAAAGTAAAACAACATTTGAATTTTAGGTTGAAATCCCACATGAGGGTCCATTCTGTGACTTGATGTGGTCAGATCCAGAAGAAGTTGAATACTGGGCTGTGAATTCAAGAGGAGCAGGATATTTATTTGGAGCCTAAGTGACAAAGGAGTTTTGCAGATTGAATGATCTGAGTTTAATTTGCAGAGCCCATTAATTGGTGATGGAAGGATACAAATATTGGTTCCCTGTAATCATTACAATTAATTTAGGATTAAAATTTGGTTACAGTGTGGTCAGCCCCAAATTATTGTTATAGATGTGGAAACATTGCTTCCATTCTTTGTTTGGACAATTAATTGTAATCTAATTGGAAAACATTCAGAGAGGTACCAGAAAGCGGTAAAAGCATTAATCCAAAGAATGTTCTTCCTTATTTCTTATGAAATATTGTATTTAAATAAATGCATATATAATTTTGAGTCAACATATTATATTACCAATATTATAAGTAGAATCATCGATGTAAAATAAACACTATAATTTTATCATGTGAACGAGATTTTACTAAAGAAATTGAGAAAATAGAGAAACTTCTGAAATGAAATAATCCCAGATTGATTTATGTTAATATCTGCTGTGAATTTAAAAAAACCATTTAAATGTTAAATTCTTTATCACACAAGAGAATTGCAATTGTTTTTAATTAATATATATTATATACATGAACAAGGATCATCCTGTGCTGATCGATAATCGATATTTACTTGCTACTCTGCATTATCAAGGACGCCATTCCAACTTTTACAATGCTGTAGATTCATAACAGGAATAAAAATAGATTCTTATATAAATAGTATTATGAAGTACTTATCATTTATAGATAACTGATTAACTATGCATATGCAAGCTATTTAAACGTCTGGAATAGAGTAATATTGTTATACTAATAAGAATAGTGGTTGATTGTAGAGATAAATCTAATGATCATTATAACAGAATGTCCCGATACATCCCAATTCCAAGGATCTATAAGATGGGAACTTTAGTAGTCTAGGACATCACTTACCATTACATTGCCTGGTAAAAGAGTGGACCCTCCTTAAAATTGTGCTTTAAATTGATGAAATATAAATTTTCTCTGAAAACTATCATGTTGGTAGCACTTAAAATGGTAATTATACTTTAACAACTAGCATGAAGATTACCAATTTATAGTAAATTCATAATTTGAACATTCTGCATAGAAGTCTCAAATTATCCTGTATAATGACAACGAACCATTCGAATCTACTAATCACTAATTTCGATGACTATGTGGAGTTTCTTAATAAAGAGGGTAAAATAACAAACAAACCAAAATAAATCCACATTAAAACTAATAAATTCAGCAGCATTGGATAACATCTGCAACAAAGTAAATTCAATTGCATAATAAGTTAGTGCCATCTCCAAGGGATGATTTGGAATCTCTTGGCTATCTCCTCTTGTATCTTCTAAGTTAAGGGAAACTACCAAACAAATGTCAATCAAAGGATTAAAACATCAGAGATAAATTTTATATGGAATTCAAAAGACAATTTCTCCCTGAAAAAGAGCTGAAATAATACCCTGAACCATTTTTGTAATTCTTTTAAACTGTATTCAAATTGGGATTTAAAGAAATTCCCAATTATGAAATACTCAAATAGCCCTTTATTCAATATCTAGGAAGACAAGAACAAGATTAAAATTTTGATTGGTCTGAAGTATTCAAGCCTCTTGCAGAATAGACAGCAACTTCAGAACTCTCACTCAGGGACAAAACTGGCTCATTTGAGTCCTTGCTGATGAATAATAATAAGAAGGAACCTTGCAAAGTCAATACTTCTGCTCCAACTAGTCCAACTACTTAACAAATTATAAACAAGCCAGCTAAGGCCTCAAGGTTTACTCTAGCACCCATATTGGAAAAAAATGAATCTCAAATGACGAGCATAAAAAATTGTGATTCCAATGCAGGATCTCCAAGATTTAATCATAATATAAAAAATCTAAAATTTGATCATTTACAAGAGGATTCATCTTCAGGAGATATTAGTCCAAGCGACGAACCTGCTGTTGATTAACTACCAAGTTTTGAATACCACCAACATGATACTATGTGAATTTGTTTATAAATTATATAATTAAAATTATATATAACAACTTAATTTTATTTTCTTTTCATCTACTTAAACAGCTCAAATATGGATAGCAATAAAAAGGTTTCCTTTAATACTACAATGAAAACCTAAACAATTTATGCCACTTCAAATTCAATTGAAGATGACAATAAATTGGTGAAAGATATTTAAACCAAAATTCATTCGATTTTAAAAGGAGAAAATGCAGAAAGTGAATATTCACACAGATTTAAATGCAAGGTTCCGCTATTGAAAACTAATGATGGCTAAAAATTGTGCAATAAATTAATCAAATTCAATGAACACTATAAAATTGCTGAATCAGACAAAGATTAAATTGCAATCAGTAGTAAGGTCTTGAAATCATATAAGTTTAATTCGGTTTTATCCAAAAGGAGATTGACCAAAAGTTAATAACAAAAATAGACAATACAACACACTTCTCATCATTCGGAGGATAAATACAATAAAATTTTTAACACAGAATGGTCTGAGTATCAGAATATATACGATTTACACAACCTCCTCACTCCTAATTCTTTAGATATGGGTCCTGCCTATGCTGAAGTGCAATTCATTAAATCTAAAATCAAAAAACCGCACTAAGATGCTGTAGTCATGCCCAAAAGCAATCGCAACTGTATAGAAAATAATAAACCCAAAAAATTTATTGGTTTAGATCAGATTTATCTTGTTTAACCTAATTTAATATCAACTAGTAGAGTAGTTTTGAAATCTACTAACAACAGGGAATCAAAAAGTTAAAGAAGAAATCAAAAATTCTAAAATTGATATTCATATAAAATAGTCATTAATTGTATATATTGAAATTCATTGACCTATGAATTTTGATTTTAATAATTAAAAACTCAAATTTGTTATTAGAATAATTTATAATTCTTTAAGCCATCACAAATATCTACTCTATTTTTAATATGCTAACAATATCTTAAATAATTCATTTCATTCAGTTGTTTTTTGCACTCTAAATATCTCATATCTTTTATAAATTTATTTTTTATATTTTTTATTTTCCTATTTTAATTCTTTAATCCATTATCTCTCCAAACTCTCTTTCTTCTTTCCTTTTTCAATTATGGCATTTTCTTCAGTCGCCAATCTAATATCATGCAAGGTGTCTCTCTCTTAATCAGCATTATTTTTATTTTCATTATCTGATAAGTCGTCATTGTAAGAAGATTAAACAGATTGATAATTAAGTTAACTAACGTTCTTCATCAGTGGAACCTTTAAGAATTGTGTTCCATTTGAATATTTTGATTCTCTCTATTGATGTTCAAAATACATCTCTTATTTGCTTTCGGATTTTTTAAGAGGAAGCTTAACATTCGTAGCTCTATTGATATTTTATGTATATTAAGAAATTCTTAATTCATTGATCGACTGAGCTGGTTGTCTTGCTTAATCTATCTATTCAGTTAATCCTTTGAATAATAAAACAACACTAGGTCTATTTTCAAACTCTACTTCATCCTTTAAAGATTGAAATCCTGAATTAGGCTGAAGAAATGAGGAAACAGACCAATGGTCACGATTATTAAATTCAACTAATTCCTTTTGAACTTAAAATGGATACTTTAGATCCTAAACAACCTTTAATGAACGTAGATTGACTATGTGTTCTTTTTCCACTTTTAAAAAATTATTTAGAAATCTTCTGCTCATTTCTAAGAATCCAACCAATAACACAAATAATTCATTCTTGATCCCAAATAATTTGCAAATATCTGGAGACAGCGATAACACCCAAGTGCATCTTAATACAAGATTTACACCAGCAAAAATGTAATAGATTGTTGGACTATTGTACCCTAAATCATTTCTAAGAAACTTATATTTCGAATCTTTTTCGAAAAATAAAAAATCCTTAGCTAAATCCCAATAATATTGCCAAAATGTACTAATTATAGCTACAAATATCCAAATAACTCTGAATTCAGTGACATCAGGATTTCTCCTCGCCAAAAATGACCAGACTCCAACTTATGCAGCATTGGCTGTCTTTAAAAAGTTATACCATTCGTCTGTCCCAAATAATTTGCCTTTGACTCTTGCCCTAACGAGATAGTGAGCACATTTAATCAGATAAGGTACTGTAGCTGGAAGGGCACTTGTAAATCGTGTCCTTGGCTCGCATTACCCTTCATGTTCATAACCTTTGAATATCTAAAATTAAGATATAATTTTACAATATAATAGTAATAACAGATTGTATAGTCTAAATCTCTTATGGGAGTAGTGAAGGATGCAAATTAATCTGCCATAAATGTATATCTTGATTCATAATTAAATAAGAATCCCCAAACCATTCCATATAACATTTAGTACATGTATTTCTTTCCTTCCGGATTAAAGATCTTTTTGGATGGGTACAACACATATATCAACAAACATACCCATATTATGAGAGGGTAGAGTCTCACATCAAACACCTATAGTTCTTAAGCTAATTTTCCTATATCTTCCTCTTAGACACAATAAATTATGAAAATTAATAAATAAATTGTACTAAAAATAGTCACTCTTTTTAATATCTCTGACAATGTTGAATAATGATGATTGAATCCCAAATAGAGCTTATAATTAACATTAAAGTAATTCCATCCTGCTACATCAAGAGATATCATCCAAAAATAAAATATGAATAATGCAACTCCTCTGAAACATGGAAAAACCTTATTAAAAACCTTATCTGAATTTGGATCCAAATATCCATCATATCTCATTAATAAAAGGATTATAATCATTAGAGCAGCAAATCCAGCAAAGAATCCAAAATAAAAAATACTCTCATTTGACAATTGGTTTTATTCTGTATATCTTCTCAAAAACTCTCTACATTTTTTTGGACTTTAAATTTATAATAATATTTACTTATCATGTTTATAGAAATTTTAAATAATTACTGACTCTGTTTCGTCCTTTATCATTTTTAATCTTTTAGGCAATTCGCGAATCTCATTCTAAAATTCAATAACTTTTTCAAAAATATTCTCATTTACATCCATTATACCTCTAATCTCTTGTTTTTTAAACTTTTTTATTATTTTTCTAGTTGCTTCATAATTAATACTTAAGAATGATTATAATTGTTGTACTTCTACATAGAACCTAAACATGCTGTCTTGCAATTCCTCACATTTTCTTCTATATTATTTATGCTTGGGCTTATTTTATTTAATTAACTTTAATTAATGTTTTTCAGCCTCCGTCATTGATTTTATGTTCCATGTTATCGCTATTGTAGGTTAATTAAACAATTTTGGAAGCTAAATCCATTCTTATTACATGCCTATTATTTATTCTTTTAATTTATCATATTTCTTAATTACATCTATGTATCTAAACTTGGAGAAAGATATAGTTTTTCTTATCTCATACTCCAAAATCTCAATAAACTTTGCTGAGTCTCTCTTCAATTTATCGATTAGATCACAATCTTACAAAACATCCTATTTAATATTCAGATATTCATCTCTTTGCTTTTATTGCTTTACTTCTAGTAAAAAGGTCTTCAGTATTGTCATTATAGATAAATATGTTTTTAACAATTTAAAATTAACATAAAACTTAACCCATTCAGGAATTAATATTCTAAGGAGATATTTTGTAAATTTCATTTATTTATTTTTATTAATAATATCATAAATTAGGCTTAAATAAACAATACTTTTTCTCCTTCCCATACATTACTCTTGGTTTCATATCAATAGTACAAAGTTGTGTACCAAATCGATTAGAATTCGAATACTGGATGATAGATTCCATTAATCTTTATTAAGTAATTCCAAATTTGTTCTGTAATAAAAACTAATTAAATGTCATCACTTATATACTTCTTAAAGTTCATTAATTTCAACCCATTTATAATTCTTTATTTCTTATTCCTAAATCTACACTTTTTATTATTAATTCTTCAATCTCATGAAAATTACAAAATAGATATCACCTTGATATTCATTAGCAATTGGCAAATCTCTAAAGAAAAAACAATCATATGGTTCAACATCCAAACCTGTTTCTTCCCTTACTTCCCTCGTAGCTGCTTCTGCAACTAATTCTCCATCATCAACCAATCCTCCTGGAATACCCCATAAGCCTTCTTTTCTTCCATTCTTCTCTTATACTAATAATATTTAATTGTTATGGATAATTAGACCTCCAGCACCAATTGAATGAGTAGTATAATTTGGTAATCTGCTTTTCTCATTTTCAATAATCCATTACGAAAATAATAGATAATTTTGTGTACAATGATGCATTTAAAAACCTTATTCAATCAATTTCTCAGCTAGAGCTAATTAAGTTTAATCTAATTGAATCCAAATAGCCTTCATTTATTTAGATTTGCAATCCTTAATTGTATCTATAACGTTCATGGTAAACTATTCAATATTGTTTAAAAATTAATTCAAGTAATGACCCTTTTCAACCTAGAAGCATTAATAATCATCTTAAGCACCATTAAGAATTTATAGTTTCACATTTTTGATAAAGCCTTTGTTGTAGCTAGTAAATAAAGCCAAAGGTACTAATTTCTTCATCATTTTAAGAAATAAATTTATAATGATAATAATTATTAAATTATTACTATGAGATTCTTGAAGGTAATATTTGAATAAATGTAGAAAAAATAATCTTGTCTTATAATACAAAAATATTTATCATTGTTTTAGTAGCATGATTATTATTTTTGTGACATTAATATGGTATTCATCATTTACTTTACTTGTTTTTCCAAATTACTCTTTTTGGAACATCCAATTATAATCTTGAAAAAAAAATGATTTATTCACTTTAACGATTAATACAAATTATTTTAAATATCTCTTATTAATTTTAATGTAGTTACAATAATGGTTCCTGATTAAAATTTAATTTATACTTTTTATCCTAATTTCTAGATCGTAGAAATGCTTTCAATCATAAAATAATCTTAATTTTTCTTCAATTTTATCTGGTCTAATTCTGCCTTTAATATATTCATTTTGGAGGTGTCACTTGTAGATTGAAAAATCTCATATCCTCCTCATTTTTCCATTATATTTTCTAATACAATCCAGCAATAAGTTACCTATTTACTATTTTGTTTTTTATTTTCATCTCCCATCCCTCTATCTCTTTCTAAATCTTTGTGGTTCTCATAATATATTTTCCAAATATTCTATTCATGTTTATTCAATGCCTTAATATAAGCCTTCCGATTTTAAAGACTATTCATTCAATTAGAATGAGTTCTTTCTCCTCCTCTGTTATTATCTATTATTATTGAGGAATCATATTATTTTTTTATAATATTAGAATTTAACGATGAGGAAAGACGGTTTAAATATATCAAAAGTTGCTTCAGATCTCATTCTGGCTTATAAATAATTGACAAGTTAATATGCTGAAATAGTGGTATCTCCTAAATATGAGAAAACTGCATTGTATTTTCCTTAATCACGTAAACTACTTATTTTAAACTTCTCAGCTATTGAAGAATAAATTGAGGAAGAAAATCAACAGGACAGTCCTAGAAAACATGTTATTGAGAACGAAGATGATTATTTGAAAGAAATTAGTGAATTAAGAAAAATTGTAGAATAAAGTAAAACTATTGAATAATTAAGTGAGAATGAAGTATATGAACATACCAGAAAAGTATTTCTCATAGCCATTAGAATCCACGAATAAAAACAATCACTATTATACTTCAACTCCGCCTAAAAAAAATACTAAAAAGCAGATAGTAATTTCAAAATACTAAACCGATTTCTTAAGGCAATAATATGGGAAAATATAATGAATAGATCTTGTTACTTTTAATTTTCTTTAATTTTGATTTTTTATCTACTTATATCAATGATTATTATTCAAATTTTAGTTTCTTATTGTGGATCTAATTACTCTTTTGATAGATTCATAGACTTGTAACAATGTTTAAAACATATTGTAATTGTTTCAGATTTAGTAGACTGACCAATGATTCTAAAAAAGAGTTGGGATAGTCCATTGAATGACCTTATTACATAATTGATATAATAGATATGTATTACCTACAACTATTAAACAAATTTATCCAAATTGAAATTATATCAAAAAATCAAATTATTCCTTATAACAAAAAATTCCTTCAAAACAAAAGAATAAAAATTTAGATTATATTGTTTTGAATTCTATTACTTTTCATCAGTTTTAAGAATATAATTTTAGATTTCAATATCATTTTTTTTCATTTATATTATATATTTCAATAAAATCCTTTCGTGTTGGGAAAAGGAGGATTTAGGATTAGAACAATTTATTTACTTTTAGTATACTTTTATGCAATCAAAAATATGCATTAATTACTGATAGAAAAAATATGTAAAATTATTTTCATAGAAAAGAATATTTTATTTGATTTTAGTATAAAATTATCTAAATCAATTATTTAAAATTTTAACTAATAATTCATGCTTATATGATAGTTATATAAACCTTTATATTAAAGTGATCATTCAGTTAGAGCCAATCAATCTTCTTGAATAAGAATTAATCCAAATTTCAATGATGGTAAAATAAATGATACAAATTATGTTAAAATTAAATAGAATAAAATTACTTAAAAAAAGAATTAATAATTTCAAAGAATTAAATTTTTGATTTTAGTATATTGTAGTAAAGACAAATTCTTTTATAAAAAAATATTAAGGAGATTATTATTTTTGATTTTAATGCTATAATTTAATTAACTCTCTAATTTAAGCCAAATATAATCTTCTCAATCAGATGGTTTAGTTAGTTTGTGTATAGTTTCATTTTAAGGCTTCTTTTGATATTTTTTAATCCTTCTATTGGCTTGTTAATGCATAGTCTCCAGGATTTCATCAATAATTTCTTGATACATATTGTGTTATATAGATTGGTCATTGATTTATAACATTATGCAAGACTAACAAGGAAATTAAAGGTGATTTATAATGAAAACGCTAATACCTTTTCATTTGAAAGTGTTTATTCGAGTATTTTAAGTATATTAGCTAAATTGTTTTCTAAATAAATTAATTATATAAATGAAAAAGTGTAGAATTAATTGGCTTTCTAAAATTATTGAATTTCCAAGCATTTAATAATTTAAATTAAACTCTAAATTTTAAAGGCTTAATTATTTGGTCAGGTCAATTATGAAGAAATATAAATTTTGAATAATTATCCTTTTCGTAAAATATAACGAATATATTAAAGTTCATGCGTTAAAATTGTTTGATTAAATTATAATTAATATAGAGGTAGTTTCTTAGACTAGGTTGAATTATAAAATACGGATTCAAAGACTAATATTCGATTTAAGTTCTTGCCCAACTTAAATAACTAAAATTTTAGCCAAATAATTATCTCATTACTAAGAATATTTTTTTGGATTTCAATATAAATTATTTCTTATACGAATTATATAGAAATTTTTATAGTGTCAAATTTCTTGTGACTAAAATATTGTAAAATGAAATCAAATTAGAATATTGCCCTTGTCTGAGGTGCTCGCGTGTAGAATAAAGAAATATAAACAGAATTTTATAATTTAATATAATTATACAAATAATTCTTGTATGCATATCTATTTTAGGATATAAGAATTTCCAATCCTTATTTAAGTTGAAATAATTGTTAGATGATCTAATAAATAAAATGTCAATTTAATTATATTTCAATCCCATCTCATAACCATCAAGAGCTGTACACGCACTATTGGTACTTGGTAAAATCCCCCATGATTTACACGTCATTGATTTGATGAAACAAGAGCAAAATACTCCAGAATACAGAAAGATATCCCCAACCGGTAACGTACCCTCAATTGTTGATGGAGATGTTGTCTTGTTCGAATCCCACACTATATTAAAATATTTAGCTAAGAAATTCAAGCTTGAAAAGTTCTACCCATCTGACATTGTTGAATAAGCCAGACTTGATTAATATCTTGATTGGCATCACACAGGAACCAGAAATGTTACAATAACAGCCAGAGATTTTGTATTCCTTCCAAAACTCTTCGGAAAGCCAGCTCCAGAAAATAAGGATGAAAGATTCAAAGAATTAGCATGGTATCTTTCGGCCTTTGAAGAGATCTTCTTGGGAGGTGGAAAACATAAATACATATTGGGATTTGCCGAACCAACTATTGCTGATTTGAGGTAAATAATTATATATAATTTTTTAGTGCAATCTGTGAATTGACATCATTATTGCTACTCAATTTTGATCTTACTCCTCATCCTCACCTTCATCAATACATTAAACATATCCTTTCAATTCCTGAGGTTAAAGAGGTCCATCAAGCTGCTTTTGGATTTACCTAAAAATTCACAGAAAACTTAAGATAAGAGTTTGTCGATCTTATCTAATGAGTTATAAATAACAAAATAAACAAACAATTTCCTAATTCCATATTCTTTATCATTTTTACATTATTGTCATTTTCAACAATAATTCAAGTTTCTTTTAATATAAGTTATCATTGAATTCGTCATTCAAACTCTAATAGAAATGATTCTAGAGCAATTCTCTATTAAATTTGTTTTAATTATTAATAATACTCTTATTCGTTAATATTTTCTTTAATAAATAAAATTGAAAAAAAAGAAAGAAATCTGACTATTTTATATGTTAAGGACATTCAAGTCATCATTTAGCATCCTACTTCTTTCGTTGTCTTCTTTATTCAACTTGCTTCTTTCTTTCCTCTTCAACAAGGTCTTTTCTTCCAGCATGCCAATTTGGACCCTTTCTCTTTTATTATGGTCCTTAAGCAGAGGTTGCGGCTGATCCAAATCTATTCAATATTATCCACAATTATTTACCTTCTATTAAAGCAGATTCTTTTGTAGGCTCTTCCTTTTGGAATCTTGTGTCTTCTCACTTATTTTTCAACTTTTGGTGTTTACTTTCTGACCTTACCGGCTTTTGCCAATGTTCCATGTAGTTTTCCCATGCAAGTGTTAAATTAATAAATTAATTATATGTAATTCTTTATTAAAATTTACAAAAATAAATAATACCCTCCAATATCATGTATACATCATAATAAACCCTATTTATTCAAAGTCTGCACTTAATCATCTATGTTAATTTGATGTATGTTTATTATAATGAATTATAAATAAGTCACTTTTTGTTATATACTTCTAATCTTCATAGATTTAGATTAAATATTTCAAAGATTCATTTTTTAATTTATTGGTCATCAATTTCAAGATTTTTATCGTGTCCACAATGCATATATGAGGTACTAGAATCCTTAATTAGTAATTCCATTTCTAAATAAACTAATGCTCTTATTTTTTAAATTGTTCTTGAAAATGCTTCACAGAATTATTTAATATAATCATCTGTTAATTTTCTAGCATTTAAGTTAATTATCTTAAGATTCTCTGATCAATTCATCGCTTTGATAATTTTCTTTAATTCATTCATTTTTTTTAGACAATGCTGGATGAATTTAGATCTATTTCAATTCATCAAATATCTTTTTTGTAAGACATTATTCTTTCTATTGCGAATTGCCGATCTGAGCTGAACTAAAAACATTCTTTTGGTTTTTTTCACACCTATAAAAACAATGCTAATCAATTTATTTAGCTTCCTATAAATAATAATAATGAAAAAATCTATGCATAAATGCTCTTCTAATTAGCATCTAAAAAGGACATGAATAGGTCTGTGATATAAATTAAAAAGTCTTAAACATAACTATCAAAAAATACTACATCTTGGTACAAGCTCATCCATCTAAAATTAAAAATCAATTTGTAATAAGCAAAATGGAGATTATTCATACTTCATGTCTATCTGGCTGAGTAACTCCATTTTTCCCATTCTAATGTTGTAATGAGATTATTGAATTTATTTTCAATTTTCTACAATATCTCATCTCTTTTATTTTTAGCTTTGGGATATGGTATTTTATATAGAGATAGGAATTAATTAAGAATCTTAAAATTTATTTTTAGAAATTTTAGAGTTGAATTATTCTTGTATACACTAAGCTATTGAGTTTCAAAAGATCATTCTATTTTGGTTTTTATTTTAATTAGAATAAGGTTGTATTGATAGAAAAGCCATCGATCTAACATTCCTAGAGTGTTCTGGAATGCTAAATATGAACATTACTCATCCGCAGGAAATCTGAAATGCCCTTCTTAAGATTTTATACACTACTCACAGACAGTGTGCCCGCATTCATTTAACAAGCTTGGCAAGTGCATAGCCTAATCGAACTCTATAGAGCACAATCTACAATTCAGAAATTGCTCATTCATTTTTCGCTATTAATTGATTATTATAAATTCTAAATTAAACTAATAAAGAATATTCCTATTTATTCAACTATTACGAATTTAAACCCTTCCTTACAAGTTAAAAGCCAAAGACTTTTAATAATTGGAATTCAAGTTAAATATAAAAATAACAGTAAAAAAAAATTAATATAAATATTCAAAATTAAAAAGAAATGAATGATGAAAGGATTTAGTTTTTAGAATGGAAGAATGAAAAAGCAATTTTGCAATAGAAAATTTAAATTTAAGAGATGTTTATATAGGAAGCTAAGGAAAGAGAGGAGAACTTAAGAAAAATGAATGAAATCTTCATTAATACATTGAATCAACAATAAAATGATAATGTTGTTCAGAAGTTCTAAAAAAATTATGAATAGGTTGAGATAGAAAAAAAGTAGGACATCATAAATGCTTAATAAATTTAAATAAAGTTATTCGAGGGTAAATTGGCTGAAAAAGAACATCAAATTAATTAAATTTAAAAAAACTATGAAAAAGAAATTGAAAAACTACAAAAAAGGATTGTAGAATTAGAGTATTTATCTTGCAATAAAGAAAACATCAATTATTAAAACATAATTGAATATTAAGTAAATCAATAATATGATGATGAAAAAGCACTTCAATAACGAAAAAGGAATTAGAGCCCATCTCATCCAACAACCAGGATTAGGGTGAGTCAACAATAACAATAACTATAATAAATTTCGAACAATAAATTTGATGAATCTACCTGCACAAATTAAGATTCAACTGATATTTCTGGATTCTTAAATAGAATTAATCCTAACCTATAAAGACAAATGAAAGATATCTAAAATAAACTTTACAACACAAAAAAGAAGTTAACCACAACTACAGAACAGGAAACCTCATTTATACGTTAGTCAATTCAAAAAATAAAAAATGTATTTATTACAAAGTGATGTTTAGCGATCTAGGAATCATTCTATTTCTATAAACGAGAATCCATATTGTGAATAGAGATCAACATGGGATGATTAAGTTGAATATAGAACCAATCAAACAAATTAGACAAACTAATCTTTGATGTGTAATGGATTTAGATTTTCTTGAATACAACTATATAATTAATAAGATATCAATAACTTTGAAAACTTCTTAGAATACTAGGATCATTTCACTATTTTATTAGATTTTATTATATTGTTATATAATTTATCGAAATAATAATGTATTAGACTGAAACAAAATCATCTCTATACGCATCGAAATTAATTTAACAGACAAATTATTCAGCTCTTTCATCATTGCCGAAAACATACATAAGACAAGTGTAAGCAGAGGGTAAACTAATTTTTACTAATCGTTTAGGAGAAATATTTATGGCTGCTCCTTAAAAATGTGCAAACATCTGGAAAGAGTTTAGAAAAAATGATTTTACATAAGTTTAAATACCATATAAAACAGCTCTTTAAGTTTTTGATGCATGTAAAGAGGATTTTTAAATGATGTTAAAGATCTCTAATGGAAAGGATTTCTTTGATTTATTTGATTAAGACAATGATGGGTAATGAAATTATATTTTAATTTAGATATTTAAATGAAGATGAATAAATTCTAGTGTTCAGCATAATAAAAGAGAAAATGCAATAAGTTGCAAATCTCCTGCTATAAATATAATAATATGTTCCTTTCAAATAATTGATGAAAGCCATAAGAACATTAGAATAAAATATCTGTGAATACTAAGACATCTTAAGATAGAAGATCTATAAATAAGAAGTGGCGACTTATAAGGAAATTGGACTTGAAAAACTGGATGACTTCTATGAGAAGTACTATAATCATTTCCAATAATTTGAGAATCAGAAAAAAATAAGAATGTATAGATTACCATGATGTTTAATTAGATAAATGCAGATTTAGAAATAACAGGAAGAAATGGGACAGTTGGAAGATAAATTATCAAAAAACACTGAATTTTTAAAGGTAAAGCCTAAAAGAAAACTAAAAGATTTATAAACATAGGAAAAATTAGTGTCCTTAGATGAAAGAGTGGAAGAAGCCATGGATTTTCGTAGAGAACTAAAAAATATGGAAAAAGCAGAATAAGAAAGAGTGGCTTCTGAGTAGGAAAAACGTATTGAAAGTCAAAAGGACGAATTATAACGCAAGCATCAAAAGCAAATGGAGCAATTAAAAGCTAAATTAATAGAGTAAGAACACAAATTAATCATTTAACTTAAAAAGGAATATAATGTGCTGTTGAAATAAATTGGATTGCACAGCAATGAGATCGAGAGAATTTAATCTTCAGCTACTCAGCATGCAATTCGAAAAGGAGAAACAGAAGGAGAACTTAAAAGAATGAAAGAGAGAGCAAGAATATAGAATTATATTATTGGAGATACTAAAAGAACGATGACTCCTAAGCCATAATAATTAAACTCATCAACCTATGAAGATACAGTCAGTTCATCTCCAAGATCTCCAGCTGTTCATAATAAATACGATAGAGCAGCACATGAAATCAAAGTTCTAATTCATAAATAAAATTACACTTCCTTTTATATTAAAAAAAAATATGGGGCCGTATTACATTTTAAATGATATCTAATTAGGACCTGCCAGTAAATTACAAACCTGAACCATATAAATTATAAGGCGACAATCATGATCGAATTGAAAAGATACTATCTGTAAAAAAGAAGAACCCCCATGATGTACTACCCTCCTTGACATAATAGTACGATGAAAATCTTAAAGAATTAGTAATCAGAAAATTAATATTTATAGGATAAAGGGAGTACTTAAAAATCAGAATAAGAACTAATATAGGAAAGATTAAAAAAGAAATAGTTTATATTAGAAAAACTGGAAGAATCCACTCATTGAATTTATAATTCATATCATTATTGAAGAGAATTCTCATTCATTAAAAATTATTTTGATCCCATCAAAATCTTATTTCTCCTTAAAAAACTAATTAATTTAATTAGGTTTTATGATGATCATAAAGATTATCTGTAAAAAAAATTTTAAATATTAGCCCCATAAGACTTATTTTATTTTGTTTAAACAAAATTAATAAGAGTTGATAGTTTTGCTTTCAAATCTACCCTCAAAGGTATTAAATATTAAGTAAAAAATTAACAGTCTTCATTTTTAAATACTTAAATTGGATATTATGATTAGTATAATCATTTTTATAAAATAGAATTTTGCTATGGAATATAAAAAATGAGTATCAATAGTCTTGTCCTGCAATCAGGATTCTAACATGTCTATCAAATTAATCATCTAAGAATAGCACAGTCGATGGTATTAACAAAATAAATCTTCTAGCTAAAATTAAATCATTCCTTAAATTTTTCATCAAAATTAATATAAAATAAGTCATCAATAGCAATGAATATATTATAAAAATAATCGAGATTGTATTGCATATAGTAATTTACTATTCTGTTACGTTGACCATGCCTAATTTAAATTATTTGCTCATCAGTTAAAATGCTCTTAATACAATAAGACTACCCTCGTTTTCATATTTATTATATTCCACTCTTTATGTAAAATTGTTAATCTACATCTGATTTGAAATAGAGTTTGATATGAATTTTAGAGTAGGAAATAATCCTAAAAGCAAACTACCTTATAATGATTTATCACAATATTATTTTAAAAACCCCAAATTTTGATCCCCCAATACTATACAGATATTATTTTCTTATAATGATTAAAAGAAGATGAAGAAATCTTCAGAAGTTTAATATTAACTGGAATCAAAATTATATGAGAATTGGAGGAATTTAGATATTGTTTATAAACCAGTATTAATTGTAAAATAAAACTGCTCTTTATCAAAAGGTCTCAAGTAAGGATAACTTGAAAAGGACAATCCAAAATCTCTATTTCTATAAAGAGTTCCAGCATATAATGACATATCTTAGATTAATTTGTAGGCATCTGCAGTGGCTGAATATTTCTTTAAATATTCTCCAATTTGAATATTTGATACCAAACTCAACCCAAAAAACACCATCCAGCCGATTATTACAAAAATAAATTTCATACCAAAAGATATCTTTTAGAACTATTATTAAATTTTTATATCCTTAATTTTTTATTATTCGTTTTCCTCTCTTTATTTTAATATATGATCTTCCTTTTATTCGATACTAAACTAGTATTAAAATAATAAATCGCTACTTTTACTTAACACCTTTAAAATATAATTTAATCTTTCCAATTCCTATTCCATTTTAAAACATGAACAATATTTAAATAGACCTACAAATTAATCTAATTTTGAGTTGAATATCCTAAAATAAAATAAACTTCCAAATAATGGACAAATATTGACCATTAGATAAATGATCCAAATCATATTCCACTTATTGTTGACTTCTATACTTCGATTTTTAGAATATTCATAAACTTCCATAGTCAATTCCTCCAACCAAAAATGAAAAGTATATATATTTGCAAACTGATACACTTAATATGTTTAATTAGCTGTGCTTAACCTTGCCTCAAATCTCAACTTGAAGTCATAATAATATGATAGAGTAGCCATTAATGCTTCTCTAATATTTTAAGTTGTCGGTTACGTTTAAGCACCATTATCCTTCATATAGTACACAGTAATATTCTTGTCTATTAAAAATGGAGTCAAGTATTAGTTGCTCAACCAATATATAAATCCTTCTTTGAATTCATAGTAACCAATTCCAACATTCTCATACAAAGGATCTGTAAGTTCTTTGAACTCCGCTTGAGTAATTTTTCCTACAGTTAAAAATGAATTATAAGTGATTATGGGTTGCCTAATTTACAGATACAAATCGTGAGGATTCATTATTCCTGCATGCAATTAGATCATATCTATTTCCCCTAGGAATCGATATAGATCTTCTTAGGCACTGACAAGAATAATAATAAAATAAGTTAATCCAATTATATATGTAAGTTCTTAAAGCAATATGAATAGTTTCAAGGTTGTTGGAGTAATAGGATCTATTAATTGAATTATGGCTTCATATTTTTTATAAAATATCAACTTTTTTATCCCACCAAATGCATTACTCGAAGAAGATTATTCTTTTTCTCTTTAGATATTCTAGGCCCGACCACTAATCTGTTACTTTGAATTTTTACTTTAAAATTTTTCTTCTAACTCTTCTATTTTGATATTTTTTGATTACTAAATTGAAATCGATTTATCGCTTTCTTTATTAAAATAATCCTATTACATACCTTTTTGTTATATTTATAAGGGTATCTAAGATTGATCCTACCAAGGAGCATTACTATAATTTGGACTAAGAATATTAATTTAAAGAAAGGACATATCTTATAATTAGTATTGTTATTATTCATTTTTGATTTCCTCTATTTCTTAAGCTACTTTTTTAATCTATATAATTTCTTCTGAATTATCATCATAACATATTTTAAACTTATTTTATTATCGAGAAATGTTAGGGGATTAGGCAATAGCTTCATTTTCAGACAATTCTGATTACTCAAAAAACTCTTCTAAACCTTCCTGTTTTCTAAATCTACTGGATGTGTATGACCTTTTTGTGTTTACTATTTAATTTGCTTCTTTTATTTCTATTATAAAATAATCATAACCAAAGACATCTTTATATTAAATATTTATTTCTGCTTCAAAAGTGTATGTCTATTCTGGATTTAACCAAATAGTTGAATTTAATTACTATTTATTTTAAAATCTATTAACATCCTCATAAAATTCCTTTAGATATTCTTCCTTGATTAATCTCATTTCTGTAATTGTATTTTTCTATTTATCTTCTATAATTTTTTGAAAATTTGGTATCAAATACTCAATTGATAATTAAGTTGAATCCTATTTATTAAATTAACTATAATAATTTTAATCTAACCCTAGCTTATCAAAGAAACTCTCAGTTATACCTCCAAGTTTTTGATTAACATCAACTAACATATATGCCATTTGATTTTTACATTCTTCAAAAAACGCTGAAAATCTGTAATGATTTACATGGTCAAAATGAATATCAAATAAGAGTAAACACTGTTTAATTAATAAATTATTAAACTTAAAGAAAGTTTTATTCTAATTTAGGTAAAATTTAGATTGGCTTGTTTACGTAAACCTTTACACTAATAAGCTATGCTCATTTTTTATGGCCAAGGGAAGTAGATAATCAACATTAGTAAACTGTTTTGAATCTTCTGTCGATATTTAAAAAAATCTTAATGAATTTTCTGATTTACTTGTTATCAACAAATTTTAATTATACTCTAACTCTATATTTAGATAAACCACTTATTTTGAAAAACAGGCTCCTTTAATATGAACATCAATATTTATTAGTTGTTCATCAGTAAGTGAAGTTAAATTGTTGATTTTTTAAGCATCAATATAATTATTTAGAATTTCTGCTTTATAAAATACCATCATAGATTATATTTTTTAGCTTGGAAATTATTGATACTTGTTATTTAATTTGTTTTCTAGACTTTGCTAGAGTTTACTAAGTTTTATTGCTTTTTCATACAATTGATATGCATCAATTGCTTTTTTAGTTGTAAATTACTGCATAAATGAGATTTTTTCATTAATCAACTAAATAATTGCACTTTTTAATCCTTGATTTCTTTATTCATTCCTAAGGAATAATTCAACCCCTAACTTCATATCGTTTTATTGCGATGAAGAATTGTTATTTGCATAAAATTTGAATTATAAATTTTCTTGTATTTGTCTCTTTAAATAGAGGGTTTTTGCAGTATCTGTTAATGATAATTAATGATTACCAATCAATAATAGCTTACTCCTCTTAAATTAATCTTTTTTAGCTATATCATTGATATCATCAGTATTAGATCGAAGAGATTTACTACATGCTGATTAATGACCAGAGTGTTTTTAAGTACTATTGATAGCACTACTTTGAACATCAGCATCTCCAATAAAGCCCTTATATGTGATTTAAATTAATGTTTTATTGACCAATTAATTAATTGCAATTAACGCTAAATTGGAAAACCCAAAGTTATATAACAAGGCTATGTAATGTAAGTCAAATCCTTTAATTTTTGAAATAGTTTTTACAAATTATTGTAATTTTTTTTAGATAAAGGCATCTAAATTTTGAGACGTTAATATATTTACATTACATGATTTTGCTTATATTTCATTTGTATGGTGATCAATTGATTTTCTCATCCAATGTAGAACTAAAGAATTATTGACAATTCTTTCACTGTAAGTTAGATCATCAGTAATAAGTCTTGATAAATAATACTTTATTATCTTCTGCTATTTTATATGTAAAATGTTATTGAAAGTGCTCTGCTCCCTCCTATTATGGAATGACAATAATAATTTGCTTAATGAGATAAATATTATAATTATTCCAGCGTTTGTGAATTGGGATGCTAAATCTTATTGTAGACTCTTAATTAGCTGAAAAATTGATGTAATACAACCAAAAGACGATGTAATCAAACTGATTTTAGCTTTTGTTATATCAGTGTATGCATATTAGAAAACTTGGAAAATATTGATAAATGAGATTGTGAGTACTAGAAAACTTTACAGTGTCTACCCATTAATTTCCCCCTTAATAATACCATAAACAAAAATTTACAACACTTAAAGGATTATTTACAGATAATCCAGAAACGTTTAATTGAATTTTTAGAATCTATTTACTTTTAAATCTATAGTCTCTCTGGTGAGCAATAAGTTGGTTATAAGGTTGATTAATGTTAGCAATATAGAAAATACAATAAAAGTTATATAGTAAATAGAATGATTTTAGTTTAAGGATACAATTAATGATTGAGTGCATAACATTAAAAATGGAACAAATAAATAGGTTATAAAAATTTGATAAAATATCGAACTAATCTTAAAGTAATAATTAGTTATTGTAAGTCTAAGGATTACTTGTTTGTTTTATAAACCAATCAACATAAGCAAGGGTATAATAAACATTAAAATTTAAATTATGAGTGGTATAAAATAATACTGTAAGGATGAATTAAATTGAAAATTAATCAACTCATCGATTCTGCTTAGGTATATGATAAATGACTCATAATTGATTTTACTTTCAAAAAATGTTAATCTCTAGGATTCAAATATAGGTACCCATAAAAATGTGATAAATTATAGGTCACCTAACACGCTAATCAGATAAAATATTATCTTTTAAAGACTTACAAAATAATATAAATGAAGCAATCTTTCCAATAACAACACTTTCAGGTTGATTTATTTTTTCTTAATTAGTTTTGCAATCATATTCTGTTTTATTTTAAATATAATTCATAAAATTTGAAAATAAATATAATTTCTTATACAATTTTAAAAACAAAAGTAATTTCTTAAAAAGGACATTCGGAACAATACTCAAAATATTAAGTAAAACTTTTATATATAGCGTAATTTAACATGGAATTCGCCTATGCTTAGAGAAAATAGTCTTTGGAAAGCTAGAATTTTAGGATATAATGAATATTGAAGATTTATTCAAGAATAAATCAAATATAAACCATCAAGTAATTTAAGTTCACTGTTCTTCTTTATTTAATCTATAAAAGTGAAGATAAGACTTTCATTATTGATTGCTTCTTATTTAATTCTAGAGAGTAAGGAATAATTAGAAGATATGTTGATCAAATAGTAGTTTAATTTGTTATTATATTTAAATTATTACAATTTCATTCCAGTAACTTTTATTTAATATTTTTCATATTTTCGTATGCTTTTTGAAGATAATGATCACTTTTATCAAGTTTCTTTTCGAATATTCTTATTGCTTCTTGAACTTTATCTAATGCCTTCTAATATTATTTTAATTCAGATAGGACTGTTCCTATATTGTTGATTGTCTATGCTACTATTTAAGAATCTTATCCATAGACTTGTTTCTAACCATCCAAAACTACTTCAAATATCTTCAAAGATTCTTCAAATTGGTTTTTTTAAAATAACGCTGAAGCCAATTAAATAGCTGTGTTCTATGTTGATTTATGAAATATTTTCAATTCCTGTGCTTTGTATTTATAGGCATCTCTAAAATACTAAATACACAAATCTAAATTATGCAATGATCTATAACATTCTGCAATACTATGCATTGTGTTACTCTTTTGCAAAGCGGCATCTCCAGCATTAGGATCGCTAAACACTCCTGGTTCATTATACATTTGCAATGCTTATTTGAAATAATCAATAGCCTCTTCGAAAGATTGTTTATTTTGTAAAGTCATTCCAATGTTATTTATAGTACTTGCTAAACTCTTTGAAGGTTGCACTTGTAATTCAGCCTTCTTTATACTCAAAGCTTAATTGAACATCTCCAACGCCTTATCATATTGTTTATCGCTTCTATACGCTTCGCCTAAATTGTTTAACCTATTCCCAACACTAATGTGACCCTTTCCATAAATACTCTCATAAACTTCAATGGTTTTTTAAAAATTTGATATAGCTCTTTTTACTTCCCCTTTTTAATAATATATCATCCCTACATTGTTTAGCAGGTGTCCTAACAATTATTTTGATTGTTGTTCCAATTTTTCTTATTCATTCTGCTATTCCAAAATGCTTATTGCTGAATCCCAATATTAAGTAGCTTTATTATTTTGCTTTTTGTCATAATAAATTTACCCAACAGTGTTATACATGTAGATTAACTCATTTTGGAATTATTGTTGTTATGATTGGTTTTATATATATTTGATAGACTTCTCCCACACATTTAGAGCTTCATCATATTATTTTAAAGAATGATAGGCATTCCCTAATTGAATCTATATTTCATTAAAATTTTACGTTTAACTATACGGTTGTGTCTTTTTCTTCATAATAGTTATTTAATTCTTGGGCTTTCTAATATAAAGCCAAAGCTTCTTTCTAATTTTATTGGTTCGCTTCTTGCTAACCATTTTCTATAAGTTACTTAATTTTTTCTTTTAGAAATTACGAAAATTAAGTTGTAAATTGCTTTCGAATTTTCTCCTCAACTTTGCATAGTAATTCAATAGCTTTATCTTAAGCCTCAGGTTATTTGGCATTGGCAAGTTCAATCTAAGGCTAATTACAATTTTGTACATATAGCTAAATCAAAATAGTTTGATTCTTGACCCCTTTCTAGTTATAGATTTATAATAATTCTTAAACTTCATTCAAACGAGTTTAGGGGACCTGACTTAATTGTTTAATTCTTTATTAAATCATTGTCACTATATCTACAGTTACTTATGGTATTAATTCTTGTCTTTAACATTTCTTAACTAGCAACGTAACAGTCTATTTAGCTTTCAATTAAGTCTTGATCCACTCAACGCATAATTGAATTTCCTCATCTGTCGATGTATATGTTAATTAAAAGACATCGATTTAAGATGGCATTTTAATTTATTGTTAGATATTTATAGAATTATTATAATTTATTCACTTAAGAAGTGTTTTGTGTCTCTCTTTATTTGTATTCATCATATTCATAATGAACTTTTCTCGAACTCTTATATTAAGTATTTGATAACTATGTTTTTACTACATTACACAAGGTTCATTATCTCCTAAAGGTTATAAATAAAAATATCGGTGTAATCCCCTGAAGTTTAATAATATTGTTCATATTAAAAATCGAATTGGATATTAGTCAATAATCAAATTCAAGCTCATTTACTTATATTTTTATTGCTAATTCCATATAATCTTTTAAATAGTGTTTATTCTAATAAATAATGAAAATATTGCTGCTTTTGATATTATTAGACATATTTGAGCTAACATCATTGCCAGCCTAGGATGCTAATGCAAAATTTAGCTAAAATGATTTACACATTTTAGAGGAAAGATCAATAATAAGAGGGTACTACAAAGATGTAGCATCAGCATCTAATGGGGCAGTGATATAATCAGCTAGAGCTAATATTTTTGCTAGACCTAGTATTGACAATAGTCCCCTTAGAAATTCACTTTATTTTTCTGACGCTTTTGCACCTGGGCATGTTTACACTGCATTACATTAATCATTAGTTGTAGAATTTATTCAAGCATATGAAATTAACAAAATTAGATTTTGGATGTTGGATGTTGACGCTAGAGTAACAAGTATGCAAATCTATATCGTGGGTTCAGACAGATTAACTGAAACCATGATACTTGACGATTTTGTATAACCAGGAGTACATACTTTATAATTTCCTGATTAATTAGTTTCAAAAGTAAGGTTCTACAATTATGGTGGTAATACTATTAATAGTTTCTTGTCATTAATAAAAATTTAAGCCTATTATGCATTTTGATGATAAATATTTTCATTAAATCAATAAACTAAATATATTTATCTCTTTTTTCATTTTTCAATAATCTAATTTACAACAAAAAATTACCAATTATTCTAAGTAAATTGTTTTTTCATATAATACAAATGGATACAAACCTAAATTTAGGATTTCTAAGTGTAAATGAAAAGCTTTAGGTAATCCTAAATTTGGTAATTATAGCATTACTTTCGCTAGAGGATGATTATATGAATTATTCCATATGGCCTAATTGTTGTTGATATTTAAGATAACATTTATATTCTTTCTTTAAATTTTTGGAATATGAAATTCAAAAGTAGGCTCTATCAACTCAAAATTTCTTTTTAATGGGCTATTTGAGCAAAAATAATTTATCCTTTTAATTTTAAAGTATTACCAAGTTCTTAATAGCAAATCAAACATCATTATTGGATGATGAGACGGACTTAAAATCATTGAATTAATTGTTACTGGTTCTTGTTAAGTTAATGATTATTTAAACTTAACACCTAACATTAGAAAATATGATATAATCCTTTATTTTAATTGTTCAGATCAATCATTTCATAGAATACATAAAAATTTGATTATGAATGTCTAATAATAATATATCATTGTCCGATCATATTTAAGATTCTATCAACTGCAGCTTCTACATTTCCCCCAGTGGCAATCAAAGCCTCTAAATTCACTTATTTGTTAGTAAATCCTAGTTCTTGTAGTTATTATAATTAAGTTGCATATTTCTACTCTGCAGCTTCAGGTGTTAATTAGGCACCGCCAACGCCTCCGATGCCTCCTATTTAATTTATTTAATAAAGGTACCTCCCATCATGCTCATTAGACTTTGTAAATCGAAACCTCCTAAGGGATTTTATGCATTTTAACCAGTTGTAGCTTAGACAGGAGGTGGTACTTATGCATTATTAGGGTTAGGAGGAATAGGATTCTCTCCAACTCCGCCGTATCCTCCCATACCGCCAAAACCTCCCATTCCACCAAAGCCTCCCATTCCGCCCATTCCTGATAGAGCCATTTAAATTGCTTGAGGATTCATCATCATTTACAAAAGTTAAGGATTATCAAATATTTATTAAAGTTGTGGATTAGACTACATCATTTAAGCAATCATTGGATGTTGCATGATTTGTTATCTAAATTGTGGATTTTACATCATCTAAATAATGAACAGAATTTAAATACTTATGTCATTTATTACTAGTACGTAGGATTGGATAAGACTTAGGCCATCATCTATGGATCCATTCCTCCGAGTCCACCCATTCCTCCAAGACCACCGATTCCTCCAAGTCCGCCCATTCCTCCAAGGCCTCCCATTCCGCCGAGGCCTCCCATGCCTCCCATTCCAGGAGCACCTCCTAGTCCTCCAAAACCTGGAAATCCACCTTATTATCCTCCTAAAGGTTATTAGGGTTATTATTATTATGGACCTGGGGGTTATTATTAAGGTGGTTATTAGGCTTATTCTATTTGTTAATGAATTATATACATTTTGTAACAACTAGATGCATTGTTGAATCAGTCTTTACATTCACATTTTAGAGAACATCGATGTCTTTAAGAATTTTACCTTAAAATATAATCTTCATCTAAGAGATTTCTGCGGTAAACTTTGGAGCAAGTTTTTCCTTTAATTCCTTCACTGTGGCATTGGGGTCGATTTCAACAACTTCTATCTGATCTGTTCCGTGTTTGATTTTGATTGAAATTGTTGTCATGAAATTTAATTTGTGATTTAAATCTAGAACAATTCATACTCTTCTATAATTTATTTTTATGAATAGGTAAGAACATTCACATTAAATTTGCTAAATTTGCCATAAGCAAATCAAATCAAATAAAATGGTATTCAAGAATTCTATCTAAGGCTTCACATAAGACATAATGCTTGAGAAATTAAAGACAAAGAAGATCATAACAATAATAATAATAATAAAGAGATTAGTAATAAAGATAATCTTAATAAAGAATTAATAATTCTGTTAATTATAATATTCAATATATACAGGATAGTTCTGATAGCGAATTAGAAGGAATGCCACAATTTCCTAACTTTAATTGTAATTCAATTTAAATAGTCTAATATAGAAATTTTTGGACCTAGTTCTTATTTTCAACGATCTATGGAGAATATGAGACATTAAATGAACGAAGCTTTCAATATCAAGTAAACTTTTATGCGTTATCTAGTCTCAATTTTGGTTCTGATTTATTTCAAATTAATTTATAAACTAATGGGAACTAAAGATAACATATATAAATAAATAGCATAGGGCCAGAAATCCAAGCATAATAATTTTTTCATATTCCCTCTTTTCAATTCATTTATGATGATGATGATGATGATGATGATGATGATGATTCTGATTTAGAAAATTAATCTCATCCAAGTTAAGAACCAGAAGCCTAGTAAATAAGACAAGCATAACCGATGAGTTTAAGTGAAATCAAAAGGATACCAACATAAAAGTATATTCCTAATAAGAAAAATAAAAATTGTGTTATTTGCATGATAGATTTTAAGAAATCTGATAATGTTAAGTAATAGGTTTTATTAACAATATTGTAGAATATTGCATTGTTTCCATTAGTTCCATGCAAAATGCATAAATTAATGGTTGAAATAGAAAGGGGAATGCCCTGTATGCAGACACTAATTAAAATGAATCATTTCACTAAATATTATATTACATCAATAAATGAAGTTTATTAATTTTTCATAAATGTAAACAAAGTTTTCGAACATATTATCTTTTGTTTCATTATCATCTTGATGAAGATTGATTTTAGCAAATGCAAACTCAGGGTTCAAACAATTCAATAAATAACTAAAATAATTAAAGAATTCTACTTTGTTGTATCACTTCCAAACAAAGCTCCTACTGGACCTAATGAGTTTATTCTAGTTTCAATTACAAACAAGATAGCTAGAAATGCATCTGAGTATGTTAAGGGAAGTGTACTCATTTATGTTATCATATATTGATACAACCCATCATTGTCATCAATTTGACTATAAGCAAAATACCTCATCATAGAGATAGCAGAACTAATCTTAAGTAAGCTATCCAACGTGTGTTATGTGCAATAATAATTTTACCTTAACTTCAGATAGAACTTCTTTAGTAATTCTAGAGAACTACTATCAATAGTTAACAATTTATTAATCCAAGTCTCAAGATCTGAATTATAAATTTTGTCTGCTGTTCTCTTTTATAATAAATAACATGAAGAGGGAGCATGAATTGACCTATCTGCTGTTGGTTACTTTTTTATTGTTGTTTGAAATGGATTTGAACTATCTGTTTGAGAACTCTTAAATAAATATTCACAATAATCTGCAATCAAATTAAATCTAACTTGCTTATAATTTAAATTAGAATAAGCTAAATCTAATACTATATCAAAGGAGTCTGTTGCATGTGGGAATTTCTCATTTAAATAAGTGAAATCTGATTTTTTAACTTTTAAATCTTAAATATCAAATAAACACCATATCGAACAATTGATTTCTATCTTTTTATCCTTCATAATAATAATGGGACTTCCTTTGAGTATTTGCTTAATCTTTTCTTAAACACCTTTGGTTGGCATTCTTTTCAAAATTAAAATTCCGTTCTTAGCCACACTCATTATCAAATAATCAAAGGTTTCCTCGTCACAATCTGGTAATACCAAACAGTTTTCTAAGTTTTAAATCATGTTCTATATCAAATCAATTATTATTTCATAGTCTTCATATATTATTGCTATATGCAGATGTCTCTGAATTTATTCCTCTTCCAATCTCTAAATCAATAAATTTGATTTCTAACATAAATTTGGAGACAGATAATACTGTAAACTTGAACTATTCTCTAAAAATATACTACAAAGTAAAGACAATTTTAACATTATTAATGAATTGGATAGTGTGTGCTGTTTTAATTATTAGTAATCAAAAGATATTATGATATAGTATATTGTATTGAGTATTTCATAAATATAATTCTTATTATCCTTACCATAATTGTAATGTCTTTTGCTTTTATCCAAGAATAGTTTGATATCTTCATTATAATTTTCATCAGTATCAATTTGTTAAGATTGTTTAAATTTATAGTTTAACTTCAATTTTTGGAAGTACTTCTTATTTTGTACTGCTGTGTATTAATCAATGGTCACTGCATAACAATACTCATTAGCCAAAATAAATGTATTATTTTGTCTGTACTGATCGGATAAGTTAAAAGTATAGTATGCTAGAGAATATATCTGATTTCCAACATTGAATTTATTCACATTATTGCCTTCAACATAAATATCAAGCAATTAAAATGAATGTTTATATTTGTTGTTTAGATTTTATCTCAAATTATTATATTTTCTATTTAAAGGTTATAAATCCGAAACATATAATTATAGCTTTTGACATAATTTGTATTTCTTCTCAATTTCATGTCTAACTCCATTGCATTCTTCACAAACATTCTCTTTATTGGTTTAATTTTACAACCTTTAGATTAAATGAGTACCTTTAATTGAAATTTTATCACTGCATTTACACTAAAATTCTTGTAAAAATAAGTAATTTTTTGGTTTATCAACTCCTACTATTATGCAGTTCTTCAAGTGCACCAGCGACCCACAATGTTTCTACATCAATAATAACTTATATTAAGGATCATGTATTGCAGTCTCAAAAGTTGGAACTGAAATAAATTTGGTCTCACATATGAATTCATCATATCCAATGTCCATTTACTTCACTATTGAATAAATTATTTAATGGATTGATATAAGGAAGTGAGGATAGAAATTTATGATCCATGATCCTAACAAAGGTCGAGTATCAATGATTAATGATAAATCCATTGTGAGTGTGACTTAGTATATAGATTGATGTTTAGGACCTTTGAATTGCTCTAATACGGTGTGAACGTAATTGTTTATAATAAATTGCCTTAGTTCTTCCTTGAACTCTTCATTTACATTTTTACTCATTTAAACTTAAAATTTAGTTATAGATAATTAATATTAAATATTCTTTATAAAATATATTTGGGAATTTTATTCTAAATTCAAAAACTCTTTTAACAAGCATTAGATTCATTTAACCATTAAATCCACATGATATTCATCTCCAATTGTTGTGATTTTGGTCAACACTCATGTTATTGCTTAAATCTTCATACAAAGTCATCATTTTATAGAACATTTAATGCAATAATGATATAATTGACTTTATGATATAGCGCAAATTAATCTTATGATTAATAGTTCTTACAGAGATTTAGTCTTAAAATTATGATAGGAAGATTGTAAATAATTTCTAAATAGGATATATCTAAAATCTCCACTACTAAATCTGTTAGAGTTAGATTTATTTTGTGATTTGAATTTGATATCTTTTATTGAACCAAGAAATATTGATTATAACTGCAACCAACTACATCATTATAACTTTGATGTAACATTTGTATAGACACAAAATAAAATTCTAAAATATTTTTACAAATAGATTCGATTCAAAAAATTTATAAAAGACATAAAAAATATTTGGTTTATTGGTTTTAATGAAATTCTTTATCATCAAAATGAATAATAGGCTTAAATTTTTATTATTGACATGTAAATATCTATGACATTACCATCTTTATTGTAAAATTTTACTTTTGAAACTAATTAATCAGGAAATTTTAGACTGTGTACAGCTGGTTAAACATCACCTTCATATATCAGAGATTCGGTCGTTCTGTTCACTCCAATTACAAAAATTTGCATATTTGCTACTCTTCTTATGTCATGATCCAACATCCAAAATCTAATGGTATTAATTTCATAGACTTATAAAAATTCGATAATTATTGATTCATGTAACCCAATAAAAGTATGCGCTGTTGCATCGATGTCAGAAAAATAAAGTGAATTTCTAAGGGGACTATTATCTATATTAGGTCTGTAAAAACTATTTCTTCTAGCCGATGATAAGAGGGCTCCATTAGATTCTGATGCTACATCTTTGTAATGCCCTCTTAATATTGATTTTTCTCTTAAAATGTATAAATCATTTTAGCTAAATTTTGCATTAGCATCCCAAGCTGGTGATGATATTAAGCCAAATATATCTAATAATGTGAAAAGAAACAATATTTTCATTATATATTATAATAAAAACATTTTGAATTATCTTATGCTATAGTATTCTAGTTAGGTTTGAGCTCAATAATTGACATTAAAAATTTTTTATCTTGAAAAGATGACAAGCACACTACAAAAAGTTCGATATACGGATTGTGATCATGTTCTCTTTTGCCAAAAAAATTGATTATAATTTTAGAAGATCCAGACTTTCATTTAAACTTTGCCATGTATTTTGAATAATCCAATGTTTTATGGTTTAAGAAAGTATCTTAAAAAAATAAGACAATATGTATTAGTATAAGAAATAAAAATTGCTTAATAATTTTAATATTAATAAATTTACTATTATTTCAAGTTATGAAGTTATAATAAGTCCTGAAGTAAAAAATTCTCGTTTACTGTTTTTATAGATTTATTCAAAAGCTGAGACTGAATCAAATTCATAAATTGTCTAAAAATTTGATAGAAACAATATTCAATTTATAATATTTAAAAAATAGAATTGATTCTTTTTCTCCTTTAATCTCTTTCGATCTAACTTCAGAACAAGTTGGAATAGGGAAAAATGCAAATATATTGTAAATCAGCATCATCATAAGACTTCTGGACACTCAAAATCAAGAAAACCTCTTTGGGATGAAAAATAAAATGATGAAATTAATACAAAAATATCTTACTATAATTGTTGAATGATGAAATCTTAAAATATTAAATTTATAAATTCAAATAATTAATCTGCATAACATTGACGTTGTATAAATAATAATGGCTTAACTTGAACTAATTTTCTTTTTCATGAGAAGATATTGTAACGTGTAAAATGAAACCAGTTTACAAACATAAAACAATAAAACAATCTAATTCCGCTCTATTGAATTAATCCCTTTATTTCGTACACTATTTTGGGGATTTATTTTTTAAAAATGCATCTAGAAATGATATATTTCACATTAAAAGATTGATAAATCTGTTTTATGAATAACTATCAATTCAAATTTTAGATTTATTTTGAAATTCCATTTAATCTTTTACTATTCAATGAGTGTAATGCTTAAAAAATGACACTTTCTCTTTAATTTCTATCAATACTGCCATGTGTTTGGTAAATGATGTGGAAATTATTAATTTAAACTCAAAGGTAAATAATTTTAATCAAAAATATTTTTAAAATAGTTGGATGTCTAAAATTAATAAATAGAATAACCTGAACATCCTACTTCTACATTTTTCCTTAAGCATTTAATAATATTTAGCGGATGATTATGCTTAATTAATGATTGAAATCGGGTATAAATCTGAGAAAAGTAAATATATCATGCTTAAGTATAAATAAATAAAAAATGAATTCATATATTCAATTCCGAAGAGACTCATTTCAATTTTTCTAATCATAATCTGAGCTATAAGATAATAAAATAGCTCTTTGATAATGATTAATTACAATAAAATAAAAAAGAACAAGTTCGGGTTGAAGGAATAAAAATTTTAAGTATTTAATATATAGTTAATATCCTTGCAAATGAGATAATAAATATAAAAACTACTTTTGAATAAGGACTGCTAATTAATTCATTTTCCATCTATCTTATTCATAATTTGAAAAGAATCTTTTGAAAACTAAATTGGAGATCAAGAATTAATTTTACATTTTCCTAATATTTTTTCCTTTTATATCCATTTTATCCCATTTCCCNTTTACTGTTTTTATAGATTTATTCAAAAGCTGAGACTGAATCAAATTCATAAATTGTCTAAAAATTTGATAGAAACAATATTCAATTTATAATATTTAAAAAATAGAATTGATTCTTTTTCTCCTTTAATCTCTTTCGATCTAACTTCAGAACAAGTTGGAATAGGGAAAAATGCAAATATATTGTAAATCAGCATCATCATAAGACTTCTGGACACTCAAAATCAAGAAAACCTCTTTGGGATGAAAAATAAAATGATGAAATTAATACAAAAATATCTTACTATAATTGTTGAATGATGAAATCTTAAAATATTAAATTTATAAATTCAAATAATTAATCTGCATAACATTGACGTTGTATAAATAATAATGGCTTAACTTGAACTAATTTTCTTTTTCATGAGAAGATATTGTAACGTGTAAAATGAAACCAGTTTACAAACATAAAACAATAAAACAATCTAATTCCGCTCTATTGAATTAATCCCTTTATTTCGTACACTATTTTGGGGATTTATTTTTTAAAAATGCATCTAGAAATGATATATTTCACATTAAAAGATTGATAAATCTGTTTTATGAATAACTATCAATTCAAATTTTAGATTTATTTTGAAATTCCATTTAATCTTTTACTATTCAATGAGTGTAATGCTTAAAAAATGACACTTTCTCTTTAATTTCTATCAATACTGCCATGTGTTTGGTAAATGATGTGGAAATTATTAATTTAAACTCAAAGGTAAATAATTTTAATCAAAAATATTTTTAAAATAGTTGGATGTCTAAAATTAATAAATAGAATAACCTGAACATCCTACTTCTACATTTTTCCTTAAGCATTTAATAATATTTAGCGGATGATTATGCTTAATTAATGATTGAAATCGGGTATAAATCTGAGAAAAGTAAATATATCATGCTTAAGTATAAATAAATAAAAAATGAATTCATATATTCAATTCCGAAGAGACTCATTTCAATTTTTCTAATCATAATCTGAGCTATAAGATAATAAAATAGCTCTTTGATAATGATTAATTACAATAAAATAAAAAAGAACAAGTTCGGGTTGAAGGAATAAAAATTTTAAGTATTTAATATATAGTTAATATCCTTGCAAATGAGATAATAAATATAAAAACTACTTTTGAATAAGGACTGCTAATTAATTCATTTTCCATCTATCTTATTCATAATTTGAAAAGAATCTTTTGAAAACTAAATTGGAGATCAAGAATTAATTTTACATTTTCCTAATATTTTTTCCTTTTATATCCATTTTATCCCATTTCCCTGTTTTTTTACCATTTACGTATTCCCCAAAATGTACCTTTTAATCATTATAGGTGAATTCTTGGGCTAATTCAATCCAAACTCCAGATTTAATTGAAATTTCCAACCCATTATTTTGTTTCGTAATTATATACTATCCTCCACCACTAAATTATATATTATATTCCTAAAACATACATAATTGAAGTTTTTTTAGCTAACACATCTTTATATTAAATTTTCCATTCACCAACTTTTAAACCATTTATATACTAACCTACTAAAAGTATTTCACTTTAACTAATATTATAAATGATTTAAAATTACTGCCAAAACTTATCTTCTAATTCAATCCACATTCCAGTCTTAATTGAACTACTTAATACTAAATTAGCCTGTTTAATATCATATGATCCTCCCCCACTATCATTAAATTGAAACATTAATAGGTTACCTACATGTACTCAAATTACGATTTTTAATAGCCACCCTTCTTATTATACATATCCCATTTGCCAAACTTTTATCCCTTTAAATATTGACCATTAAAAGTAATTTGATCACTCCACCTAAAACCAACGCTCAACTCTATCCACATTCCAGATTTTTAGGAATTCCCATCTTGTTCAATCACATACTCGCCCCCACCTCTGGTTAATAAGCATAACAAATAACTTTCTTACATTTATTCTTTCTTTTTAGTAATAATATCTTTAAAATATGACTTCCATATTCCTACTTTTATTCCATATTAATATTTCCCTTCCAAAGTAACTTCGCTCTGTCTACTCTATAGAATTTATTGATACTCCCAAAAGCTATCACTCATTTCAACCCATCTACCATTTTTGACTGTGGCACCATCAATAATAGTACTGCTATAGACTCCGCCACCACTATTAAAAGAGAAAAATTAGCAAAATACATAAAATAAAAGTTGTAATTTTCTCCTTATTATTTAAAGAAGGCATCCCATCTGTCAACTTTGTTCCCATCTCTATACTTGCCATTATATGTCAATTAGTTAAATCTTATAATGTGAATAATTGAGATACGAATTAAATTTTGAGCTTAATTCTATCCAATCACCATCTTTTACTGAATCATTTTAGCCTTTATTTATATATTAACCACCGCCACTTGATTAATGATTATGATATTAAATGTTTACATCTTTTTGAATTAATTTGCTTCGATTGACTTGAACAATACGTCCCAATAGCCAGTTTTTTTCCCATTTTTATAAACTCCAGTATAAATTATTTAGTTCAACCTATATTGAATTTGCTATTATACTCTCTAAATCCATCACTTAATTCAATCCAACTTCCACTCTTTATTGGATCATAGAAGTCGTTATCACCTTCCTTTAGTTCATAAGATCCACCTCCCCTTGATATGAAAGTTATGATATTCTTTTACATTAATTCATAATTTGAATTTAATTTATTGGATTTGTATAAAGTATCCCAATTCCCAACTTTTATTCCATCTTTGTAAACACCAGAGTGAATAATTTAACCTTCACTAAATTTTAAAAACTATTATACTCCCAGAATTAATCACTTTATTCAATCCATCTTCCTTGCTTAATATTTATTTAAATGCTATCATATTTTCTTTCTTAAGCGTAAGTTCCACAGCCTCTATTTCGAAAAAATGATATTAAGAATCATATATACACGAATTTTAAGAGATTGTTGTCATTTTTTGATTTATACAAAATATCCCATAGACCTACTTTTTTGCCATTGAAATATTCTCCGTAATACATGACTTAACCTTTACTAAAATAGTATTTTATTGACTAAAAAATACTTCCAAAAATTATCACTTAATTCAAACCATTTACCGTCCTTATTACCTTGAAAGTTGTATGATCCACCACCACTATATTTTACTTTAATGTTATTACATCTCTTGACCATCATAAAGGAGTTTCCACCTTCCTACTTTGATACCATTCTCATATTCTCCAACTTCATATACCTGAGATTCACTATACATTAATAAATTATCATCAATTACCTCCAATACATTTTTATTAGATCTGTCCATATACCTTATTTTTATCCATTATTGGAGTAATAACCTCCAACATCAGACAGAATTTGGTCTTTCCAAACCGCCTCCCAATTACCTACTTTATAATTTTTTTCTCCTTATTTTCCAAACCATCTCAGGTATTTAATTTAATCTAAATTATTTAGTTCTTCTTCATTATTAACATGATCCTTTAAGTAATCACTTTATTGTGAAAATTGATACATTCTTAAAATTTACCCATCTTTAGAGCAAATGATCTTATTTTCTGAGTTAAATAAGGTATTTAATTTTATCTTCAAAAACCTTTAACTCTAATCATCCCAATAATTCGACTCAATTTCTTTCATTATATTTTAATATTTAAATTCTTGGGATGAATAAAATTCGTTTTCATCATATTAATTAAACGCTATAAGAAATTTAAATCAGTAAATACTTAACTATACCCTAATATATGGATGGTTTCTTTTTCAAAATATTTTAGTGATTAAAAATCACCTATTTACTTCTAAGCAAAATTGAAATAATAAATAGCTATGAATTCACATCTAAATTGCAATTAGTTTGAAATTTGAGTTTTCATCAACAAGCAAATATTCAAGAATTCAAAACTTAACTTAAAAGGGAGATAAGATATAGATCTTCCACAAGGGAAAGTTCAAATTTGCAGTAATTCATTAATATTGATTTCTGCTATCAAGAAATATAGAAAATTTAAGATTAAGATACCTAGACTTTTAAAAAATAATTTTTATTGCCATTAATTTTTCTCGCTATTCTATATAAGATATGAAGTAATCCGTTGGACTCACATCAAACTTGTTTAGAAATACTCGAAATATCTGAAGAGAAAAAATGCACTACCTAGAGTTAGTTGTTTATGACTTACTAAAAGGAGTTTACAAAATATTTATGAATTATATAGATATAAAAAACATTAATATCAACTATTTTCATATGTTAATTCCTTATTCTTCCAAGATAATGCTTCCCTTTTGCTAGAATAGTCTCCTTAAATCCATTTTGAAATGATTGATGAATTAACCTTGTAAGATTTAAGTTCCCTTGGCTTCAAAATGTTCATATTAGGAAATTCGAAGGACAGTTAAACAATCATAAACTAAATTATTAAAAAAAATTACACTTCCTTTTTTAAAGGAGATTTTCCTCAATATTAGGTTATAATCGTTAAAAAATCTCTTAATAACTGCTATCAGAAGGCAATAGTTGCTAATCTAAATTAATATCCCACATATTTATTGATTTATGTAAGGCTCCTTAAGCAACAATAGTGCCATCAGAAGAAAAGCATAAGCTTTACACCTAATTAGTTAATCCTTGTAACTTTAATTTTTAATTTCCAGTATTTACATCCCACAATCTTAATGATCCATCCAGACTACCTGAAGCTAATATAATCCCATTCGGGGAGAAACATAATGATAAAACAGATTTGTTATGTCCTTTAAGTCTGAACTTCTGATTTCCTGACTTTGTATCCCATACATAAATAGATGCATCAAAGCTGCCTGATGCTAATATTGTTCCATCAGGGGAGAAAGTGACTGACTCTACTCGTTAGTTATGTCCAATCAATTTCATTTTTTGATCTCCAGACTTTAAGTCCCACAGTCTTATCAATTTATCTAAGCAACCTGTAGCCAATGTAGTACCATCAGGTGATAAACATGCTGATACAGCTCTTTATTAGAATTCTTTGTCTTATTTCAAACTTATATCCCATAAACGAATAGATTTGTCATAACTACTTGAAACTAATAGATTACTATCAGGAGAAAAACTTATTTGAGATACAGAATCATTATGGCCTTCCAAAATATACATTTCTTGCATTAAATTTAAATCCCATATAGTGATGGAGTAGCTCTAACTGGAAAATGCAAATAAAGTGCCATCAGGAGAGAAACATATTGAACGACTGTTTCCTTCAATTTTTATTATTTCTTCGCCTAAAGTCACCCTCCATAAGCGGATTGATTAATCGTGACTACTGGATGCCAAAATGTCTCCCAAAGAGGAGAAACAAACTGAATTGACTCTTTCATTATGTCCTTCTAATTTTAATTTCTGCTATCCTGAGTCCACATCCCACAATATAATTGAATTATCCCCAAAACCTGAAGCCAAAATCAAACCATCAGGAGAGAAACAAACTGACAAAACAGATCCATTACTTCCTTCTATTTTTATTTTTTGTTTCCACAACATTACATCCCATAATAGGATAGATTTATCTTCACTTCCTGATGCTAAAATATTGCCGTCAGGTGAAAAACATATTGAATAGATTTCTTATGCATGCAATTCTAATAAATTCTTTTATAGCCCTGATTCTACATCCCATAGACGAATAGATTTGTCATCGCTACCGGAGGCTAGTAGAGTGCCATCAGGAGAAAAACATACAGAATAGACCCAACTTCGATGTCCTTCTAAGGTGTTTTTCTCCTTTCCTGATTTTGCTTCCCACAGTCGAATTGAATTATCGCCGTTACCAGAGGCTAGTATTGTGCCATCAGGAGAGAAACAGACTGAAAAAACCCAATTGCTTTTCCCTTGTTATCTTTGATTATCTTTTTCAGACTTCACATCCCATAAACAAATCTACTTATCTCCGCTCCCAGACGCTAAAGTAGTGCCATCAGGAGAGAAGCATACTGTACTAATCCAACTTCGATGACCTTCTAACTTTTTCTTTTCTTAACCTGACCTAAGATCCCATATACGGATAGATTTATCTTGACTACCAGATGCGAGTATATTGCCGTCTGGAGAGAAGCATATTGAGCGAATCCAATTTTGATGACCTTCAAATATTTATTTTACTTGTCCCAACCTGAGGTCCCAAATGCGAATAGATTTATCCTCACTTCCAGAAGCTAAAATTGCCCCATCAGGAGAGAATTTTACTGATTAAACACATCCGCTATGCCCTTCTAATTTTTTCTTTTCTTATCCTGTCTTGAGACCCCATAAGCGAATTGCTTTATCTCCGCTACCTGAAACTAAAGTATTACCATCAGGAGAGAAGCAAACTGAATAGACACCTAACTGATGTCCATCTAACCTTGTTTTCTCTAATCCTGATTTTACATCCCACAATCGAATCGAACAATCATAACTGCCAGAGGCTAAAGTAGCTCCGTCAGGAGAAAAACATAAAGATTACACAAAATCATCATGTCCTTCTAACAAGCATCTTTATTATCCTGTCTCAATATTCCAAAGACGTATAGATCTATCGAAACTCCCTGAAGCTAAGATAGAGTCGTCTGGTGCAATACATAGAGTTAAGACTTTTTCAGTATGCCCTTCTAACTTTTTCTTTTCTTAACCTAGCTTCACATCCCATAAAATGATAGATTTATCCTCACTTGCTGAAGCCAAAAGTTTCCCGTCAGAAGTGAAGCATAATGAATAAACACTTCCCTTATGCCCAATTATTTTATGTAGCTCATATATCTAAAGATTATTCCATTTGCAATTATAAAGCAAAGTTCCATTCAAATTTATCCCATCGATATTTACATTCTCAAATTCAGAACCACTTAAATCACTAAATGCAAAATTACTTGCATTTAATGATGTGTTTTTGATTTTGATATTTCTGAAGCTTTATCTGGTAAGATCAATTTTCATCCCAACTAAAAAATTAATACAATTAGATCCACTTTAAATAAAACTATCATCTAATGCGGTGAGATGCACTATAAATTGTAAAAATTCAATAATTTTTTCTTCATTTTAAATCTTTTGGATAAGAAACTTCCTAGTTTCTCTGTGATTTTACGTTGAGTAATTAACATTATTTAAGTCGTGTTACTTTATAATTCTAAGAAGCGTCATTATTTTTTTAAAGTTACGTTCTATAAGATCCAATTATTTTTACTTCTCATACAAAGATAGACTATTATTTTAAATACACATTTCATAATGATTCTAGCCAACATGTTTTTCAAGAAATAATAAACAATCTTTTACTTTTTCATTTTCCAAAATTTTCATACACCTTTCTAAGAAAGATTTCTCGAAATCTTTTGTTGCCATTAACACCTCAAATATGTCAGAGGCAATCAAGAATTCTGAAATAGATTTATGAACAAATTAAAAGCTGGTACCCTTTTATTTAACAAACGAACAACTTCTTATATCTTTTTTGAGATTTCCATCTTGCCCGTCATCATTGAAAAACTCGTTTAACCATTTATTGTCATCGGTTTCATCTTTATATAAAAACCCTTATTGCTGATATTAAATCTAAGTTACTTCTTTAATACTCATTTATTTAGCCAGTTTTATTTAGTATTTTTGTAAATCATAAAGAAAACGATCAGTATTAATAGATTTTCCTAAATTTCTTTATTTTTCAATCTATTTTAAATGATATTAACTAATAAATTCCTCATAAAAGTCGTAACTAGTAAGATTTTATTCTCTTAAAGAGTCGCAAATAAGATTGGCTATTCTTTCATTTGAAATTGAAACTTTTTTAATAACTTCAAATTAAAATAGAATATTCTTAAAATTATTAAAGTCGATTATATATATGAGCCTTTAATTTAACTCATTTATTTCTGATAATTAAAATTAGCTAAAAAACTAATTTTGTTCTAAAATATTCCAAATTTCAATAGATAGTTAAATATAATCGATTTTTTTTAGATTTTCAATATCTTATTCATTACTTTAATCTTGTTGATTATCAATTATTAGTTCAGCTGGAGTTTATTCATCTTAAGCATTTTTTAACAAATTTGAAGATTTTAATGTCTACTATTTATACAATTTTATCAGATATAGACTCATTAATAATTCTTAAAACTTTTTGGAAAAATTCTTAATGAAATTTTATTTTAATTAGAGAATCTCTGTTACTTTGGCCAACATTTAAGGTAGTACCTAAACAATAATTTCCATCATATAAGGGGTATCAATCAATTTATCAAGATTAATCATCTTGATCATTGCTTCATACTTTTCAACACTCCAAAGCTTCTATAAATTAATATCAAGCCTTCTGAGTGCTTCATTGCTTTATAAAGAGATGAATTGATCTTTTTTCAAAAATAGTAAAATTTCTTCTATCTACTTCTTTTATAGTAAAATTTCACCTTGAGTTTTTATTGGAGATAACTTTAAAAACTCAGTTTGGAATTTATGCCAAAATATTTCAAACTTTTAGATATCCATAGAAATTTTGTTTAGCATTTTGGTTTACCATTCATAAATTTCAAAAACCAATACTTTAATACTTAAATTGGTAAACTACTTTATGTATTCCTTTTTTTAAATTTGGTCGAATTTTAAGATTTAGATTTCTTTTAGTTTTGTTTTATCTTCGGGTGCAAACCAATCGGAATAATTGCTGCTTGTGAGAATCTCACTTCTTGTTGTAAATATAACTAAAGGGTTTGACCAATTTGAATAAAGCTTATTAATAATATATAAATTTTTTTTGATATTCTCTAATTTCATTTCATCGTAACTATCCATCAAAATTAAAAATCGAAACTTTCTTGCTTCTAGCAACTCTTTACATTCTTTTAATTATAAATCATCAAACCCGTACTCATCTTGACGAAGTGCCTCCTCTATGATTTAAAATGCAGGATTTTTGACAGAAGGCAAAGAAATATATATTGGTACAAGTACATATTCATTAACCTTAATATTACTTTCATTTAATTTCCAAATAAATTCTTCTATTTTTTTAGCAACAGTACTTTTGCCAGATCCAGCTACACCATGTATTAACAATACAGTTTCCTTTTCTTTTAACAAAAATGTATTCACTTCTCCTGATAAATCATCAAATTATTCTAAGTTCATCAAATTATTTGTATCACTTTTCCTTTTGTCTTGACTTTTTAATGGTATATATACTGTTTTTACATTTTTTTAAGCTGCCTCTTTAAGAACCTTCCATTTCCTTATTTCAAGTAATTATTAAACAGATTTCCCTCTTAAAGATTTAATGTCATCACCCATACTTTTTAATTACTCTTTCATTTAATTTATCTTTACTTCTACTCTATTTAATCCTTTTCTAATGTGATTTACAAAATCTGTTATAAGTTTTAGTTACTATCCCATCTCACTTATGTTTTCAATTTATTCATCTAACTGTTGAGTTGTTTCATCTAATTCTTAAAGTTGTTGATCCCTTTTTGTATGATTGGCTTCATGGAAAATTTATTCTTACAAATCATCAATTTTCCTTAGCATCTATTGCATTTAACTTGAAATTCTATCCTGCTATGTCCTCCAATCCTTTTGTAAAATCTAAACTTGTTTGGCAATCATATCTTGGTGTTTTAATAAATTTCTAACTCTTTAATCCTTTTCGGAAGTCCAAATTTAAATCAATGCCTTTTGGCAAAATGCTATTATTATATCAGAAAAACAATTTGATGAAATTTAAATAATTGTAAATATTAATCCCTATTTAATTTTCCATTCATCATTGTTTTTAAAATCGTTATACTTTTGTATCATAGTTTCAAAAAAGGTTTGCTTTTGATTTAATTCATCATCTATTTCTATCTCCTAGTTGTCCAACGAATATATTTTAGAAAATTTTTGAATTAATAATTCTTATTCAAACGATATCTTTTCTTTTATAAAGCCTTTGTCAAAGGATTATTCTTGGGAAAAAACTTTTAACCCATTCAAAAAGTCATCAATGCTGATGTATTAATCAATATTATTTTCATCACATATTTTCTTATTTTCATTCTTTACTTAATCCAAAGAGATCTTTAATTTATCAAAATATATCCTGGAATTTTCTTTTTCTTTTTATAAATCTTGTCCAATCCATTATATATTTTCATAGTTTGTTATAAACTATAACAAATAAAGATTAAAGTTGTTATGTAATTTTGCTTAAGTTTCTGCTTTATATTTTTGAAATTGACAAATTTTACTAGAATATTATTTTATTTCTTCAAGTATTTTATTTAATATCTACTTTTCTTCTATTAATAGTTTTTATTATAATTTCACACTCAAAGTAAAAATCCATAGTGCTAAAGTAAATTTTTCATCAGATTTGAAATCCAAAATCTCAACTTGGGAATCATTGACATTTTTCTTTTCGATTTTATTTTCTGCTTTTTCTTCCTTTTCATCATTCAATTTGATGCTTTTCATATCACTTTATTCCTAAAACTACTTTTTGAATACATCTTTTTTATTTTATAAATCTATGATTTCTTCTTCTATCAGAATTTTTTAAATCTCTACGTTCTAATTTAAGGAGGTCTTTAAAGTGTTAAGGACTATTTAAGTTTAATTAATTAAATCATTTAATGCACCTACCTTCAGATGGTTGCTGATATTCTTTGAAATTTCCTTTTAGAAAAGTATCAATTAATTATAAAAATTCTCATATTTCTCAATCTCTAAATTCAATGTCTGCTGTGAAAAAGGCTTATCATTTAGTATTTTTAAAGATTCATTAATTTAAGCATCTTCAAATACTTTTTCAATTTTGTCAACATACTTGGATGATGATTAATTTCTGAATAAATCACCAAACTCCTTTTCAATCAGCTCCAAATCCTCTCTGTACGCATCATTAATTTATTCTTCTAAACCTACTTAGAACAGTAAATATTCCAAGACTCCAATTTACCTAGATAATTTGGTTGATAAATCTTCTTCAGAGAGTTGAATAGTTTTTAATTCAGTGATAGATTTCTTGTAAAATTTATTATTATAATCAAAAATTCTTTTTGGAAAATTATTTACTACTTCAAGAAGAAAACCCTCCAAATTAATTATTTATAATATTTTTGACAACTCCTCTTGCTAAGCAAACTTCAGAATGCTTTAGAATTTTTCTTAAAATGCAATTAAATTAAATTTTAAAATTTAAACCTCAAACCTTAATTTTTGAATAAGCTTGGTAGTGTTAAAATCAATTAGTTTTTATTTAATCATTAGTAATTTTTCATCAGTCAAAGATATATCATCTATTTCATTATTTATGATTATCATTTATTTTAGGATAGCCATTTGCTCATCAAAATTTTTATTTAATTAACCATTAATTTGTGCATATTTCAAAAATATCCCCTGTAATGAAACCTCAAAACAAATCGCAGGGTTACTGTTTTATAGTTCAGCATCGATTAACTTTTGAATTGATTATTAGGTATTTTGTAGATACTTTATCAAATCTAAAGTTTCTTTGATAAAATTATTCAAATTCTTAAAAGGGTCTGGCAATGCTATTACTTTTTCAAGTAAAGAATTTACTTAGGAGATTGATATTGGGTCTTAAAAGTAGAGATTTTTTAAATCAACTTAAATATATTCCATAAATTCCAAAAAGATATTTATATTACTCATTTTCTCGTATAATTTATCTTCTTTGGTTTAATCATTTATATATTCTTTACATTCTTCTATAAATAATTCTAAAATGTATTTTAATAGTCTCATTGCATAATTTAAATTATAGAGATTTGTAAAATTATCAATAACATTTTGTTTGCTTTTAATTAAATTAGTATTTTAATGAAGATTAATAATTTTAAGAATATCTTTTGTATTTTCGAAATAACCTTTTAAATTGCAAATTATATTTAATATTTATTATTTAAATGTAACTTAAGTTATCCTTTTATTTAACTTCTTATTCTTCACTAAATTTTTCAAATTTTTTAAAACTACTCCTAATTTATCATCATTTTTTCTTAACAGGGTCAATAAATTACTTGGAATGATGAATCTCATAAGCTTTTCAATTTAATCCATCATCTACATTTCTCCATTTTTTGTAAAGTTTTAGTTGCCAATATTGAGTTTGCCTTTTAAATACGATCCAATTGTGTATACTTTATTTGAATACTAATCATCCATTAAAAAGTCTTTAAGCAATAAAAAATTTTCCCATCCTTAAAACTATACTTCGATACTTAACCTATTAGTTTATATTAATTTTTTATTCTAAAGTTGATGAAGAAGTATAATAGCCTAATCATTATTATGATTCAATTACATTAGAATTCCCTTTTTAAATAACTCTTTCCAAATATTAGAAACTGACTCAATCTCTATGTTCAATAATTAATTTGCTATTTCTAATTATTTTTTTTTTAAAAGAGGATTGTATATTAATATTTTTCCAATCATTTAGATCCAACAAAAATGATCGCTCCAACAATTTGAGCCTCTCACTAATTTATCATATATCATCTCGATTTGGGAAATGATCTCTTCAAGATTTTAATATTTATCATCCTTAAAGTAACTAACGATCTCCCATTATAACATATCTATATAATAAAAAACCTCATATTATTTTCTGTTTGAACTTATATTATACATCTTATAGAGGAGACAGGCACCTTGATATAATGATTCAAGTAAATCTGAGTTTGGGCTCATTTTCAAAACAGAAATAATTATACCTTTTAGGCAACCTTTTAAAATTTCACTTTTTTCATTGCTATCATTAGGTGCCAGCTCAAACGAAGTCTTTGTTAATAAAAGAAAAAGTTCCAATTAATTATAAATTAGATCATTCTTTTCAATCCCTATTAGTACCTATAATTCATCTATAATTTCTATGTATTGCTTTTAAGTATTAAATTTCATATATCTCTCATTATTGATCAAATGAAAGCTAAATATTACTTTAGATAAGGATGTTGTGATTTACAAAATATAAAAACATTTAAATGAATCCGTTCTTATATAGATCAGGCAGCTTTTCAATAAGATTTTAATTCCTTCCAAGATTAAATCGTATGATTTCTAAACACTCAAAGGATTCTTATTGAGTTTATAAATGTTTTCTTCTTGGAAAACAAACCATTATATTGCTATCATAATCTCTTAAGATTCTTCTGAATTAATTGCAACTTAAGACTTAGAATCTATTATATTAATGTATTGGTTGAATTTTTAAAAGAAATCATTTTCGTCTAAATTATCAATTTTAGAAACAGGAGTTTCAACTTAATTATTAATAGATGAAGCACAACCTCCACCTCGTAAGAAGTACCTTTTTATCATGGTTCGAAATGATTAATTTTAAAATAAATAATCCGCAAATTGATAATATATGTATTAAAATAAATTAGTCTAATAATGCTAAATAAAAAAGGACATGGCAAATAAAAGTAGTAGAAGATCAATATAAAGTTATTATAAAATTTCTAAATCAGCTTTAGAATCTTAGTAATCATTCATGGAACTACGAAGTGAAACTGGAATGTTGGTTTAGATTTATTTGAGAATTTGAACGTTAATCATATGAAATATGATATTAGAAGCCAAAGAGGAAATTTTATAGGATAGAAAAAGATTATGTGAAATAGGATAATTGTTTGTAAATAAAAAGTAATTAATATTTAATCATAATCTATTTGGGCAAGATATCAACTTATTTCGTACCATACTTGAATGAAATTTGTTGCCTTAAACTCTCCAGTTTACAATAGGAGGACCAACTCTAAATCATTTTCCAACTTCTGATTGTGCTATCTTCAGCTATTGGATAAACCTATAAAATGTATTTTTTCTAAAACAATTAATTCATTTTACCTGTATTTTACTCCCATTAAAGTTTTTCTTACTATTCAATAGTTGCCTGTTTTAATAGTCACCATTACAAAGTTAATTATATTATTTAAATGAATAATTAATTAAATCTTTTTAAACCAAGAAACTATTAAAGTTTATTGCTAAGGACCATCTCACTAAAAAAGCAAAAATATCATTTTTATTATATCTTCAATCGTCCATATTAATCCAATTAAATCTTCCTTCCATCTCATATAAGCATTTACAGATTAGCCTCTTTATTTCTATTAGATTCTCATCAAGCAATACAATGATTGAAGAACTATCTTGTAAATTTTAACATTCACTTTTTCCCCCTCAGTCATCATCTCCTAATTATTACTATAATAAAATTTACATGACATTTTTATTTTCATTTTTCGGTATTTCATTCAATTCAATTTGCACCACTTTTCGAAGCCCTTCTTCTTCATTATTTTCATTATTGTTAAATATATTTTAAATTACTAATAGGGGAAAATTTTACACATTTTCCAATAATCAGAATTTAAATTGGTTCATTATTATAAGTACCAGAGATTATGATAAAACAATAATAATTTATTTTTTGAAAAATAATTTGATAATTTATTTATAATTTTGTATTTATCTTATTCTTATCTAATCTTGAAATTTTA